TCTCTAACAACAAAGACAGTTCAGATTCAGTATTGACTGAAAATGATAGGCAAACCCCCGGGAATAAGGTGCACTTTCCAAAATGTAAATCAGTTTTTCTGTGAGACACACAGGCTTCTCTCTCCCCTGCTGCTCAGAAAGCTCTGCCATTCACCTTTAAACAGAGGAGCAATAATCAATGTAGCATTATTAATGCCAAAATCATTCGTGTGCACTCCTGTGTTAGCCTGCCGAGTGCAGAGCCACAATAGTCAAGTAACCAACAGTGGATTATATTAGATGAACTACACAGAAGCTGTATATACCAACTTGTAATCCAGATTTATCCAGAAATAATGACAGGAACCATGTCTCCAGGACCTTATTGTTCTCCCTGACCATGAACTATTAATATAGACAGGACCCTCTTGAGGCCTTTGATGCCTTCGATTTCCCTTCAGTATCTTCTTTTCTCTACATTATCTTCATCCCTGAGGTTTTTGAGCACTACGGTGTCAAGAATTCGAGTATGGAGACAGAAAAAGAATCACATATGTATGCTTCAATCTTTAATAAGCCATGTTTCCTCACCGTGTTACACACCAGCCCTCGCTCCATCCCTCAAAGACCCTGGTGTGAATTTTTTAACAAGCCCTGTCTCTACTGCTTGTTCTCCAGCTGTCTTAATACACAGAGGCCTATTCCTCTCTCAGAGTGCAGCCCTGCGTATTTATCGGACATTAGAAGAGAGAGCGAGCGGAGGAAAGAGGAAAGGAATGAGTGCTCTCCTTCATTACAGGGGCCAGGTATAAATCAAACTAATTATGGAGCCGCTACAGTATCGAACCCACGGAGAGGAAATGAAATGATCGAAGGCAGGTCGCAACTCAACACTGAGCGAGTTAATGAAAATATTAATTACCTGATGATATACTGGGAATCTGGCCTTCCCCCTCCTCTGCTCCCCCTTGTCTACCCCTCAAACCCCCTACCACAGAGAGCATTTGTTTTAATTGAGTAATAATAAGACTGTTACATTGGCTGAGTCACTTGATTTGACTGGGTAATTGACCAATAAAGGCCCATGATAACCAATTATGAAGCCAGTGTAGCGCTAATTAGTTAGCAACTCTTAAGTGACTTGCTAACAGTGAACATTACACCTCAGTGCTGACAGTTACTTTAAGATGTCATAAAATAAAAGTGAGCCTGTTTGACAGATAGTGAGTCTGTTTTCCTCGTTTTCTCCACTGTCACACACACACACCTCACCCAGCATTATGGCATAATTTGCTGTTAATATCAAATTTTCACCCCCTGATTGATTATACTCTGTATTTTCATTCTAAATTATTCAGTAGTACACTTTATCTCCTCACCTTCCCCTCTCACCGGACTGCAATCCCCCTCCCCACTGTACTGTTTGTCACACTGGTCAATAAGTGGGTGAAATTTGGATCCTGGCGGTGCTGTAGAGGGGGACTTGTACGGTGTAGATGTGAGAGTGGGGGGGGGGGGCCCAGACAGATTATGTTGCACAACAGTCAATCAAGGTAATTAGAGGAGGTATCAACAGCAGTCTGGTCCACTGAGGTTTGAGGTAAAAGATGTGTTGAAGTTCAAGCTATTCTTGGGATCCCTTCAAACAAATGAATGTGAGAGATTTTCGTGCTGCTGCAGATTTTTGAACGTGACATTTTTCATGTTATTGCAATAGAAAAAAAAAAGGTTAATTCTGTGTATTTTTACCAGTTTTCCTTCTGTTTATGTTAATCTGTCACTTTCGCTGAATGACACTTAACAGTGATAAATGAGGGCCTTTTAAAAGTCTTGTGTTTTGCAATTAATACTTTCAAAAGACGAATAACTTGAGCATTGGCTCTTATGTTAACAGGCATTGTAAGTTAACAAAGGATGAAAGTTATGAATGAAATGCTTAGCCGTTTCATTGCACTTAAACTTCCAAAAATGGGAAAGAAGCAAAAGACTTAAGAAAACAAAAATACAAACCAGCTATCAGTTTGAAATAGAGTTTCCTGCACTTACAGCGTATCACCACTGGTGCTGCCAAAGAAGGTGTCCTAACTCTTTGGGAATCTTAAATTATGGACTCATTAAGTAGTTGGTAAATTGTTGTTGTTGTTGTTTTTTTTTGTTTGTTTTGTTTTAATTTACTTTAATGGAAGTAATTGAAATTGTCCAAAACTCCAAAAAGTTCTGCATACTCTACTCTATGCAGAGTACTGATGAAAAGTCTGCATATTTGTGGCATAAAACAGAAGCAAATTTTAGTATTTTTGATTGAACAGTTTCTCTGTCAGTGTAGCTACGTCTTCAAAGACCCTCAGAAAGACTTAAATCCTGCTTTTTTTGGTTGAAAAGCAAGAAAGAGAACGGTTTGACAAATATGCCAGCAAAACATGCCCAATGTTGGAGGAGAAAATGTCAATTTAAACTGTTCGTCCTCTAATATAATCATGAACAATTAATTAAGAAGGTGGCAAATAATTACCAGAGTGACACCAAAACCCTCTCTGACACTTTCACAGATGCATCAGAGTCAACTGGGCTTATAACTCCAGCATTATTAGTGCTCTGGTGGAAGCACTCATTCTGCTGTCTGTGTGGCTCACAGGGAGTCAGCGGATGAATTTTACATAGTTCCTGTCCATCCTGCATTCAGAGTGACAGGCTAATCAGTACTTTGTCAAAGTGGACTCCAGCTGCACCTGTCATAGCTAACAGTCTTCAGCAGAGGCGATGAGGTCCCAGGAGTAATAAAACTCTGAGCTGATTTCATATGGTGTGACCTGCGAGGTGTGAAGTCAAGACACTGAGGACACAACAATCAATGTCAGAACATGTGCTATTGATAGAAGATGTCAGAAATGGCTGGGAACCTGCAGGCGCTGGCTGCAGGTCTCTTGGGCGTGATAGTGATTAATACTAAATGTTTTGTGTGGTGTAACAGTCTGTTGGCTGATGTAGAAACAGTCTTGGTGAGCGTGATGTTGCTGGCTTTACTTCAGAGGTCCTTGAGGAGGAGATCAAACTTTTACCAGCTGCTTCTTCTCAGGACCGTCCACTCTATAATCCACCGGCGCAACATTCGCCCTTAGCTTTATCGTGTGTTGGCTCAGCTGGTTGACAGGTGACACTCAGGTTGAGGTTGGTTATCTAGCAACTGTGTCAAGTGAGTTGGATATTCCAGTAAGAGGATCTAGAGGATGATATTCCAGTCTGAGTAATAAGAGGATATTAAGATCACAGAGACAATCAATGGGCAGTAAGCTGAGCTCTCTTTTTGTCTCCTTCTCTCTCACTCTCTCTCAGACACTTGTTTCATTCACTGATAAATACTGTCTGAGTTCACATGTGTCTCATAAACATCCTTCACAATACACCGAAAAGTGCAGTTCTTTTGCACAATGTGTACCAAAGAAAGAAATTAAATCAATCGAAGCAAAATTAGTGTCTGGGTGCTAGTATTTGTGTGAGAGAGAAAGAGAGAGAGAGAGATTGTTTATTCAATCAAATATACAATTTTAGACAAGAAATTCACTTTTTTTTGGAGATCGAAAAGGAGTATGTTGAAGCTATTTAGCGTACATGTACCTACCCTCATTCCTTCCTATTCATTGACCCTTTACATGTCTGTAGAATTTAAGATTTTCTGATGTCGCCAAAAAGTAGCTAAAGCTCCAAAGTCTAACATGAACTGTAACTAATCATTAATACTGTAACAAAGACCTTATATATACATATACATCCATACCTATATACACATATATACACACAAATATGCACTTTACATAAATACCTATAATACTTCAAATCTCTAATTTGTACCATACCCTTTATTTTTTGTGTTTTTCAGTCATACTCTGCTTTGATTTAATTTTAAACTGTGCTATAGTTTTGCTTTATTTAAGACACATGCTTTTTAGTGTTGTACGAACGCCTGGTTGTTTTAAATTTCATTCCCCTCTAAATACATACCTGCCCTCTCTTCCATCAAACATTTTCTATATATTATTAGGGAGTAGATTGTTACTGGCTTTGTGTACGTTTACCAACATCAGAGAGCTGAACCTCCAATATGAGAACATTTCATTTGTATTCTGACTAAGTTCAGTTACTGGGGGGTCATTTATCAAGAGGTTTGATCACCTGGCATAGATCGAGTAGTTATTGAGAATAATGTTAGGTCTATTCTCAGTCAGTTAATCAATATTTAATTAACAGAGCCAGTTTATGAAACTATACTGATTTTTTTCTGTATTAATTTTATAGGCTAACATTAAGAAAAGAGTTTGGTTTGTTTTTATTTTGATTCAGGTTTGTCATGCCTCTGAACGATAGCACTCTGCAAGTGTTGCCACCAAGTTTATCCTCCCTGTCATGGGAGTGAAAAAATCTAATTGCCATCAATCATCCAATTAGACTTGTGTTGTCTTGCTAAATGAGCCGTGGGACTTTGAAGTTTCACAGCCCAGTGGAATTGGGGGGGGGGGGGGCAGAGGAGAGAGAGGAAACGACAGATACACATGCTTCAAGTGTTACTGCTTAAGTATCACCATTTGAATTGTCACCTACATTCAAGAGAAGAACTATTCAGCCAATGCAGTGTTAGTGTGTGTGTGTGACTGGGTGTGTGTGTGTGTGTGTGTGTAGGACTGCATCAACATTTGTTCCCCTGCATGCTTCTCAGACCGAGTTCAGCAAATGAGTTGAACCAACCTTCCTGGGCACTGTTTCCTCTCCACTCCAGCATCTCATGAAATATTTAACGTGCTTCACAGTAACCTCTCTCTCTCTCTCTCTCTCTCTCTCTCTCTCTCTCTCTCTCTCTCTCTCTCTCTCTCTCTCTCTCTCTCTCTCTCTCTCTCTCTCTCTCTCTCTCTCTCACACACACACACACACACACACACACACACACACACACACACACACACACACACACACACTTTCTTTATCTCTCTCTCTTTCCCTTCACACAGTTTTCTTTCTTCCCTGATACTCAAAGAATGAAAACATTAATGTCGTCTTCAGCCCAGCCAGATTATTTCACACACACAAACATTGGCCTAAATAGACTACATGCACACACTTTGTGAACTCTTTGCTATATTATTTCGTGGGTGATTTCAGCCCCGTGTCTCTGTCTTCAGGCTTCGTGTGTGCAGAGGTAGCTGGATACAAATTTGACACCCGGCCGATCGGCAGCTGCCGGCTGTTTAATCAACACTGATGAATATTTGATGGCGTGGCGGCGGGCAAACGGTGGCCGACACTCTCCTCATTATCGAAGTCCGTGTGTACAGAGATAGATATTCAATATCTACCGATGGGGAACTGGCCTCTCTCTCTCTCTGAGTCACACGAAATAACCCCACAGCTCCTGAACGAAAAACTGCATGTAATATATGGGGTTTCATTCAGGGAGAGGGAAAAAAACAGGAAAATCGTTAACTTTAGTGGGAACACAGTTAGATGGGACACAGGCAAATGTTTTAGCCTGTAAGAAAGTGAAGCATTTGGATTCTAACTTGAAGCAAAAACAGCAGTCGGTTTGGTTTAACTTGGTTTTCAAAGTGTAATAATATTACAAAGTTCAGTAGAGCTTTCAGTGTAGCTCAATATTTTTAACTACTTTTGATTTTACCTTCATATTTCCCCTTAAAAACAGTTAACCTCGCCTTGCTTGGTTGCCTTCACCTGTGTGAATTTACAGTTATTTTATCATTTTTACATACTGTATTAACACAGAGGACCTAAATTCACACACAAAACACAACATCTGAGTGGGAAAAAGTAACATTTTCTACTGTTAAGACCACAAATATGTTTAACAAACCATTTCCATAACTTAGACTGCAAATATAAATAATAAACTAGAACACTTAATAACAATTTTAGAAAATAACACAGTAATTTACCACTATTTACATTAACTGATAAACTTTAAGTCAGTAAGGTCTTCCAAAGGACAGAAACTTTGCAGTTTGGTCAGTACAGTATAGGGGAGTCTGGTGTTCAGGACCAAGGTCAGTGACATGGAAAACCACAGTCAAAGCTGCCGCAGACTGGCGCTGTTTGTCTCTGTTCACCATGAGTGTATTTCCCTGAAAATGTAAGAGAAAAATTTACATAAGATTGGTCAAATCCACTTTGCCAGCTTCACGGTTCAGTCAAAATGAAGAGGATTTACACACTTTGGTGTAAATTGTGCTATTCAAAACACTTAATCCTATAATGCCATATTTGATACACACTTTTATACTTCTATCAATCAATATGATCAACAAATTACTAAAAAAAACACCTGAATACAGTCTGATAAATGATTAAAATGTCCTCTTGTCGTGTATCAGTTTCCAAAAACATCTAATGTATCAAACGAGCTCAAAAAAATGTTTGAAGACATTTTAATTTTTTGGTTTGTTTTCAGTAGTAAGTGAAGTAAACATTTTAATTTTGAATTTTCTGGCCATAATTTGTGGTTTCAGGTATTAAAGGGTTAAGGACAGCTAAAAACCAGCTCTGTCTTTAGCCCTTAAATGGGACCTAAAAAGCAGTAAAGACTAAAGGAAAAATCCGTGAAGATAAAATAATTAATTTATGACGCTGCTTGTTTTTTTTTTAAACATTAAATTGATTGGATAAAAATGTAAACACACACAATAACGTGAAAAAGTGAATCGTTTTGGATTTTACCCACGTTAGCTTCAATTTACGCTCGCTGAAGTCGACTCTCCTTATATGGTATCGCCTCGCCTCTCGTTTCCGGTTGCATGCCTCCTGTCTGCAGCACGTGCGGGTAATGACGACAGGGGAAATGGGTTCAATAGAAGGGTTCAAAGAGCACCTCGCCCCGGGGCCATGGCGGCTCTTAGAGGCAGCACGTGTGAAATAAATGACATTTAGGTAGCGAGGCGGACTTAGCATGAAGTGACATTTCGATGGCGAAACGTCTTTTTATTATTTTTTATTCTTAAATCGGGTGAAATATAATCCCACCATGAACCAGTGCAGACAATGATGAGTGTTTGGATGTTTTAGTGCGACACGTTACAACCATCTATAGTTGAGAATCTAAAGCTGTTTAATGAAGCTGCATACATGATGCAAACATGCATACACAGCTGCAAACATTGAATTAGAAATGGAGTTTTTTGCTCAAATCTCACTGGTGGAAAAAGACTTGATAACTGAGAAGATGCAGTCTCATTGTTGTCTGATGTTTGCTGTAACCTGACTCCACAAAGATTTCCAAATCTGCAACAGATGGTGAACTCGGGCTGAGTGGGGAAAAATTGATGAAGGGTTTTGATTTCACAGCTTTACAGTAGCTCCTCCACGGCGCTGCTGGACACTTCTAATGAAACGCTATAAAGAACCAAAATGCCTGTTTGGCTTTGGGCAGACTTCATCTGCTCGGATAATATGAATCCAGAAGAGCTTCAATTAAAGCTGCTAACTCATTTAACTCGAGTGTGTGCACTTCTATCCGAGCTGTTGTGTTGGACTGGAACTCATCCATCCATTATCTTTGGTGGTAAAAAAGTTAAGTCAAAGAAAATGAGGGGGGAGATCTTGGATTTAAGCTCCAACATCTAACCAGAACTACTTTAATTCTCTGTTTTTCATCCCCTGTTTGTCCTCCACAAACTTTTTGGAGTGGGCTGCTGCAGACTCTGATCTGTTTATGTGTGCCCCCTCCATACAAATATGAATCTAAATTGTGTTTTTGATATGCAGGCTACATGCATATCCCTGCATACCCATTTTTATCTGTCAGTAGCTACATGACAAGAGGTCAGCCCCCCCAAGATCAAATATTTTTCTTACTAAATGACGGATTTATTAGACAAATAAGTTGTTCGTCTGACTCTGAACCCTCTGTGATTGAAATATACCCCTGTGTCAACAGCATCGCCTCTCAAACCGGGTCCCGGGCGATGGAGGGCTGCCACAGCGGATTACTGAGCAAATATGAGTGGGAAATGAGTGCAGATCTGGGGGATCTGCCCATCCACATCCCCAGTTTGACATTTCCGTCCAAAGGCCAACCTTCCTGCGCTTTGTTAGATCAACGGAGCCCTCTTTGGGGGATCCTGTGTGTTTTTTATTTTTATTTTAAGAGACTCCAGACGAAGAGAAATGTCAAAAAGAAGGAGATAAGCCAGCATATATATATATTCATCCTCCACATTTCTTTATTTTAACTTTAGCTCTTAGTGTTGTACTAATAATAATGATCTAATCCATCTTAACCTGGGCGCAGAACAGCTGCGATTAGAGTATAGGCCTACACTCCTTTCCGCTTAGAGCCATTCATACACTCAAAAGTCGCGCACTCGTAAATCTGAAGCGGCTGCGTTACCATAACGTGCGCTGAAATCATTATTTGGCGACGTGGTGTCAGAGACTCTCTCATCTCGTCTGTCAGGAATCCAATTTCCTTTTATTTACATCCCCGGTGCAGATTAATTACTCCCCCGATTTAGTAGCCTGAAGGAATTAAGTTATGAGATCCTCTGGTAGAGACTCTGTGATTAATCTATCGAAAGAGGAAAGTGAGGAAAAGATATCATCAATGTCATAGTAATAATGATCACAATAATAATAATAATGTTTTTCAAATGGAATTATCAAAACTCTGTATTTTAAGTCGTTTTCTGCTGTTTAATCGTTGCACTCAGAGCAGAATGTGAATCTATAGGAGTGTTTTTGTGTGAGGGAAGGTTAACAGAAGTTATATCGACATGAATATGACAGAAGGCCCTTAAAAAAAAGATACCTATACAATCAGGCTGAGTATTGAACCAGCTGTATAAGGGTTATGATATCGGTGAAGTTTCTGATGAAATCTCCCTCCTGATTAATAGAGGGCTCTGTCGTAACGGCCTGACATATGGTAGGCGAGGCAGCTGGGGACGGCACCTACGGCATCCCCTACAGCCATTAACATATTAGAGGCTATTGTGCAGGCAAGACAGTCCGACTTCATCTACAGCCCCTGTGCACAGAGACAGCACCCCCAGAGCTGTTTGATATAGGCTTTCAATAATGCATTACTCTTCAATCCGCCAGTGGAGCTGTTCGTGGTGCTGAAATTATTGCCATGTGGCGCGTGCGGTGCTGCGCGTGGAGTATGCTCTGCGCCAGGGGTGTGTGTTGGAGAAGAAACTTTAGGGGAAAAATAGAAAAATAGTTGAAATATTTTAGGATTTATTGCAACTAAGATATAAGTTTACCAATTTATTTACAAAAATAGATATATCAGCTCACACTTTCTCTATATTATAGCCATCAGATATTAAAATATGTAGCTTTTTGTGGTCTGGTTGTAGTTTCTTTACGCTAAATTTAAAAAAAATAACACATTTTCACAATTTTACTATTAAATAAAAGTGAAAACACCTGACTAAGTCTATTTCTTTTTTACCTATAAGAACAAAGCGAGCCTTCACTTCAAGCAAACCAACACCAGGATTCAAATATGTCTACACTGAGATATTAGGATCAATAATAACAGGAATAAGTGACTTAATTCTAAATATTTTATATATTAAAACAAAAATAAAATGTTGTACTCACGTGCTTTTCTCCAGCCCATGTAGCCAACAGCTATAGAAAAAGCAATAAGCAGCAGCTTTCTCTGCTCTTTAACAGCTGCTTCCTCCAGCCGCCTGCTGCAGCCCCTCAAAGCCCCGAAAGCTGTCTGAAAATATTGCATTTTATATCAGCAAAACGCGATTAATATTGCATTACCTGGCTTTAAAAATTCGTTTTTTTATAAATGCAGCGGAGAGTGAAGTCAACTCAAAATATCTGGAAGTGAGGAGGAGTGGAGAAAAACATTTTTGAGGGGGGAGGGTAGGGGTCAAAGAGTGGTCATTTTGATCAAATAAATCAACTTTTGATCTCTCTCTCTCTTTATTTTTTAGCTGCTCTAACCCTCTCATCTCTCTCTCTCTCTCTCTCTCTCTCTCTCTCTCTCTCTCTCTCTCTGGTGTCAGGAGGAGTCGGTGTTGCTGCTGAGTTATTCTGACTCTGCTGTGAAACTTCATTAAATGTTGATTATTGGGCCTGTTACATGGAGGGAAAAGGCGAAAACTTAGTCCAGACCAGACCTGTATGTTTCATTAATGTCATGAAATAATGCCTGTTATTTGTAAACATACAGATATATGGGCCTAGTCAACAAACAACATATATTTATGACATTATGACATTTACCCACGGTAGTATCAAAACAACCTATTATTATTATTATTATTATTATTATTATTATTATATTTTATTTTTTTATTGTTATTTATTTGTTATTTTTTATTATTTTGGTGAATTTTATCGTCTTCATTTATTTTTTTAATTGGCCTGAAAATGTAAAGAAAAAAAAAACGATTTGCACAGACCAAGTTAGAGAAAAAAAAACACGTAGTTCCCTCAGATGTCTTTGAATTTAACACCTTTTGCTTCACAGCCTTGCACTTTTTACTTCCTTAAAAATACATAGCACCAACTTCTTAGTATTTAGGATCGTATTTAGCTAAATAAGCGATTTTTATTGAGCACCAATTGCTCTAATGTTTCCTTTTAACTTGAGCCAATGCTTTTTTTAAATAAAATAAGTACTCTATTTCCGTGTAGGGCCCAATCACGAAGAGAAAATCATGCATTTCTTTTTCTTGAGTTTATTAGAAGATTGCTGGAACACACCTCCCTGTTGGATTTGGCTTACAGGATGAAGAGTACCAATGAAAGTATAAGAAGAGGACAACAGAGGAGAAGTTGTGACAGAGGGATAAGGACACAGTAGGACATTTCTCCATGATGCACATGTCGCCGCAGTTTTTGTAAACATACTTGTGCACAAAGTAAAAAGGTTACTTACACAACGTTTTCGTAACAATTAACACGACAAACAACGTGGTGATCTCAATGTGAAAAACAGGCATTTAACAGTGACTTACACCATCCACAAAATAAGGTCTGATCAGCAGACAGCTCGACTGCACGCAGTGATATTTCTTATTTTTTTATCTCCAATGCATAGAGTGTTTGCACTGCAAACTGGAACATATTATTCTCACTGTGATCTCTTCTGTATGAAGCTGGAAAGGCTCTTCGTGCTCGCTGGATCTGCGTAAAACTTGTCCTCGTGATGCCAATTTAGACCCAATAGTTGATTTCCCCAAAAAAGACAACAGGAGCTCATCTCTGATAAGTGACAAAGTGATGTCTGTATATATACAAAACCATTTCCGCTAGAAACCTAAAGGGTCTTTGTGCAAATTCAAAATAAATATATCTCTAGATGTGACAACCTTTAGAGGCGAAATTACTGCCCGTGAATTAGGACTTCATGCAGGCCTACTTTTTTTCCCCTTAGCCATAAAAGTTTGCAACTAAATTTGAGTTTATAGCAGCCTCCAAATAAGAATAAATAAATAAATGAAGAAATGAACAGATTCATGAATTATTCGATACCAACAACGACAAAAATAAAATCAAGCCAGAAACACAGTTTAACAATCAATGAGGTAATTCGTAAATGGCTATACTTCAAATAATAGGCCTATTCGGAGAAAATAACTCGCTATAGTATCAAGCAAATTACCTCTTTTTTTTCCCACGTGTGTTAAAAGGCAATGTCGACGTCGCTAAAACTTTTTCCCTCGAAACAACTGAGCGAAATTGTGTGTAATCTGTTATTTGCATACTTCACATTCACCGATAACGTGAAAATAAACAAGATATATGAAGCCTCAGAAAATGGGTTTATCTTGAGCCCATTGTGCACCAACGTGAAAAAGCGCTGGAGACAAAAGACTGAAAATGGTGTCTTAGTGTCCCTTGGTCCCCAAATTCAGTCCCACAACTTTGTGTTTTTTTCCCCCCCCTCTCTCTTTCTCCATCAGTGAGCAGCGGAAAATTTCAACCTCTTCTGCTTCTGTCTTTGGTTACAAAACCACACTCGCACCACATTTTTTTTCAGGTCCAACTTTTCCGCTATAGCTGCTATTTTCTCGGACGACGGTCGAGGCTGAACTGCGAAGTAAGCCTCCAAAGACCTCTTTTCCGGGGCCGCTATCGAGGTCCTCTTGCGCTTCTTCTCCCCTCCGTTAAAAATGTCCGGTTTGCTCATTTTCTCCCTCTGGGCCCCCTCGGCCTCCTCCAACCAGGCCTGGAGGATCGGTTTGAGCGCAATCATGTTGTTGTGGGAGAGAGTTAACGACTCGAAACGACAAATTGTACTTTGGCTCAGTGATCCCACGCCGGGGATTTTCAGATTAGCCAGAGCGCCCCCCACGTCCGCCTGGGTCACCCCCAGCTTGATCCTTCGCTGTTTGAAGCGCTCCGCGAAAGCCTCCAGCTCCCTTGGGTCCGTGTCCGAGTCATTGATGGAGGGCAGGCCGGCGTTAGTGAGCCCTGGGCCGCCTTGACCCCCTCCGTGATGGCCCGGTAAGAGCCCATGGTGGGTGAGAGGCGAATTCATGCTCATAGCCTGGTGGGAGAGGTGACTCAAGCCGTGCATGTGCGAGTGCGGATGGGCAGAGGAGGTGGAAATAAGCCCTCCGCCGCCACCTCCACCGCCCCCGCCGCCTCCTCCACCGGTCCCGTCGTGCGCGCTGGACATGAGGGCAAGGGACGGCGAGGTGATGTGGTCCATGATGTCCTGGGGCTCCAGATTCTGGTGGTGGTGGTGATGATGGTGGTGATGATGGTGGGCCAGTGGAACTGTGGATGTTGACGAGCATGGCACAGTGCTCATCGTGTGATAAGTGGCGTCGGGCTTGAACGGGTGCGTCTTGCCCTGGGACACGGCGATGTCCACGGCCGCCAAAGCCTCAGCCCGGGCCAGCAGGGTCTCATCCAGGCTGGCGAATATGTTGCTCTGCAGCTGCGAGGGTGGAAATTTAAAAACGAGGAGAGAGGGGGGGAGAATGAAAGGTTGCGAAATGGGAAAGAAGAGGGAAAAGAAGACGAAAGGAAAAGGGAAAACGCATAAATAAATGTATCTGTCATTCGGGAGTTTTGGCGACACATAACACAGCCTTAGTATTCCTTCAGAAGCGGCAAGTCATAAAAATTAATACAAAAACAGTGAAGTCGGGCTTTGCATGCTTTCAAAAGAAGACTCTTCTTGTGATTGCCGTGGAAGACATGAAAAAAACATTAAGCGCGCGTCTTGGCTGCATGTGCCTTGGAGCACCGCTTGTTATTACGCACAGACAGCTCAACGCTACACGCAGCCAAGGCAAGAAAAAAGGACAAAGTGGAAGTTTTTTTTTTTTTTTCGGTGGATAATTTACCTGTGGAGTTTGTAGACAGGCTCTCCTTATAGCTTCCGAGCTGGAATGCAGGGTGGTGTACTTGTGCTCAGGCAAAGAAGGATGCATGGCGAAGTGCGGCTGTTTGCTGTTCATGGACATCATCTTGGCGAGCTTCTCCAATTAAAGTGCACGGGAAGAAAAGGGGGTGAAACAGCTACAAGAGCTGTAAAATAGTCATAGATACACAGTGATCCTTTCTCCTATCCAGTAATGATGCAGTGGAGTTCGCTGTGTAGCGCGCCGAGTGCAGCCTTGAGCCCGGAGATCACAGAGATGCCTGCAGTCTCTCAGACGCACTTATCTGTCTACTGTTTCCCACTGCTGGGGATGAGAGAGGCTCTTACACCTGAGCGCCTCAGATCTCGTCAAGCCCGTGCTCGGCTGCTCTCGCGAGACATAAACTGCCAGAACAGTGAACAGGCTGACAGATAAAAACTGCTCACAGGGCAGGCAGTAACATCTGGAGACTAGACGCCTTCGTTTTTTAAGGGCTCACTCCACTTCATCCAGTCGCGGAACTGCGCCGGTCCAAATGCCTTTAGGCCTATTCTTCACTTTTAGAGGCCGCTAACCGTTGACTTAACGCTGTTTTTAGTCGGCATACTTTAATCTGCTTTTATAAAATCTTGTGTCATCTTGATACTTCAACACATTAAAAAAGCTAAAATGGGAAAATCATGAACCATTTGGTGCCAACGTGTGTGCGTAATGCGTAAAAATAAAGTCACTTTTGACAGTTTGCTCATTTTATTCACTTTTAAAGTTAACTTCAATTTGAAATAGTTAATTGTCTGGGCAAAAAGGTTCAGTCCAGTCTTTCTCTCATTTTAACCCACAAAACTAATGAGCCCACCTCCTTATCATTACAGCCCATCATCGCCAGATGAGCACTAAACAAATTGATTTAATACACCAGCGTAACCTTGTACACAGTCTTTACCTAAATTAATTAATCCCAATGAATTAACACTTCATTTATTCAAACCACAACGGTTGCCCAATTAAAGATTCATGCAGCGATTAGAGGTATGTGAAATATACATGATATCGTTAAATTTGCATAATAAATAAGGCGCTTTCCGCTACAAAGGAATGACTGCGCGTGAGGTCTCTAATGTGTGTCATTAAAGGGTACAACGTGCTTTTAGCGGGATAAATAGGCTGGGATTTTTTTTTTTTTTTTTTTAATTTCGACGACAGCTTATTAATAACTGGAACAGTTTGGTATCAAGAACTGAAAGGGAAGGTGGCTCAAGCACTGAAACAAGACGATTTGACAAGCTTGTCTGTTAAATGATCGGATTGCAATAAAAATCACAATGAGAAATTCAACAAAATACTTACTTGTAGTCCATGTAATGTCTTTACAGTTTAGATCATGTGATGTCAACACTTAAAGAAATAAACAAAGTTCAGATATTTGTAATTGCATTACTATTTTATTCTCTATGACACTCAAAATATCTCTCATATACCAGTCTGGTTCAAACATTTTCAGTAGTGACAGTAAGCATTAAAGGAGTACCATCAGGATCATATTTACTGAAATGACAAACATTTACAAGTCAGCTGTTTTAGAAGTGATGCAGTTTAAATGTAAGGCCCTCCTGTTTTATGAAAAACAGCACAGAAGTGTTTATATGTAATGACACAGACCGATTTTTAGTCTCTAAAGACTTTCATTACAAGCATTTATCAGCCAATTTAAACCTACAAGTAGACTACGCAGACACTGCTGACAAACCAGTCATATTTTGGTCACCACAGACAAACTGACATGAATGGACAATAAGTTACAGAAGCATCACATTCGCATTTTCCTTGAGCATCATGGAGGCAAAACTTCTTCAGATCTTCACATGAGCTTTGACTGTTTGGTGGGACTACCTGTGCTGAAGGGACTGTAAGACTTTCTTTTTGTTGGCTGGCTGAAAGTCAGTGTGTTTTTGTCTCTCGTTGTGTTCACAGGTTTACTGCTGCAGCTAAAAGAAGAGGAGAAGGAGGAAGGGGTAGCCTGATCCTGGTCTTGGTTTGCTGGGTTGGCAGAGCCAGAGGGACCGGTGTCCTTATTCTCCTCCACCGAGTCAAACAGCAAATCAAAGGACAGTTCATCAGCCTGTGAAGGCCCGGCACAATCACTCTCTGACACCTCTGCGAAGCCTTTTGGAGCCTCTTGACTGTTGATGGTACCATCCAAGTTTCCCTTAGCTGTGTGCTTTTCAGGCTCATGCTGGGTCGCAGGTTTCCGATCATGGCTGGTTTGTGGTTCTGGGACAAGGGTGCTGTCTAGGTCTGCAGGAGGAGATGAAGCCAGTGAGAGGTGTGAGCCTCGACTGCTGGAGCTCTCACCGTCCAGCATCATGGAGTCTAACTCTGAGATTTTGTCCAAGTAAGCAGCATCCATGGAGGCCTCGCTGGAAATCTGGAAGTTATCCGGCTCATCGTCTGCAAGATCAGAGGATGTAGATCCTTTGGCAGAGCTGTCTTGACTTGTACCTGGACATGACTGGTCATTAGATTTAGATCTCTGCCAGCCACTCCAGAAGACACCATTTGAGGGTTGGACGTCAGCATTTTGAGGCAAGGCTTTGGGGAATTTGTCAAGACTGCTGAATTGGTTCTCCATGGCGCTGCTGCTCTTGCCTGTATTGGGAAATTCTTCAAAATCCAGCCTTCTCAGATAAGTTGCAGGCTTAAATGCAACTTTCTTTTCCCGGATGCCAGGGCTTTTCAGCGTCAAGGACCGGAAAGCAGAGGATGGAGTGGTGGGCAAAAAGTCAGAGGAGGCACCAACCAAGTCCTCTTTTTTCTGCTTGTCTACCAGACTCTTGTTTAACTCTTTTTGATCTACAGATGACCTGAAAGCCGAATTGGGATTACTGGAAAATGTCCGGCATTCTGCTTCTGGGTTGCTACAGATTAGCTGCCTCTCGGTGTCACTCAAGCTTCTCAGCATCATGTTGATTTTCTGTTGCTGCGTGAAGGTTTCAGAGTTGGCTGTGCCACTCCCACATGCTTCCTGCACATCGGGCTGTCTCTTCTCTGACATTCTGATCCGGGATTCCAGGTCCTCAACGTACTGATCACTCCGTTCCAGAGCCCTCTTTAAGTGGTCCACGTCACGCTCATACTGCTGGATTTTAGCTTCCAGAGCTGCCACAGTATAACGGCCAAACCTGGGGACAGATGGTTTCATGTGTTTGAATTGTTCAAGGATTCTCATATGACAGCAGGGAGATACCAGCTTATAAATGTATCCACCCTGGCCAAGTATATGTATTTTTAAAAGATTGTTTATACTTTGTTGTCATATCCATTAAGAACGCTTTAACCCTTGACAATTTGCAAGAGAAATTAGCTAGCAGGGTTGCAGGAGTCGCAAACTGTGGCACCGAGCTCTACTTTAACGGGAAAAAAAACATTACACTTGGATACTTCTGACAGTCAGACAAATAACAGTTAGAGAAAGACTAAAGCATTCAGCTGTCACAGCAAAGCAGCATCCTCCAATGCTGAAAACTGAAGCCAATGCAGACGTGAAAAAAAAAAAATGTAGTTCCTCAGTGTCCACTTGAGACTGGCTGAAAAAGTCTGGGAATCCCTATTAACACCTATGTTAAAATGTCATCTTTTTTACAGAGCAATAAAACATGTTTTTTAACCTGGTACAAAAGCTTTTTTTTCTTGAAAGCTCATTACTTTATTCTTTCGCACTGTATGGGGGGGATATAATCAACTGTTTTGAAGATATGGAGACCTTCTCATCCATTTCTAAGTTGAAAAAAAGTCAAGTTGAGTTAGCAGTTCTGATACTAACCAGAGATTCCCTTCATTCATTCTCAAAACATCTCAGTAGAAATCAGTCAGAGTGTTGTCTGGCCAGTAGCTTCTGTTGTTGACAAGATGAAAATATATCCACCAATAGGGCCTGCATCATATATCCATATTTTTACAGTTTTCAGCCCTGACACAAGAAATCTACTTACTTCTGTGGAGATCTGCTGACCACTTCTGCTTTCAGTCTCATGTTTTCTTGGACCAGGTCAACATTCTGGGAACGTAAAGTCTTGTTTGCCTGAGAAAGGTAAATAAACACACACTGTCATGTTACATATTATTCCACAAAAGTGTTTTACAGACAAAAGCATTAATGTCTCTTAATTAGTCACTAATCCTTATTGAAGGATGCTGTCATGTTTATTCTTTTCTTTCATATGAACTGATACATCAGTAAAACTGTTGAATAGATGCAAATCAGATTCATTTTCTATTTTGGTTTTGATGATTTTACAACTGTAAGGTTTGTCTTTACACGGCTGCACAATGCAATTTAAAGTCTGTTTTTTTACCTAAAAACCATGACACAAAAACACTGACTGACATCATCATTTGCTCTTGAGCTAAACACCAACCTTACCAGCTTAACAGTGCTTTGTATCTTGAACTGTGCTAAGGATGGGATAAGTCCTCTATAGAGATAGAGATACCTCCCCTGTTTAGGTAGCTTAAAATTACACAAAAAAAAGTCCAGGTATGCGGGGGGATGTGATTGGCAGAGGGTATAAAAGCTGGAAATTCAACAAAGTGCAGAGTACTGTGTAGCATGTGCAAAACTTTTACTTACACATGACCCTGAGGACAACACGTTATTTACCTCTTTAAGTTTGTCCATGTCCTGCTTCACTTTATCGCAAACATCAGCTGCAGCACTCAGCTTGTTGGTCCATTCCTTCAGGACATGTGGGTCAACTTTTTTATCATCCGTTTGCACTGTATTAATGCTGCAGGGATCCAGAGCAGTCTTCAGTTGGGACTCCAGAAACTGAGTTTTTGTTTTCAGCTCCTCATTTTCTCTGATCAGCCCTTCGATTTCCTCCTGTCAAAGAAAATAGTCGAACTTAAAAACAGGCATATCGTAAACGCCACAGTATTAAAAAGGTTAGTCTGGCTACTTGGAAAGTGCTGTTTTTCTCTTCCGAGCACTCTGTTCTTTTGACACAGTAAATACATTATTCTACAAAAGTTTGCCTATTATGCTCAGACAAAGTTAAAACTGTTCTATTAGATACTCTGAAAGCATAAATAAACCAGCAAATCTGTGGAAGAAGTACGGAAATTAAAACTTCACAAAATTGTGTTAATCTGTTAACCTATGTCTGCATTATTGTGATTCCATCTAATAGCATCAACCAGCTTGTTATAAGTGAATTGAAAAAAAGGAAAACAAGTTGATAAGAACTCATACCTCATATTCGCGCAGGAGCAGTTCTCCTCTGGTTTTTCTCAGGCATTTCCTCATGCGAGGGTTGTCACTCTGATCACTCTCATTTGTGCCTCCTATAACAAAAGTGCATGCGCACAGTGACAGTTAAACAGACCTGACAACAAAACATTACAGTGAAGAACAAGAGCCACTCTAAGTTAAATAATGCAACAGTTACATAACTATAGAGCATCAACCCACAACATGCAAAATACATTACTGTGAAAACTTGAGGTGTCTTTTTGGGGTGGATTTCTATGTGGAGAGCACACATATTCAGGCCATGTCCAAGACACCTTAGTATAAATAAATAATGTTATTTAACATGTAAAGAAATATGCTTGGAATTGGTGAGGCCCATATTGCTAGGTGGATTAGTATCAACTTAACCTGTGTTAAATTAAACACTGATCCAGGACACAAAACCAGAGGCAGTAAAAAAAATCAAAACAAGTAGCTGACTTCAGGGCAAAAGGTACCTCTCGCTTGCCTAAAACACGACAATTATTAATGTCTCTTGAGATTTGTCCAGCTCTACTACCGTCAGTGTTTTCATAAATGTCACTTCACTATTGCGTCAATGTTTTAGTTGATGCGGGGTGACACAGCTCGAGGATCATTACTTTATCATTTCCTTGAAGTAATAATCACCATATTAATCGTTTTTGCACCACAGGCGCGATAGTTCTTCTGCCTTAGCGTCTCTGTCTGATTACATTTCCATGAAGAAATTATCATAAATGTTCTTCGTTGGGCTGCGCCGCCTCACTGTAGTCCGTAATGGACTCGCTACAAACAAGCAGCTGCTGGAAGAGAGTAGGTGAGTTGTGTTTGGTCTCTTTGCTAAAGAAATTAGGCAAAGAAAAGGGGATGTTTGGTGGCTGGGACCCTATATGTACTGTTGATGAAATTAGGTGCTGTTCTGAACATTATTTGTGGCTATAGAGTGGCTTTTTTGTTGAGCGTTTGTTTGTGGCTCCTCAGATCGCTGTGTATTGCTATCGTGCGTCGTGACTACAGTTGGTATAACTAGAGAAGCAAGCGGTCAACAACATACATCTCTTGAGGGGGTGTCTAACTCGGTGTTACAGTGTATTTGACCCTAAATTAATTTTACGCCGGAATATCCCTTTAACAATGATTACTAAAGTTAACCTCTGATCACACTGATTTGTGTGATCAGAGGTTAAGTCAAAGCATAGAACTCAGTGTAATATGAGAAAAAGAGCAAAAAGGCCATTCCATTCATTATCTAATGATGAACGAGTTTCTAAGAGTCATCGCTGCTGCCTATGGCAACTTGACTAAAATGGTAACTTTAACTCCATACATGTGATCTCACCATGACTCAATTGAAACCCGCTGATCCAGTCTTACATTACCTCTCCTCTGTTGTTTTCTGACTGCTTTCCTCGTGTGTGGAGAGTAACTCACCGATGATTTCCCTGCAGGGGTTCTCTGTTGTGATTGGGACCCTGCAAGTGGGGCACTGACTCGCTTTCTTCAACCACATTTCCATGCAGGACGAGCAGAACACGTGGTTGTTTGCACAAATGACCGGTTGCCTGACCTGCACACACAAAAACATGAGCACACTACAAGCTAACTTGGACACGAAAAGCACACGAAGAAGTAGCACTAGCTGATTCCTGTTAGTAACCGTAACTAACGTTAGTTGTCTTTGTGGCGTTAGACCGTTACCGTGCCAACTTGACGGTAACCAGGCAGCAGTTTACACCGAGTAAACACACAACATATTTGTGTAAGGGCAGGTTTAAAACAGAGTTACCTTCCCGAGACATATCTGACACGAAATCGGCAAAGTCAGAGACAGAGTAGACGTCTGATAGTTGAGAGCCATGCCTCAAGAGAAAGACACACACACACTCACTCAGGAAAACACAGACACACACACAGACAACACTTGAGTACAGATATGAATATCCCACTCCAGTCCGCGCGCGTAATCTGTGAGCTACGGAAAACCAACAAGACCAAAAAGGCTGTCCGTTCACTGAAATGTAGAGGTAGGAAGTGTTCGCTCAAAGTCCTTCCTCTCTTTCAACAACAATATATCGTGTTGTAAAGCACCTACAGACGCAATTTGTAAGTTTTTTCTTTGCTCTAGCGCTTTCATGTAGAATGTTTTAGCCCTTTAAAATCACTGTTTCATGTTTAACTAATTAGTATTCGAAGTAAAAAGTAAAGCCAACTTTTATGTTACATAGCAGATGTGGTAAACATTTTGACGAATAGCCCATTTCTAATTTCTATATCACTGAAGAACTGTTAGCATCGATTTAAGTTAATTCACCAAAAAAAAAAAAAAGATTTTGGGTTTTTTATTTGTTTTATTTTGGATCCCTATTTTTGGATCCCAACTTACAATATATCAGTACAAATATCTCACATATAATACGCTCCATGTTAAAATAATAATAATAATAATTATATATATATATATATATATATATGTATGTGTGTGTGTGTGTGTGTGTGTGTGTGTACACATATATACATAAACACACACATTACTCTCCATCTAAATATTAACTTTCAAAAGGTGTTTCTTGACTAAGTTCTTAAAAATGAAAATATTTTTTAAAACCATTTATGAATGTTTGAAGCAGGTAGTATAAACTTTCTGTCTCCCTGATTTAAACTGTTTTAACAAGTTTGCTTTTCTAACTGTCCATATTTTTTCTTTGCTGTATCTGATGTGTGCCATACACATGTTTTTGTTAAGGTACTGGTAGTCAGTGGCGGAGCCTGGCTGAGGCTTCTTTGCATTTTATTGTACAGTATTTTCTATGTTGGCACTTCAAACCGTGACACTTGGCAAAAATGATCCTTTTGAGTCCTTAAAGAACCAAGTTCATCAGATGTCATTTGTTACCACTCCACAGAGTAGTTAAGATTATGTAGAATGTACAAAAAAAAAAAAAACTTTATGGATTCTTTTACATAGAAAGCAAAGTCATTGCCCTAGTTTGGCCATCCCAGTTGAAAAAAGCCCAGCTTCACCACTGCTGGTACTGGATTAATAAAAAGTCAACTCATGGGTGTGAGCAAGTTTAAACTATTCCCTGTTGGACTCTTCTATTCCAGGGGTAAGCTAAAACTGCAGAGTGATTTGCATGTAGCAGATGATACTGAAAAATAAATGTTAAAAATAAAACTAGAAAGGGGTATTCAAGATTTCCAAACGTGTATTCCAAATAGATAAATAAATAAGATCAGTTTACATTCCACGTTATTCAGTGGTGCACAGATGCTTTCTATTTGGGTTAAAAATATGTAGGAAGGAATATAGCTGCTCCAAGAGTTACCTGCTTTTTATTATGCTAGTTATTTTGACAGTCAAGTAGATAAAAGTTTTAGCAAACCTTAAAGCTGACAGGGGTTTGGTTAATTTTAAAATGACAATGCCTGTACATGCACTTTTAATAACAACAATTCAGAAAACAGTATTTTTTGTACATTTACTAACTAAATGTCCACAGTTAATTTTACATCACTGAAGTCACTATAAAGCAAATCTGCATCCATACAAAGGAAATAATTTTGAAAGATACTGCAGATATAGCACTACCTTAAATGTCACTTTATCACATTAACTTTTCCAAAGCATGTCCATAATGAATATTGCTCTGTAATATTTTGCAAGCCTTAATGTCAGAAAAAGATCAAATCTATGATGATAAATAGGGATCGAATATTAGCATAATACCCACCACAAATATTTCAAATTACATTCACCACAGTTTAGCCCCCCAGAGCCATTACTCATACCTAAACCAACATGTCCAGTGCTTCATTGTATCTCAAAGCAGGACATCTTCTCAGGATCTAATATGATTACAATTGACTGACTGTAAAAAAGCTTGTACTCTGATCCTAGTTTATAAGCATCACTGGAACTTGTTTGGTTGTTTTCAACAGAATATTAAATGGATTATAGACCATCCCTTCGCCTCACTTGTTTTTCAAAGCGCAGTTGTGCTTGTTTTGTTTTTAAAAAAACAAAAGTGCATGATTAAAACAATAGAGTTTAATAAACTGGGTTGCCAATATGCAGCCTTATTTTATCTTACCTTTACAATCACAGTATAATAAGATTTTTTTTTTTACCACATATACTGTATAGTCCTTTGACACACTCTAGCTATACAAACAAGCAGATATCCAAATATTTTTAGTAAGCATTTCTGATTGAACTAAAAAAAACAACGGGCATGTGTTTGCATCACAAGCTTTCTGTAAGCCCATATTCGTCTGGATATTAAGGATGACTTCAAAGAGCACCTGATGTGCACATTGCTGCCAGAGAGGCTTTCTAGTGCATCATAGTAAAGCTGCAAATTGTTACTGAAGTGGCTCGTAAATTTATTACCAGGGAACTCAGTCTAGAATAACACACCAGACCAAAATAAAATAAATCCCCATTTTACTGCATGCCCCATTGTCTCTCTAACATTGCATTGCGTTGCAACAGGCCAGTCATTAATTGGTGACAGTCAATTAATCACAGCTGGTACAGACGACTGCTTCTATTGATCTTGTCCCAGCACTTATTTTTCATCCCTAAATGACACCGATCGCCAGATTTGACCAGCGTGTGTAATGGACAGTGAAGAACCAATGACCCGGGTGTCACTCTTACACTGGTGGGTATCTAGGTCCCCTCCCCCATTTGTTTCAAATAGCATCCTTACCATTTAGCTTGGAAAGGTTTAGACTGCCCTAAGAGCACAGCAGCGAAACAGTGCGCTCTGGTGCTCAGATGACCTTTTCTGTTTAAGGCTTAATCTCTGACAAATGCTTGCTTTAATTAGCCAGATACCCCCTGCCTGGACTGTCACCCCACCCAGCTCCCCTCTCTCTCTATAACCACCTACCTTTATCACTACTGTCCTCTGTCTTCTCAGAGTGCATAGTGGAAATCCTCACACATCAGTTTGATGTAGGTGGGAATAAACTGTCAGGTAGCCAGAGGAGAGACAAAATGTAAGAAAATGTATCAGAGGAAATGTAAAGAAATGTCACTTTTTAACATCACACATTGTTTCTTTTTTTACTGAAATTGAGGATTCATCATTTAGGCAAAAACTGTTTGAAACGAAGATGGTGATGTTTGAAAGCACCCAGTACATGACTTTTGGAAAATGTATAATTTCTGTAGTTGCATTTAAAATCTCAACAGAGAAAAGAGAAAGAGTAAGAGCATAAAGATTGGCTAACCTTTATTGGGAGGTTTAAGATAACATGCAACAGCAACCTGCAGGCTTCATCTATTGATTAGCCACTATCAAGAACCAGTAGTGTGTGTGCCTGTGTCTTGTTTGCAAATTGCGACCCATACTTTGAACATCTTACAGAAACTACTGAATATCCAAACACAAACAAACATGAAAAGTACAATCCTCGAGATGCTGGGGTAAAAGGAGAAAAATGTTCTGAATTGGGAAAGTTTGCAGATCACTTTCCCGCACTAGTTAAAATTAAATCCTCTGAAAGCTTTAGATTCACCCCGAGACTGCAGCAGCCCAATCGTGCATCCCTCCCACTGCAGCAGCAAACAGTAAAATAGATGCATGGCTACAAATCCTTGTTTTATTGGAAAGGGGCCTAATTATTAGGATGTAAGTCAGGCTGTGACTGGAGGGCCGTCTCCTTGATGCGGGCCCCGGTTTATATTTATCCCCTCCTCTACAGCTCCAGCAGCAGTGCCACCATCACTACCAGCAGTGTGTGGCGCTTTTATTACATTGCCCACAGGCAGGTTCAGCCCTGTCTCACACATGCACACATACACACACACACACACGCACACTCATACACAGCCTGCAGGACCGGCAGCCAGTTGAGTCCTCTCCACAGCAGAGTTACCCCACATCCCCATGCAGCCCCACATGGGCCCTTGGGACTTTGGAGGGAGGGAGCGGGTATTATGGTAATACTATAGCCTGCTGCTCCCTTTCCCTCTCCTGCAGCACAGCTGGGAAGGACCATCATTACAAGTATTGTGGCAATCTGTTTAAGGGGGACACATTGGAGAGGTTGGGTGACAGAGAGAGGATGAGTGCTGCATACATAGATCACATGAAATATGATTAAAATGTGCATGAGGGGACCAGGAATAAAATGCAAAACTTGTTATGAACACCTTATATCAAGTCCACTGTCAAAATGGCCGGCTGTAAATCTCTATTTTCCCCTCTTTACTTTTTTATTTTATTAAAGGTTTCTTGCGTTGAGCTGGTCATATCTCAAGACGAGGGGCCTGTGGCACATAAGGAATAAATAGGACATAAAGTACTTGAATCTCTAATGCCTCATATAGCTTTACCAATCTGTAGTGTGGTGTGTCACAAGCTGAAAATCCATCACAAAGTGACCAAAATCAAATAGCCTTCAGTGGTGAAACTGCACTGCTCTTATGGTCAAATCATACAGGAATTTTCCAACCAATTATTTTTAAACGCAAATGAAATCCAAGGGGTGTATCTCGAATGCCTTTATGATAATTGATAAAAAGCTGTAATTCACAGTGAGGAAATCCCACAACACCCCTCAAAAGTGCTTTAAACATCTGTTTTGCAACAGATTAATGATTATGTATCAAGACAGTCTGATCAGAGCAAACAGCCTCTTTTCTGACAGCAGATTAGACCTTTGACAGCTCAGTCAATCCCTCACTGTCAGATTTGTCAGCTCAGAACCATCCATCTTTCCTTCCTTTGGAGCAAAAGATCAGGCTTTGATTCAGAGCCTTCCTCAGACTTCATCATCTTCACAGTATTTTTAGGAAACAGAGATATCCATTACATCCTTTTTCCTCCCCCCTCAGTCTATTTCCAGCTTGGATTTGACCAGAAAGTTCGATTGATAAAGCATTTAATCTATAACAGCATGCACAGAGGTGAAGGGTTATTGAATATTCTGCAGATGAACTATTTAAAAATGCATACTGTCTCATTATTCCTGCTGCCAAATAACTGGAAACTATATATGCCAGAAGATAGAAAATGGTCCTCATCTTTTTTTTTTCCCTTTTTCTTGACCTGACAGAGGGCATGTGAAGAGTGAAGAGGAGAGAGAGAGAGGAGGGGAGGAGAGTGGTCTTTTTAAAAACTGCTTCAGTGAGCTAATGTTCCTGAAACCTGAACCCTTATTGGATCTGAAGGGCATCATGACACAGGCAGTGTCCACAGCCTCTGTGCAAAGGTGAGGATTAAAGGTGACTGTATTACAAGTACACTACATTCTGTTTAACATCATGTTGGGGAAAACACAATGATGTTTAATAGTTGTGCTGTGTTTTTTATATTTGTAAAAACTAAAAGAGCAATGGTAAAATAGCGTTCAACGATGACAACAATCCCCCTCCCCCCTGACTCCTCACCCTTAACCCAGACGCATGCACACCAACACACACATATACACCAGGAGGCCTTATTAATTATTTGTGGCCACTTGACTTCATATTGTGCTGCCAGTGGCTTGGTCAAAGATTATAATTACCACTTCCCTGTTTGTATCATTTTCCATCTCCTGTGCTTTTAGTGCAGTATTACTTCTCTTGTCCCTCGCTCTCCCTCTCTTCCTCCCTCTCTCCCGTATACACAAGACCAAAAGTGCAGGCACATCATTTATTGATAAGACAAAAAGAATGTAATGAAATTATCAATGTTCTTGAATTAATTATGAACATGATTAAGAAAGCTAAAATCTCAGGAGCCGGTCTCTCATTACCCATTCACTCTTAGGGATTGCTTTCATTCAGGGAAGGAGAGGCGAAAAAGCCTTCCAGTAGAGCCCACTCCGGCTCAGCCCTTCTCCCTGTGTGCCTGTCCCCTTGTCTCTGCTGCACGGGCCGACTGACCGACTCCACCAACACACCGGCTGCCTGCCAGCCAGCCCGCCTGGACGCGTCTCCTGCATCCGCGCCTGCTACTGTGATGCAGCCCGGCACAGCTAACAGCCTTGTGGCCTCTGACGTTTGCCTGGAAAAGAGAGGATGTACTCTAGTTTCCTGATCTACAACTACGTTCGAGCGCTGAGGTCTCGACCCTCCATAAAAAAGAAACATTCAGGGTAAGTGGAACTTCTCAGATCTGTAGTTGGGATTAAACTCTCTCTGTGCTGGAGTGTCAGTCAGCTGCAGCTGTCTTGAAAAATCATTTTCCCTTTATTGCATGAAAGAAATCAAATGATCTCACTGAAATATTTTTTATTAGAAAGAAATGTCTTTCTTGGTTTACTTTAACAAAGCAGCATGATTAATTTTGGTCAAAGTAATACGAATGTTGTTTAAGCTTCATGTAATAGTCCTGTCTTAAAAACCTGCTGATATTATCCATCTGTGTAGTTAATTTTTAGTTATCTTGTAATCATCTGATTTTCTGGTTGAATTATTAAACACAATCTCTACTGTGTAATTTAAAGAAGAAACCAAGCAGGTGAATAACACTAGTTTAGGTCCCTTTTTCTTTTAGTTCAACGATCTTTTTTTTTTGTGATGAAAACAATTATGCATGTCAGAAAAATGCCAGAAAAGGAAACCAATAATTTAGCATTTATGTAATTTATCTAACTTGATGATATTATTGATAAATCATGCATGAGATAAAAGGAATCTGCAGTGATTTAAAATCATACTTTTTGCATTGCCTCTCTGCTAAAGTGTCCTTTCAGAACTATGTGCATAACACCAATTTGTAGCACATTGCGTCATTGTTATATGAGAGAAGCCATGCACGTAAAACAAATTTGAGTTTCTATTTATCCATTTATATTCAGTGAAAGAGCGAGAAAAATATTCTGCCAAAGCTACACAGCTCTGGCTCTGCCTATCTTTCTTCTGCTCAGTCACATGGGACGATATATGGGGCTATACTCCCTGAAGTATTGGGAGTTTCAAACAAAGTCTCAAACCCACTGTCTCTCCTCCAGATTCACACCATCTCTCTTTAAGGCTGCCTCTTTCTAGCTTTCTTTCCACGTACACACACTCACACACGAGCCTGTGTGCACATAGACATGCTCAGGCATACAGTTGATTTAGAAATACAAACCCATGCATTGTTTTAATACAAACAGAATAAACACATCTAACACACTGCTGTTTATTCACACTTGGATGTGAACAGTTTTTCACCTCACCAAACCTCATGTTATCTTTTAGGTATTTTGAAGTAAATGTTTAGGTGATTAACAATTCATGGCAAGACAAAAGAAAACATGCACTCATTCTGATCTTTTACATTTATTAAAACCATGAAATACCAAGCAGTGTGGTGCTCTGCTTTCCGCCATAGAGAAAAATATAAACAGTTTTTTTTTCCTCTGTCTTGAAAAGGATTTCAGGATTTCTGCTACAAAATCAAAGAAAGAAAGACTCACTATAACAGAGAGAAAACAAGAGGGGCAAAGAAAGAGAGTGATCTCAGGGGTTAATGGCAATCCTCCTGTCCCAGGGATTGATCCGAGTATTGGATCGCACATAAAGCTGCAGTTACTGGATATTACCCTGCCGCTATCGGCCTGCAGTGATGGCCTGGATAAGAAGTGCTTACCAAAGAGGATGCTCCTCTAGGGCAGATACGGTTTCCCAGCCCTCTGGGAACAACAACCACATGCCTGCTGCTTGCTCAGGAACTTTCTACCTCATCGAGTAAATCCAGGGGCCTTATCAAGTTACTGGCCTACTGAACTGCTCAAAAAATGTTTAAACCTCCTCAGATTTTGAGCTGCGTATGGGTTAGAGCAGTCATTAAACAGCACCTGCTTTTCATAGATAAGACTGTTGATTATTTTGTTCGTTCGGCTTGTGTTTTATGTCAGCTGAAGTAGCGTTATCACAGATTTAACACAATGCAGTTATATAGATTTTTTCTGGTCTACATGGTTAAGTTGCTGAGCTACTCTTTAACAGAATCATAAAGTTTACTTTTTTCACTCAGGCTGAGTCTTTTTTGCTCGCCTTGACTACTTATTGTAATTGCTTCAAACTGTTTTAGCGGGCAAGCTTCGGGACACTGTCCTCAAATCAGCCCTGTCTGCATTTCGTCTTTTGGCTTCACTTCGGATGAGTAAAGGTTTTAGCTGATTCCAGATCTGTGCCAGGATGGGCAGCTCTACCCATGAGCATCTGCTGTATGTCTCTCAGTGGCATTACCCATGAAGCACCTGGCTTGTGCCACACGCCAGCAACCAGAGCCCAGATGGCAGCTAAACAGGCTAATTATTTCAACACAAAACTCTGATGTCCCACACCAGCACTGTGGGGCCTCTTTGGCATTCGGCATTTCTCTCTCCAGCTCTGCCGGAGAGGAAGTCTGCCACAGAGCTATAAAGATGTCAAGTGGGTAATCACGGTCATAGACAGGCCCCGGTACAGTGCTTGGAGTCCAGATGTAAAGATGGTTGTGTGTGGTGTCCTTTGGAGAAACAAAGGCATTTGGCAGAGTGGGATGGTGTATTGTTTTTTCCCATGGTGCTCGTTGATGCAGATGCCTGATCATTAAATTCCTGAGTTCACAATGACACAAAGTTAAGAGATTTTGGATCCTAGTTTGGACTAAATACTGACTCAGTTTGTGTACAATATTTCATTACAGCATGAGTGAGTAGAGTCAAAAAAGTTCATCCACTTCAAGTTGGCACTTTGGTTAACAGCTGACTATACTTTGGACTGATTCTTGGTGTGAGTCTTTAAACTACTGATGGAATAAATTAGCGTCTGACTCAGATTTCTAATCTGTTCAAAATTTAGTCACTGGCTCATGTCTTGTCTGTCTGTCTCCTGGTGGCTGTACAGTGGTATTGCAATGTCCCTTTACATCCCACCAATATGGGACCCGCCTCCTAGATTCCTAATAAAGGAAACAGTTTCTGTATACAAAAAGTAATTGGTTGCTGCCACACTCATACAGTCTGGACGTTGTAGTTCATTGTAGCATGTCACCTCGAAACTGTCAGGTCATAGAGCACCTGTCAACACCCCTGCTGCTTGGTTGAAGTGAGAGGCATGCTGGTGTGCAATCTGAAAACTATGACTTGATGTTGTTGGATATTTTTTTTAGCTTGATGGATTGAAACATCCTCAGAAACATTGACTAATTTTCTAAAATACTGAAACATGTTTATTGATGCAGCTACAGGCCAGCACTAAAGTCTCAGTGTGGTCAGACCACTCTACGGTTGTCAGCCTGCAGTTGCAAGCTCTTAAGTACTCCAGCTGCAGTGCACTGCTGGCTTTAACCAAATTACCCCTGGTGGTCCAGTAACCGAACAATATCAACATCTTTATCTGACATCTGAGGTTCCAGTTTCCCTGTACATCCTCTCTCTGAGGTTGATGAAGTGTTACCATTAGGGCCCATCTCCTGCATCCACAGAGGAGGAATCGGTTGAGCTTGATAAAGCTGGCACTTAGAACAAGGTGCAGGTCTCACAGCGATAACCTACTGACTCCAGCATTAAAGACTCCACCAATGGGAGAACAGCCTACATCTTGATCCATTGCCTCTTGTCAGAGGAGGGAATTGCTGGCTTGGGGAAATTTATTTGGTGTTTTTTGCAGCCCAGTGTGCAAGCATGGAGAAAATACCTCCACAGATTGATGTAGAAAATTAGTAGACACTTAAGAAAAACAGGAACCTCTTACCCACAGTGGATTAAAAGTAATGCGATGCTAAAACATTAAAACAGAACTTAAAGATTTTCTCTGTAAAAGCAATTAATACATTTAGATTTTAAAGGAGGATTTTTGATTAAATATTTAACCCTTTTAAAACATTTGGTAACACTTTACTTGACGCCTATCTGTGTAACACATTATAAAAATATGTACGATGCGTTGTAATCACATTAAAGCACTGTAAAACTATAGTTATAAACACTCACAAATGATCCTAATGTTTTACAGCAATAATCATAACACATTATAAAGCATTTTAACATGACATACAAGGTCAGGTATTATAATGTGTTATGCTTATTGTTATAAAGCCTTGTGATAATTAACGAGTGTTTATAGCAACACTGTCTCTTTTAGACAATTTGTCTTAAATTGTATCTAAAAAATACATTTGGTAACACTTTACTTGATGCCTATCTCTATAATCCATTATAAATATATCTATAATGCATTATAATCACGTTATAACACTGTATAACTGTAGTTATAAACACTCATAAATGATCATAATGCTTTATAACAATAATCATAACACATTATAAAGCATTTTATTATGACTTACAAGGTCAGGTATTATAATGTGTTATACTTATTGTTATAAAGCCTTGTGATAATTAATGAGTGTTAAATACATCATAAATATATGTCTAATGCATTATCTATGTGTGCATTGTCAGTGGGTTGTTAACAGTTATAACACATTATAATACCTGACCTTGTAAGTCATGATAAAATGCTTTATAATGTGTTATTATTACTGCTATGAAGCATCATGATCATTTATGAGTGTCTATAACTATAGTTATACAGTGCTATAACATGATTATAATGCATTATATATATATTTATAATGGGTTATAGAGAAAGGTGTCAAGTAAAGTGTTACCAAACATTTTTTATAAATAAAATTTAAGACAAATTTTCTAAAAAAAGACAAAATATAAACTTATGTAAGGTAGACACTAACTGCTTGTTATTGTTGTTGAGTCAGAACAAGGGGAAAAAAATGTCCAGCTAAATTTAAAATACAGCCCATTGTTGTGTCTTTCTAGACTCAAACTCAGAGACAAATTGGGTGAAATAAAGCAATAAAGACTCATAATTTGTCCCAGTACACTTCTACCTCATCCTCTCACCCTCCTCCTCTCTTCCTCTCCCTAAAGTGTGTCCCATCTGCTTTGGGGACCTCTCCCCAGCATGCAGGAGCAGGATAAGCACACCATTTCCCTGTCAATACTTTGCTATTAGCCTCTGCAGATCCATATATCACTGAGCTGTAGGCTATGAGCTGGTGTAGGGTGTTCTTCTTATCTGAATGGCCGAGGCCGCGGTGCTCCTCCCTGCCCTGCACTTTGATTTATCCAACCAGTAGGTTAATGGGAGAAGGAGCCTGGCTCTTTTACGTTTACCCCGAGGGGGGAAAAATGTGTGCATAAAAAGGAGGGAGAGGAGGGTGGAGGAGCAGCAAGGATGTGTCCTAAAAAGCCACAAATAGGACCCCAGTTTTATCATGAGTTATGCTGGTGAGTATAGATTGTAAAGATGGTAACTATCTGAGAGAAGCTTATTGTAATTTAAACATGTACAGGGTCAGACTGGCTTTCTCTTTCCAACTTTTAAGGATGTTGGAGATGCACTTTTTTTACTTTCTTGCGTGAAAGTGTTTAAATTAAATGACTTAAAAGCTAAGGCCAAAAGACATTTGGCTTCAGCTTTATCTAACAGAGGATACAAAGCCTGGCTCAGTCAGTCCAAAGGTAATAAAGTCAGCCTGCAAAGATCTCTTAGGGTAATTTCTGGTGAGTTGGTGGTTTTGACAGAGACTGTGTTGACCTATGCCACAATTTCAGAGCCAATTTTTGTGAAATGGCTACGTTTTGTGCAGTGGACCATTGTAGGTATTTCACGGTTTTGAGTGAGACTGTGTTGGTTTAGACCAGTAAAAGTCAAGGATATAACAGCAGGGTAACAAAGCAAACAAATGAACACCTCTTGCTTTGTTTGATACATGGAAGAAAAAAATTATTTAATCACAAAAATGTCAAACTTTATCTTCAATACTGCAGCTCATCAAAACTTCAAACAAGTAAAGTAGAAAAGAAACAGGAGAACACAACAGGTAAGGTAAAAATGTTTGTTTTCTTCAGTCTTTTTTTTTTGTGGTTTGTTTTTCTGGTGGGAAGTCAGTGAGAGGTCAAGTCTGTGTAGTTAGATTAAGGACTTCAAATGAGGGCGGGGGCGCCTGCATTGAGATGATGTAAATGAAGAGACACAACGCACCAGTTAGTGACTTTGAGTGGTGATACAAGGGGTTTGACTTTTCCGATTAAGAGAAGATGAAGACCAAGCTAAGATGAGTAGCTGCAGAACTGTACTGTGGAGTGTGATGGCAGGCAAGCTGTGATGGGACAGTATCAGTCAATGTGATGATAATCCCTTTATTCAAGCAGCATACGCCCTCGCTGCGTGTTGTGTTTCATGGATAAAATGCGACATGAGCGCGGTAAATTATGATAAAAGGTGGTCCTAACAGGAGACGTGTAGCTCTTGAACACCTCTCCAGATCAGTGAGTTACATTGCCTGTTACATCAGTGAGTTTATAACCTGCAGATATTTGGCCTGGATCCAAGAAGAAACTGTCTAATGAGCAAGCTGTGTCAGTGTCTCTAGCAGCTCCCTCTCAGCAGTCTGCCTGTACAGTTTGCAGTGTGTGTGTGTGTGTGTGTTAGTGTGTATCTGTGTGTGCGTGTCTTAAAAGCAACAGAAAATTCTCAGTGTTGAAGGCATTTAGCTGTGGGATAGAGAGGCAACTCAGGAACTCACACAGCAGCACAACAGGGGAAGACAAACCACTGCCAGATAAATGTCCTACTTAGCTATTACACTGTAGTACATTTCAGCGAGAACTCAGACCCCTCCCCCTGCTAGCTTTCAACAGCGAACACACACATACACACCTTCCATGAAAATATCCAGCATATGGTTGTATGCTTCTAGCTTGTATCCCAAGGCCAGTTTCCCCAGCTGGCTCCCTGAGAGAACAGAGAGAAGGGGGAGAGGAACAGAAGATACATGGAGAGCAAAAAGACAAGAACATGCTCAAAGAGTAGTAGAGGAGGGAAGGAGGGAAAAATAGAGAAAAAAGAGGGAGAGATAGACGTAAAGGTAAGAAGAGGAAGAGAGGAGAGGGTAAAGGGGGTGATGGTGTGTGTCTCACATCCCTCCTCGCCCTGTGGCAGATGTATTTTAGGTTCGGACTGTTAAGTACCTGATAATTAGTTTGCCTGTGAGGCATCAGTCATTACGGTTCTGTTGCGAATAACAAGGCTAAATCAGGGACGACAGCTTTTCTCTGTGATTTACACACACTCTTACAAAGATGGTGTTACACCCCCCTTAGATCAGTAAGACAAAAAAACAAGGCATGATGTGTGATTGAGGAGCATACTGTGTGAGAAACATCTGTGGATATTTTTTATTCTAAGGGTCCTCACACACCGGGATCAACGCAAATATACGACGCAAAATTACAAAGTATTCAGAGGCGAATTTTGACACGCCTGACTATACACATTAAGCTCGATGCGAGTTTGCAACTTTCCAGGGTGAAAAAAGATGCATTCCGGGTGGAAGCGAGAAGACTGACACAACAGCAGACTGACTGTTTTCAGTTCTGATTAGGCACAAGTCTTGAGATGTCTGTCTGTCATGATAGCATGTACTGAGTCGGGGTCAGTACCAGATCAGCACATTAAACTATAATCCATAAATGTAAGGTAACAACCGAGACCTAATGGTGCTGTGACAGCAACGCGATTGAGTTTGAAACAGTGAAAATACATATGGTATGTTGTATCTGAACAGGTTAGCTTACGAGCTAAAGTTACTTAGCACAGATGAAAGTTAAAACAAAAGACGTTTAGCAAACTGTTAAAGCACACAAACCATCGTCATATGAGAAATCTGATGCTATGACTCTCCACAAGTTGTCCTTCAGGTCGTTATCTTTGTAATATTTGTGTCTTTTATCAAAAAGCACTCTGTTCTCCATGTAAACAATCAGCCGGTCGACCATGTTGGATATACCGATGAATCAGACGTTGCAACAACAATCAATCTGATTGGTCAGAAGTGGACACACAGTATGTGAAACTTTAGAAAAATTGACCATGATCCGAAAAAATAAATGCCGCAATATCGCAGGACGGGAAAATGTCACTGATGTGAACACTTGTATTGACAGGATACAGGTTCGAAAAAAAAAATATTGACGTCTGAAATAATCGCACTAAAAAAATGGTCCCGGTGTGAAAGGACCTTAAAAGCGAACCACATAGCTGCTCAGTTGGTTCAATGTAATAACCTGTAAACAACATTTTTAATACCAAAAACAGTTTGCTCACAAGTTTTGTGGAAATGATCTCCAGCATAAGGTGTTTAATAGTATGATTTTAAGTCAACAGTTGGTATTTTTCTTGTTTCAACAAGTCATATCAATATTTCCTCTCTGTGTTTGTATCGATCGGTACAGATACAAGTAGATGTTATCTTTCACTCAAGGACATTTCAGGCACAGTTTGTACAGACACTGTTCAGTCAGTCAGTCCTGGCCTTGAGTCTGTCTGTTGACTGACACACACCCGACCACAAGAGGGATGGTATTAAAATGCCTGCCCTGTAATGATCTAATAATCTAACTCATATGAAGAAAATATAATCAGAAATACATAAAAACAGCTCAGAACCAATTGGGGAAATCATTTATTCAGTGCTATTGATTGTATCTCCCATCCGCGACGTAGTACCTTTAATTATCCAAAGCTATTCTACATCAAAGACATGAAGCAATTGAAGGAGAGAATTCCATTATAACAAGAGAAAATATTGCTCTTTAGATCCAGTAAACATAATTACAAAACCTCATCTCACCTCTAACACTGACAGAAGTTGCAGAAACATGACGTGCTTGGAGTCTGTTGTTTTTTTTTTTTACAGGTATCACATGATTATTCTGAGATAACTGCTGCAGACCTGAGCGAGCCACTCTAGAATATTAAAAGCTTCGTACGGACAGAAACGGCGAGGAGACAAGCTACTTTTTCCAACTTAGACGAAGGTTTCCGTCAAAAACCATAGAGGGGTAAACGGCACGTGCAGAAAACTCAAGACATACGCAGTTGTTTTCCATCAATGTCTGAGAATTCATTGTGAGCTGTAAGAAGCCAGTTTGCATATTGCTGCTAATAATCCAGCCGCCCCTGCAGACATCTTCATTACCGTGATTGCGTTGTCTTTTAACAGTCAATAACCTGCAAAGCAACCATGCATCGCGTCTTGAAAGGGTTAACATGATTCTCATGTGCAGCCGCCTCAACATCCATCATGTTTCTCTGTAACCAGATCATAGCTTCAATCACAGGCGAGATTAGATAGTAGTCTATTAATCTCCCATATTAAGCAGATCCATTTGTGAAAGCAAACGGCCCGGAGAGGCCATCCTTTCACTTGTTGTCTGTAAATCTGATTAGCAAGCATAACGACATGTTGCTGAGGGTCACAGGAGATATAGATTGGTCCTGCCTGCATCTCCACTCTCGATGGCGGGGGTGTTGCAAGAATGAACAATTTTATGTTCAAGGACTCATGGGAATATCTCCTGTAGTCACCTAGTTTATTGAGCTGGCAAGATAATTGGAGGGAGGGTTCATTTGAGGAATTCTAATTTTCAAAGCACAGCGCGGTGTATTTTATGAATTTTAAGGAGAGCCTCTCTGCCCTTAACACTTTACATACAGCAAAATAAAACCTCCCATACACACAGTGCAGATATCCTTGGCTTCTGCTCTTGTCTCAACACTTGTAATTTCCAGGGCAGAGTGAGGACATGTGTCATTAATAAACTACAAAGACACATTTGCAGCATTGCCCGAGCAGACTGGCTCTCCAGATGGAGATGTAAATAAAAGAGTAGAAGTCCGGTTGGTTATTCTGTGCTGCAATGATGAACACATCTGTCCTCTCATAAATACTTTTCAGATCCTACGCTAGAGAAGCAATATCACACGTGCAAGTAAAGTAAGTTACCCTGCATTCATTCATTCATGTCAGTCAAGACTTTTTACATTTTCCGCATTAAATGTAGACGAAAAATGAAACATTTGCTGTCAAAAATCAGCAGGAAGACATTTCTTGTCAAACAATGCTACTGAAGCATGTAGAGGACAAGATAAGTAAAGACTGCTTTGTCCAGAGGGGGCACCGAGCTGACATAAACTTAAAGTTCCTTACAGGAGCAAACAAAATAGCACCAAGACTAGTTTGGTGAGATCATAGATTGTATCTAGAATGGACGCCGTCTGCCTCCTCTCTGGGTGAAGCCACTCCGAGAACAGCACCCTCTGTTGACGGGCTGCAGTACAGGTCATAAATCCTGCCTCCGCCAGCAAAGCTTATGGAGCTGTGGACAAAATTTAGAAATGTAGTCTGGTTTGTGCTCAAGTCTTCTTTTTTCTGTACAGCTCCATTTTAAAAGTTATTGGGGGGTTCATGTTTTCTATGATTGTAACCCGATACAGCCTATGGGCGCACAAAGATTGTATAGCTCATTCAGGGGATACGCTGTTTGAGCCGAGCTCTCTGTGACTCTCCTGCCAAATGCGTACAACGCTACTGCGCAATGTTGGTTTCAGGAAATGAAGAAAAATCCTGGGAATATCGAGAGCTTTTTGGCTTCAAATCCGTATCGAGGCGGGAGAAGGAACCAAGTTGTCCATAGTATATACAATGTATGGGTGAGAGTACTAAGAGTAGTATGATGGTACTAAGAACTGATACTGGCTTTTTTTCCGATGGCTGTATGTATAAAAGTTATCACTTCTTTTTTACATTATAAAATGTGTAATATTTAGTGGGCAAAAATTTACATACATTAGTATTCTGTTCTCACTATTTCCAATCAAAACCACTCTTTCCCATTTTTGTTCAGATTGGAGTAATAATGTCGTTTCTTATATTTACATCTTAATGTCAAACAGAGGATACTCACTGGACAAACATAAGAAGTCTATTTTTTTGTCGTAAAATTAGAGTAACTGGCATGACTGTGAATAAGTGTGGAGATCAGATTATACAGAGCAGGCTGGGATACATCAGCCAAGTAGCCACTCTAGAAGCAGCGAGAGAAACCTCTGGTCTCCCTGGAAAAGGTTGGTCGTCAAGTGCTGCCAACTCAGTGATGATCTAACTTCTGGTTGTCTCAGTGAAACTTTCTGCAGTTCACAAATGGCTGCTTAAAGTTTGAGTGGTGCTTATGCTAGCTTTAGATGCTGCTTTGTATTTCTTTATTTCATGTTCAGCTTTTTATGTTCTTTGTCCTTCTTTAAGAAAAATTACAGCACATGTTCTGCAGGTTGCAGTCCTGTTATCCTCCTCTGAAACAGTGTTCTTGCTGTCCTTCTTTCTTACATGTAATGGCCGGTCACATACCCCTGCTTTCCGTGTTGGAGTGTGTCGGCTTGTTGATAAATAAATGAGAAAATTATCCGATAAAATTGAATATTTTGAATAATTAATAGCAATTAGCTATTGTATTATCAAGGCTAATAACCGATCAGCCCAGTGTTTTCTGTGCATCCACTGACAGTTTTTGATTCTGTGTGCTTGACTGTGATTCTTCAGGATTATGGATGGAAATACTGACCCAATTTCATCAAAACTGGAGAAAAGATTCACTTTTGGCTAACGAAGAAACGGTACTATGTTTTTGGATTTGATCATGATCCAAATCAGGAGCAGTTGATAAAGTAGGCCAAGTTTTTAACCTCTTTAGAAATCTATCCTGTCCCATATAATTTGTTTCTGTTCGAAGGCTTTACATGTGAGATCATTTTATTCATATAATATTCAATCTGAAACAGTGAGCTGTATTGTCTTTTGTATACAAAGATATGCAAAGTGACCATGTACAAGTATCAGCAGCTGATAAATACAGTAATATATAATTGTGTAGTGGTGGTATTAACCATCGTAAAATAGATACATATAGGTACAGTCTGTGATTTCGTTGCCATGTAGCGTCTCATTTGAGTCACTCAAGGGGTCATTTTTACTGTGGACTATTCAGAGGTCATGATGGCCATGATGATGATGATAAGGATGAAGAACATGCAGATGATGTCACTGATCTTTATTTAGCTTTCTTACCTCAACACACACACTGGAAGAGAGCCTGTGCCAGGTATCCGGTTTCTCTCTTTGACTTGACTGGGACAGTGAGGAGGAGGAGGAGGAGGAGGAGAAAGATCTTTTTACAGCGAGCGTGGGGACAGATCTGTTTACTTGGGGAAGTTAATTGATTGGGAGGAAAGGTGGTGAAGAGAGAGAGAGGAAGAAAAGCGGTGTAAGGGGCGAAACGAGGAGGGTCAGGGGGGTATTGATCACGTGACTGCTCCTGCCATAACCTCCGATATGTCTCAGTGCTTTTATTGCACTGTAATGCCAAATAAGATTGTTTTTTCTAAAAACAGCAGAGAAAAACAACATGTGCTCAATGAGAGGGTAAAACAAGGCAATGAATCATTTTGGCACTCATTAAGATCAATTTTTAACCTTTTTTTTTTCTTTTTTCTTTTTTCACTGACACTGCAGCCTCTCAAAAGGTTATGTTACATTTTTTTACTCAAAGTTGCACACAAAACATTGTTTAGCAAACTGTCATTTCCACAGATTATTTCCAGCCACAGTGTCAGGTTTTTCTGTTTCTTTTAGTAGCAGATGTTCACATTGTAATGCACCAGCATTTTTAATGAAAACTCAAAATAACTATTTAATGCCTGAAAACACAAATTATGGCCAGAAAATTCACATTTTTTTGGAGCTGAAATGTTTATTTCACTTACCACTAAAAAACAAAAAAAAGCAAGATGTCCTTAAAATTTAACAAATATATATATTTATCTTGTTTGATACATTAGATGTTTTCGTAAACTAATAAAACCACAAGAGGACATTTTCATCATTTATCGGACTGTATTCAGGTGTGTTTTTTAGTAATTTGTTGATCATATTGATTTAATAAAAGTATGTATCAAATATGATACAAAAGGCATTAAAGGGATAAATTAGAATTGATTTGCTTCACTATGACTGCTTGTTAGTTGTTTAAACTGATTGTAAGAAAAATTCACAAATCAGAAGATTCTGGTAGATTTAAGGTTGTTTTTTTTTGCATCTAGTCAGTGAGAATAATATTATCGTCTTTGCTAGTCTGCACTCAAACTACCTGTGGGTTAAACAAGTGATTAGTTAAGTTTTACTATGAGTTTGAAATTTAACCATATGTTGTTTTTAAAATATAGTGCAGCCACGCTACTTGCTATTAATGGCTACTACTATGTTCTACAATCCTCTACTACCCAGATGTAAACAAGACCAGATAACAGATGACATCTCCTGAAGCGGCACAGTTTGTCAGTATGACAGTTCTTATTCATGCAGGTCATGATGACCACGCCCCCTTTCACTGACGATGCCACCCTAGGCCATACATTTCAGCTCTCGACCCAGTCCTCCTAGAACTGAAGAAGCCTTTTGGAGAAGAGGCAAAACATCTTCAAGATAACCGAAGAAGTCCAGTTGCCATTTTAAAAGAAGTTTGTCAGTGTGGTTTGAGGTTGTCAAACTCGTCTCTAAAACTCTCCATGCTGTTTTAGCATCAGATTGTTGTCTCATTATATCAGTGTTGTTGTATTTAATGCATGAAGTCATTATGTTTTAATGCTGCTTTCTCAGCATTAATACATATTTTAATTTCAACAGTAATTTGAACAAAAATTTAACAACTATATAAACTAGTTTTGCCACATTGACTTGCAAAAAGGAGTGTGATAGTTTGAATAGATGTGAGGTTAAGCTGTTATAAAGGGTATTATCTCTGCTTTGCTTTCACTGGACCTGTTTTAATCTCATGCTTATTGTCTTGTACGGCCCTTTGTTGCATCCACTATTTAAGATTTTATTATCCTTATTATTAAGTTGGCCAAAACATGAGGCTATAAAAGTGCTATTATTACAAACAAACAAAAAAGTCCCTTTTCTGCATAGGGTCCTTCAGGGAGAGATAGAGAATGAAACTGAGAGCAATGGAGTGCGGTCGGCATGCCGTCCACTTTGTATTGGATAGACCACATTAATTATTTAATGGCAGGGCTGCTAGCTATTATTACAGAAAAACAGTGGACTGCATGTGGACGCTTCCCTCATGTTTGTATGTCAATACACACCTTGCCCTCATGGGCTCACCATACCACTGTGGAGCTCACATCTTAAAACAAGGGCATGTTGCATAGGTTATATTCACAAAGCATGGTGCAAAACTCATTCTCTCAGTATAAATATCCAGTTAAAAGAAAATGAGATACAGCGTATCACTGCAAAGTTTGTCCCGCCATTAAATGCACACATGGTGGGTTGTGCACAATGTTTATAAATGTGTCTATAAGAGAGTGATACAGGGAGACAGGTACGGAGCAAGTGCTGTAGTGGAAAGAAAAGGGAGGGCTGGAGATGAGGGGGGAAGTGGCTGCTCAGATTTGTTTGCCGTGTCATTTTTAGTTCTCCTCTCCTCAGTGACGGCCCTTCCTGCCCAGATGGACGTTTCTCTGTTATTCACTCTAAGGTTATGGTTTTAGATTGAGGGCAAAGCCTGCAGCCCGCTGTTTGTTTTGAAGGAATCCATTGTCAATACGGACGCAGCGGCACTCGGATTGTTTGCAGAGTTAATAGTAGTTTGATGATGTCATTCTCAGTGACCTGAAGAGAAATTGACCCCTGTTGTGTGAGTATTTCTAAAATGCCACCTGCACAATTATGGTTGGAGTGTCCCTGGGCTGTTGTGTGTGAGGTTTGTTTTATCCGAGATGGTCCTGCTCTCACACATAGTTAAAAACACGCACACACACACACACACAGAGAAGGAGGAGGACGTCTGCTGCTACAGTTTAAATTGCTGACCCATACCTCCACACCTTCTGAAAACATGTTCATTGAATGTCAGTAAGAATCAGATTCCCCATAGTGATGATGAAATAATTTATTCATCAGGAGTGATTTAGAGCGTTTCAGCATGAACCTCAAACAGCTTTGTATTAGTTGTCTTTTCACCACAGCACAGAATAAACCTCATAATAAGGCACTGTTAGCAATGAGGCTCTTTAGATGTATGCTTTTTCTTTTTAATGATTTGTTGAAAATAGGTTTTCCCACATTTACTGATGCACAAAGAATAAAATGAAGCAAGAGGCTACAGATATGGACAAAGATACATTCATGAAGGGTGAACATTACATAATTCAAAGATAAACTGCTGTTCCTGCTCTTTATCTTTGACAAAGATGACTTAATTCAAACCCTTTCTGGTCATGTACTTCGATAATTAGAAGACTGCTTTTCTTGTATTAGTCTAGGCCCTATAATTCTATCTGTTAAAACACAGAGAAATATAAAGAATAGAAATAAAGAAGAGGAAAGCAAGAGGAGTAAACCCTCTAGAGAGATGTATAATTCATGTTCACAACATACCAGGCTGTCTGTGTGCAAGATTGTGTGTGTGTGTGTGTCTGACTAGAGCTTCATGCTGTAGGATGATCACTGTGTATTTGCTGAATCCCTGTCTCTGTGTCTATAGGGTTCAGGTCAGACAGCAGACTGGATTTAGCCGAGCAGAGGCTTGAGACGGTCATGGTGGGATTTCCTCGTTCTCCACTGGAGGTGTGATATATAGTGAGCTATGACTTTGACTGTGTTCCCCTGGTATTCATAGTGATGGCAGATGTTCAAACTTAATAAAACAGTCCAAACGTGTTGGCACATATTTATAAAATGCTGAACCAAAATAAATGAAAAAGCAGTTTTTGATGTGATGGTGGGAAACTGCCTTTGGTGAAGTACTTGAACCACAGTCATTGTCGTATTTCACATACTATTTGATTAACCTATTCAGGCTTATGATGGTTCAGTTTTAATCTATTCGGGACTTTTCCTTTGGATAAAATACACAGAAATTCACTGTATTAAATGAGTATACTTCAACTATGATCATACTTACAAGTCTGTATAGGATTATAGAGCCCAATACAATACCTGTTCAAGGCGACAAATCACTTTACATTGCCCCATTATTTTTATGCTAATATATGGATACTAAACAAATGTATATTTTAATGTGTTTGTCCAGGATATTTACTGATTGTCTTTGTCCTCAAATATCAACCGGCTTTATTGTTGCCCTCAAGTTTGTTAAGCTTCAGTGGGCAACTTTTGATGAGCGTTATCTTTGGCATCTTCAGTCTTCAAAACAGTCTTATTATTGTTTTAAGAGCTGTTAAGTCACAGTTAAGTCATTGTTAATTGCTGTTCTTGATTGTGTTGTTTTTCTGTAGAAGTTGGGAATACTTAAGAAGGTTTATTATCAACCTAAAACATGATAATACATGAACAAAAACAAAATTAGATACTCAGTTCTTAGTTGAAAGGAAATACACTGATTCAAAAGTACTTCACAAAAAAAAAGACAAAGACAAAATTGGCTCCTAAAATGTAGAAAAACAAGAACTTTGTCGTACTTAAACTATACTTTAAGTTTCTGTAAATATTGAGTGTCCATATATAAATAAGTGGTGAAGATACAAGTGATGGAGAACCTATTTTCAGACAAAAAAATTAACAGCAGTTTAAATATAACTAAGAGCAGAAAAACAGGGTTTTAAAAGTTTAGCAGCACTGTAAAATGAAAGAAACATTCAGTGGGAATGAAAAGCATTTTTTGCCATAAAGCAAATGGATAAGACTGAGGTTAGTGAAAAATAGATAACTGCACTTTTGGGCCTCTGTAATAACTTCTCAAGCCGTTTTCTTCCTCTTTTCTCAGATTACCTTTCAAGGTAACCTTTCCCACAGCTACTTTGTGAGACTGATGTCTGGAGCATTAAGAACCCTAGACCAAGGTATACACTCTGAAAACATCTGTACTTGCATCTATGTGAGTTTTATATTACCACATGGCTGTCCCTTTTTCAGCAAAAAAATGTGCAACTGTTGTGGAAAAAGTTATAATGGTGTCTAAAGTCACCTTTTCATATTTTTCAAATCATCCAATTCTGAGTTTACTCTTTCTGTATTACAGAGAAGCAGGCGAATTTGTCCTCTACCCACCTGACTGAAGAAGACAAGGAATTTCTGCTCAAAAAAACAGGTAGTTTTTACTCAAAAGTCATTCTGATTAACAAAAACAACACAGGTTCGTTTTTAAACTTTTATATGTTTACTAAGATCAATTGAGTTTTTTTTAAATATCAGCTGTATTGTTGTGAGCACAAACTGTAGGGCACGGCTGCACTTGTCATTCCACCATGAATTATAAAAAGAGAGAGGATTCCCGTGTGTGTGAAATGGCATTGTTCACAGTTTGTGTCACATCAGTGCATGTTTAACTGGGCAAAACAAAAGCTTTTCAATATTTTAGTGTGCAGGGGCTGACAGAGTGAGGAGACATGGCTGAACTGCTGTTCTGCCTCCTCCTGTCTCGTCCTCTCCTATCTGGTGTCCTGTCCTCTCCCCTCATGTCCTCTGAAGTGCTCTCCTCTCCTCTTAGGTTACACCGGCCTGAAAAACAGCACCTCAGAATCTCTCTTGTCCTCCATGTCAGACCACTTTTTACACAATGAAGACAACAAGAGTTGACTTGCCAAACCCCCTTTTTTCCCATTTATCACTTCTCCATCTGTCCTGTACTACAGGCTACATTAGCTTCTGTGCACGGGCTTTTTAGGTTCCCTCCTCTGGGTTTGAATAGTGTGTGCTAAGATGCTGTGTTAATCAAACTCTAAACAGGTACTCCAGGGTTTGGGCCTCAGAGGTCCAGTAAAAAGGCAACACTGCAGAAATGATTAACAAGGGGGCTATTGAACAGATGTGGAAACAGAGACATTCAGAGGAACACAGACATATAGAGAGAGCAGATTGTTTGAAGAATAAGAGAAAGTTGGCTCAATTTTACACGTAGAGTTGATTTATATTTGTTTTTAAATGAGCTCACATGTCATCAGAGCATCAGGCTTTTTTAAATATTGTTGCTTTGTGACTGCAGCACAGACAGAGCCCTCGTCTGCGTCTTGTTCTTTGTGTTCCTCTGCTGAGTCAACCGCAGACAAGGTCTTTGAGGCTCCCTACAACCCACTCTGTGTCCTTGTTCAGGGACTTGTCTGATTAGGCATCGGCTAATTAGGTCTGACTAGCCAGGCTTTTAAGTCACACGCCATCACGCGCGAGGCCTGGTTAAAAGTTGATGGATGGATGGGACATTAACTGTCGAGACAGAGAAACATTACTGGTGGGACATTCCGGCAAGAACGAACACCGTCTGGGGGAGCTGTTCCAAACCTGTGGGTCGAGACCCTCCATGGGGTTCGCAGGACAAATACAGAATATTACAGACATGATGTTGTTTTTTAGATCTGTATGGAAAGAAAGTATGATTTAAATGAGATTTGCTAGACATATAATCCATTTCCTCTTTTCGAATTTAACAATCCAGACCAAATGTCACCCATGTTGTCGTTCACTAACATTCGATCTTGAGGAATAATAGTCAAACTTTTGGGAACCACGTGTATGGAAACATCTTCCTGCCAAAAAAAAAAAAAATTGGCATAAATTGTTTGTAAGAAATGGACATAGCAATCCTGAAATCACCTTTTCTTTTTGCAAACTTTTGAAGGCCTCTATATTTGGAGACTTTGGCTGTTCCCTCCTGTTTTTTTGGTAGCCAGAAAGATTCACATATAGAGCCACAATCCAGGTTAACATTTTACCATGGTAGTTTGACGAAGGTTGCTACACATGGGTGCGCTAAATACAGCAGTTTTAATATTAATTTCATATAAAGTCTCCTGAGATGAAAAAAGATATTGTTCTTTGAAGGGACACCTGGTTAGTTAGCATAAAAGACTTTTAAAATAAAAAAATATATAAGATTGAGACATGCACAGTTTAATAGAAAGATAACAGACAGATCTGAAATGTAAAACTTAAAATAAGGAAAGTAGGAGTGTAGACCGTAGAACAATTAAGAGACTGTGTCAGCTTCTCACAGATGTCTATTAAGTTGAACCCTTTTTCCATCCAGTGCCGTGGCTACCTGCTGGCGATTAGATAGAATTCAATCTCAGAGTACGTCTGTATTGGTTTCTTACTGCACTAAAGACCACATCTTCTTTTTAACATCCATTTCTGCCATATTGATAAGCTGGTGGTCCCTTATGGTCATGGTAAAATATTCAGCATGTATTGTGTTTAAATCATTTTGCTCTTGTGTTGTGAATTTCAAACATTTTTTGAGAGAACTCATACAGTAGATATTTGAAAATAAAGCATTTATCAAACAACCAGAAAGGGATCTTTAGTTCCCCCGAATCAAGCTGATACAGTTACACCACCAGAGTGGATATATCTGACAGAAATCACAATCTGGAAAAGCAACAAGAGCTGAAACAGAGCTATGTGACAAAAAAGCAGTGTAGTCAGATATTAATCGAGACATTTTAACTTTGTCATGAGAGCATTTGCCAGCTGCAAGGCGCTCTGCTGATGTTTAGCCTGAGGGTGTGACAGACAGGAAGGGATGTTATGCTATCACAGCGTTTGATCACCGGCATCACGGGAACACAGGTATCAGAGAGAGGCTCCTATCTCTTACAGCTGTTCAAACTCTGTCGTGGGGCTTTTCTACTCATTGGTGGAAAATGGCAAGAAGACTTTTTCAATCTGAAGATGAAAACTAAGCTCTCTTTTACCTTTACGTCAGTTTTAAAAATCTTTGTCAGCTCCAGCAGAGCACTTCTTTACAGCCGAATAGACAGTCTAGAAAAATAAACTTGTGAATGAAGCTGAAGAGCAAAATATTATCCTTTAAAGCTGCCATTTGATGTGTGTTAGTAGGCATCACAATACAATCACTGGGCTTGCTCATAATGGAAGTCTAATCAATGTATGGACCCTGCCCCCTACTGTCAATGATGAAAATGACATCAATAATCAATTAGTGGATGTTTAGTGTTGAGGGAGTTAAACACCAAATATTTCTCTTCTTTAGGAGAAAAAAAGCTTTTAAGGAAATGAATAAAATGTAATCACAATCAAATCATGACACCTATTGTCGGGGAATTTCCTTTTATTTTCAGCACACTTCCTTATTTTGACACTTTCTATGTGTGTAAAATATTTGTTCCTTATATAAAGAAAAAAAAAGCTTGTTTCAGAATTTAACCTTAAGTGTTTTCTTGTCTGTTTTGATAGAAAGAATCCTCACAGAGCTGTCATCATCATCCACCTCATGCTGTATAATCAGGGAATACAGCAACCTCTTCTGGACAAAAGAGACAGCAGCAGAGAGTGAGCTGAAGGCAACACAGCACATGTGAGTATCACCTACTGTTCCTGCAAATCTGACAAATTCAGGCTCTCAGGAATTATGACAACATTTCAGGAGATTAAACTGCATTTTATCATCATTACTGCGCCACTGCTCAACAGTTATAGAGGTTTGGAATCAAGCCATCGACTCTTACTGACATCTCACAGGAAATGTTAAAATCCCAAATGCCTGGCATCACATCCGAACAGATAACTAACTAGTAATTTGACTTGAAAAAAAATCGTATTATTGCCTGGGGAAGCGTTAAAAAGTATCCTGTGATCAATGTATCTGATTAGTTTGCTTTGACGGTACACTGGTGAGCTAATCAGGCCAAAGGGATCAATGGAGCGGGCTGTCACGCTGCCTTGAATTCCTTCTATCATCGGGTAACTACAATGTAAATGACTGGGTACTAAAGGAAACCCTACTGGGACGCATACTAAACTCTGCCTGTGCTGCATGGTGCACAGGGGAATCTCTACAGACACTTAGCCAGTTCTTAATCAGTAGTGTGCGAAAAATAGGTCCCTATTACACAGCGCTCTCTCACTCTCTTATCATCATATTTGTCAGAGTGGCTTTATTCATTTCCAGATCAGTTTCCTCAGACGGTAAACTTTACAGCCCTCGTAGCAAATCCTTGTGGTGCGATCCTTATTGTTGCTGATAGGCTCTGAACCTCTCTTCTTCTTCCCTTGTTGCCTCGTTTTCCCTCTCTCTCTCTTTTTCTCTTTCTCCCTCTCTTTTAGTAAGAGCTACAAGGCCACCAGATGCTCTTCCAGCCTATTCGTCTTGTCCTCCTCACAGACAAACTAATTGCTAAACAAAAGGTGCTGGCGTGTCCTGTCGAGTGCCCTTGTAAATGCTTTACAGCTGCAGTCCCATTCTGCCTGATAGTTAAGTGGCTAATTATAAAAGGACCACAAAAAAAGGCTGATTTTGGATAAAGCGGAGGAGGAGGAGGAGGAGGAGCTGGAGGTTGTGGTTTTATAGCCTTCTACACAGAGTAGCTATCACAGTTAGCGCAACAGAAATAAACTACTCAGACAATTAATGAGCCGACTAGCTTTTTGTTATTGTTGAATATAGAGGCTGTAAGACTGGGGTACTGTTTATATGACATGCATTGAGTTTAAAGCAGGAGCACTCAAGTTTCATTATCACTTCTTTTCTGCTATCTTCTTCTACTGGATGGATCTCCTGGTTATATTGTCCATTAATACCTCATCGTTTAATCTAAAAGATAGCTGGAAATTTGGAAGCAATTGCCCTTTAAAGTTTCCCAGAGCACAGACAAGCATGCATCAATGATCAAATTTATGTTTAAAAATACAACAATATAGAAGAGTATATGTACAGCATGATCACAGCTTCTATCATTTTTTCTAAGTCTTAAAAAAAGGCCTCAAAAGCCTTAAATTTGTTTTTGAGTATATGGTGCAAGAACCGTTTAAGTGCACCTAACAATCTGTTCAAAAAGTTTAATTTGAAAGCTCGATGCTCAAGCTTGCATTCCTCCCTCCAGACTTGAATCTGCATCTTAATGTTGTTATTTTGGCAAGTACAGGGCCACTAAATTGCAAAAATCTTTGTCTTTATTTTGGGCTCAGGCTGCCAAAGTAAGTTAAAGTGAAGCCTCTGTATATCACAGTGTCTGCTGTCACAACGTCACCACTCAGACCAGCTTGAAATAAAGAATTGTGTGAGATGTAACGGACGAGGAGATGATGTTTACTCTGCAGATGTAAAAACAGCATGAAAAGGGGAACTTGGCAGGAAGTCGTTGAACACAAACTGCTGGCTACACAGGACTCACTGATAAAAATTGGTACCTGTCTCCAGAGGCATGTCTTGCATGGCTTCACCTCACAGTGATAGATGACAGTTGCCAGTGGGGTCCAGGGTTGAAATGAATCAAATGCAGCACTACTCTAAAACAAACTTAGATGTCCTTAAAAAAAAGAAGACAACCTATTTGAATCAGTGACTTTCCTTCAGCCTAACTAATATAATAACCAGGGTTGTTGGATTGGGTTACATATTGTTCAGGTACGAAGAGGTGCTGGAAATGCCGGTTTTGATACGTGTCCGTGTGATTGTGTGTGTGTGTGTTCATTCTCCAGCCTGTGTAACTGTGCTAAAGTACGTGGTTTTATAAAGCTGTGATGGTGTGTGTACTCTTCAGCCTGTCTGTGTACAGGCAGAAAAAAACAGAGAGCCCCTGACTCCTTATCTTGACAAAGTTGGGTAATTAACGACAGAGCCTATTAAAGGGAGAATATTCAGCCAGTGATGAATGGCTTTAATAACAGGGCCGTGTTCTCTCTAACAGAGACAGATCCTCCCGCCACCGTCTCCCTGCCCACCAGATAAAACTACCCACACTCCCATCTCACCACACTCTTCATCTTGCCTTTTCCCATCGGCGGTCCTCTTCCTTCTTTATTTTCTCTCTCTGTTCCTTTTTCACTCTTTTTAAAATGTTTTGCTCCTCTTTCAAAGATTTCCTCTTGTCGTTTTTTTTTTTTTTTGTCTGTGCAGTTTTCTAAAATTTCATCTCTTTTAGACTGTGCACAGTACACAAAATCGAGAGCCACCTTTTTTTTCTATCTACCTGCGTGAATGTCTGTGTTTTTGTGGATATGTCGGTGCATGCTTGTCTTGTAAAACATCATTAGCCTTTTTGTGTAGGAGCCATGCAAATTGGACAGTTAAAGAAGCGCCACGACCGATTTATGTTCCAGTGCAGGCCTTTAACAGGGGCTGTGCTCCTGTTTTATGTGTCCAGGAGGGGTAGGGGGCAAGGGCTTACCACAGGGGTCACATTTATCTCAGCTCTATATTGTAAGATTGGTCCAGATGTCTGTCCTCATTACAGCTCTGAAAGTGAAAACATTCAAATGGATGTGAGTTAAGCAGACGGTGCCCCAGGAACGGGATCAAAACTAAACTGTAATGGTGTTGCAGTGTAAAAACAGTTCATGTTCAATTTCTCATACGTTTGATGTGAAGGATCGGTCACATTAAGATTTTTTTATAGTTTATCAGGGGGTTAAAAGACACATACCTGTTTTTGCTGGACATAAATGTACTTAATCAACTGTTTTCTTCTTATAAAACATGTTTTATTTGCAATTTAGTTAAACCAAACCTTAAACCTGAAAGGGTCCAAGCCAGCAAAAACATATTTTGGTCGCCTCTAAACCTCATGACTTATCTTTAAAAAATTGTAACCGACTTCTTAGACTCATGTAAAGAAGGTTTTGAACCATATTCCAGCAGTCTGTTTCAGGAAATGATGCAAACGAGGAGAACAACTATTTGGGGTCTCAGGGACTCACTGACTGTTTCTTCTTTTATTTTTTATTGGATTAATTTTCATTTTTACACTTCCAGATCTCCAAGAATTGTCACAGATTTTCTATTAAGACAAAAAATATTAAGTTACAACAGTGAGGTCCCCAAAAACAAGAAAACAATGTTTGTGTGTGTCAAGAATGACAGTAAAAGGTGTTTTTCTTTTCTTTGTGTTTGTTTCACAGGCTCCAAAAAGCCAGCAAACCACAGAAATGACAGAAGACGTTGGACGTTTGCAGTTTAGTATCAGGTTTGAGCCCTGTCGTACACACACAAACACACACTTACACACTACAAATTACACGTTACACCTGAGTCCTCTCTGCAAAGTGTCTCCCATGTGTGTTGAGACATTCTTACAGGGGTTGAAGCATCAGGCGCCCTCTCACAGGACCAAAGACAACCAGTCCATTAAAAACACATGAGAGTCTAATTAGGGTCCCCTTCGCGCAGGGGGGTCTCTGAGGTAGCAGTCATTGGGGAACGACACTACCAGGACCCTGACACTGTGAGAACACACTCTGCAAATTAATAGAGAATGACCAAGAAGTGCGTCTGTGACTGACTGGGACCTCTGCTTCCTCGGAGGCAAAAATGTTCAGTGTTGATTGCTCTCATTAAATTTGTTATAGTGATATAATTATGAAAATATGTCTCTGGGAAAATGGGATGACTCTTGGTGTGTGGTTAGTTTGCACACTCTGGTAAATTTGATATGAATGTTTAATATTTATACGGTTCGTGTGACCTTTAAATGGGACCAGGGGAGTTGGAGTTGTTGAGTGCGTTTTAGTTTGTTTCCTCATTTTACTGGTGATTTAAAACCATTACACATCTCTATTTTGGCCTTTTGAGAGAGTGATAGTTAACCATCCTGAACATAACAGATCTTTTTCTAATTTGTTCTGGATTCAAGCAGGAAAAGATATTCGACCATATTTCCCATAATAATTAGGTTGATAATAACGTACAGTGAATTATTGCATTTTTGTTATTCAGCACAAAAGTCTTTCCTCTGCTGCGTGTCAAATGAGATATTAGTGCGGACATAATTCTTATTCTGGCAGCAGCACGGTGACTGATATTATTTAAATTACACCTCCTTGGGCAAAGTATTCGGAAATACTTTGCAGATGGGAATTTATCACCAAGTGGTGTCGAGAAAATGAGGGACATCAGAGTTTGATTACGCTGACAAAAATGTCTTTTTTTTTTTAAAGGGAAATGACTAATGTTATTAACAACAGACTGATGTGTGCAGAGCTGCTACAACTGACAAGATCAGCAACTTTTTACTGATAGATTTTACATTTTATCTTCACATGGAAAATATATAATACTATCTATAATACTAGTATCTTGATAATACTAAATACTTGTTTGTGTGGTATTGAACCCCTCAGACATGTATGCACAATTGGCAGCCATTAAAATCTGGATGTTGTATGACCAAATCTCTGTCAGATTTAAAGCAGTTTTGCTCAAACTACATCATTTTTTCTCAGTTGGACCTGGACCAGGGATCTGACTCAGCAACTACTGAAGGTCAGTGATTTAGTTATTAAAGAAGCTCCAGTCTACATTTTTAAAATCATGCATGAACTGACAATTGAGAAACAATTTTGTATCAGCCATGCAACTAGCAACCCTATTTTTACACGCTTCTACTGCATGCAGAAAAAAAATGTATTATCAATGTATGCTTTATAATATACCTCTATTGCAGAAGAAAAAAATATATATTATTGTTTAGATGTATTTTTGTCAGACACTTTAGTTTCAGCCACAATATACTGCTTAAAAGTTCTTATAAATGTGATATAAAAAATGACATATTAAATACGCTCATACAGCGCTGTCACTTTACTTAAAGCACCTTTAGTCATGCTTTAGCATGTTGTGAGAATTCATAAAACCTTTTTAAATGGAGAATCACAGTGATGATAACTTTTTAAATGATACATAGAATGAGATGTTTATTAACCTTTGTAACTGGGTATAGGTATCAGAGTTATAATATGTTTTGAAACCCGGAGTTCAAATTATGCTGTTTTTCTTTTGCATTCAGGTATGATGCCTTATAAGCTACACCTTTATGAGGCATTGTGCTCACTGTTTATATCACTCCATAAACATTAATAAAAGCTGTTATACATGCTTATAAACCTTGGAAGGGGTCTTCTAAAGCCTTATAGATGAAGACTGTACTCTACACCAAAATGCACCAAAGACAAAATTAGCACCAAACTTCTGGCATAGTGTTGAATTCAGAGGCTAAAATCCAAATAGTGATGGAAAAAAAGACAAGTGTTCTTATAAACACTTATTCTACATAAATCATCTCCGTTTAACAACTGATGTGGTTTTCAGAGATAAATTTCACATTATTTTTTAATGTAATTGACTGATTTTAATTTGAAATCAGTTTTTAATTTGTCAATAGAGATCTTTCCTTATTGATGACTTCCCAAAATCCAGTTTTGTCACTTTTATTCATTATTATAAAACTATAAAAATGTCAAGAGTGATAAATAAGATACAACCTGACTCACCTGTACAGCCTCCCTCCCCTCTCCGTCCACCTCCCCGCTCCGCTCTGCTCTGCTTTGTGTTCTTTGCTGTGACAGCTCTGGCCTTTAAGCTCAGCACTGTTATCATTTCACATTTGAAACAGGAGTGTCGTTAACATCACCTCACTGTTGCAGTGACTGACAGCTGTTTGACTCCCTTACCTCAATAATGCAGTTAAAGGGCTGACTTACAATAATGCAGTACTAAAAATGTCAGCAGCTCGATTGAATTTTATTGGTTTTAAAGCCGGTGACTGAGGGCTTTTATGGAGCACTTTCTTAAATATCATATGGTGAGATAGTGCTGTCTAAATTGTATGAAACATTATGAACCTTTACAGGTTTAAGGTGGCAGATTATTACTATTTCTCATTTGGGGACCGCTGTATGCTCACTTCGATATGCGATGGCTATTTTGGCCAAATAGCAAACATAACAGGCCCTCTCTGTTGACTTTAAGATGCCAGTATATCAGAAACATGCCTCCTGCAGACATGGCTGTATGCAGCACATTAACTGAACTTTAACCCACTGTTCTGGCCATCGAACCATAATCTAACACATATGGGCACCTTTTGTTTCCTACGCTCTATCAGAAATCACTCTGTAATAGGGTGTTGTTAGTTTTTAACATAAACCTGCCACTCTCAGAAGGTTACAGCCACTTCTGGGGAAAGTTTATGTGTCTATGTAATTCTGCAGATTCTGTACCAACTGTTTTAAATCAAGCCTTTTTTTTCATTTATGTACTGCAGGATTGTATTACGGTATTACATTGGTTGTGACCTCTCGAATGACCCCAAAGGAATCAGACTCGTTGCAAATAATAGTGAAACGAGATTGTTGGACATAACACCCTAAAAACCTCTTAAAACAATCCCAAATGCCTCCAGCAGACGCCATCCCATTTCACTAACACATTGAGAATTTTACTCTGACGAGAACGCAGATTCCCAAAGTACTCCAAAATGAATTACATTGTGGATTATCATGTAATTATAGATCTTTCCAAAGTCTGATAGAACAGGAAAATTGAGTTCTGAATATTTCATAATGCGTGGCACCATCTTTGTTGAGGAAATTATTTAGGGGCAGCATGCTCATTTGCAGAATGGATAAAGGTTCAGAGTGAGGCACCAGAGAGCAGTAATTGGAAATCTCCAGTGAGTCAAAGAAGTCATTCACAGATGAGCATTTCAACTCGATAACTGTGCATTCAGAACAACATTAATCCTCAGCCAGACAAGAGCTATCAGCCGCCATCCAAACCCATCAAGCTGCTGTCAGATACGAACAGAGATGTGACACAGAAATAAACGACAATGTGACCTAATGTGCACTTTTTTTCCAACAGGTGGTGTACTCTCTCTCTCTCCTGGCCTCCATCACTGCCATCACTGCAAAGAAATGGTAACTTCTCAGACTCACCAGGGATTTTAACTTTTAACTCAATGTTCGACATTTACTAATGCAGCCATAGGGAACTTGAGGGAAGGTATGTCTCAGACAAGTGCAGCTATTAGACACTGAATAAATATCAGCCTTATAAAGTAAAACACAACGGCTAAACAACTTAAGCTTGGATGAATCACACACTTACAGAGCATGAACACTCTCAGATGTAAAAGAATCATTTTGTTGCCCCTAGAAAACATATGCAGAAGTGCCAGTTTTGAAAAATGTCATCTTTAAAAGGCAAATCTAAATGTCAGAGAGACGGATACTTTACACATAGAGATCTCTGCCTTCTGGGCCTAACACAGAAAGGCGCTAGAATAATATTTTTTCCCAGTTGAAATGAACTGCAATTACCCGGCATCAAGCATACAAAGCTCACATTCACACTCACATAGCCTGGAGAGGAGCATGGTCACTGTTTGCTACATCACTCTGAGTATCAGAAAGACAGAGCAAAGGAATGTGGTTTCTCTTGTAACATGGAAAAATAAGAGGATTTGCAGTTAAAGAGTCTGAAATATGCTGCTGAGAAGCTACAAATGCATTAAATCTGGTGAGCTGAGATAATTGTCAACAGAGAATTTACCCATCACCAAAAATCATCAGCATCGAGGCTGATTATTTCTCTGTTGTGACTTTGGATACCTGAAATCACAGGTTTTAGACCAGATGATCAACAACTGGCTGAAGAAACAGTCTTTTTATATTTTTCCAATATGTAATAGTAAGTTATATGGTTTGCTGTTTTGAGGTTTTTGTCAGAAAGCACTATTTTCACATGGATGAGACAAGAAAGAAGAGGTATCACTTTGTCCACAGGGGGTGCAACAACTAACACAAACCAAAAGTTCCTTCTGATTGGTTTTCACCATAGACTGTATATAGAATGGACAGAGTCTGCCTCCTCGCTGGGTGAAGCCACTCCAAGAACAGCACCCTCTGTTGACGGGCTGCAGTATAGGTCATAAATCCCGCCTCCGCCAGCAAAGCTTATGGGGCTGTGGACAAACTTTAGAATAAGAATTTTTTTCCCCGCTGCTTGTGATGTTGACATGTAGTTATTGTAACACTGGTTTTTACTCGTCTTTTTTTCTGTACAGCTGTTTTTAAAAGTTATTGGGGGGTTCATGTTTTCTATGATTGACACTTGATACAGCCTATGGGCATACGAAGATTGCGTAGCTCACCCGAGGGATACGCTGTTTGAGCCGAGCGTCATCACAGCAACTCTCTGCAACTCTCCCGCCGAATGATACAATGCTACTGCGCAAGTGGTGGAGTGTGTACAACTCTACTGGGCAATGTTGGTTTCAGGGAATGGAGAAAAATCGCGGAAATACCGAGAGCTTTTTGGCTTCAAATCTGTATAATGATAGGAGGCGGAACCAAGTTGTCCATAGTATATACAGTCTATGGTTTTCACTAATCAAATTCAGGCATTTACCACAGCAGGGTAAGAAAGCTGGGTAATGATGAACAATTTTATACTTTTGCAGTTTACAAAACTGTGCTTCAAAATGCCAAATTTAAGAAGAAGAAGAACTTTAATTATCTCTGAAGGGAAATTAAATGAATTTAAGGGAGTGTTTAAGAATGCCTTGCACCCAAAAGTTGACTTGGAGAATAACTGATGAAGTTATTTGATTAAATTAAAACTTAGTGGACTGTCAAAACGATGAACAACATCACATTCAGTGTTCTCTTAAGTTAACTGTTGCATGAAAGCTTGTTCATCTAAGGTGTTTGCAACTTTTGTGTGTTTGTGTGCACTTTATTTGTGCATGGGCAAGGGTTTTTTTTGTTGGCATGGGTCACAACTCCTGCCCAGAGGAGAGCCAATACAAAGCAAGTGGAGCAGCAAGCCCTGTTTGGGTCTAAATTTTGCATGCTGGTGAATGTCAGTCTCATAAATAAGCAAAGCAGGGAATAAAGCCCTCTTTGGTCCTCCGTTTGTTTTGAAGTTTGTCTTTATGGAAAATGTCGGGACTTCTCAGTGGGGAGTACGAGCAGAGGCTTGAGTGGATGGTTCAACCTCATTTCATCACCAGTGGAGCTTATGAAGGTAAAGGGCCGAATGCAGAGCAAGTTAAGAAGAGGAGAAGGTGCCAGAAGAGATGACGACTGAGAAGAAGAAGAGGTTAAGAAAGGGGCGATGAAGACACGCCTGTTTATCTCCTGTTCCTGCAGTTCTCGGTCATAGGTTTTCATACAAATGTTTAAGGTCATGTGTCAGGTGAGGAAGAGCTACTCTTAACTCTGTGGCTGCAGGGCACCTTCAACCTACAGGGCATTCAGGTTAGTCCTCAGCCCAACTGAGAACAACCGGGATCTTCTCTTAGCATGCTAATGAGACAGGAACAAATGCCCCATCATTTCTGGGGCTCCATGTCCCAAAGTGCTTAACACTCTTCCTGTCAACCCCCCCTGACTCCAGCTGCTCCCAAAAAAAAAAAAAAAAAAAACCCTCCCTCACTTTTCTTTTTCCCCCTCTTATGTTCTTTAAATGAGCTTCCCAACTCTACTTCTTTCTCGCAATTCAATTTTACAAGGCCATTATCCCGGGTGTAATGTGGAGGTTAAATATATCGGGGCAGACGTTATGTGAAAATAATTAGTGCTAATGAATAATGCACTCATTCAGCTGATGAAGGATGGTTGGCAGGGTAATGGAGAGCAAGGGAGGGGCCCCTCTGACAAATGAAATTAAAATATTTAAACACTGTTTGATGATATTACCAGGGCCATCACACTCTTTCTCTGTTACCTACTCACTTTATGGACGAGTCTGGCCTCTGTGTGACATGATAATTCTGCCATTACTCACACACAACATCCGTCTTGCCAATGACAGAGCCCAGTTACAAGGAGGAAGGAGGAAACATCCCTGCACCATTTTTTTACAGTACCGTACGCCATGGCTAATCATCCTGCCCCGATGATCACTTTGAGGACACTAGAGACGCCAATGCTATCGACAGCAGCTGTCTGTCTGCCAGATTATATTTCCTTTCCTTTATTTATTGCCTCCACACTCATCTGGACTCTTAGAATCTCATTCTGCACCCATCATGTGACAATGAAGAATGTAAGGTTTAAATCACCCAGTTTACAGCACCCTCCCAGCCAATTGGCCATCTCCAATCAATAATGGTGGTCCAAGAGCCCTGTGACTGATAAATGGCAGAGCACCAACACCATTTCATTAGACATGATGTCTAGATGAGGAAAAAGGAGAGTGTCTTTGGCAGGGGACAGAAATCTCATCAGCTAATAACAGAAAAGTCTCCACAGGGTTTCATGACACTTAAGATTGATCAGTTCACCAAGTTTACCAGACAGCATTTACCCTGAAAGTGGCGACCTTCAGTGCTGAAAAAAACGGTGCAGAGGTGCAAAAACACTGCAGATCCGCGAGTCGCCAAAAAACAAGGAATCTTCTTTAACACCATTAAAACCTGGTCTCAATAGCTGTTATCTGTCTTTAAAAAATTAGGTCTTTTTTATTCCTTGTGAAAATTAGTGATGGGCACGGCAGTTCTTTTAGATGTACTGAATCACTAGAATCAGTTCACTAAAAAGGATGAGTTCAAAAGATTCGTTCACGGTTCAGGATTCAGTTCCATTTAAAGCGTCTGGGACCGGGAGACGAGAGTGTTTGTCTGTGTTGCTTTGGCAATCAGGTTTGTAAAAATGAACTTGTTTATAAGTCATGATGTTTTAAGTGTACTGTTCTATGGTATGCTATTTATCAGGTCTGCTCGGTAAATTGATTCGTTTGCTCAGTGAGTGATTCGTTCACTGAACGTTTAGAAGAATTCACACTGGCAGGATAATTAAATGACAAAACTCAAAATGAGAATTGGAAGAACCAGGACAGTCATGAGTTCAGGGTTATGTTCATTTTCCACAAGACAATCAGTATATGCTTTAAAAAGAAACCCCCAAAAAAGCTGAGGGCATTTTGAGAAGGAGCTCTTTCCCCCCAGAGAGCCAAAGCACCAAGCCCAGCTATGTATGACAACTCCCATTTAATAATCCCATATTTTGCAGATTGGCACCACGCACATTTGACTTGTAAAACAGACCTAATTACTGAGAGTGTGGCGAGGAAGCCACACATCAAACAGTACGTTACAGTAAAAGCTTATGATCTTGGTTGCCGTCTCTCCTTTCTTCCTCCCCTCCCTTGCCTCCACCCAGCAGAAACACTGATTATAACAGGGACATTAAAAGGGAATTACAGCGAAACAATTTACACTTAATGTAGCAGTCATATGAACAGGGAAGAAGGATGGACAAGGATATAGGAGTATTAATAATACATGCTTTAATTAAGCTGCTGGGAATGCATGGAGCAGGATCAAGGCACAGGGAAAGAGAAGTGAGAGCACGAAAAGACGTCTGAACGAGAAGAAGTGAGAATGAGAGAGAAAGTGTAAAACAGAGAGGAGGGTAAGAAGTGGAGGAGGCGGGAGGAGGATCGGAATATGTTGCTGTGAATTTTCCATGATTCATGGGCAGTAAATATGCAAAGCCTGATGGCCACAAGGCAATCAGAGGAGCGCCACTCATCTACATGTTGCACAGTGGGCCATAATCCATCTGAGGGGCACGAATAATGATAGCAGGAAGCAGGAATAAGAGCAGGGTCTGTTTATTACCTCCGACAGATCCATAATGCATACAGATGTGAGGCAGGCGAGCGGCAGCCTCTGGCCACAGAACTCCAGTGAAAAGTGCAGATAGTAATATTGTTTTTAGTGTAATGAAAGACAATCTGATTTAAGCACCTATTAAGGGACATAAGTCTGCTGTGATATAAAGTTTTAAAGGGAGCGCTTGAGCTGTAATGATCACTGATAGAGAGTGAGGAGGAGCTCATCTGACACCTCAACAGAAACATTAAGATCACTAATTGATTATATAGATTTTAAAATATGCTGTGCGGTGATATATGAGGTTACGATTCGCCCTCTATGCATAAAGAAGACTTCCGCCATCATTTAGGAGTCAGAGCATTTGTTGCTCTGGCTCCTCTGCTGTGAAAACCTGACTCACAATATTCTTCATTTTAATCTTTGAGCAGACATATTCCTCTCTTGATTTTATGATTTTATGTCTGTTGATCTACTTATTGTTTTTACTTGCAAACATTGTTTTAAATTGTTCCACTTTTATCCTGTACGTCTCCCAGTTTTATTCCTACATTGTTGTGCATTTTATTGTTGGGTTTAACATTCATAGAGCACTATCTAGCATTGCGTTTTGATAAGTGTTGTGCTGATAAACTTTATCACTATTGATGCAGATTTTTTTTTTTTTTCAGTGTGCCATTTGCATTAAAGCTGTGATTTTACCTCTCTGTATCATTGTGTGTACTTTTCTTTATTTGCGAAGCAGCAAATCCAGCCAATCACACACTCACAAACACAAAGGCCGTCTGCTCACAGAGGACATTAACACCGGGATCCTACTGGTGCTGTAGGAAGTAATAAATTGTGGTGAACATTGATAAACTAATGCAATTACCTGCAGGGCGTGCAAGTCAGCTAATTTAAAGATACCAGGTTTGTTCATGCGGTGGGAGGCCTTGAATGGCCCCCATGGGTGAGAGATGGCACCTTTATTACATCTGAGAGGTCAGCCTGGTAGCACTGTATTAGGATTGATCTTTTGATCCCTGCCTGGAACCCCCCATGTACTGTACCGACCTCATCTGGCAGAGGAAAAAAACGCTTATCTGGCGCGAAGGGTTAACTCTGCTAGCCGGGCAGCCTAATTGAGCACCACACATCTCAGCTACACAGCAGAAACAGGAACCTAGAGGGTCGTAACAAGCCAGCCGTGACTTATTCACATAATAAACCGAGCAGATATCTAAATGAGCCATTGAGCTAGCCAGAGGGAGGGAGGCCATTAGGGCGTGTGGACCATGGGTACATATTTGTATATCTACAATTGCCCTATCATTTGCATATGTGGCTAGCTTGAAATGTGCATTGGTGCTTGTACCCAGGGGCCTAATGACACAATACAACAACTTTGTACTCACTCACAGTATCATAAACAAGTCAGACTTGCATTACTTTTATCAAAATAATAAAACAAAAAGAAGAGATATATGTCAAGGATTGCTTACGCTACAATGGAAACAACCAAGGGGGTCTGCTATATTCTTCTCTTTATGTACCGTACATGCATGTCCTCCTTAAAGAAAGTCACCGTCTCTATAGTTTTTAAAATATCATCAGCTAATTGACCTCCACACTGTGTTATGTTGTTACTCAGTATGCACCATTGTTCAATTTCAAGTAAAACAGACCTGAACTTCTAGGTTAAAACTCCTCTGATAGCTGTGAAAACAACCGACCCATACAGTGTGCAACAGATAACTTTCTGTTGAAGTTATCTACATGACTGAATGAAGCACCTGTTTCATTGCATTACCGTCAGCCTGTTTCTTATTGAAGCATGGCCAGTAACAGATGTATTGATAATGACTTATCCATATAAGAATGAGCACCAGTCTCTAACAGAAAGATGAATTTTTGCAACGTGTCCTACCACATGACAGTAATAAGCAATGCGACAACCAACCCTAGTCTTCCCTGTTTGGAGGACCAGGCTGTTTGCAACAAGAATTTTTTTCTTTGTTACTTTTTTAGGGCAAAACCAGAGGTACACAAACCCACTTAGATGTCCTTATGCACGTCAAGTCTGATTGCCAAGATTTTCGATCATCTAACCTGGTGGATTAGATCGGTTTGGTTCTGCAAACAAACAATTATATGCCGGGAACAATGTGGCAGCCAACTCATTTCTTTCTGATAGAGCCTCAGCAGCTCCTGATTTATATTATTTTCAATTTTGTTCATTTGTTTGTTTGCTTCATATAAAAGTTCTATGGCTCTTTTTTTTAACCTTATAGATACTAGATACTCCTTTATTGGTCCCACAAGGAGAAATTCACAACAATTCAAACTACCGTAAGTCATAAGCTTATTTCAAATACAAGCCGACAGTATTTATCAAGGTTCTTGTTAAAGTGTCACTTAAAAAGTCCAGGTGTATAATTATTTATTTCGAGAAACAACTTTCGTATAACCCAACTTTTAGTACTCTTATGGCTGGTAATTCACACATTATATCTCTGAAAATATACCAAAAGAACAACCAACAGCAGAAAGTTGACTGTTCCTGGTCCAGAAATAGTTTGTCATGTGAGACTGCTGTACGAATATGTCATCTACAATTTACCTTTCAAATCTACTAAACAGATACTGGTGTTATGAATATTATCAGTTATTGTATGAGGTCTTATCCCAATTCTATACCCAATTATTCAACAAAACTCATACATTAGGAATGTGTATGCTGCAAACTGCACCGTTACCAGAATCAAACCAACCTAAACCAACCAGTATGAAGGCTCATGATGTTTGAATTCTGATATTAGAGGCCCAATAAACCCCCTGATGCTTCATTGTTAACATGTTATTGTGCACCTTCATTTGTCTGCTATTACAGCTTAGCTCAAACAATAACACAAGGTCACAAATCAGCAGAGTCCTGCAGTAACGGGTCAAGGGTCAGCCTTTAATGTGACCTCTGACACATAATTAAATTGCCATCTTTAACCTCAGTTACAAGCTGTCACAAAGCATCGGATTACATGCTGCAAATCAGTCCGCCAATCAATGACAGGAGAGAGGGGAGGGAGAGGGGCCTGCTGTGTAGCATGGTGTCCACATAGAGATTGTCTTTAATGAAGTTGAACTGTACAGTGATCATGTTAGTCTAAAGCCTAATCAGATTGTGAATGACATCCTAACATAGCACATGCTCATCCTGACAGAGAGAAGTGGACTAGAGATAAGACACGAGGGCCACTAGAAGCAGACAAGTTAAATGAATAATTTCCTCTCCAGCTCTAAGGGTACCTGAAAGACACTGCTCTGAATTTGTATCATATGAAGGTAATGGTGAGTAGACTTTTCTCAAACACATATAATTCATTCCAGAGTTTTAGCAGCTAGAGACTGTGCAGTAGAAATCAGCTGATAAATTCATGATATGATAATATAAAACTCACCCCTTCTGCTGACCCAAACCAGCTGAATCTTAGATCCCAGCAGGACAGTCTTTCATCAGTATACGAAGTCAATACCCATAGTTAAGGAAAGTTCCTCTACACTGCTGAGCATATGCCCACTTGCCATAGAAACATGAATTAAACTAGCACAAATTAGCATGACGTCAATTGACCATGTCCCATCTGTTCAGATAGAGGAAGTGGGCTTGATGATCAATGAAGCAGCCGCTAAGTAGACAAACCTCTGAGTCTTTCGGCTTCACTTTTGGAGAGCAGTTATGTTATCCATCTTTTTGGACACACTGGACTAACTGTAAGAGGTAAATATGATAAAGTTGTTTCAATGACTGAAAACCTCTTTGCTTTTTCTGCTTCAAAAGTATGTTGCCAAGAAACATTTGGTTTTTTTTCAGTGAGTGTACTGGTCTTAAAGCAACTGGCACATTTTAATCAGAGTTCAGACTCTGGTATCTCTGAGTGTATTTAAGTCGATGATAAATTCCATTACATCCAGGCTTCAGGAGTGCAAATTGTTTTACTTGAGTGCAAATGTTTTATTTCAACAAATTTTGGCATTTCAGTTGTTATTTGTGGGGAGGTATTTAGGTAGAAAGGTCAGACAAGAGAGTCAGATACAGCCAGTACTGTCCCAGGAATAAACAGAAGTCAATAATAATAACTCAAATAAAACAATAATAAATGTTTTATCAGATTTAATTCATCATAACTCATTTTAAGGAGGCCATAGCTCAGATGCTTTATCTCCTTGGATCTATGCAAAGAAAAATGATAAAATTTCCAAACATGGTGTCAGAGCCAATTTGCATTATTAGTGTTTCTACTTTTTATACTTTAAAAAAGTATTTCTAATAATATCAGCTGGTAAATTTGGTAAACACAAAAACTGTTGTTGCATTCACTTATTGAGTCAATCACAAATTCAAATACATAAACTTAACTTAGATGTCACTCAATCTTAAAATCCTGGAGGCCTGTCCAGACTTCTAATGTAGACTTTTAAAGATACCCCCAACACTTAGTCTGCTTATGACAGTAAAATGTTACTGGAAATAAAGAAACTGTTATCAGCACTGGGCAGGTGTTCTCCAGAGAGAATCGTGTGTGAAGAGTCACAGCTGACACAGATTTACTCTGATCCAAAGGTCCAGATCAGCCATGTGTTGATCCATTAATGGTGCTGGCAGAGTTACCTGGGCTCTGTGATTAACAGTGAAGGTTTAAGGGCTGCGTAGTGATTAAATCAGCAGTATATTCCAAAAGAAACTGAGGATGATGGGGAAGCTTTTACAGAAAAGAAGAGTTTTCTCTTGCAGCTGAGCAGTAATAAAGATTTCATTTATGCAGCACTAAATTTTACTGGTAAAGCTTTACAACTGAGTCTACAGTCTCCGAAGCACCAATTCTGCACCAAAAACTGCAGCTGGTGTACCAGAAAAAAAAATGTGTCCCCAAACTCAAATGATGCTGAATGACTGTGCTGATTATGATTTAAGGGCTGCTAGTTTTGTTTCAAACTGTGCCTTGCTTTGTGGCTGGGGGCCCTGTGTTGTTTAAAGGGCTGTCGGGGTATAAATACTAAATTAATCATGCTTTGGCTCAACTTGCTAGGGACTGAAATTTGCTTATGGAGGCCTATGATCACATGAAATATTAATGGCTATACAGAGAACTGGTATTGTAGCAATGGGGGCAAAGCACATAGCGGTGTAATGGGGAGGAGTCACTGTTGATTTCAGACCAGAAACATCTCTTCACTGTCTCTACCTTAGGTAAAAATGTGATGAACAGTAAGTGACCAAAGCCCTGTGTTAATGCCCATTATGGCTCCATTAGGCTGAGTTTTGTTCATATTATTCTACAAAATTGGTTAAGTGGTAATTGGCATTAATTGGCATGCAGCAGTGTTTTTGTGTTGTGCAAATGTGTGAATAATATTCAAATGAAGCAGAGTGAATATATTAGAGTGTGTAGGCTAATGTTATGCATTTTCCTAGTTGTTGTGTCTCCATATGACCGACTTTTTGAGCCCCTGAGGTTTTAAAAGAAACTAACAATCATTTTTAATGACAGACACCGAATCTCAAAGCAAACAAAAGAGAGACTTTGAACAGACTTTTCTTTTACCCCCGCTGATTTTTTTTATTCAATCTGCCCACACAAAACCTAAGAGAGAAAAAAACAATATTATTACAGCTCATTTCAAATTTTCATGCCATTTGTCTTCTTGACACAAATCAGAAAGTAAAGATTTATAAAAATGGATGACACGGGTGCTGTAAACTTGTTAGCCCGTATTTTCTGAGCTCACACAGAGCGCATAAACATCCTCCTCCCACTATGACACAAAGGGAGACACACACCCACTCAAACCTACACAGGCAGCTCACATCAGCGCGGATGCAGACGACATTTGGCACGGCACTAAATTTTCTGTAACACGCTTATTTGTGTAGCAGTTCCACAAAGTGCTACTAAACAACTGTCAGGAAACATGGTTCTACGTGTCAATCAAAGCAGTAAAACTGCAGCAGCTCATTTGACCTGAATGATGCCTGTGTGAGGTTGGTGGCTCCACAGTAGGTAAATGAGACGACAAGAGGGGGCATTTAATACTCCCATACTGAGAGATGGAGTGAGGAGGGGAGGTGTTTTTGGTGGTAGCTGGGGAAAACAGGCTTAAATGATAAACAGAAGATGTTCTGAAAGAGCAAACCTGATTTCTCACAATTATCTCTGCGAGTCTGACATGCACCAGGGGTGGCCCTGGAACACTGAACTGGTGGACACTGATTGGGTTATTTGTCCTCTCTTATTCAGGGCTGAGGGGCTGTGGGAGCTGCACCGTGGAGAACCTCTCTGCAGGTGTACACCAACCTCTACAGAAAGAGACAAACCCCTTTTACTCAAGCTCACTTCTGATTTGAACAAAGAAAAAAAATCGCCAAAGCAAATATTTACCTGGGTAAGATGGAGAGTGTTCATGTTTAGGTACGTGTTCATAGCTGCAAAATGGACAGGTGCTATATTAAAAAAACAAGATGGCTGAATTCCATTTAGCTGCATCAGTTTCAGGGTCATGGTATCGGGCATACTAGCTTACAGCTACATAGTTATGGGTTAACAAAAACCAGAAGCACCACTGGTGTTACAAGCCCCTCTTTCACAAAGCTTCGAGTAAAAAACAAAGGTCCATTATTTGTTCATGAAAGGAGAAATAAAGACAACTGATATAAATAAGACTGATGTACAATGAAATCTTGTTGAGTCAAAACTGTCAGATTTGCCACTAAAGGTGAAGATTTTCTGTTGAAAATGAAAGAGGAAGTCGTTTGTGGAGTGAATGCTCAGGACTGTCACTTACCCAGCAGTTTTAGGCATTAACCCTCTTCCTGTGTTAGGGTCTGCAGCGACCTGTTTTTTATTTTAAATGCTTAAAAGAACCACTTCATTAAGTTTTTTTGCATCAAGACTTTTTGACTTTGTCAGGAACCTCTAGTTCAACAAAATAAAAAATAAATTGACAAAATTCTAAAATGCTGTTATTAAAATTATGGCACTTGTCGTGTTAGGGTTGCTGTTGACCCGGTTAGATTAATATCTAATAATTAGCGCAAAAACTAAAAACATATGTGCACTGTCAGGCACCACACTGACAGTCAGATCATCTTCCAATCATGTGAGATTTAGGAAATTCTCATTTTGCCATGTTTCTCCCTGCACAAAAACAATGTTGGGCATGTCCAGACATGTGAGATCATTTCAGTATAGATGTCTGTATGAAGGGTATACTGACAAAGAAAGGCCCAGAGGCCCACAACAAAAAATATTATCAGCAATAATTTCATGGATAATGAAGCCTAACAAGGTAACCTAGAGATGAGAACCAAATTGGATGATAGAGAATTGTTTTTAGTAACATAATGGGTGCGTAGAGAAAGTTACTACTGGAGGAAGGTTAAAGTCCCAATGGTCTTGATTGCTTTTCTGGGTCGTCTTGGGGTACCAGTATTAGTATTTTACAGCCAGTTAAAAACTCCTTACTGCGGCTTTAAAGATCCTGAAAACATTTTTTTTATAGTTTCTCCCTTCAAACACTCAGAACTTGTACTAGGAGATACATTAAAGGAAAATTAGTATTTGCCCCTTTTTTTTTTTTGTTCTGTGAGTTATGTCCACCTTTGTGTTTTGTGTATTCCTGAAAGTATACGGCAGTGGTCAGAAACAAATCACTATCCCATTTAAGAGCTGATAAAGTACTAAAGCAATCATAACAGTTTGTATACATAAACAATTGTCTTTCTTCTTTTGCTATTTAATACTCATTGTTGTATTTTTTAAATTTACAGTATATATAAAATACTTACATATTCTACATCTTCAGTATGATTGCATTTCATGGATCTAATTTAACAACAGATACCAGGTGGCTAAAGAATGATCATAAAAAGGTTTATTTGAATGTAATACAATTGGACTAACAAATTAAGATTATAAAATGCTGAAGACACATGGAAGGACGACCAGTCGCTGGACAGTGCAGACGTCTCCTGCAACAGAAAAAAACAGAAAGGTTTTTAGTGGTTATATCAGAATCATTTCAGTTAAGAATGTGAATATGTTAGCTTCTGTGTGTAGAACAACCCGCACTTTAGTGTCTTGGTAATTCACAGCCTTACCTTGAAGGGTAAAAATAGTGAAAGACAGATTACCTCACCGGTCCAAAAATAAAAAAAAAAGGTTGAGAGACACAGGAATATTGCAGGAAGTTTGCTCTTTAGGGGAACAGGAAGTTTTTTTTTGTGTTTTTGAAATGGTCTTTTTCTTTTAGCTCTTTAAGATGTTTTTCTTTTTTCACTGCCACCGCATTTCTTTCAGAAGTTGTTTTTTTTTCTCTTTTTTTTTTTTTTGGCAGGATTTTTTTCAGACCATTTCAATTCTTTATTTTTTTGTACAATCCAAAGTAAACCCAAGAACTGAGAAGCCAAGCTTTCATACAAATCATTTAAATTCAGACATAAAATATCAACACAGTTTACCTGTTGTTCTAATACTATTCTGCAAAAGCTACAGTCTGTCATTCAGTTAAATTATAACACAGGTTCTGTTTCTCTGACTGACAGGTCAACAAATGTGTCTGTAGGATACCAGCAGTCAAACTATTAAATGTTCTATGAGCAAAACAACAAAAAATACAGATTATTTCTACATTAAGAGCATTAAAAAAAGTCACCATTGTTTAACTGTTAAAATGAATCAAACTTGAACATGGTTCTTCTGCCAGTTTCCACATTTGTAAGGGAGAAAATATAGCCAAAGTGAAATGTGCCGTGTTTCTTAATAAACAGGCATTGAAATCTTAGAAAGTTGCTGGATTGTTGAATATCTTCCGTGTTCTGGGTGTCTCAATGTTCTTCATCTGCGCCAGGGGCGAGGCTCGTTGTCGTCCTCTTCTTCATCATCGTCCTGCAGCAAGGCGTCATCGCTCAGCGACTCTTCTGGGTACTAATGGAGGGAGGAGACAAACAAACACTTAGACAAGTTCTTCCTCTTGACTGAGAAGCCAAATAAAGAGGGACATTTTATCGGAGTATCAGCAGGAATGAACTTGCAACTTGTTCTCAAAAGGTCTCTAGAAGGACTATAAACTTAACACTGAAGTAGAATACTGCAGACAGACCTCATGCTTATGAGTGGCCATGCAAAGACCACATACAGACAATCTCAGCTGTAATGTGTAACGGCTCCCTCTTGTGTTATCTGATTGTAACACAACCTGAAGTAGATATTCACTGAGCTTTCACAAAATGACATCTGGATATCCGATTATCTCGACTGAGGTCAGTTATCTCTCATGGATTTTCACTAACTCTGTCTCCGTGTGAGAATTATTATCAACAAACCTCATCATCCTCTGGTTCTGCTTCATCGGCATCCACAGCGTTGAGAGTTGTGACAGCTTTATGCCAGGACAGTCGCAGAGTTTGGTTGTTGAACCTCACTCCATGAAAAGCCGCCTACAAAAGGCACAAAGGAAAGGAGGTGATCGGACAAAATATTGAGCAAATTATGGAAGTGCAATGCAGAGAGTCCAAGTATTGATCACTGTCACAAAATAACTCGATGATTGACTCACCTGCTCTGCCTCAGCTCTCGTCTTGTATGTGATGACTGCAGACAGGCTGATTTCATCAATCTGGCAATCTTCAATCTCCCCAAATTGCTTCAAAGTTTAAAACAGAAAACACATGGTCAATTTATGAAATAACTCATTCATATGTATCTAAGAGAAGATCCTGTCAAGTTTATATTTCAGGCACCTAATGAATCTAAAAAATTAATTCTTATAGATTCAAATATGTATGTTTAATTGTGGCTTTTTTGATATGTTACAAAATTAAAAAGGCAACCAAGATGAATTCATGATGTAAAAGGACACTCAGCACTGACTACCCAAAAAGACTAATTTGAGTGGTGACGGAACATCTAATTCAAAGTTGAAATGAAAGAGCCATAGACATGTGCACTGATGGTCAGTTGCTCCTGTGACCACCAGAGGACACTGTTGATGTTGTTGCCACACTAAAAAAAGAGATTGTTCAGTGCATGAGCTGTAACTGAAGAAATTCAATATCATATAGTTTGTTTCTGAAGTGTAGTAAGTCAAATCATAATTCTTGTTGTTTCTTTGAGGTAATAAATCAAGCAAAATAAAGAAGAACAAAGCTGTGCATTAACTTGTAGGCGCACACTGATAAGCCTTAACATAATGACCTGCCTAATTTTCCGTAGGCCCTCCTCTTATCAGGACAAGACCTAAACAGTCGTGACCTGACATGACAAGGACATAGACTCTACAACCTCTACCACCGAGTCATTTGCAGCAGATCTTTTAAGTCCTGTCGGTTGTGAGGCGGGGCCTCCTTGGATCAGAATCGGCTGTCCGTCACATCCTACAGATGCTTGATTGGATTAAGATCTGGGGACTTCAGGGACCAAGTCAACACTGTTGTGTTCAGTCACATGCCAACTTTAGGTGTTAATGGTGGCACACAAGAAATCAGCAGGGGCACTCTGACTGCTCTGTCACTACAACAGTACTGTGGTGTCGTTTAAAGCATACTTACAGCAAAGTGTGGCAGCAAATTGACATGGTCTGCATCGGAGAATCCAGAAATTTCCAGGGCCCGTGGTCGATGGTCCACGACCGCATGCACTGGCACACCTCTTCCCCTTCCTCTGGTGCCTCTACCCCGCCCCCTCAGAGTACCGCGGCCTCGAGGGTGGACCCCTCGGCCTCTTCCTGGTGATAGGAGTCCTCTTTTTGCTGCCTGGGTTGGAACAACAGGAGTGGTAGTTTGTTAAACAGAGCGCGATTATCTGGATTATTTTCTTCTGACAAATTATAGCAGCAGTAAAAATGAATCCCAGAGATCAGACTTTGGGTGCTCTAAGGTGACAGGTCTATATGAAGCATTTTAACACTTGATTAGAAGTTTGAAGGGAAGGTTTCTTTAAGATATATCAAGTCAATACCTCTATTTGCAGCTGGGTATACTTAATCTTCAACAAAGCCGTGTCTTCCCCAGCTTGAGTCTTCTTGAAGAGGTCTAGCTCCGCATCCAGCAGCTCTTTCTGGGCCTGTTTAAATCATTAACTCCAATTAGTAAAAACAAACTGCCAGTCAAAGGTAACTGAGTAAGCAGAAGAAAACTTGGTCTCCTTGCATCAGTACTTTTATATAAACAAAAAATGCGATGAAGGTTGTCACAAACTAAAACGACAAAAGGAGAAACCAAAAGCACAGCACATTTCTGCTTTCTAGGTTAGTGTAGCAGCAACCACTTTTATATCAAAAGCTAGCAGCAGGAAAAAAAACACTCATATCAGATCAAGTTGACAGAAAAGAACTTCTACAATCTCAGTTTTCTAGATTGATTTATGTTAAATAAATGCCACAAGCTAAAAGAAAGCCTTACCTGGGCCTTGCTCTTGGCTGTGCGTAGTTGGTTGCTACTGGAGATTTCCTTTATCTCCTCTTGCAGTTTGGTGATGCTTTTGGTTAACATGCCGAGAGTTTCCATGATCTTAGCTTTGTCCTCCGCCTTCATTGCTTTGTTCTTCTCGAGTTTGGATATAAGGAGCTAAAGAGGAGAGTAGCAGACAAACAAAAGAGAACACCGAGTTTGAATAATTGAAACGTACGTGAAAAGCCACAATCCACATAGGTCAGGAGGTGAAGTAAGATGAAATGTGGGATAATTGTTTTAAAACCTTCACTCCAGATAATCTCACCTTCTGAGTTTCAATGTGCTTCTCCAGTATTTCTTGCTTCTTCTTTCTCACGTCTTGCTGAAGTCTTAGAGCTTCCTGAAAAAGGAATTATGGGGAATGGTTAGGTGCTGCTTTGTGTCTGAATACAATCTATTTCCTATCCTATCAAGGCCAGTCTTCTGAATTTATGCACTTTTCTTTTATTCAATATTCTCTCCATTTTTCCCCTCACCTGTTTCTTCTTCAGGGCTTCCTCTGACGTCTTTTGTGCTGCCTTAAGAGCCGCAGGATTGTATACAGTCTTTGTAAGCCCCATGGATGTTGAAAACACCTGAAATTTTCAGAAAAAAAAAACCCATTAACTTGATTTTGAGAAGAAGAGAAATCCCACTTTCAAATTTTGTAATAATAAACACTCACCTTTTCAACGGGAGCCGCTGGTTTTGGCAGACCCAAACGGTCCTTCACTGATACTTTCGAAGGATTCTGCACCGTTGAAGAAAAAAAAAACATGAATCATGTTTATACACACCTTCCACAGACTTTTGCAGGTAAATGCCAAAAAGACATAAAATAAACCCCACACACACCTGAGAGGCTACACTGGAATCTTGGGAGGGCTCAGAGCTGGCAGTGAGCAGGGGTCCGAGGCGGTCTTTGACAGACTGCTTCAGAGACGTGGCCATGGGCTGCTGAGTGAAGAGAGAATTTGAGCACTCTGTGTGAGGATTTGTGGATTAATACATTTTCAAAGCCTCTGACAAAAACGGATGTTGAACTTTTAGGTACATCTGCATCTTCTGTGGTATTTCTATCATTTTAAGTCTAAAAAAATAACCCTGACTCATTTGAGTGAAACAGGGTTGGGTTGGTGTGTTCTTATCAACAGCTCCACAAATAAAATGTATTATCGTTTATTTAAGTGTTCAGTCTCTGGCTAAGCAACATCCAGAGTTAATATGATTATACAGAGTCGTATCGTTTCATATTTATAGCTGATGTTGACATGCTTTCCTATTATTGGCACTGATGTGTCTAAATAGTGAGACAAGTGTGACCGACTTAGTTTGTTTATAAAATTGTAAATAGTGCTCTTGATGCTGTGTGGCATTTACTCATATGCAGCCATCAAGTAAGAAGACTCTGGAATAGCACTGAATAAATAAATAAATAATAAATCACTCACAAACTTTGGCACCATTTTAAGTTAGAGCTAAAACAAACAAGGTTAGGATTTATTTTAATGATTTCCTTTCTTTTTTTTTTTTACCATAGCTGGCTGTGGCTGAGTCTGCTGCGAGTGAGACTGGATATCACCCCCATCATCTCGAAACCAGTTCACCCGGATGAAGCGGTTATGAAGAACAGCCTCTGTGCTTTGCATAGCGCGCTTGGCCTCATCTGGAGAGGCGAACTGGATCAGTGCACCCTCTGGGTCATTGTTGTAGGCCACCTGTTAGAAAAACACAGATGGTGCTGTGAGAAACTTATGCCAACGCTGGTATGAACTGTACATCCTGCAGCGGATGGGGGGAGTTTCACCTTGCATGCAACCATTAACTGTAGCAGTGATGTAGTAAACATGCTCTGGACTGTTCTTCCAAAACACTAACACGGGAGCACTTGACAGAGTTTATTTTTGTGTGCCCTTGTTGCTGTACTGCTGTGAATAATGTTACATTAAAAAAGTAGAAATGTTGCTATAGAGAGCTTGATGTGCCTCATTTTGACAATATATTCTGTATATTTCGCACTATAAGGCGCACTTGATTATAAGGCGCACCAACAATGAATGTGTCTATTCGCATCTATTTTCATACATAAGGAGCACCGGATTATAAAGTGCATTGAGCCAAACAAAACAGTCCGATGAGTCAATCTTTATTGAACTTATTCAATAACTCTGCGAGGCTACGGTAGCTGCAGAGTTATTGAATAGGCAAGCGAAAAGGATTTTAAGTGCGCGTTATACTGCGAAAAAAAATTTAATCTTGGTGCCATACATAATTTAAAGTGTTTTTTTTTACATGCATTTTTTCATGTATTAGCTAATTTATAGGCCCACACTTTATTACTCCTAACCATCAGAGTTTTGACTTTCAGGTCCGCAGCACCACAAAGACAAAGACTGACCTGTAGGTTGACGATGGTACCAAACTTGCTGAAGTGTTCATTGAGTTTGCTGATGTTGTTAAGCTCTGCAGGAATTTGCCGCACCAGCAGCTTGGTGTTGGTGGAGAATGGAGCTCTTTTGTGGTAGCCCTGGTGGTTTGGTTTGTTGAAGTTGGGTCTGGGGTGAAAGAGAGACACGATAAAACAGCTCTAATGGGAATGACAGTAAACTTAATTCCACTAAGTGTGTTTATCAACAGATCCAAGAGGCTGTTTATGACATTTTGTAGGAGGAAATAAGTCTTACTTGTCAAACCAAGGTTTCTTGGAGGGGAGGCCTCCGTCATGGGACACATGCGGTCTTTTCCTTGAATCTGATTCCATAACAATTCTCATACTGTTGTTGGGAATTTTTTCTGGAGAGGGAAAACACAAGTAGGTTAGCTACAAAAGCACAACACAGGGCAATAAATATATACACAATAGAGAGAGATAGCATAAGAAAAAATAAACAGACTTAAACGTGACTAAAAACTTATAACACCTCTTTTTTATAAAGTGGTTAGACGCTAATTTACTGACTTCACATCAAAGTAGGAAAAGTGCATGTATGTTTCTAAAGCTTAGGTTTATATGGCACCTCTTGGTGGCTGGTCCACATCCCCCATCGTGAGGCCAATCAAGTTGGGTCTTTGGGCGTTGACCCGATGGCGGTACATGGGCCTGGAAGAACTGGTGATGCTGGGAGCCTCGGGATTGTACACATCTGTGTCATAGTTGTCTGGTCAGAATAAAGGGGATACTTTAACTAATAAAACACAGATGAATGGTGCAGCAGGAGTGATTCACACTCAAAGACAAATATTGCTTACTGGTGGTGAAGAGGGGCACTGAAGCCTGGGGAAGTGAGGGGCGCATCCCAGAGGTGACGATGGTAGGGACAGAGCTGGTGATGGAGTTGGGAGGAGCATCCATGCCTGACGGCTGCAGCGGAGGAAGCGGAGGAGGGGGACCTGTGTGAGTCACAATAAAGATTGCAAATGAAGCTCCAGGAAGAGAATTTATTCATCAAACAAATGAGGTAACTGTGCTCTACTGTGTTAAGTATCATGCATGCAGTTCACAGCTAAGCCCTCCCTTTGAGTAACGTTCAAACTGAAAATTTTCACACCTTTTTCTAAATAAAGCATTTCAATGTTTTCCCCACTTTGAGTACATTCAAAACTCACAGCACTGGTGTCATCTAGGGGGCATGTGGAGACCACAGCGGCTCCTCCACACAGCTCTGTGCTGACTCATCTGCTTATTTCACTGGATTTAAAACCTCAGTCAAAAATAAACAGAAAAACGGCAACAGGCTGGAGAGACCTTTTAGTTCTGTGGTAAGTAGCTACCGGGACTTTCACTGGAAACAGCTTTAAATTCTCTCGGGTCATTTAAGGTCAAACTCTATAGGATATTAACAGAGCTTATCTGGGGCTTAACATTTAAAGTAGCCATGATTAGTGGATTACTTCATTAGTTAAGTGACAGATCATTGAAAATAAAAAATTAAATTATATTAGTTAGTTTGGGCTGTCTTTTGAATGTTACTTTAGTTTTATGTTCTAGACACTGAATACATTTGGATTATGGTGATGGAAAGTGAGTTTTTGAATATTTCCCTGTGGACACTGCTGTACATTTTCAGACACTCTATAAATAGAATGATTTATTAATTTAGAGGAAAATACAAATGATTTGCTATTCACATGCCTATACTGTCTAACAGATTAGGCTTTATGTTGGATACCACAGATGATCAAAACAAATTAACATTTGTAGAGGAAGGAAGAAAAGGACAAGAATATATACTTCTAAGTTAATCCTGGGTTCTTTTCATCTATTAGTTTTGTTCATCTACATCATGCTCTTGGCTTGATATTTGTTCAAAATCTTGAATGTTTCCAATTAAAAAGATGTGTTTGATAATTATAATGTGCATGTACGAAATTTGATCTGTCTTTACCCTCAGAGTAAAACCAGAAATTGATTTTAGCAAAACTGACTGAATTCTGACCTGCAACAGGAGGAAGACTGGGTGGAAGTGTGCCTGGTGGAGGAACAGGGGGACGCAGATTTACAGGTGGGGGATTCATGAGAGCTGGTGGTGGTGGGAGGCCTGGAGGTGGCGGTGCATCCACTCCTGGGAGGGGTGGTGGCTGGAAGGGCAGCATATTGGGTAGGTTGACATCCTCAACTACAACTGGGTCGCTTCCATGGTCAAAAGGACACATGTCCCCTCTCATGCAGAAGCCCTTTTCTGGAGAGACAAAAGACAAGAGACAAAGTGAGAGATAAAAAAACAAGCACAACTACAAAAATAAAAACAGAATGAAACACATGAGGAGAAACAAAAGAGGCGATCACTTTCCCTACCGTCATAGTCACGGCATCGCTTCCTCTGTTGAGGCAGTGGTCCACGGCCAAAGAGGCCTCGATCCACGGGGTGATCAGGACGAAAGTCTGACCAACTTTCAGTGGTGTTGTTGCTGTGATGATGTGTGGGGGCAATGACTGTGATGGTGCTGCTCAGTGTCGGCACAGGGAAGTGTGAAGTGGTTGCAGTGGAGACCAAAACTGCTGGGGTGTAGCCATCTCCCACGTCTGGCCTCTCGAGCCGTTCGTGGTCATACTTCAGCTTACCAGAATCTCGCTCTGCAAAAAAAAAAAAAAAAAAAAGAAAAAAAAAAAAAAGAGGTCATTATAAGAATTAACTCACACTGGCAAATGTGTCCTTAAATTCCTTTCATCCTGAGCTTATATGGAGTAAACATCAATGCCTGCTTGTACAGTCTACTTAAGAGCCACCGTGAGAGCTGATTTCCTTGGTTACCTACAGACATTTACTCTGTTAACAGTCATTTTACTGCATGCCGACAGAAAACCAAACACAAATCTATACTAGAAAGATAAACATATAGCTTGAAACCATGACATAATCTGCGTTCAAGGCGGTCAGCTGGGATCACTGCTAAACGTGCTTTTAAAAAGTTGCAAAACCAGGGTGAAAGTTCAAATGAAGTGCAGTGTGAGCAGGAGCGAAAAAGTTATATTACCAAACATAGTTTTGGTTTAGTTTTGTTACTCCATCCAAGAAAAATAGTTCAAACTCACAGTCTTTAAAGTAAGACTTGGAACCACTTCTGTTATTACCTCTACTCCTGCTTCTGGTTCTGCTGTGTGACCGGCTCCTGCTGCGATCCCGCTCTCTGTCTCTATCTCTGTCCCTGTCCCTCTCTCTGTCCCGGTTGCGATCTTTGCTCCAGCTGCGGCTGCGGCTGCGACTGTAACTGCGGCTGCGACCTCTCCTGCGGTTGTAACGATCTCGGTATGAGTCCCTCCTCGGTGGATTGCGGTCATAATCCCTTTTCCTGGAGCGGTCGTCTCTCTTTCGATCATCTCCTCTCCTACAAACAAGAAAGAAGGACTTTTTTTTTCCACTATCAAGAAATACAAGTTCCTGGAAGAAGGGGGAATCAAGGTGTGGATGGCGAACCTGGTATCTCTACTGTAGCGAGAGCTTTGCTGTGGGGGGCTGTGGTTCAAACGCCGTGAAAACTTCTTTTCCCTTTCTTCTTCCCGAGGAGTCTGAAAAATCAAAGTAACTTTTAAAAGGACACTGTTTATGTAAAATGAATTCTCATGTTGTTACTACACAGAGCTACTAACATATAAACCACATTGCTCTTGACATTGATTTAATTCAAATTCAACTTTATTTTTATGGCGCTTTTCAGACAAAAAAAAAAATGCAGTTTAAAGTGCCTCACAGTGGCTAAACCTGACCTTTCCACCCACACACTCACCCATGGATCCACACACACACACACACACACACACACACACACACACACACACACACACACACACACACACACAAAGACACCCACCCACCCTCACATACACACACCCAAGTGCACACATACTGTTCTTTCTGTTTTTTTTTTCTATGTCAGCTAACAGTGTCTTATTTCTATTCCATGCTGTATGGATGATCTTTGTATTTGTCTGTCACTGTGCTTCCATTTTTTTTTTCCTTGATCTGCCAGGGACTACACATGAAAATTAGCCATTGGCTAAATGTGGCATATTCACATTTTTATGTTCATTAATGTGCATTGTCCCTTTTAAATAAATAAATGAATGAAGAATTGAGAGTTTTAGATATATTGTTAAAGAGACATGGCCTGACACAGAGACATTGCGTGAGGAAAGAGTTACCTTTGGAAAACACTGGAGATAAAAGGATAAAAAATTGGTAAAAAAGAAAGACTAAAATCTGATGGACTAACTCTAACAGGAAAATAATAATAATAAATCAGGGGTGTCAAACTCAACCACAGCAAGGGCCGTAATCTGGATTTAGGTCTAACCTGAGAGCCCAACAGGGTCAACATTTCACCAAAACTGTCAACCTCCTTTTCAAAATATATATATATGAAAAAACAGCAATGATTATAAATCATTTATAAATTCCAAAAAGATAAGTTTAAAGGCAATCTGAGATAGAAAAAATTGTTTTATTTTAAATGTTATTCTAATTTTATAAATTCAAAAGATCAGATCATGATATTAAAAACAGAAAAATAATGCTTTTAAAGAGCAAATACATGAGGAGAACGTTGAAATCAGATTTGAAAGGTCAAAATATGACTCACAATTTAAAATTGGAATCTAAAGTATAAAAATGACACAAGTCTAAATACTGAGTTTAACAAAATCAAAGCATGAAATAAAAAATCCAATCATGTTTGACTAGTAATCTTGAAATGCAAAATTGAAAAAATTAAATAAAACACCAAATATTTTTCCCCCCACATTCTTGACTATTTATCAAATCTTCCTTACTCTTGAATTTCCCAGATTATCATGGTTTATTAAGGACATTTTAAATAATGGTGCTAAAGTTTACATTATTATACTGGAGAAAATCTGCAGACTTCATACTACTGGGCCAATAATAATAATACAAATATGATATGATCCTGTGGGCCACATATAATTGTTCCAGACTTGGCCCCGGGCCTTGAGTTTGACACCTGTGTATTAAATGAACAGGTAAGTAAGAGCTCTTTACCATGTAAATGGGGTAAAAGAAGTAAATACGTAAGTAAATGACTAAGAACATTAATGACAAATGTTGCTGTTTCAACCAGCAGCTTACCTCATCTTTTTTTGGTTCCTCTTTCTCAACTTTTAGTAAAGGAACTGGCTGCTCCGGCTGCAGGAGGTAGCTTTTGTTGTTAATAGCTTCAAAAAGCTTATCCACAAATTGCTGTGTCTCTGAAAAAAAAAATGGATGGTGCAATAAGAGGATGGCACTGACAATAACACATGTCGAATCAAATCAACCATAAGGAAATGAGTGAAAACTATTAGGATAAAGTGGATCACCTTTCTGAAGAAATACATCCAACTGGTCTATGCACAGGGCTTTAAGTTCTTTTTCACTTTTATCCTTCTTCACCAAAGCAACAACATATTTAGCCAGGGCAGAGGGGTCTGCATCACAGCTGGAAATGTGGAAAATGAGCATTAAACACATGATCAACGTGAATACGACTGAATTTTTTTTTTTTACCTATATGGCATTAAAAATAACATGCACGGTTATTGTTAACAGTTTCATACCGGCTGCACGTCAGGTTTGTTTAAAATAGTGCTAAACTATGTAGGACTGAGTGAGCTAGAAAGGCTAAAGCTACATAACTAGCAGCTCAGACATGACTACTTACATGGGCTCGAGGGTGTAAGACAGCCATGTTTTCAAGGCATCGAGGTTTTCAATAATCATCTTAGATCCAGCTGGACTCCCCTTTCACCACAGTCAGCGTGAAAGTGACCTGGTATGACCTTATCTGTTTAAAAGAAGAGCAAACATTAGCCTCGACAGTGTTTGTGTGGGCTGTGAAAAACCGCGTTCACATTAGCGAGCTCGGCTAACTCACGATAGCAGACGGACTTCAAGGCCCCAGACCTGTAACAGTATTCCTCTACTCTCGTTAGTTTTAAACATAGAAACTGAAACGGAACAAGGGTATCACGTCTAAAAGTTCAACCAGTTAATTGTGAAGGATGTAATTTGATGTTATCCGTAAAGCTGCACTTCCACTCACGCTACACTTGCTACTTTTAACCCCCTCTGACTAGCAAACATGCCATGGCGACTATTTACTTCCGATAGCCTCCGTTAGGGAAATATCGCGAGATTTTGATTTGATTTACAATACAAATACATAATGCAACAATATATAGCTCCTGAGTCAGCAGTAATGTATAGTATTCAAATATCATAATATTACCACAGATCTACATATATTATGTATAACGGGCACATGTTAAGCCTTACTGTTCTTTCACCCTTTGGTTTCACCCTTTGATGCTACTACTACTACTACTACTACTACTACTAAGAATAATGATAATAATAATAATAATAATAATAATAATAATAATAATAATAATAATAATAACTTTATTTTATAGCACTTTTAAAAACAGAAGTTTACAAAGTGCTTTGACAAACAACCGTAAAGCACAGAGCATAAGCACATGGAGATAAAAACAAATAAAAAACAAAAGCTCATTTAAAAACAAATCCTCCAAAGTGAAGGCTGATTTCATTTGCTAAAAGGAACTCAGACAATACAAGAACCCTACAACATAAAATGAGACCATGAGGACCAAAATAAAAACATAAAATAGGTAAGAAAAAGACGTAATGTAAAAGAGGGGTAAAAAGCAGGAAACAGGATAGCAAATATAGAAAGACGACTTTAATAATGATAATAAAATCGTAACAAAGTAATGATAAAATGAAATAACAAAAATGAGCAGGAAAAATAATATTAATAATAATAAGAGTCCTAAAAGGTTAAATAAGAAAAGATTATAAGTAAAACAAAGGCTAAAAAGACAGTAAGTCCAAATAATATAGAGGTAAATTAGATCTAAGATAAAAGAAAAAAACAATACACTGATATATACAAACAAATTCAAATCCATGTCTACCAAAGATAACAGCATTTTTTTTTCTTTTAAATGGTTATATTTTCTTTGAAATCAAGATCGATTCAGCTCTGTGATCCTTTCGGGAAAGAGTCAGAGGTATGTCCTGAGAAAGAACTGTTCACTGTGTCTTTCTTTTGCTACCATTATAAACTGAGACTTCAGTGAAACATCATCTCTTTTAAATGAAGCTTGGGAGTTAAATAGCCACTTACTTTCTAAAGTTGGAAAAATATAGACCGAAGTGTAACTTTAGACATGTGAGTGCAAGTTGTTAGATTTCATAATAAATGTGACAGAAAAGGTTAAGAAATGGTATTTGTGTGTGCGCACGCATCTATTAAATCAGTGCCACAGATGGACAACAGCAGTCCAAAAAAGTGGACAGTGCTTTGTAAAACTCTTAAACATAAGGGGACAAATGGTATTTATCAAGGCATAACAAATATTACCTGTGCTAACATTGTGTTTATTTTCATTTTAATTGCCATGCTATATACATGACTTTCAAGACCTTGCATCTGTATTTTCACAAATTTACATATTACAACCTTGAGTCTCAACAGTACAGCAATAACTAGATCATTTTATCATTATATACATTGTATTGGCACTTTTGAACAATGCAATTTATCAATATATGCATACATATTCTCCTCACTATTCACACTGAATCTGCTTATCACATTCAACTTTATTAGGACCTCCATACAGCCATTCTTGTGCCTTTCCAGTCGATGTTGTTGCAGTGTCTTCGAACGTCATGGGCTAATGTATCTCATAAAAATTTCAGCAATTGAAAAAGGGGCTTGGCAGTCACAATGAGCAATACTTAGGTTCACAATATTAGCATGAACTACACAACCAGCAGCTCTGTAAACAACCACTACTAAGCTGCAACTTCCCAATTTCTTTTATGTGATTTTTTAAAAATAATTTCTTACCATGTTAAAAAGTTTTTAAAAGTATTGTGGACTAAAGTATTTAGACAGAGATTATCACACAGTTTATGAAGTTGTTACTATATCATTTTTATTTTTCCCCAGTTTCACTGGAAGTAGAGTAGAAAAGGTACAGACAGAAAAAAAAGAGCAGATAAATACAAAGACATAAAATGTTTCCACTACCCTGCAAACTAATGGAATCCTTCTTAATGGCGCGGTCTGTCAACTGGTCCCTTCCCCTTCACATGCATTATCCCTCTCATAAAGTCAGTGGTACAATAATGGCATTCACACTAACAACACTCAACCAAAAATACTTTAAACATCTTATTTATCTTAATAAAGTCATGAAAAAATAGATACTTCAAAAGTTGCAAAAATATTACTTCTGATTAAATTTATCTGTATAGTCCCTCAGTTAGTGTTAACAAAGGGGAGAATTTAAGTTTATTATTTTGAGCTTTAAAACAGTTTTACTCGTATTTTTCACTTTAAAAAATATCTGTAAGAATCTAAGGCTTTAGTGTCATGTAAATGGATAAAATAATGCTACTTCAGCGGAGAGAGTTTCTTCTTCAGTCTGAATATAAACAAACTATGTACTGCTAAAAAAAAAAACATCTGCTACAAGATTTTGGTTTAAAACACAATCAAAAATAAAGCTCATTATATACATACTGTACCTCTTAAAAACAACACTCTGTCAGTACATTCATTGTTGCCACTTAACATTCGCAGTGTAGTTCAGTGAAAATCTTCCCCAAACTATGGGTGGAAATGTTGTGATCATATAATGATGCATGCGCACATTAGCCTACAAACATGAGTAAACAGTGCCATGAATGATACAGTGTTTGTATGAAGATGAAGATGAAAGTTCTTTTTCCACGCCCACTATTTTGAACAGAGCGAGTAAAAGGTGTAACAGTCTTAACTACTGTAATTTCACTTAGCACAAATAACAAACATGAAAGAATAGCTTTCGTCAAAACATCTACATCCGTTTTTGCATCTTTCTCACCCAGAATCAGGAGACGGTGAGAGGCACTTCTTTTTAGATTAAAAGTGAAGTCTCAGCTCAGTTTCTACAATCATACAGTGGAAGGTGTCCCAAAAGCAGTGTGATTAAAAACTTCTAACAACAAATCAGCGCGTTAAAATCAGCGCGTTAAAATCAGTCACTAACGTAAACCTTGTTGAGGAGAACAGGCGCCTAGTTCTTCCTGTCGGTGAACTGCAGGTTGATGGGGGCAGAGGGGCAGAGCAGGCCGTGGGTTTTAGCTCTGACATCAGCAGTGAGAGGAGACACACCGATGTGAAACTTTTGAATGAGCTGCAAAAACAGGCAGATTGACAGATCGTCAGTGGTGGACAGTAACAAACATGCTAGTAACAAACACACAAAAATCTCAATCAATTCATGTCATACCCTTGTCAGGGCAAGATGCATCTCTAACTCTGCTATTCTCCTGCCAATGCAGCTCCTGATGCCGTAGCCAAAGGGAATCGAGCCAAAGTTATCAACACGGTCTGTGGAGTCCTTTCTTATCCAGCGATCTGGACGGAAATCTGTAGCATCAGGGAAGTTTTCGTCATCCATCGATGTGTAGAAGTGACACAGAGCCAGCTGAGTCTAATAAAGAAAAGAAAAAAAAAACGATCAGTGTCAGTTGTGTAAGAAAAACAGCTGTGCAATTGTACAAGCAGCTGTAAAGGAGACAGGAAGAGACAGATGTATGAGTAATGCTGGATCATGTTTCCTCCAAGTCTATTGTAATTTTTTTTGGCTGCTTCCCACTTTTTCCTCTGCACATCCACACTCCAAACTTACATGTATCATGTCTGTATTGTTCTTACCCCTTTGGGGATGAAGTATCCACCCACCACCAAGTCATCTTGGGTGATCCGTCCGTTTCCTGGGAGAACTGGAAAAAGCCTGCTCCCAGGGAGAGACACAAAGACTTGTTATTCAACAGCCCCAAACATTATGCTTTCCAAGAAGCTTAATCCTGGTAGAAATGGACTAATTGAAGAGAAGAGAAATAGCAAATTAAACATACTCCATCAAAGGCAAATAATATATATATTTTTTCACTTTTCCAAAAAAGAGTGTACAAAAATATAAAGAAACCCGAGACCTTCACAGCAAGAGAAGAAAAAGCTTGAAAGAGAACATTCAGTCCTCACCTGAGAGTCTCTTTGACAAGTCCTCTGATGAGAGGAAGACGAGAGACATCATCCGCTGTGGCGACTACTCCAGGTCCCAGAGTCTTGGTCACTTCTGTGAAGATTTGCTCCTGTACTTCAGGGTTTCGGGCTAACAGGTAGGTGGCCCAGGACAGGGTGAAAGATGTCTATGAGAATAGAGAGGGTATGTTATACTTTCAAGAACTGATCCCCCTTATGGGTCTTAGTATCATCTTTTGTATTGAATATTTGTGTGCCATTTTTGGATGAGGTTTTGTAACAAGTTTATCTGCTGATACAAGGGTTTTTATGTTGTTACGAAAGTGTTAGGAAATTGTGAGGAGTGTTGAGACAGAAGGGACTAAATCCACATACTGATCAGACACTGAGGTCCAATCCTCCAGCTGCACTTTATCTCTCTCAGCCCCTTATCCCTCAACTTACATCACTCACCCCGTCATCCATTCTCACTCAAACACACGTGACTCAAGTGTGACATTCCCGAAGCATATTTCTGGCATGTAGTTTACAGTAAAGTTGCAAAAGATGAACAGGATTTTGAATAATCCTGTTAGGCAATCCAGAGGAGTGAATTTTCAGTTGAAAGCATTTGGCCTGCCTCTGCAAACACCCTGGTCATTTTCATCTGCTGTCTTTCCAACACGCTCACTTCAGATATCTCTCCACTTCATTGTTCCAGCTCTTCCTTTTCCGATGACATTTTTACTTCAGCAACGTTGGCAGAAGAGCATTGATATGTAAATCAGTCGTATTTCCTGTATTCAAACTATATACTGTAGATGCTCTGCCATTTCATAACTGCCCCATCTCCCGCCTCCCTTTCCCACAAATCCACCTTCCCACTCTGTCACCGCCCTCTCCCGCTCATCTACCCACCATGCATCTAATCATCCCCAGCTGGGACCGATGCTGGCAACACCTCAGACAAAACCGAAGCGGAATCATATGACAAAAGCTCACCCAAACATGTCTCTCATGCTGCTCCCCCCTGTGCCCTCCATCCACTGGTTCCAACATCCACCAAATCCCCCGCTCCTCCCTCCTTGTGACGTTGATTCCCAAATCTTGGCCATTTTATAACAGCGTCCCTCTTCTTCAGATCCCACCCTCCCTTATTCTCCCCCCCTTGTCTCACCTTTGCCCAGTCTGTGCTATAACTCTGGCTGTGGCTAACGTGTCTTGACAGCTCTTGTGTGTGCTGAGTAAAGGCAAACGCACCACAGGGTCAGGTAATGGCTCAGCTAAGTCCACCCCCTGCAGGGACGTGGCCGTTGCAACAAGTTTAACAAAAACACACACCCTTTTATCCAGTGGGCCCCAAGCTTAGAACAAAACACTCCACAGCCATAACTCTTATTAATCTGACAGTACCCCAAACAAATTAGGCAGCGACTGTGCACGCAGTGTGCACACAAATGCAAATTCACACACATGTACCGGACGAGTGTGGGACAGCTGAATAATCTTTCATGGTGGGCATTGTACACTGGCCTTTTCTTAACATTTGGAAGCATTGAAGGATAAATATTAAAATATTTATCTCTTGACTTTTGCTGTTGAAGGTGTACGCAAAAGTAACCAGGGCCCAGATATTAAGCTCCTATTTCCTTGTTCTGGATTTGCTTAAAAAAAGTGAGCAGAATAAGTTGTCAACATATCAGCACAAACCACAAATGTACAGCAGAGGGGGGAGAGAAAAAATGTTCCCCTCTGTAGATCTTACAGTCTGAGACAAAACAACCAGAAACTAAATCTGAGTGAGAACAAGTTTGTCAGTGGGATACTATCTCACCCCTCGATTCACTGCTCTGACCCGACGCTGGCACAGATACACAGGCACAGATGTGGCGCCAGAAACCCAACCCCTGAAACTCAACACTGACTCAATTACACACACACACATACATACACACTCAGACAGTAACACACGTGCAACCCTCAACCCCTCCGCACTACTTTACCTCCTCTCTGCACATGTACAAACTCCCACAAACACACTCACCGTGTCCACGCCCGCCAGAAGCATCTCCGTTACATTGGCATAGATCTCCTCTAAGGTCATCTCCTTGGTAACAAGCATGTGAGTGAGTAGTCCACCCTTCACTTCCTCTCCTCGCTCCAGCTGGTCCTTAATCGCTGAGAGACGCTTATCAACGTGAATAAGGCCTGGGATTATTAGACAGAGACAGAGAGAAGGTGGGATGAATGGGAATGGGGAGAGGGGGCAGACGAGGGGAGGTGAGGAGGAGCAGGGAGGTGAGGGGAAGGAAAAGAAGAGAGAACAGGTTATGTAACAGAGGGACCCCATACTCCCACAATCCCCTGGTACAACAGCAGAGATTTATATGCAAATCTACATTCCTTTCTATTGATGCCAGGCTTTTCATCTTCAAAAAGTTTGCCTACCCTGAGTAGACCTGAGCCTTTGTGTTTTGTGCTTCTAAAACTTACACAGAGAAAACATTATCTAACATGTTTATAGCCGGAAAAACTTTTTTTTTTTTCCCAGCGTGAAGTCTTTGCAGATAAAAGAGCACAGGAAGCATGAATAGCAGGACTTCAGGTTGATCTGCGCTCTGTCCCAGCTGTTTACAAAAAGATACTACACAAAAAGAACCCTTGTGTAAAGAGGAGAAATTCAATAAAAGGCAAAGTGGTCACTACAGGAAGAGACCAAGAGTCTCTAAGAGAGGCTGGATCAATTTTACATGTGATGATTAGTTAACTTATCAGGGTCTGTTCCCCTCAGACTGTGAAAATATGTAACAGGTCTGGTCAGAGTTACCTCAGCTCGGGTTAGTTTCGTAACAGAGTCCCCATAGCATGAGTTTTAATTTCCTTTTTCTAATCTGCTTCCTGAGAGTTCTCCCATTTCTGAAACATCCTTTTTTTAATGCAGAAGTCTACCAGCAGATGGTTCACTGGAGAAAAAAAAAAAGTCTGCTAAAAAAGTATTTTTGTACTCTACATGTTCAAACAGTCAAAACACCTACTGAATCTGAAGAGGCCATCCCAGGAGTGACAGAACTCCTCCCACGGTTTGGGAATGATGGGACGGAGCCATTTGGGGATCGCCCCTGCGTACATGGTCGTCTTAAAGGAGCTGAACATGAGGTGAAGAGCACCGATGTAGTCCTGGGTGTCTTCAGGGATCTTATCTTCCAAGCAGCCTAGTCGGCATTCATATAAAATGGCTGCCACACCTGGAGAGAAAGACAAGAAGAAGAGGGCAGAGATTCAGTAACTTTTTATAGTGTATTTACAGCTGCAGCAGAATCTGATAGAAGGTCATGATAATATTTTGAACATTTTAACATTATGGTAACTTAAGGAGCCTTTCGAGATCGTTACCAACCTTCCATAGCATATTTGAAGAAGAGATCATTCACATTGAGAACAGTAGCTCCATCGATCTCCTGGGTGCGCAGAATACAAACTCTCTTGATCAGGTCATCTACTACTTGGTTCACATCATCGGAGAAGACTGCAACATCACGGGGACGCATGATGAGCTGCCTGAGCACACTTCGCATCTTCAGCCAATCTTCACCCTCACTAATAAATCAGAACAGGGCAAAGTTCACACAGCTGAACTTTGGGAGTAACAAATTATAGATCAAAATCATTCAATTTAGAGAAAACAAGGTTTAAAAACTTCAGGTTTTGTGTCAAATGAGGCTTAATGTCAGGGTATACATACAAAAGGAGAGTGTTGAGATGTAATGGAATAAAAATAAATCATAAAAAAGTTATTTGCAGACTCCATCAACACTTGTGGAAGCTAGAAAATTCAGCTGTCAAACTGCAGGTCATTTTTTGAAGGAGCTCTCTCTCTCTAGACACAGAGTTCAAAGGGGACTTACGCCGAGATGAGGCCTGTGGCACGGCCTCTCATGTCTCTGTACTCCTTCCAGGACTCCATGTTAGCTCTCTGAGGGGCCTCACGTTCCGCCCTCAGCACCTCAGCCACCAGATCCCGGTCTGCCACAGAGACCACCAGCTGGGGCCCAAAACGTGATTTGAAGATTTTGCCAAACTTCTTGCAGTGCTCCATCTGTTCATTTATGGGAAACAGATACTTTAATTTTTGAAACCATTAATTTTACACATGCAGCACATGTCACTGTTTTAAAGTCCTGTATAAAATAAATAAGTATAAAGTAAGCATCATGGTCTTTCTTATTTCAGAGATAAAGGATTAACGTCATTTATACAAGGCGGGCATTTTCTGTTGAATACCACAAGAAAAAGCTAAAAGCTCGAGTACATTTTTAAAAATGTATTTAATCTTTAAATTGAACATTATTATGTACCAGTCATGTCAGTTTGAATGTTATTAAAAGTTGTGACAATAGTAGTAGATTGTTCTCACAGCTGGACTTAACCTGCTCAGTTCAACTGGTGATCATGTCTTACTTAGTGAAGACTTAACCGGAGAAGACCTCTGTCACCTCTTGTCTGAAGTGCCTTACTTTAATATTTTCCAAAAATATATACTATTCTTGAAGTGAAAATGATACAATGATGTCAAACATTTCTGTAAAAGAATCAAACTCTTATAATCTGGTCATGGGAAATGACTAAAGATACACATTGAATATTTTACATAGCATCACAGTCAAAACAAACTTGTATTGAAACACATTTACAACTTATTGAAAGTGCTGAATTTTTTTTGAAGAAGAGGTGATTTATTATTTTACTTTCTTTTTTTGTCAAGAATTTGGGTCCTTACAATAATATCACTGGTTTGTGTTAATCCTAAACCAGCCCCAGACGCTAAGTACTTTAGTTTGCTCTCCTAACTCTTGCTCTTGGTGGTCAGCCAGTTTCTGCCATAATAAGTTCAAAATGTTAAGATTTTTATCCCATAGACTGAGACCAAAACGCTTGAGTAAGTACAGAAAGCACTCTGAGTTGTTTCGTGTAGCTTTTCTGCAGTCTTTGAGGCTTAGTGTCGACTTCAAAGCTGTCAAGCGTCCAATCTTCTGCGGTGCGCTTTTACGCAACGTTGGTGCCATTTTACGCATAGGTGTCAAAGTTGGCAAAGGATGAGAATAAACTGGCACTTTGCCAGTGACTGAGAGCACATTGAGTTGATTGTATCTGATACCCTAAAACAAATAAAGGGGAATGTATGGACATTACTAGCCTACCTGGATCTCATGAATTCTGCTGAACCCATCTCTCCAGAAGAACTCCACCAGGTTGGACAGGGTGCTGGGTCCCGGCATATCCTTCAAAGTCTTGACTGCAGTTTTCACGCCGGCATCTGACGGTGTGATCAATCTTTCGGCCATGGCTTCTTCTCTAGCTGTGGACATCCCATAACTCTCGCTGGCTGCAGACTTATGCAGGGCACGGACAACGAAGAAGAGCTGATTGTGTAGCCGGTCGCCTTGAAAATTCCTCAGGCACGCTGTCGTGAAATTATTCAGCAGTGCCATTTTTTGTGAGATTTTTGATTCGGTGAACCCAAACTATCAATGACTTGAGTGCTCTTAAAAGTCTTAAAGGAAAGAGTTTATATCTGCAAATGCATACTACTAGCACGTGCAACCGTAGTCGTCCCCGAGCGTCAATAAAATGTTGGATAAGTTTGTATTGTGGATCGCTTTTAAAGGGTTCCTTGCACAACCTCGGAGGTGAAATAGGATTGGATGTTCGCTTTTCAGAAAAGGAGGGATGACTCTGTATTCGGATGTGGGCGTTTCCTGCCCCAAAAAAGCTGCTGAGTCCATTGTTTCGTTGGAGTATTACGTGCCAAAACACAGTTACATCACCCCAATCTATAAAGTAAATAAGTAATCAATCAAGCTTACACTCTGAATAGAAATCGGTGTGATCACATGGAGTAAAGGATATGTTTATCTTATTAAGAAAACGAAGTGGGATCCCTCCCACAGCGTGGCTCATAGAAGCACATGCACAAATCAACAGCTGCTTACTCTCACCCTTGTTAGCTCATGAGTTTGTTAATGTTTAGTGGATATATATTATGAAACCCTGATAGACTGTATATAATGTGTGGAAAAAGTTATGCAAGTGTGGAGCTCAGAAAAGGTGAGTGTAAGTTACATTTATCTTATATCTAACAGACTATTAAACCTCTTTTGGAGGTAAATAGTATTCTTATGTCCCTGATTTGGAGCTTTAATAAGTGAATTTATTTCTGCTTTTGAACTTTTGGTTGCTTTCACAACACAGAAGGAAAGCTGGCCATTTTTTGGTCCAAACAGTTATTATTATCTTAGCTTATAGAGACAACATCATTCACAAAGAATACACAGTAAATCTGCAATTTTCCTCCTTTACATTGTGATACGGTGTACTTTTTAATTGCACACTCTCACTCATACTCTTTTCCTCTCACCAGACATGTGAAATCAAATCCTCTTAACTGCTCTCAACCCAATCCTGACGAACACAGACTCTCGTATAAGATACAAAACAGAGTCCACTGACATGACTGCAGCTGTAGTCCAGTGAGGGGTGACAAGACAGGCTGGGGTGGATATTTTCCCACACTCACCACTTTGGCAGCTTTCACAGACACCACCAGGCTTTAGATGTTGTTCTTGGACTCTTTTTGGCTCTCTAATTCATCAACAAGCAGAAAGAGAGGACCTCCAACTGGTCACCCCTCTCTGGCTCTGGCTTTTACCCATGTCACGTCCAAATACAGCTTAAAATTGTCCTTCCAAGCAGTTTTGGGGAAAAAACTTTCAGCTGCATTTGATTTATTCGAGTGATAAAATAGATGTGTGATCTGAGAAGGAAATGCAGGTAAGAATAGACTCCTTTTGTCATTATTTTTTGCTGACAGAGACAACAATAACACATGTGTTTTTTTAGATTTAACAGAGAAAATAAGAATAATTTTGAATTTCAATCAAAATCAATTTCACAGACAAAAATGTCAATTTTGTCATTAACTATTCCTCCTTTGCTCAATGAAAAGCATGCTTCTGATTTGCCCTTTTGCTCAAAGATCTGACAGCATCCACATTGGAGACAATGTCCATCACTTTGATATCAGGCTATCCCAGAATGAGCACAAATTCCAAGTTCCTTATGTCACGCTCTACTGTACATTTACAACCCCAGTTGGTTCACACAAGGACAGTGTAAATAATTTGACTAGGGCATTACTATAATGATTGACATGGTTTATAACAAACTGATTAAAGTGATCAGAGTTTATAGGACTCTTATCAGACCAGAGGCAGTTTCAGGAGGAATGTATTATAGCAAGACAAAGATAAGATAATCTGACTGTGATCCATTTTTGTGTCTATATAAACACCTTAAAATGCTCTCTGTTACTTCATTGGTAGAGCAGAGAGGAGATACGTAATTAATGGTTAGATAACTTATTGGTGTGCGTTCCTACTGGCCAGTTTGGTGAACGTGGCAGCCAGATAAGATCAGGCCATGTAACATAAAAGCATTATGAACTAGTTTATTCTGCAAATCAATAACTTCGAGCTGTATTTGAAGTTCTGTTAGATTTACGTCTATTGCTTCTGTTACATAGAACCATGAATGTAAGGTTTTGGGGTCAAAGCGATTCCATTGCGTAAATGAAGAGTTGAATTTGCCCACAGCAAAAAACACAAAAGGTCTTGGTTAAAAATAAGTGCGTCACATAACAGTTTATACAACCAAAATCTCATAATCTTAAAGCTGCTGCAACACTCACCTCTACAAATGACGTTTTGTAATGCAGTCATTGTTCTGGAGAGCCATCCTGTCGGCATCAACTAATTTGGGCCCAATTAGGAAATTCAGGGCCACGGTCTCTGAATCCTCCCTGACCAGAGTGGTGGTGAAACCCACGTGAACCTTTGAAAATATTAACGATTTTGACATTATCATTCATTTTGCCATTCCGTTATCGAGCTTTATATCCACACTCATTTTAATTCTCATTGTTGATGTGTTAAAAGCGTAAAATTGATTAACCAAGCTGGAGTAAACATCCAAAACAAGCTTTTTCCTATACAACAGGACATGTAAAACAACAACTTGGCTCTAAACAATCAGAATTTTCTAATATAAAACTTAAAAAAGAGAAAAGAAATGAAAACAGGCAGCTGTAGTTTAATCAGGAGACAATTAATACCTGAATATTTTTAGCTTCAAAAGTGCAAAATAAATACAAATTTTTACTTTTAACACACACACACACACACACACACACACACACACACACACACACACACACACACACAAAACGCTTTTCATCGGCATTTTTCCTCCACTGATTGCACAAACACCCACTACGATATATTACACTAGAAATGATTCCATCCACTGCTGAATGGCTGAGAGGAGATAGACACAATTATCATGGTATAGTGATGCACAGAGTGCAGATAAGGTAACTGCAGAGCCTGACTCAGGCCAGGCTCTAATCTTCATTATGTTTTACAGAGAAGTGATTGAAGTAATCTGAGTTTATGTGCTTTGTCTTACAAAGAGCTGGTATGTGGAAGAATGTGTAATCACCCGCAAAATTAGGAGAAGATAATCTGATCCTATTGTTTTTGACTGTAGAAACACCCCTATAGTCAGAGAGCAGGAGAGTTCAGCTGTAGCCCACACATGGGTAGATCCCGGGCTGTATGAGTTCATTCAGTGTCACAGACTGTAAATCTATATCAGGGTTGCTTTCTTTGCATCGGAGATAACTTCGGTGTCAGTGGGTTACTACCTTTGAAGCTCTGGCATTTAAGGGAAAGTGAAAGAGCACGGACTCATGAACAAAAGTTAAATATCAGGCTTACTTTGGTATGAAACACCATTTAATGACTTAAAGAAAGGGCAGTTATCCTTACTAGCCACCACACCTATTATGTATGTCTAATAATGTCAACAAGTGCAGGGTTTAACTATACAGATTGAAGTTCATCCACGGGTCATATCGGGTTAGATTTTAACTGTACATTAAATTGACTCACCTCAGCAAATTGAACTTTGGCTTTGCAACCATTATCCTACATCTGCAGTAGAACTTCATGGAGCGAGCGTGTTGACCAGACTTTGGATACAGTTATTCACGGGATAGTTCGGCCAATCTGGGATTTTCAATAACACCTTTAGTGGGAGTGAAAATAATCAACTGTGAAGATGTCAGAGAGTTCAGGAGGAGGCTTATGGTTTCAACTCCCTTATTCCATAATCTATCAAAAGCATGATTCCTGAGACCAGCACTATTTATTTTATACATCAGCAGACTTTGTCAAAATGTTAATGCTCATTTCTGGTTTTAGGCTGCTGACAAATTATGATAATTCATTGTGTCTACACCAACCTTTGCTGTTTATTATCTATAACTTGCTTTCTTTTACACTGTTACACATTTATTGGTTATACATCATGCCTTATTCTCCTGCTTTAAGTGATATTTATTTTTTTAGATAGGGCTCCATCCTAATGATTAAAATGAATTTCATCATCATCAACATCATCATCATCATCATCATGTGGCCTGTAAAAACAAAAATAAACACAGGTAGAGCTTCTGGTATTTAGACTTTAGGAAATCTGTTATTTCATGAACACAACATATTGAACAACATTTGAAAGAAAGAAAGAAAAAAAATGGACCAGAACAAAAGAAGTGAAAAATCATCTAAGACCAGTGTCTGCAGTGGATGTTAATGGTAAAATTTCCTCATATCTATGAACATTTGTCTGGGCAAAAATGGAGAACACATCCTGGGTTTTCCTCCTCAGAAATAGTTGGCTGTGAATCAACTATAAACAGCAGATAAGACATGTTGTTCCATCCATGTTATAAGGGGCAAATATCACCTACTAAATACTGATACTCATCAGTTCACTTCCTATACAAACATAAGAGGCTGAAATCCACTGCAAACATCCGGTCAAGCCTGAAAGGTCAGATTAAATTTTATACACAAATTCAATCTTGAAACAGGCAACCACTGCAGAGCTGCATAATGGCTACAGCACGGCAAATAGTGGCCGACATTTAAGACAGAGAATGTAACGCATTTCATCCGAGAAAACTGTGGCCAACATCACCAAAGGTATGAAGTAGAGCAGTTGAGTCCAGTGCAGACATCACAGGCTGCACTCTCAACAAACAAACTCTTTCATTACCAGATATCATCAGCTTCAGACGATCACAAGTTATTGTTCAGTTCTCCAGACCAGCTGGACTCTTTGAATCTGCCTTCCTGTACGCTTCCTTTCAGTGGCTATGATTAAGACAGTGCATCTACTTTCTGAAGCGCTTGAACAGTGGATGAACATTCTTGCCCATTGCAGAGGCTTTGCTTCCTCGACTCTGATACTCCATGTAGACGGTGTCGTCTGCACCCGACATGGAGCTCATGGTGCCTGGTCGCCTGGAAAACTGTTGGCAAAAATGAGGGAAATGCAAGAATAAATTGCACTGATTACAAGTATGCAAAGGCAATGAGGTACAAAGTGTTTGAGTCCAAGTTGGATTTCATGATCTTCACCTGTGGGCGTCCTCCGACCTCTCCTACCACCACCTCCTCCTCAGCATCCAGGTCTGAGGCAGCCATGACCTTCTGCAGCAGCTCCTGTTGTTCATCTCTGGAGGAAAACATCAAGTCCTCTTCCTCCATTCCTGCTAACTTGGTGATCACCTGTGGAAAAAAAGGAGGAAAGGGAAAAACATAAAATCTTCAGTATGAACAGGTTAAATTTTTGTGAAATTATTGTGAAAATGTGTGTAAAACAAACCTTAAAGCTGTATCCCTGGTCCACCAGGAACCTCTGCCTCTTGGTGGAGTAAGCCATCTCCTGGGTGTCCTGCGACACCAGTGAATAGAAGTATGCGTTGTACTCCTCAGCCACCATTCCTAAAAGAGCAGAGAAGTGAAGTAAATATAATGTCTGTTCACGGATGGGAGAAAACAACAAAATAATAACAGCATGTGACACTAAGAAGGCAAAGAGTTTCCTCACCTTTCTTGGCTCGTAAGACTCTGCCAAGTCTCTGAGCCTCCTGTCTGCGTGATCCTCCATGAGAGGAGATCTGGATCAGAACGTTGGCTTCTGGCAAGTCAAATGAAGTGTCTCCAACCTGTTTGGCGGAGGGGATTGTTTACAAATGCACACACATGGGTCCTACCTCACAGCCCCCAGTAGAAAGATTTTATAATGCAAAGCTGCTCCAGCTTGGTCAGGTTGCAAGGACATCCTCAGTTCCCTTTTAAAAGTGTAGTCATAAATTTACACTCAGGTTGAGATAAGGACTCAGCCACTTCAGGGCATTCACCTTGCTGTTTTTGGAGTCCTCCCTCCACAGCTTTTGCGTTATGTTTCAGGTCACGGTCTTTCTCTCCTGCCAGGCTTCCCCAGCATTTTACTGCTTTCACTGATCTTTTCACAAACTAGCTTACTAGGAACTGTAGCAAATAAGCAGTTATGGGAAAAGTAGGTCTTTCAAGGAAATTGGTAGTCTTTTAAAACCTAATCGAGCTTAGCAGGAAAACTGCAACATGCTTTTTCAGTTTGTAAACAACAGATTTTTCACCCCAAGAGCAGCTGAGGTGATGGGTGATATCCTGACTCTGGCACTGCTTAAATTAAGATCATTGTTTGCAGGGGAATGATTTCAGTAATCTGAGTTTAGAGGATTTGTATTAGACAGGGAAAGCTGTAAAAAACAATGCCTAAAATCACGCAGGATTTAAAATAAGACAATAATCTGCTTGTAATCCAATTGTTTGCCCATGGTTGTTGGAAGTTAGTCAAAACTGAGGTTGCTGAGAAAGTCTGTCCAAATAAAAAGCTGTATTTTGTGGTTTTAACATTAATTTAGTTCATTTAAACCCTTAAATTGAAATTTTTTTTACACAAAAACAGAGAATAAATTTAGATACTGATACACACGTCAGGGCAGCCAAAGAAAAATGTGACAAATCCAGCAGGAACACATGCATATATGAAGACGAGGAGAGACTGCCAATGCAAAGAGATGTCACTGACGACCACTTCATAACGGTGCATCTTTATAAATGAAAGAGGAGATGAGCTGGGAAGAGCATATCAATGCCTTGTCCTATGTTTGACCTGTTCTTATGAGGCAGCCACATTTTTCCCTGTTAGCAGAGACTCTACTTTGTGCCACAGATGATACATTTTGCTGATAAACTTTAGACTTCTTGTCCTTACTCCTGCCCAAATTTCACTTTGTCTGTTTCCCTACAATGAAACTCAGGCAATCAGTGATTTCAAAATGATTAAACTGATATAGTATGAAACCTCCAAGTGGACAGTGCAGAAATAAATTCACAGACACCAGCTGACACTAGGGGTGGGAATCACTAGTGGTCCGACGATAAGATATTATCATGATACTTGAGCCACAATACGATATTACTACAATTTTTTCAACACAATACAGTGAGTACTGCGATACAATATATTGCGATTTAAACAATCTTTTCAACTGTTTAGCTAATTTAGCATTTGGCTTTCCTTTATGTTTGTCTTAATTACGCTGCATTTCATTTTCATGTAGCACATCTTGCAAACCTTTAGATATATATTTGTTGTACTAACTTTCTCCTGCTCTATGATGTCACCTCTGCCAACCTCACAGAACAAATTGTTGATTTTATTTTTACATTTTTATAGATTTGACTTCATATTAGCAATTAATTTAAAAAATCGATACTTGGTAAATGAGACGATATGATATATGACCAGACAAAATATCGCGATACTTTGCTGTAGATTTTTTCTTCCACCCCTAGCTGTCACTGACTTTAACTCTCTCTTCTGTCCTGTTTGGCAGAAGGATTGTTGTCGTGACAGCTTTTTCTACGTGTGGTGTGTTGAAAAATCTTTTAAAACACTTTCGAAGTGGTTGGGAGTGATAAAGAAGCTCTTCTGTAATGCTTTGAACCTGTTAATATATCAATCACAGCTTGGTGACTTCAAAAGCACAAGTACCTATACTTTAGCTACAGTATATCAATCAATCTATCAGACTTTATTTATAAAGCACCCTTCATACAATGATGACGCAACACAAAGTGCTGTATATAAAAGGAAAGGGAAAAAATAACAATAATGTCCCTGTAAAAAGGGGGAAATATACCTTTTAATTTTGTTTTTTAAGCTAGTGATTTTTACTAAGACTGATTTTTGGGACAGCTTTATCACCTCTCTATTCTACCTGATCCTTGAGTTTCTACATATCTCAACACACCAATCTGTGATAGAAGTTTTAGTGATAGAAATACTGGAGTGCCCTCTACTGGCCACATGGTGAAAAACGTCGCTGAACGTGCCAGTCTATTCAGAAGACAGTGCAGTTAGTTAAAAAAACGATTGGTTTACCTTGGAGATAAAAATTGTGTTGATCTTGGGGTTGTGTTTGAAGTTCTGTAAAATCTGCATACGTTCCCCCTGTGAGGTTGGCCCGTAGATGTAAGGTCTGTTTTAGAAAGTGAGAGGGCAGAAGTAGACGTGAGGAAACCCTAACTGGAAAGGAAAACTCAATCTGTCGCTCTTTTTGTAGAAAACTTACTTGTTGAGGCGGATGGCGTATTCCTTCAGGGCAAACACGTTGTCAGCAAAGACAATAATCTTGTCGTTGCGCCGCTCGTGGAAGCGAATGAGAAACTGGCACATACGGAACTTGTTGGGGTTCATGGTATAAAAAAGGATGCGCTTCTTTGTCTTGATGGCCACATAATTTCTGTAAAACTCTGGAGACATTGGGCACCACACCTGAATTATATAGAAAGGGACAATAACCAGGAGGCTTTATCAGCATGAAACAGGCTCTCTTAATAACACAGAAGGCTGAAATAAGTGCTTCCCCCCCTTAGAAAAAATATAAAACTGTGCATCTATCAAGTCTTGGCAAAAACCCCAAAACAAAGATCAACAAAGACTTACTTCTGCACACTGCACTTTAGCGATGTAGCCATTGTTCTGCAGCTCCATCCAGTTCGCCTCAAAAAGCTTCGGTCCAATCAGAAAGTTTAGATCCACAATCTTGTCATCTTCTCTGACCAGCGTGGCAGTGAGCCCCAGTTTACAGTGTGCCTGGACGATGGTCAGCACACGGCGGAACATCTTGGCTATAGAAGACGCACAGAATATAAGTTTGTAGATTGACTGTATCCGTATCAAGTGTTTCCATCTAACAGCGATCAGATACATTCATTAAAATATTCACTTTATTCACACATGGACTCTACTTGCTCACCTGGGATAGTGTGCACCTCATCCAGGATAATAAGTCCCCACTCCTGGCTCCTCATCCACTCCATCACCCTCTCAGCCTCCCAGGAGCGCTTGGTGGTGTGACCCAGCATGGAGTAGGTGCTGATAGCCACGGAGCAGCCGATGGGCTTGTCCTTGGCGTCTGATGTGAAGCGACAGATCTGAGAGTCATCGATCGTGGACCACATCTTGAACTGAGCCTTCCACTGCTCCACTGACACGGAGGAGTTACCCAACACTAGGCAACGTTTTCGCACAGTGCACGCCGCTGTCACACCTACGAGGGACTTTCCAGCTCCTGATAAACAAAGAGGAGACAGATACTAATTATTTGAAAGTAAATAAAGTGCATGAGTGCATCCTTTGTTTGGCACAGGCTGAGTAAATATTAGTTCAGCCTTTTATATCATACATCATACACACAGTTTATGTAACTTTCACCGTTTCACATTTCAAGATTGTGTTGTAAAAACACTTTTTTTTGTTTTGTCCATCCAAAGCTGCTGTCTCACCGCAGGGCAGAACGATGACCCCCGAGCGAGCACGTCCGTTCCCAAACATTTTGCGTAAGCTCTTTTCCTGGTAGGGTCGCAGCACAGCGGTGGGCTTCAGGTCTATGTTGATATCGGGATTGACCGTGTCATTGCGGAAGTCGTACTCCGCCAGGAGGGGGTACTCCAGCTGGATACATCGCTTCTGTAGCTCCTCAATCATCTCCTGCACCGGGTGAGAGCAGGATACAACAGAAGTGAGCAGGACACTCAAGATAAATTTGGCTTTTGATTTAACAAAAGCCACAGACCCTTAATGATGACTTTAAGAGACAAGTGAGAAAACACCCAATCTATTTATTTTTTTACTGTAGAAGCCAGCTGGCTCAAATGTTTTTTTGTTTAATAACCACAAATAATCCATAATCGTACCTTCTAGTAACATTTAACAAAGAATACATTAAAGGTGTAATCTTAATTTCCCATCCTTCAGGCACAGATGTAAATCAAATATCTGAACTTTGAGGACTTGTTAGACCAAGCAAAAGTCCTCAAATGGTCTAGTATCTGGACAATTGCATAAAAATATTACAAAAGGATGGAAATGTTGTACTTGATTCTTAACTTTTATCAGCAGCAGAGATATTGAGTGTGCCGCAGCAAAACAGCAAGTAAAAGGTGAAATCAGAAGTGTTTACCTGGCGAATCTCAAAGGACACAGTCTGAGTCTCTTCCTCCTCTTCTTCCTCTTTATCCATCTGCTCGTAGTAACTGAAGATGTCCTCAGGAACCTGCTGGGTTGAAGTTTGTCCATCGGCAGGCTGCTCTGCAGTAGAAGTACCTCCTTTTTCCTGAACAGACTTGGAGATCTGTGAGGAGAAGAAGGACATCATGGTTGACATTCACTTCAGTTAGATGGTACTGAAAATGACAGGTTAAAAAAATTCTTAAGCTTCTAATAAAGAGTGCATTGATTAATTTTTTTAGGAGCTGTTATTTGGATTTATGTGCTTTTTTGAGAGGATAGGATGCTGGATACAGTCCAAAACTGAGCAGAGAAAGTGAGTGACACAGTATGGAAGTTAAACCTGAAGCCAAATTTAATATTTTTTATTACTAAATGTATAAAATCTTAATATCCAGTGGTCATTGCAGCACCACCTCTTCTTCAGATTACAATAACAATGGATTTAGGAGTGCTTAAAGCTGATATTCATTCTTTGTTATGTTTGTGTGTTAGTTAAACAAGATGTCGGGCAGCATACCGCAGACTTGCTGTGAATGACTTCAGTAATGAGCTCTGTATCCGCCCCGTCTGCAGTGCGAAGACGACATTCACGGATCACGTTATCTTGCAAAAGGCGCTGGATCACATCAGGGAAGGCACTCTCCACAAAATACCTGAGGGCAGCAAGACAAATAGTTTCAGTGGAGCGCTGAAGGAAATGATCAATGATCATAAAACAGAAGAAACGGATGTTGAAATAAAATGACTTCACCTGTTGTGCTTTAACACCAGCTTGACTTTGCCATAGCTCACTGTGCAGAGCTGCAAATAGACAAGAGTTAAATGCACTGACTAAATGACTTTGTTTTGTTTTTAAGACTTAAAAATTAAAAGGAATATTACAACGTAAAATTAAGCTAGGGTCAAACACACTGTAACACCGAGTTAGACACCCCGTCGAGAGATGAATGTTGCCGACCGCTTGCTTCTCTAGTTTTACCAACTTTAGTAACGACTGCACAATAGCAATACAGAAAGCCATGCGCTCAACCAAAACGCCACTCCATAGCCACAAATAATGCTTGGAACAGCACCTAACTTCATCAACAGTACATATAGGGTCCTGGCCATCAAACATCTTTTTAACTTTGCCTAATTTCTTTAGCAAAGAGATTAAACACACCTCACCCATTCTCTTCCAGCAGCCGCCTGTTTGTGGCGAGACCTCAGGACAGTCTATTACAGACTACTGTGGGGTGACGCAGCTCAAGGAAGAACATTTATGATCATTTCCTCATGGAAATGCAATCAGACTGAGAGGCTAAGGCAGAAGAACTACTGTGTCTGCAGTGCAAAATGATTAATATGGTGATTATTACTTCAAGGAAATGATAAAGAAATGATCATAAATGTTCTTCCTTGAGCTGCGTCACCCCACAGTAGTCCGTAATAGACTGGCCTGAGGTCTCGCTACAAACAAGCGGCTGCTGGAAGAGAGTAGGTGAGTTGTGTTTAATCTCTTTGCTAAAGAAATTTGGCAAAGTGGCTGGGACCCTATATGTACTGTTGATGAAGTTAGGTAAAGTTGGTATAACGAGAGAAGCAAGCGGTCGGCCATATTTATCTCTAGAGGGGGTGTCTAACTTAGTGTTACGGTGTGTTTCACCCTATCTTAATTTTATGCCAGAATATCCCTTTAACATGGTTGGAAGTTTTCCAGCCCAACCTTTCTTCAAAATACCATCTCAATCTGACCTTAATAAACTGAATGATTCCGTCAGGTACTGAAGTCTTGCTCAGTTTCTGCAGGTACTCCACAATGTCAGAGGTCTGCAGCCCCACACTGACAGCAGCATACAGAGAGTAGGCTGTCAGCTTGTATTCATGGACATGGTTCGGTCTGCACACTGGCTCTGCGATGGCCACCAAGAAGTCTTGGGCGTACTTGTACACTGGCGAGAAAGCTTCCAGAAAGATGTGTCCATCTGGAGCCTTAACAGGGTCAAACAAAGGGATCATGAAACAGGGATGATGATGATGACATTTCTTGTAATATCTTTCAACCATCTTAAGTCAGTCAGTAATCCACGCAGGTCTTACCACCCAGAGGGGGCGTGAAGAGTGATCATTCTTCAGGATCATCTGTGCTCGGTAGTCTTTGGCTCCATATTCATCCAGTTTAGTACCAGACTCATCCACTTGTTTCCCCGCAGCAGCAGGTATGGCCTCCTGAGACTCACTGCCTGCCACCTCTTCTTCATCCTCTTCTTCCTCATAGAAACGCTTTTTGGACTTTTTGTCTGCAATCACACAGAGTGGGTCAAACAGTGTGTTCAATATTATGACCAATTTAAAATTTCAAAGCCACAGATTGTACATCTTTTTATTTTACACCATGTTGTTTTTAAATCAGTGGAGTAAAAAAGTTTGTGCATTTGCTCAAATTTTACTTTGACACATATTTAGCCAAAAGCTAACGTCAGCTAGTTCAATCAACTTTACAACAACTCACCCCGATCTCCTCTGTCTTTTTTACCCATTGTGCAGTTTACTTAAGATGTAAGAGCTTTTAATTTTAAAGATCACACATCAAACAGGCATGTCTGTTAATTCTGACTGATATTATCCCCCCGATGTGCCGCAAAAGCACAGACTGCATGCTACTCAAGATGCTACTACGACACAAAAAGGGTGTCAAGTAACCGTATTAAAGTGTAACTTCCGCCGTTAGCCTTCAAAATAAAATAGTGTTCGGCGAGAAATCAATTTATTGCCTTGGCCATAGAGGGTTAAGAAAGTAAGTAAGTAAGTATGTAAATTTTATTTATTTTGCACTTTTCATAGATAAAATCACAAAGTGCTTTACTATAAGGATAAAATGCGATAGAAATGCAATGTGGATGTAGTGGTGAAAGTACCACATTATATTGGATCAAAAGGGCACAAAAAGCTCATGTTACATGATACTAACATGACTATTTCATGCAATTATGATACAGGTGAGTGGAATATATCTAAAAAAATAAAATAAATACAAGAAATAATGTCATAAATGCCACTGCCTAATACATGTACAAACATGTTTACTGATATGCAGTTATGTTGGGCTTATATAAAAGCCTTTATGCTATGTGTCATAAATATAAAACATTTTATAATATTTAATAAGTTGTAAATCAGATGTACAGGTTCCATTTATTTTATTTTATTTTATTTTTGCAGTAAAAAAGCTCACATCCGTTTTAGTGTGACTACTATTATCTAACTTGACTGACCTTTTTTTCACCTCACTGTTTACTTCCTGTGTGAAAGGTTAAACTCGTCCTCCGAGGTTCGTTTGGCGTGCAGTGTTTATTTTTTTTCCGTAAATAGAAGTTTATTCAAAATAAATGACTAATAATTAGCTGAAGTTTCGGATTGAAATATGTCGTCTGATGAACTAATCGGACCTGCCCTGCCGCCCATGTTCGGAGAGGAGCAGAGCGATGAAGACTCTGACCATGAAAGAGGATGTAAGTGACATAAATGATCCGTTTCAGATCTCAAAAATGGTCAAACTGTTACAGCAGGAACATTTTTTATCAGGTTTTTACTCCAGGGATATTAAACTTGTTCATTGTGTCTCCTCTGGTAGTCCTCGGTCCTGCTCTGCCCCCTGGTTATAAACGGGGAGGACCGTCCAGTTCCTCGGATGAGAGCGACCAGGAGGTGTCTGTGAAAAGAGCAAAAACTGGACACACAGCAACAGAAGCGTGGGTGCAGAGTTAAACTATTAAATTTAAAGATGAATTTCACAACAAGTAAACTAAAAACATTTGAATTTTGAACAGATTCGAAAAGACAAAGTCTCAAGAAGAAGAAGAAGAAGATGATGGTTTCTTTGGACCGGCCCTGCCACCAGGATTTAAGAAACAACAAAGTTCACCAGAAAGGTCATAAAATAAGGTTTACAATGGATGTGTGACGAAGTATCTTAATTGTGGATCATGTAACCTAAAGTTGTTCCCACAGGCCACCGGTGCTGGGACCAGCTTTGCCCCCTGGGTTTCGCAGAGCGGCATACGATGATGACAACGATGATGACAACGATGAAGATGCCCCGGGGCCTGCATTACCACCAGACTACAAGGCTGAGCCCTCCAGCAGTGAAGAGGAGGATGAAGATGTGATTGGACCCATGCCATCCAAAGGACCTATTCAAGACTCTGTGGCGCTGGACTTTGAGCGTAGAGCACAAAGGATGAAGGAGAAGCTGACAGGAGCTGTGAGTCCTCAGTTTTCTCCACCAAAGGCTTATCAGTGTTTTCTCTAATGATTGTAACTAATTTAAATGATCATGTCTAAATATTTTTTGTCTACACTATCTCACTTCATGTAAACAGGATGCCCCTGAGGTGCTGGCCAGAGAATCGTGGATGACAGAGCTCCCACCAGAACTACAGCATATTGGCTTGGGGGCTCGAACTTTCAAGAAGAGATCGGGTCCGGAGAACAAAGATCGCTCCATTTGGACGGATACACCAGCAGACAGGGAGCGCAAGGCCAGGGTAAGTAATAATAATAATAATGATAATAACTTCATTTGTATAGCACTTTTAAAAACAGAAGTTTACGAAGTGCTTTGACATATAGTCATAGAGACAGAAAAAAAAAAAAAAGCTAGATTAAAACAGAATTGAAGGCCATTTTTATGTTACAAGGAACCCAGACAATACAAGAACCATGCAACATAAAATAAGACCATAAGGACCAAAATAAAAATAAAATAGGTAAGAAAAAAGGAAAATGCAATTAAAAGGGGGGTGGGGTGGGGGGTCGAATTGGAAACAGGATAGTAAATATAAAAGCTGATATCGACAATGATAATAAAATAAAGACAGGAAAAACAGGTAATCCTGATGATAATAGTAATGATAAAGTAGAGAAGCAGAAATGACCAAGAGATAAAACAATAAAAGGCCTAAAAGGTTCATTAAGAAAACAGTACAAGTATAACAAAAGCTAAAATGACAGTAAAATCGAAATAAGATAGAGGTAAAAGAGATAAGAGATGACAGATAAGACATAAAGATAAAAGACAGCATCACATAAAAGCAAGTCTGTAAAAGTGAGTTTTTAAATTTGACTTAAACGAAGTGACTGTCTCTGCACACCTTATCTCCTCCAGCAGGCCATTCCAAAGTTGAGGAGCTCTGATGGAGAAAATTCTATCCCCTTTACTTTTGAGCCTCGACTTTGGAACGACCAGGAGGCCAGAGGATCTGAGGCTGCGAGTTGGCTCATGTGGTATTAAAAGCTCTGAAATGTAGCTCAGAGCTTAGTGAAGGGAGGCTAAAATTGGAGTGATGTGATGCCGTCTACTAAAACCAGTTAGAAGCCGAGCTGCTGCATTCTGAACGAGTTGGAGGCGGGAATGACAAATGTGATAACATATTAGATACATTTTTTTTGATTATATATAGCTGTATCTTTCATATTATAGCTATGTAATACATAGATGCAATACCTCATCTTTACATTGACCTATCATTTTTTTTAAATCAAAAGATTTGATGTCATGTTTTTATTCTTTAACTGAAGGAACGTCTTGAAAAAAAGCAAAGGGGTGAACCAGAACAAGTTGAAGATGTCCCACAGCTCTCCCATAAGGACTTGGAAATGGCTGAGAAAGTGTCCAAATATAATGTAAGTGGTGATTAGTCACTGTTCTTGATTTCCACATCAGTTTTTCACATCAGTGTCGAATACCCAAGTGCCCACTTGTAACTCACCCCTCTCGTCTCTAATCAGGAGTCAAAACGCGCACAGTCTCTGATGAGTTTGCACACCAAGACAATGAAGGAAAAGGCGAAAGAGAAGGCTGACAAACCCGTGGAGAGGAGGCCATTCGATCGGGACGAAGACCTGCAGGTCAATCGCTTTGACGAAGCACAAAAGCAGCGCCTACTGAAGAAATCTCAGGAACTGAACACACGGTTCTCCCACAGCAGAGACAAGATGTTCTTGTGAGAAACTGTCGTGCTGCGTCTATCTGGCTGAACAAAACTGGTCTGATTCTTTAAGTGTCAGAAATGTTATTGAGAGTGGATTTTCCAGAAAACACTATGTCATTTAAAGCCATTTATACAGATGATATAGAGAGAAATAACAAAAACATGACATTATTTTTCCTTTATTTAGAAAAGCTGTCCTCAGTTTGGGAGGACAGCTTTTGAGCTTTATATGTCAGCTGTTATTTTAGTTAATATCGATCCTGTTAGTCACAAAAAAAAAAAAAAAAAAAAAAATTATGTCTTCAGTTGAAATCATTTAGGGATTATACAACCCATAATAAAATTTCCGAGTATACATAAAATTAGTATTATAATGATTGTAACTTTAAAAATTGTTAGACAACGCCCAAGTCTTTATTTTTCAACTAGAAAGGATAAATAAATGCTTGTGGTGTCTTCATTGCTTGGTTAGGTCATCTCCTTTCCACATTTGAAGTTATGATCTATACGTTTTTTAATAGTTCTGCAGAAATAAAGCCCAAAATTTAGCCTAATAATATTTTAATAGACCTATGAGGATTGAATGAAAATATCAAAACCTTTTGTACAAATTGCTGTAAAGTACACACGCAGGGATTACCTCTCTCTCTTTCATGTCCTGTATGCCTCTTTGTGTTTTCTTTTACGTTGATTAAACTTTCTTTTTTGAAACTGATGTGTTTTATTGTTGTTTTTAATTTTCGCGAATGGGTGTTTCGGAAGTTTCCGCGCTCACTTTTATGAGACGTCCGCTGAATTTTGACCATCAGGCTCGCCGTACTTTGGTTCTCTTTTACGCAGGCGCTTGGCGGTCCCAGTTAAAGGCTATCTGAATTTTAATATTTTTAAAATGTCCGAGAAAGGAGAAGTGGATTTGACTGGAGCCAAGCAAAACACGGGCGTGTGGCTTGTTAAGGTATGTACATTTAACCTCTATACAATATTAGTTCATGGGATACGGGGACTATCATTGGTTTCTCTAAGGCTAATGCTAATGTAGCTTAGCTCCCAGTGAAAACAGCCCTCCTGAAACAGCAGCATGTTCATGTCCGTATTTCTTCCTCCAGGTTCCCAAATACCTCTCTCAGCAATGGGCAAAAGCGACAGGCAGAGGAGAGGTTGGCAAACTCCGAATCTGCAAGTAAGTGAAGTAACTAAGTTTAATCTTACTTCACTTTGTTTATGTCTAAGCAGGGAAAACTAACAAAACCAGGCCTGTCCAGTGGATCAAAGTGTTTGTGTGAATTTTATAATTAAGTCGTGTTTCTTCAGGATCACCTTTCAGTTGACTAGTTTTATTTTTGTCTAACAGGAAAGGAAACATGGGAAAACCAGAGGTAAGAGATACGACTAAACACACTCAGCTTTTACAGTGGTTAAGATTAAGTAAAGAAAACTTCAGTAAGAGCCAAAACACTACTCATTATTGGTGAGATTTAGTTTATGTTGTGTGATGGAAACGCTCATAATTTATTGACATAACTTTCCTTAGTAATCCAAATGTTTTGCACATTTTAGTTGTACATTTAACGGTGCATAACTTTAGTACAAATTTAAGTTGTTTTAAGACTTTCTGTTGATCTTGCGGTGGACTGGAAGATACATTTGTTCATATCTTCCCTTACCTAAAAAACACTTTGTATTCCTCTGTTGATGACTGATGTTCTTTGAAAATATATCCAATAACAGTCCACAGTAAAAACAGGTTATTTTGTTTGTACAGGACAACAGTAATTTGATCATAAGTAAGGAAAGAGTGTGAAATGCTGACTTGTGAATTGCACTCTTTTCAGGTGTCTTTCACTTTGAATGAAGAGCTGACTGTGATCGAGGGAATAGAGGATAAGACGGTGTCTGCGCCTCGTGACCACCCGTTCACCATGCAGTCAGTGGGAGGTCAGACGCTTGCGGTCTTCACAGAAAATTCATCAGGTTGGTTTCTGCCAGCTGGTGGCACAGCTCCACCACGGGATGAGATGCTTATAACAATCTACTAACTATACATTTCTTCTAATGTTGAGTATATTTTTGTAGCTCAAAGGTGAGTTCTGTGTGATTGACCGGTGGGGGGCTCCCATCCTGCTACTCTTTGTACAGCTTGCTGTCTTCATGCAAAGTCTTGCCTTTACCTGCTTGTGTCTGTGTGTTATGAACTTTCACTGGTGTGAGGTTGTCTGCAGTCCCAGCAGAGTACATTTGACAGATGTACCTTTCATGTGGGATATGTAAACACTTTCTTGAAAACAGGAGTGAAGCTTTCCTGTAAAAAAATTGTTTTCTCCCAGTCTGATCTGAGTTTCTGTCTCTTTCCATAAGAGTAATCTTCTTAGCCTCATTGTTTAGTCTTCTTTCAGTCAATTTGTTTGTGGTTTGACCTTTCCAGTCTTTAGCCAATCATCTTGATTGATTTGGAATCTGATCAGGCACAATGGCCTTCTTTGAAATTAAAATAAACTAGGCTAGAATCAACACAAATCAATGCTGAATTTGGAGTTGATTTTGTTTGTGCATGTGTGTCTTTGGTTTGGTTTGAACTGCACCGCCCTCGTCTGCCATCTGAATGTGGTTTTTTGTTGCTCTGGGTGCTGGTGAGCTTGGCATACTGTTCTTACTCTTAGAAATCATTTATGTGTGTCTGTGTCAAGGGCTGCACAGTTGAAATTGTATCAATATTCAGATCTCTATTTTTTACTCAGAATATCTGATAATTGCATCTATCCAAATGTAGTGAATCCTATAGTTTTATATACTCAAAGTATATGTTAAAATACTGATTTTCCCTCAGAAAACTCATTTTCTTCCCGTCAACAGTTGAGTGTACTTGTGCAACCCTGTTGTGGATGAGTGTTATTGGTGGCTCGCGGTATCTGTGCTTGTTTGTTGTGAGGGCATGCTTGCTTTGCTCATGCACACACATTTGTACCCATCAGAGATAACACTGATCACTGTGTGATCAAACGATTTGGTGTGCAACTAAACCCGGGTGTGGTTCTTGCTGTTCGATCCCCTCCTCCTTCCGTCTCCCATTCCCTGTATTTTCACGTTTACCCTCCCTCCCTCCCTCCCTCCCTGTAGGCCAGTCAGAAGAAAGATCTGATGGCAGCAGCTCAGGTTCGGGGGCAGGGGCAGGTCCAGGTGAGTCTAACGTTTCACCATCAAGTGACAAAATATCACCAATATGAACCAGACACACTGAGTGTCTGTGGTTTTTATTTGTGAATTCTGTTAATAGTACCACAATAGTAACCCCAATACATGTGAAATAACATGCATGTATTGGTGTAAAGCTGTAGACACATCTTCTGTATGAAGCACCCAGTTTGTCTCTGAAGCATCATAACAGCTTAGTTTTTTGTTTTTTCGCACAATCGCACCAATCACACGAAGCTTCTGCACTGAGTTTGCACCACCTTGAATGAGAAATGGAAAAAGCAGTATTTTGTTGGGCAGGTTGACACTGTACATGCGCAGAGTGCCACCTAGTCATAGTGATGGGCGTATTGTCAGTGAATCCAGTTGTGATTTTGTGTTGACTCAAGATCAGGAAGTTTTTACTTTAGATCCACTCAGTGGCAGAAGCAAATGAAAATCATGGAGTTGCAGAAATTGACCCATGATTGTGGAAGCATTCTCCTCACAGCTGTAGGAGAGAGACGGACTGAACTAAGTTCATGTAACATGCAGAAGGAAGCTGCTGTTCAACTTTGGTTCTCATTTCAACATCCAGCAGTCCACTTATTTCATCCCTTTTTTGTCTTACACACATGCATCTCCTCACCTTTCCTCCATAATCAAGTAAACATGCATTTAGAAGGTATTTATTTACATTAAGCCTAACTGAGCTCATCTTTTTCAGATAAAATAGCCTTGGAGGGAGTGGTGGTGCAGAGAGCAGAGTGCAGACCTGCCGTGAGTGAAAGCTACATGAGGCTGAAAAGGTAAGTAGTGTGCACATACAAGTTATTTTATGAGTATGTTTACAGGCACATCCTGGGTCTTATTTGGAGTATCTGATGCATGATTGTTCATCCAACTATATCCTGATGTTGTGGTTACGTCACTGTATCATGATCGTGTTAAATTGCATGGATAACTTTGGTTGCTTGGTACAAAATTCAGGTATATCAGGGGGTCCAAGATTCAAATTGATAAAATCATCTTGAAGTTTATCGCATGATCTGTTTTTCACAGAGGTCTTTCTTTTTTGTGGCTCTTAGTTTACTTTTTAAATACCTTGTGTTCCACTGAAAATAAAGCCGTTGTTGTCATCTAACAGGTTACAAATTGAGGAATCCTCTAAACCAGTCAGACTGTCACAACAGCTGCAAGGTCCTGTTACCAACAACTACAGACCTGTGGCCAATCATACCTACAATGTAAGAGCTACAACATTTACAGGATTGTTTTCTTTTTAATACTCCGCTTTTGTTTGTCAAACATTTACAAAATGTCCACCAGAGGGAACTTATCAGGGGAAAGCCAGCTGCATTCTTTAAAATGTAATTGGTACTAGCTGAATGAAATTTGCAGTTAATATCTCCAAGACCAGCTCCGTGCTTGATACCTGATTTTTGTTTATTTCCTGCTGCAGCTGGAGTATGAGAGGAAAAAGAAGGAGGAGGGCAAGAGAGCCAGAGCTGACAAACAGCAGGTGTTGGACATGTTGTTTTCTGCTTTTGAGAAGCACCAGTACTACAACATCAAAGACCTGGTGGACATCACCAAACAGCCGGTGGTAAGTCCCAGAGGGCAATATTGTAGCTCTTGTTCAATAACTGCACTTTGCTTGTACTGATCATAGATTAAGCTTTTTCTTGTTGTATTCTATGCAATCTTCATGGCTTTACAGCGCTTGAATCAAAGTAATTTACTCATCTCTTTTCACAATTTTGTATCCCTTTGTCCAGATTTACTTGAAAGAAATCTTGCGTGATATTGGCATCTACAACGTGAAGGGAACACACAAGAATACCTGGGAGCTCAAGCCAGAATACCGACATTACCGAGGAGAGGAAAAGACTGATGAATAGATTTTGTCAAAGCATCTTTTTCTTTTGATGGTGGTTTCCTCCTCAGATCGAGACTTGATTCTTCCTCGTGGCTCTGCCTTCATTCTTGTACATCAGGGCTGAAACAAACCAGATATTGAGGTCAAGCAAAGGTTGAGTTTTGAACAGAGAAGCTGTATTTTCTTGTTATTTTGTAGGAGACAAGAAGAGGATATAGGAAAGAGATTTGAAGTTTTGCACTTGTGTGCAGCACTCCCCCCTGATGTGGTTTCCAATACAGCTCCAGCACAATCTCAGGGTAATAATGTGTTTGATTTAGTTGTGCCATCTGTCAGAGGCACAGGACATGGCATTTGACAGAGACGAAGATGCATCTCTGGCTGTTGACATTGAATATGTTTTAACAATTTGACTGAAATTCACCCTGAGGTGGTGGGCTCAGTGTGGTGAGGATAAACCTCAGGAAAACAAAGGTTGGGACACAGGTAATGGTTCCTACAGCTGAAGGGATATGTGCTGAGGACATTTGTTTTCGTAGATGTTTTTGTTTTGAAAAGATGGTTTATGCATCTTAGACCAAACTTAGCAAATTATAGAATCAGAATTGGGTGGTCAGTCTTTTTTAAAGGAGGGCTGAGAGTTCATGTTTTACCTTGTTCAAAATTGGATTGACGTGTAATAAATGTTTCACTTAAGAAAAGTTTTGCCATTTATAATATTGTGCACCAGAACATCAAAAAGTATCTCTTAATATATTTAAGAGGTTCATTTGACCTGTTGGTGATAAATTTATAAATGTATCTCTTAAGTCGCTTAGATTTAGTGGAACAGATTTAGCATGAGCTGTTTAATCTGCATAAGACAGGTCCCCTTCAACAGAGGACACTAGTAATACACAATTTTTGTATTTGGACTAGCACAAGAATGCACTTGTTTGAGGACAGACAAAAAAAGAGGCTGATGTGCACAAAAGGATTTGGATATCAGTTTTATTGTAAGAATTCAGCAATTTAAGATCACACATATGCATCTCACACTCGATCAGGAGAGTGAGTAAAGTGGAATCTGACAGCCAGATATTGCTTGATACTCCCATTTCTACAACAGAAATCCCTTTTCTTTAACCCCACTGGATGTTCATATAGATACATTTTAATCAGAACTACCCAAGTGCATGAGAATACCGGATCATCGTGTATATGCGATGTGTCCAGTGTGTGTTCTGATGGCAGAGCAGCTTGACTTTTTGACATGGTATTCACACTGTTGAATTTAAGCACCATTAAGGCACTACTCAGAAACAGGAATGTTGCAGAGGTCGGGTCTACATCAGGTGTTTGCAGTCTCTGCTGATCACCTACAAGAGGAAAACAAAACAGCAAATAAATATGGAACATAGATATTAGCTAAAGTATAATCCTGCTTTTTTAAACTACTTGTTTCTAAAGAGCTTGATGATTTTAAGTCCTTGCTCAACATCCTGACTCAAATTTTTAACATCTAACCTTTGTCAATGTTCATCAACTTAGACTGTATTCCTCAATTCAATCTGTGCTGCTATGGACTGTAGCAGTCAGAAAGAGCGAGGAATGTTTAGTTTGGCACCTCTTTGCAAACCCAGAAGCCAAAAAAAGCTGCTTCAGGTCTATCAGTGGATGCAGTTTGACCAAGTTATATGTACTCACTTGAAAAGTACGGGCTCTCCAACCCTCAGGCTGCTGTAACATCTTCTCAGGTTACATTTCCAAACCTTTAAACCTGAGATTGAGCAAATACAAAATCTATTACCTAAAAGAAGACAAAATGTGAAGCAGTTTAATACCTTAATTTTTTAAAGTTTATCCTCCCCGATTCAATCCGAGACGCCATGAATAGGCGGGCAGAAAGCGCAGGGACATTTAATGTTGCATCTAAAATAGTAAAACCCGGGTTATCTCACAGTAGAGGGCCCAGGCTGTCAAAGATGCAGCTTACAATCACAGTTTAATAAGTAGCTTATACATAATCATACCATATCTCAAGTGAAGTCACACAGCACACTTATACGTACATTTCCATCTCTCGTGGTTTGCCAAAGCCTCTTCTCTTTACCCATTCTCTCAGGTTATCATTGTGTTTGGGCAGACTGTTGTGTTTCAACAGGACTCGTCTGATCTTAAGCCTTCTTCTGTCGAAGCTCAAACACAGCAGTCATCCTCCATCTGGCTCACACACGTGTCCTCTGCATGGCCCAAGATACACTATGGGGAACCGAGAATGAGAGAGGAATCAGACACTTTAAGTATAATATACACAAGAACATTAAATCCATTCAGATTAGGTAATATATAAAGAGCCATCTGTATGTTTCATTCAGTATAAAGAAGCTGGAGGGCGATGTAAGTGCACATAACTCTCAGGTTGTGACTGACACAAAATGGCATCAGCTAATTTACACGTGTCTACATCAGCACTCCGTCTTTAAAAGCTTCGTTTGCTGCCAACAAAATAACCTCTCTGGACTGAGTGACAAATAAAGACGAAATACTTACAACACAACATGACGATAAAAGTAACTGAGCCGTAAAAGCTGTCCTGCTTTTTCAGTTGGATTGTTCCTCCTGTAGAGACCTCAGCTGCAGGAGAGAGCAAAGGAAGGAAAGAAGAGTAAAGCGCAGGCATTAAATAGGTTGGACAGTTTTGCTCATTACCGCCACCTAGCGGCCGAGGGCAAGAGTTTAATAACTTTGTCGCACTCTAGTGGTGAAGGTGTGATATGACCGCGTATTTTTTTAGAAGTTTTTATGTAGGGGAGAGTGGGGTAAGATGAGCCATTTTTCATATTTCGGATTTCCGCCAGCAAAGCCTATGAGGCTGTGGACAAACTCTAGAAATTTATTACACAGAATATAATTTTTTCCCCCTCTGATTGCGATGTTGACATGTTGTTATTGTAAGACTGGTTTGTGCTCAAGTCCTCTTTTCTGTGAAGCTCTGTTTTTAAAAGTTATTTGGGGGTTCATGTTTTCTATGATTGACACCTGATACAGTCTATTGGCGTCCAAGGATTGCGTAGCTCACCCGGGGGATACGCTGTTTGAGCCGAGCATCATCACGGTGACTCTCGGTGACTCTCGCCAAATGCGTTGAACGCTACTGCACAGCGCTGATTTCAGGAAATTAAGTAAAGTCGTGGAAATACCAAGAGCTTTTTGGCTTTGAATCCGTATAATGGTAGGAGGTGGAACCAAGTTGTCCATAGTATATACAGACTATGCTTCTAACCTTCACAGACTCCATGAATTGATGCCCATCTCCTAAATATTTGGTCATATGATCAACTTCAGGTATATAATAAGAATTGTATCAATATGTATCATCTTACCCCACTCTCCCCTACTTATTATCACTGGACTGATGTGCTTAACTGGAAGTTTTCCTTCTGAGTCCTATTGAGTTCTCAGAAGTTAATTTGCACAATGTGTGTGAACCCAGTTTTCTCGTTTGCTGCCTCACTCCAATTCGAGAAACTTGCCATAACCCAGCTAAAGAAAAGGAAAATAATCCAAGATTGAACTATTATCTACTGTAAACTACTCGTCAACCAAGAAAAAATGGAAAGCAAGAAGACAAAATAGGTTTAGCTGTACAAAAGCTCGGCTACAGTGTCAACGTACAGATTGAAAAACTTATGGGCTGAAAAGGAGGTCATGTTACATGGTTTTTATGTAGTTTGGACACATGCTAGAGAGGATATAGTTATGTTTTTCCCTTGACGATGATGAAATATGCATGTTACAACAGCATGTAGGTAGCCAGACACCTAATGTAAGGTTACTATATGGTTTGCATTAATATTTATGGCTCAATACTAACGCGGTTGCATTTATAGGCTATATGCCGAGCTGGTCATACATAGTGTCATTTTTAGAGCTGCCTAACGACAGTAAGACTATTATGATTTGTTATTTTGGTGTCGAGTTGTTGAAGATATAAATTAATTCTAGTGAATGAGTTAAAATGAGGAAATAGGTTGATTTAAACACATTAAGTCATCAAAGGAGCACGAGCTAGATTAAAAGTGGAGCACGAGGCAAACACGCATGTGCACAAAGCGCGCGCCCGTCTCCTACTTCAACAGTGAGGAGCTGCAGCACTTCTTAATTGGTCTCCGAGAGTTTGAATGACCCTCCATCAGACTGCTGCGGATTCATGCACGGACGTGTAGGCATCAAAGAAGATGTAATATTAGGTAAGATGACTCTGAATTATGGCATGACTTTATTTTTACCTGTGGTTTCCATCACGTGAACTAATATAGCAGGTAAATGTAAATAAATGACTTTAGAAAGCCAAATACTAATTACTTTCTCTACCTCCAATTAAATCTGGTTCTCCAGCTGTTGAATTAAGAACAAACGTTGTGGGTAATGTTGCCTAGAATAATGTGTTTCTTGTTTAAATAAACATTAATTAGGTCTTTTACAGGCAGTAAACAGCGAAGCAACAGCCCGGCTTCAGCATGTTCAGGGCAGTGTTTGGGAACAAGAGAGATGGAGGAGGAAAACGAGGAGAGAAAAAGAAGCAAAGACACCAAGGTAAGAATAAAACTTGTGAAACTGAGTAAAAAAAAGCAGTATTAACTGACCTCAACTTATCCTAGTCATGTCTTAATAACATGTTATCCATTTCTACAACATACCTCTGTTCTCTTTCCCCAATATCATAAATCTGCATCCTGTGAAATTTATTGCATTCTTTAGGCACACGTTCTAGCATTATCTGAAGGCAATATTCAGGTTCTCTTCTCTTGGGTGATTTAAGTAGAGCCATTTCAATTAGCCTAATTCATCAGTGTGTTCTGTCCTTCACACAGTGTCCCGCTGCTTGCATTTAAAGTGTGTCAGGAGAAGTTAGAGTGGGTTAGGCAAAACATCATGACCCACTAAAACCATACCAAATTTGACAAGAATTTCAGTGTCGACTCCAGCTCAACAAGAAGATCCTGCACACTTGTTTTCAATTCTTGAATATCCTGCAAACAGTCCAAAGGTACTTTTGGACTGTCATGTGTTTAAACTGCACAGTGCAACCTTTTTCTGTTGAAATGAAACTAAGATGTTGGTGTTTTTCACAGGGTAGTGCTTGTCGACCTGCTGCAGTAACAGGGGCTATTTTCGACCACACAGTGGAGATAGATGAACATAAGTAGAGCTCAGTATTAGAGCAACCATGTTGCCCATAAATATTTTATAATTTGCTGCTCTGGGTATAGCAAGAACAGAGAGGAAGATAGAGAAGTGTGTCAGTCTCATTAAAATGATATAGTATGTTTACAGTACATGGGGAAGGCTCTGATCATTTGCAGTGAGATACCAGTTCATCTCAGAAGCTCATCACGTAATGTTTAAAGGCAAGAATCTTTATGTGCTATTAGGAATTATTAAACAGCCTGTAATATTAATTTTAATAGTTGGCAGCAGACCTGCAAGGTCTTGTTTTGCCCATGGTGATAACAGCAAACTCATTTAAGACAGATGGAAGTGAATAGCTGAATTATACCTAAAGGAGGACTACAATCTGGTATAAGCAATATCAGTAGCAATAAGGTCTTTGTAATCACCTAGCTTGGTGAGTTCTAATACATAATGTCTGTTTAAATACACAGGATAAGGCTTAATAGCTGCAATAAGAGAGGACATGAACATGATTTAAATATTAAAATGAAATATTACAAGTGTAGCCTCTTTATTGAGCCTGATCCCATTACTTTAAATAGATGTTCTGGTGTTGCCAACTTTCCATTACCTCATTCGGCAATATGCCTCCAAGAGATGATATGTTCTCTCTATCCCGGCCTTATGTGAGACATATTTTATACTGCTCTCTCTGCGATATGTTGAGTCTGCTCTATAGCCAAACTTATGTTCATTCATCTCAGACTACAACAACTCCTCCAAAACTGTCTAAATGAGGTTACTTTAACATCTCCATCTTCTCTTCATCATCATGTAGGTGGCACCTTGCAGAGAGACAGAGTTCGGCATGCCGCACACTACCAGGACCACATCAGTGGTCACACCGAAAGCTCAGGGAATCGTAAGAGACTGGCAAGGGGTGTGTCCATTTCTTTGCCGTCCTCCCCTCTTCTCCCTCGCCCTGCAGACGTAGTTCCCTCGCAGTCATGCATCAAATTCACAGGTGGGTTTGATTGAATAGTGATCAAAACCAAGCGAAGTGTCAGTATAAACTGAGAATGACAGGAGGCTGTGCGTGAGGAATTAGCTTCAGAAACAGCAGAAAGCTTTCATGGGCTTGTTTTGTTAAGCAGGGAGAGCTTCTGTGAGTTCAGCTGTTTCATGTATGTGACAGCAAATACAAGAGCATACAGACTGTGCCCCCCAGGCTCCGAACCATGTGACAGACTGTCAGAGTAAATGATTAAACAAGATAACTTAAGGCGAACAACCCCAATTAAGGGGGTCCATTTTGAGATCATTTGTTAGTTTAGATCAGTTAGAAGATCTAATAAGATCATGCTCAAAGAAAACTGATTGTCTCCTGGGAAGAAAATACTTTTATTTCACAGCATCCAAAGGAAAATGTTTCTTATTGTGTCCTGTTGGTTCCTCATATAGTCATGCAAGTGTACCATATGTCCCTGACCACACATGTAGCTGTAAACTGGGGCACACATTTTATCCCTAATTAAAACTGTTGTCCCTAAACATTTGGCCAACACTTTTCTGTCATGTGTGTCGTCAGCTGTCAAGTATATTTGGAATGACTGAAAAATTGTCATCTTTTAAGTCCACTAGGTTCAAAATGACGTCCAGTGCTGAGTAAATCTCTGATCTATAAACATGAATTCCCTTGATAGAAGATACCCTTCTTCACTGTGGGGTCTATGGCGTTTCCTTAATGTCATTTGTTGTGAAAACAGCATCTTATACTCAGGAGAAAATTAAATCAACCAGCAAACATAAAATAAACTGCCAAAAGTTTAAATACCTGCACACAAAGGCTGCTATAGGAGACAAAACCTGGAGTATGAACCTTGTGTTCCAGGTTTTTACATCTCAGTTGTGTAACTTAAATAGTGGTCCATGATCCATCAAAAATATGTATATTTTTATGATTTTTTTTCTATTTTCCTGGGTGTCTCCGGAGAAAAACAAAATAAACTACTATAAACTCAGTTAAAAAATAGTGACAAATACATTCATAAACACTTTCTTAACTGCACATACACATACCTTTTTAAATCTATTCATTTCGATTGTTTGATTAAAGGTGCATGGAAAACTTTCCCACAGTTAGCAAATGAAAGTGAAAAAACATCACAAATAAAAAATATCCTTCAGTTTAATTGAGGTTAGTTATACAAGTATAGACAGAAAATAACAGTTTTGATTTCATTCTGTAGGATGTCTGACAAATTTTTTGTAGCTATGGAAATATTTGTTGTTTTTATCAGAGGTGATTATTTTCCCATGCACATTTCTGCACAAGTTAAAACTGTAAATAAATCCTATAAAAAACAGGTTTTGTAACTGAGTACTGGCAATATCAGTATTAATGTCTATTAGCAATACTAGGTCATTAAAATATTGAAATATTAAAATATTTTAATCATATCTAATGTCATACTTGTTAGAAGCTTATCAACCAGACTCATTTTAACTTACTGGGTCATCATCTGATAAAAGCACTAGGTGGCAGTGTCCTGCAGCAAGTACAGCCATTCAGAAAAAAGGTGTTTCATTTCATAGCATGCAGCGCTGCCTCTGTTCCCCTGGCTACAGAGAGCGAACATGAACTAAAAAAAAAAACATCACAGCAAGTAAAAATATTTACTGTCATGGCATTATTACATCTGGTGGTTGTGCACAAACAAACATCCAGCTGTTAGTCCGACTGCACAGAGTGTTACAGAGTTCATTTACTGGATTCAAATATCAAATAACCTTGAGTGTAGAATCATCTCATCCTTGTGAATGATCTCCAGCCTAAAGAATCGGCACTTGCAGGAACCCTCCGATGTTGTTGCATAAATGAAGACACACCCACATGCATCAATAAGTGCGCCGCTGTCCCCGCCAGCACAAACACACATGCACACACAGATTAGCAGCGTTAATACATTATAGATAAACGCCCACGGTACAGTGAATATTGTACTGTTTGCATGTATAACTCGCACTCTGCACATACTGCTTTATACTCATGGGACAAAATTCAAATTCTGCACCACAGATCTCATCTGGGGAAGCTTAATCTCTCTCTCTCTTCCTCCCCCTCTCTCTCTCCCTCCCTTCTCTCTCTCTCTCTCCCTCACTTTCTTTCATATCCCTCCTTATCTCCACCCTCAATCCCTCCCTCCCGCCCTGCCTGCGCTCCCTCCCTCTGCCTTCTCCCTCTCTGCTGTGGCCAAAGGACGGGTAAGGAAGCCGGAGTATGTGGATGGCTCTTCCAATGCAAGAGAACCTCTTGTCTTTGCCTCGTGTCGTGGCAAGGCAGACCACAGAGGTGAGAATGAGATCGTGTGGGTGTGATCGTAGCGTCATGTCTGTTTTTCCAGGTATTGATCAGGGTGGCTGAATGAGAATGAATGGGGTAGAGGTGAAGGGGGGAATGAATGATGAGATACAGGAGAAAGTGAACCTGCTGTTGTATTTTAATGTCATCCAAAGATGTTTGCATCAAGTTTTTTTCTCTCTCAGATGTAATGTGTGTGTGTCATCCTCAGTGTGGTATTGAAAAAGGGTTTGTTTTATCACAGTTTGTCATGACTTCCCTGCATGTTTCCCCCACAGCTCAGGTTAGATTAAATGAAACACGGTGTGAATACTCATGTTTCCCTCAGCTTTCTCTGTGTTTTTGACCAAAGGGCTACCCTTAGGCTTAACAGATTTTTATGATGCTTCTTCCATCCCGGTTGCCAGGCACCTCTCAGCTTCCCGTTTCCAATAGCAACTGCTAGGTGGTTTGATGAATAGTACTGGACATTCAGTGTGTCCTCATGTTACTCCAGATTGGATCGCAGGGCTCTGCTGACTAAATGCAAAGTTTTCTCTCCTCCCCCTCTTGCAAATACACATCCACCCTTCCTACCCACCAAGTCCTCAGCAGCTTTTTTTTCTTCAAGCTGTGAAGTGAAAAGAGTTATGGACAAAAGCCATAGCTGAGGGGCTTCATTGAGCAAGAATCACCAAGCTTCCCTCTCAAAATTGACCTTGGTTCTCTCAAGATCTTCACAATGGGGTTGAATGTATGATTAATTGATGCACTTTCCTTTGAAAGGAGAACGTGAGCAAGAAAGACAGAAAGAATCAGAGGAGGGAGTGTGAGATGAATGTGATTTTTAAACGCAAAGATGTTTGTGAGGAGGAATGAGCTGTTCCTGCAATCCGTGATGTCCTGTCATCTTGTTGATATGCCTACTCAATATTCATGTTCCTCAGCTGATAGCAGTACATAGGTGAGGCGTGAGAACAGAGGAATCTGTTTGTGCTGAGATGCGCTGTGAGAGCCTTGCTCCGCAGAGATGAGTATGGACCTGAAGAGGAGCAGGGTCGGAGGTCAAAGCATCAGGGAGCTTTAAACAGTGATAAATGAATGCAGCACATGGCCTGTGTCAGCCAATCTCTCCAGGAGCAACAGCGTAGGCAGAGCTGAGACACTCCTTCTCTCTGCTCCAGAGTCGACACTGGGCTCATTGAAATTCACAACCAGTCTTTTAACCAAGAGCACCTGGCAGGCGTGTGCACAGGAAAACTCACAACCTCACACAACCTCTTGCTGCTGCCTCAACCGGGGGACTGGGAAGCCACAGTCTGTGCATCCGTAATCAGGGCAGCTGGGGCTGTGCTGACCTGTGGATGCACACATTTCTTGCAGTCCACTTGCGACGCTGCTGGCTGGGTGGGAACGTCACAGGCGTTAGTTAGATGTCGGTCACATCTGGCCTGCCGTGTTTCCATTTGCTCATTAATGCGTGTACCCTGAACGTGTGTGTGTGTGTCTTCCAGACCTCCACGTGGAGCCACAGCCGGGCTCCTCCCTTTCTACCCAGGAACTGATGACCAGACTATGCTTCTTATTGGGAGAAGCAACGCCTGGCACTGCTAGCTCTCCTATGGAGGACAGGAGGGAAAAGAAGGTAGGGCAGCGTATTGATTTACTGGCCTTTTGCTGTCATGTCATATAAAAGACGATGGATGGTTTATGAACCACCTTTTCTTCAAGACCTTTCAATGACAACAGAATCTTATCCTCCATCCTGCAAGCACTATGAAACTCTGAAGATTAGTTAATAGTTTTCTTGAAATATTTTCATGCATTGAAATAAATCTTTGGAGAACTTGTTTTATTAAAGCAGTTCAATACCGCCAGGATATTGATCAATACATGATTCAAAGCCTCATTAATCGCGTTGCTATGCTTCTGCGGGTCTGAACTCACTTTGACTTTATACTATCTGTAATAGAGTTATTGTATGTGCTTGTGTCTCTCCATCTGTATGCCATCATGTTGCTCAGCCTTGGCCCATTTTCTCAGCCTCATTCCACCACCTGAGCTCCAGATTCAGTCAGTTTCACAGCGATAGCGAGGCTCATATGAGGAATGTGGGTTGTCCTGGCTAAGATAGATGAGGCTCTGGTATAAAGGGAATAACAGTGAGCTGCTTCAACTCTGCTGCCTGGTCTCCCTACAGTATCTGCCTTGCAGAAATGATGCATCAGTAATGAGGAGACCTGAAATGCACGTGAACAAACTGTGAGGATGAGAAATGTATATAAAAGCTACCTGCTCAGCGAGAAGATATAATGTTTTTTTTATCTCCTCTGAACATTTTGTACCGCTCCTTAATCACTGCTTTTGTTTTATGAGTACTGAAAAAAATCATAGTTACAAATGTAAGCAGTGAGCTCCAATGTTTTAAAAGAACAGTACAAAAAAATCCTATCTAGGAGATAAAGTAAACACCAAATATAATCAAAAAAGAGGTGCTTTTCAACAAAACAAGACAAGCTCCCACCTTCCAAAAGAGTTTAACTGGACCATTATAAGAACTTAAGCATAAACTTGATCAATTAAGATCCTCAACAGCAAAAGTAATTGCTATGCTGTCAACAGCCCCAGTATATTTTGTTGGTGCACTCATTATGGATATTTAATGTATGTACATTTCTGAATGTTTGAAAAGTGGATTTTTCAAAGCTCTTCTCCATTTACTGTATGAATTACTGTTGAGAGTGAGTCGTGTTGCCTGTTTCAAAAACAATCTCTTTTTCCTTTTTTTTTTTAGCTGGACTGGTTCTCTTTGTAGTTTCCTCCACGCTGATGACTTATTGTGCTCAAATTCACTTTGTACTTTGCTTTCCTGTAGAGCTTTTCTTGCTGTTGCTATGAAAAACTCACACAGTGCTAACTCCAAAAGGAACTGAAGCTAAATCTCTGATGCAGTAACGGACATCGGAGTGGCACCTCCATCCTATGTCAGATATCACGCGCAATGAAACATACAAATACTTTGGTACTCTGAGCTCGTAAATTACTCAATTAGAAAATCATTTTTACTGATATACCGATTCAACAGTCTGAGGTCTGGTACAGGATAATGTTCATGTTTGCCCAGTGAGATACAGGTAAATGTGTACAGTTGTTGTGTGGAACTGTAAATATCTGCAGCATGCGAGAGAGTTTCTAATACAGCAAGCTGTGATGAAAAATGAGGAAAATGACAGGCACTATGGAAATAACTGAAATTATCCTTTCATTTCCCATCTGTGTGCACACACAGACATGCTCAGTCGTATGACAGAGCAGACGTTGTCATACAGAGTGAGGAGCTGATTATGATCATTTAGTGTCCTTTTTATACACAAAGGGAAGACTGATGCCGGTTAAAGGTTAAATGTGTATTTTTATTGTTCCTGGGTCTCTGCACACATCTTTACTTTGTCTCATCTTCATCTTTATCTTTCAGTGTGACTCCTCCGCTCAGGGGGGGAGTCCCAGCTCCACTCTGACCTGCAGCACCACCTCCCCCTGCTCAGAGAGCCCCTCTTCCACCTTGAGCCACAGCGCAGGGGGCCAGCCTTTGCACCAGCCTTTACCTTTACCTTCACCACTCTGCAGTTCCAGTACCAGCCCGAGCGGCACCCTTTCAAGCCCTGTACTCAGCCCGGCCCCTGGTCCGGCTACTGGATCCATCTCCAGGAGCAGTCCCGTGCCTCCCTCTCATAGCCCAACCTCCACCTTGGAGAGCAAAGACAGTGGGATCATAGGTGAGCGCTACCGCTGTGTATCTGCAGGAAATCTTCCCCTAGTTTTCAGATGATTTAAGTCCACTTTGTACTGTTTGTGGTTTTCTGCTACATGAAGCATGTGCGACTGCAGAAGCTTAGCCATGCATCACTGGAAATAAAAGGAGAAAACAGTGATGGCTTATTTGATTTGATGTCGAATCTGTTATATTATCAGAAATCCCAAATATGACTGATGTCACTCTAGAGCCACACCAACCTGAATGGTGATAGGAAGTTAGATGCAACAGCAGTTTGTTGTAAACCATTGTGTACTAATACCCCACAGCTAGCTTCTCTGTGTCGCTTGGGCCACTTGAGCCTTGAGGCTTCAGCTCCCTCCTGTCAAAACTGGGACACTGCTGTCTTTGTTGCTTATGGGTCTGATTCTCTTAAAATAGGACATTTTTTTCTCTCTGAATAGAGATTTTATTTATAGTTAAACACGGAAGGTTAGAGAGCACATCAGGTACAGTAAAACTGATAGATTGATGAGTTTGGAGTGATGAGCAGATGAAACAGCTTGTTGTATTTTATTGTTTATTAAGCAAACAGGATTTCTTGAAGTTGAAGACAGCGCTTGTTTTGGTTTAATTTCAGCTGATAAGAGAATCCAAGTAAACAGTTGCACGCCATATGGTCTTCTTAGGAAATATAACTTAGTTTTCAGTTCTTGGCTGCCTTACCTCACGCATGTTTCCACTGTGCACCTCAGCAACCATCACTAGTTCCTCCGAGAATGAGGAGCGCAGCGCCTCCAGTGAGGTCCTCACAAAAGATGAAGGCCTAGGAGGGGGTTCTGGTGCAGTCGGACATGAAAGCGAGGACCGCCATCCTGGACCGACAAAGGACAATCTGACTGCCAAACAAGATGAGGCCTTACCTAGGGCTGACATCATGGAGCCCAGGACTCCACCAGCACCGAAAAGACCCCTACCACAACACCACATACACAGCACATCCTCTCTTGTGATGCAACGTCCGAATTCTGTGGCAGGTACGTTTTTTTTTTTTAATCCTTTTGTGCTTACTTGTTTTTGTGAGACCATACAGGGACTGCTTGACATAAGCGTGACATGCTTCTTTATTGTCAAGTTAAGAGCTTGATAGAGGTGGTTTAGTTTTATCACCTGCCAACCAAACTCAAAATCAACCTGGTCATTAGGGCACGGGGACAAAGTGGACGAAACAAACTGTCAATCTCCAGGAAGAAGTTCAGTTTCTTTCGTGCTCTTCCAAAAAGTTTGACTTCCTCGTCCTTGTGCTTTCTGCGTTACTAAAAAAAAAAGCATTCCCCTCTACAATATTTACTTGCCATCCCAAGCAAAACTACCAAAGTGAAAGCATTAATAAATCCTCCAAATAACAACACCAGTGGAATCAAACTGAACCAATCTCTTTGCTTTTAAAATAACAAAAAATTAACGAATGATAAGACATGAAATAATCAAATTACACAAAAACTTTACCAGCTCCAACAAGTTTAATAGATTGATTTACTTTGTGCAATACAGAACTGGCTGCTTTGCGAGCAAGTGAACCAGTCTCTGTCCAAAGGGCAAAAAATCTGCCAACACGCTCCTCCAAAACTCACTAATTAACACCTTATTATTCCTCAAGTTTTGTTATCGCTCAGGCGTTGTCAAAAAGGAAGTCATTGCTCCCTGCCAGGAAATAGTCTCAGCCCCCCCTCCCAAAAAAAAAAAAAAAAAAAATCAGAATCTTTTTTGTACCATTAGAAATAAAAGACGACATAATGTGCTAATTAGTGAGCTGGTGAGTGAGTCGCTGAAGCTTTCATTATTTTTACATGAAGTAAGTTGATGAGAGTGTGAATGTGACAGCTGTGACCTGAAACAGTTCTGAAATAGATTGAATATTGACTAAATGACAAACTGATTGAAGTGATTGTTAACTTGACATTTTGAAACTATTCCTGTGGTACACAGAAAGCATGATTTCGTGACAGCTCCACGTGATACAGGGAGAATAAACTTGATAGCATGGTGTGTGTTGGTGCTTGACTTACCACTGAAGCTGGACACACACAGTGAGCAGAACCAGTTAAATGTCCTGGGAGGATTCCAGTTGTCATACCCCCCCCCCCCCTCCCTTTTCCAGTCACGATCCTTGCTAGTGCACAACGCTCTTTTTCTTCCCTTGGATGTCAGTTCATTTGTGGTTGAAGCAAAGGGAAAGATTCCCCAAGGAGTGGATTCACAGTAACGCCTGCCAGTTTCTTCTGTCAGCTGGTGCTTTCATTTAGGCGCTCTTGATGAAATTCAGAATAAAAATGAGGCTGCCCTGTGCTGTAGCCACAAGAATTGTACTCCACAATCAGGACACATTAGACCACAGAGTGAAGGGACGGTATATATAATATCATTTACATTAAGACCAGAGCTAAAAATACATTGTGATAATTCCCAGATGAAAACTGTTGTTAAAGCTGCAGTGTTATCAGGGTACAGCTTAGAAAATAGATACTTCTTATTAGTCCCAAGAGGCTGTTGTCTATATTTTAGCACAGAGACAATCCTTGACAATGTACGAAAGTGAACTCTTTTACAATAAAAATAAATAAATAAAAATACAACACTAACAGCAGCAGAAAATGTTCAAAATTAACACAAGGACATGCATGATTTATTTATAAAGAAATGAAGATGTTTAATTTTGCAATTAGTTGTTGCATTATTAAATTCCCACACTAATTGTGTGAGCATGTGTCTTGTGCATGTGCTTCACTGTCTCTGCTCGTTTACATCTTCATTACCAGAATGTATGTATTAAACCTTCTTCAAGACATTCAGGTTACCTGCTTCATCCTCTTCCCTGCTGTGTAGACACTGGGGCTATTTTGGCAGCAAGCTTTGTGCTCTATGATGTCTGTCAGAAGAAGGAGTTTTTTTTCTCTGTGAACAAGGCAGACACCGAGGATGTGTGGAGCTGCATCAACAACAGATGCGATGATTAGTGTTGTCCGTGCTCTCAGTATGTTTTCCTGATGTTGAAATTTGTGAGAGGTTCATTAGGGGATCCACGATGCAGCAGAAGCAGTTTGTTAAAGGTCTTCATTATGTGAAAGGTCGCTGCCACTGGCCTTCCAGGGTACTGGAGCATCCAGCTCTGGATAATGAGACGTTGCAGTAAGTTTTCAGAAAGGCACAGACCGTATTTGAATTCAAGTGATGAGGAGGGGTTACACTACTTTTTGAAATGCTTAACGCACCCACTCATTTTCCAGAAGACAAATAAAGGATGTACAGTATGTGGCTGTCAAATTTAGGTCTTTGTCCAGTAGGCAGTGAGCTTAACTTAGCATGAGGACTAGAAACACGGGAAAACAAGGAGCCTTCCTCTGTCCAAGGCCAACAGAATCTGCTGACACATTTGCAGCTCTCTGAAAAACATATCATTGCTTGTTTGTTTTTACAGAGAGTGAAGTGTAAAAACAACAATTTGATGTTCTGCTGGAGTTATTTCCTGGATTTTTCCTCTTGGCTGGGGCCTGTATCTACCTGCCTTGAAACTGCACAGTGCTGTCTTTATACTTGAAAGGTTTTTATTCAACAATTACAGCTTAACTTAAGGTAACTGTTTTGGTGTCTTAGGAAAGAGCCACACTGGCTGTTAGCTCCATGTTAATAGCCTTATTAGTAACATGGAGCTTTTGTATACCTATGAGAAAAAGTGCAGTATAAGTAAAACTGCATGTCAGGTGATCTACTCGACCCATGGTGTTAGGAAGAGGGAAGTCATGTGTAGAGAAGCTTGGTATTATGAGCTATAAATAAATTACTGTCTTGAATTATCTCGACATAAGATTCAAATTTGTTCCTGTCATGTCAATATAGCTTTAATTAAGTATAATGAGAGATACCATTTGATAAGATATATTTCTGTTTTTTGCAGATGTTATCCAATCAGCTAGCTGCCATGCAGTTGATGGAAAGTTTATATATATATTTTACCATTTTTCTGCTCTGCTCAGCGAGATAATAAGCTACAGACTAGTGTTGTATATGTGCGAGTTATCTGCTGTGTTTTTGCTGATTTTATGCTATAATGAGATTCTGAGTTTCCTTTATGGATTACACATTTGAGGACTATATTTCACCATCAGGTATGAAATTTAAGAGATACTATGAGGCAATGTTTTTCATTCCCGTTATAACTATTTTGATGTTTTATTTTGTTTTGTTTGCACGCCTGCTTCACTCCTACTGCAGTGATCACGTGTGATTAAGATGGCACTGTGTAATAAGTCTGCTGAAAATGTCACTTCCCAAGTGAATATTACAGCCCTGCAGTCTGCAAGACAACGTTTTAGTTTGTGTTCTTTGAGACTGTGCAGGACAGCACAAGAGTTAATGTTGACATTATTTGTGGGTTATTTGGTGTTGAAAGATCTCTGTGTGGTTGCTGACAGAGTTACTGAGGCTTTGAGCCAGGGCCGCAGTACTGACCTTTAGAGAAATCAAGGATCAACCAAGGTTGTAGGACAATCAACCTCTGTCCTCATACAGGTAGAGGTGAGTGTGGGACAGGTGGGAAAGCAAAGTGTACAATCACACTGTTTTTCTCAGGGCAGTAGGTTGAGTTGTCCGTGAGTCCCTGTGTGACACCAGCTGAAAAACCCATCTTTTTTAACTCTTCCACTGTCTTCGTGGTCCACTCATCCATTTGGCCTGGCTGTCTTCAGCCAGCAGTCCTTCTCAGCCCACTCTACACCTCCTTCACACTGTTTTCGCTGCACACTGTTCTTAATCCTCTCACTGTGGTGTTCTTTCAATCCTCAATCCTCCACTTCAACTCTTGCTTGACAATCAATGTAATTTCATTCCCATCCCCATCTCCTGAAAGCCTTTCCTACCTGTTGGAAGGGATTTCATGTCCTCACTGGTCCACTATTTATTATTTGCTGGTCTTGAATCTACTTCCTCTGATCGTAAATGCAGCGTACATGCTGTGATGACTTATCTTGCATCAAGGAGAGACCCTCATTGCCCATGGGTACCCAGCGGAGCATGTTGCATGATCTCTTCGTGGACCTTTAAATCATAACATTGCCACAGCAGGTTTCACCCCCACACTCTAACTCTGCTGCTGCAGGGTGAGGGACACATGCAGGGATGATACATGTGTCAGAATATGATCTGATCAACCTCTGAATGGAGGGTAGATTTTGTTGGAGGAAATCTAGTGATGTTTGTGTAACCCTAACCTGAATTGTCATGTTGAAATAGCACAGTTTTCCCGTCTGAGCAAAGACTGATTTAGAGATTTGTCACAAAAAGATGCTTAAAGATGTTTCAGGCCCGCATCTTTAGGCTTTGACCACAGGCTGCTTTAGAGGTTTAAGCCCATAACAGCTTATGATGTAGAGCAGTCCAAACAGATGCTCTGAGATTACAGATGTCTGCTTTTAACATGGACAACACATGATTGTAGGCAGGCTGCTTCAGTTCACTGTGTGTTTGTTTGCTATATTTTATTGTCTACTGTCTACTTGACCGGTTGTTTTACTATATTTTATAGATGAGTGCAATGTGACTCAGGCTTTTTTTTATCCCACTCTAAAGGGATTAGTGGCAGCAGTAATGCCACATTTTGAGATTTTACAGGAGGATTTTTTTTTTATATTACATCAATGAATGAATGAAATGGACCAACCTCTGACTCACCATGTAAAAAATAGAAGTTTTTGTGCCAGACTCCATGTCTGCTCAGAGTGAGTTTTTTTTGTAGTTGGCTTTTGTAGTTATACTCAGCATATTATACTTTTTTATACACAAAACTTTGTGTATTTCAGCACATTTATATAGATCTGTCATCTAAATGAATACAATGAATAAAATGTTGATGAGCGCAATGAAGAAATGCAAAAAACAATGTCAAGAATAGACCCTAAGGACTGCAGTGATTGTTATATAGTTTTCTGCTTTTTGCAACTTGGATCAGGCTTCCCATCATTCACAAGCAAAAAAAAACTTCAACAACCCAGAGCTAGAGTAGAAAGAAGTGTTTAACTTCCTTGATGCCGATCCAATGAGATGAGCATTCATCCAAGAACTAATTTACTCAACAAGTCTTAATTTAAGGAGATAGACTTGTATATTTTAGTTCATCTAATTTAATTCTAATAATCCAACTTTCCCCAGACTTTTATATATGATGGTAGGTTCCCGGGGAGTTAGTTGGTTTCCGTCTTCTGTGTGTATTGTCTCAGAGGAAAATCCTGGCAGTAATTAAATTGGGGCAAAAGCAGCCAGAGCAACAATATAGAAATAAGATGAAATGCAGTGAATTTAAATATCCTCGAGTGATTTTTAGCCTCACTAAAAATGTTGAGTTTGTTCGAGACTACTTGTTATGTGTTGAAATTAACTTTGCAACTCTCTCAGACTCTTTTTCCTGACGCTGCTCTGCAAATGCAGAAATATGTCTGAGATATTTTGTCCACGAGAATCACTTTAACCATGTAGTGTAATCAAATACAAAAACATTTGAAACCTCAGGCTCGAACAAAACAATGGAATTGGATTGTCACGCTCTGACTCAGTGATAACACCAATACAAATTTGAAATGTCTGTCAGATACGATATCCATTGTTGTGGGTCTATGGATTGTATTTCAATCAATTTTTTGGTTTCTAATTTCTTGCGTATTGGTAACCCTACTGTTGATTTATTAAATTCAAGAACCAGCTGATTAAACAAAGCCTGTTTCTGTATTTTCCACAACAGCCTCGGCTCTGCTGACTGTCTTAAAAATGCAGAAAGTAAGCTTTGCTGACCTGTAAACTCTGTAGCGTGAGTGGGTGGATGGATAGGCCAATGTAGGAGTAAACATCTCTGTCTTACTGGTTCTTGCCTTGCTGTGCGGCATGCTCTTCATTTATTTGTCATTTTGGATTCTTTTGTGGATCATTTGGTCATTAACCCTCTGGTTCATAGTGGTCACTACAGTGGACAGCTACCACTCTTTTTCTCTTAAATGCAATGGTTTCTATGGTGGAAGTGTATATCAGCCTCTAGGGTGCTCTCTACTGCCCTACTCCATTGAGTTACATTTAGTGAGTAATCAGTGTAACTGCAAGTAAATTTCCTACAAATCCAAGATGGCCGAGAAACAGCCACCCCTGCTGACTACAGCTGGCATGTCCTGTCAATACTTCTATAGTAGAAGAACCCCAGCTGTAAAAAAAATATGATGATATACTGTAACATCTAAGGAAGGATATTATCCATTTGGAATTGAAAATTCCATGTCCAATATGTAGAAAATTACAATTAACCATGTGTCCAACTGAGTGGACATCATGCATCACCCAGTATTTTTTTTAACAGGAGTCATGTAATTGCTCCACTGGTACTTGTGGCTGTTTTGGTTATAAATCAGTGTATACAGTGTAATCAGTGTGTAACAGTGACCAAGAGTGGCTGCCAGAGAAGAATAGACATGTAGGGGCTGAGGATGATGGAGATACAGACAGTGAGGGTGCAGAAAGGGTAGATGCCTATAGTCAAGTGGATGAGGACCAGGATGATGAGAGGCAGGATGCAGGGGAAGGTCAGCATGATCAGGGAGCTGTGGAAAATGGGCACATGACACCTGACCATTCTCAAGCTCGCAAAAATATCTGGAAAGTCCAAGACAATCACTTTGATAGAGATTTGCCTCCTTTTCTAGGAGAGTGGAAATTCAATGTGGAGGGAAGAGAGCCTATAGACCTATAGACCAGACATCTGTTTCCAGCAGATCTCATTGATGATATAGTGAAAAACACCAAGTTGTATGCTCCCCAGAAAGGGGAAGAAAATGTGGCAGTGACAGGAGAAGAAATGCAGACTTTTTTAGGAATCAACATGATCATGGGCTACATTCGTTATCCCAGGGCACACATGTACTGGTCTAGTGAGGATGGCCTTCGTCTAGGGATGATTGCAAATGCCATGTCTGTAAACAGATATGAGCAAATCCTGTGCTCATATAAAGCCTGTGTGCCATTGTGCCCTGGATGCTTTGCCAACTTTCATACATCCTAGGTGTGATGAGCAGAGACATGTTTGGAGATGCAGGGACTAAAATGTCAGTTTTTGTTGTTGAAAACAACATGCCCGTATAAGGGCATGGTAAAATCAGTCCTGAATCTTTATAGTACTGTGGGGACTTACAATATTGTTTCCAATGTTGGAGATAGTTTGGCATATTTTGGTGTACTGTACATTTTACTGTAAGTTCATAATGTTTTGTGTTGAGTGCTCAGGCGCATATAGTCCACTTGAATGGACACTTCTGTAGTTTTGTGAAAAAATAACATTTTTGGAAAAAAACAATTTTACATGTTCTTTTATGTCCTGAGAATGATAAAAACACTTATGAAAAAAATCTTGATCAGGGCTTTCATAATTCATGCATCAGAGGGTTAAGATTATGTGTGTAATCCTGCAACAGAGAGCTGCATGCACATTTTTGCATTACAGTCGGCGATGTGTTTCTAGTGATTATCACAAATTCGGTGCCCTGATGTGTGAGACGGTTTGAAACATTTGGTCGTTTCAGACTCTTGTTAGTTCGAGATTACAGAGTGTGAGATGAGTTTTTCTTTTCTCCCTCCTCTTCTCCTCAAGGTCGCTGAACATTTATCTTTCAGTGCAACAACTGTTTGTGTCTCGTGTCTCCATGGAGACAATAATTGACTTGAGCAATGAGTTTGACACTTGCGTGGTGTATGTGTATCTTTGCACATTTTTTTTGCATCTCTCTCACACCCTCAATCCATTGCTAACACACTCTTCTTTTATGACAGCATCCAGCTCCACTCGACTTGAGGATTTGAGTTTTTTGGACAACCAAAGGGCTGCTGGACACAGAAGCTCTGTCCGTAAACACAACACAGCTGGGCGCACAAATGATGAGTCCAAAGGTACTTTGGGGCTTAACTTTAGGGGACGTAAAGTCAAAAGAGCTTCTTGCAGAAATACATCCCCACTGACACTGCTCAAGTTACAAATTTATCTCTTATTTTATCTTCTTCAGGGAGATTGGTGCCATTCAAACAAGCTGATATCATGTTAAAACCACTGCTCTTCGAAGTCCCCGGCATCACCACAGAAACACCTTTCGTAGGCCGAGATTGGCTCTTCACACGCCTAGAGGAGGTCCTGAGGAAGACGAGCAGCTGCGAAGGCCGCGGCGCTGTCATTGTGGGTAATGCAGGATCCGGCAAGACGGCTATCATCTGGCGACTGGTGACGCTCAGTTGTCATGGCATGCGCACGCCTCAGGGAGGTCCCAGCATCCCTCACAGTCCCGGCTCCTCCCCGAAATGTAAGAGTGCTATCTTTACTTACAGCAGAGTCATTTGTTTTTTATGTGTGTATCTCAAAGCGTTCGTTTGAGAACACAGAAAAATGCTTGAAGCTGGATTCATACGTCCTCTGGAGTGTTTCAGTGAAGTCAGATTCCTGTAAGATATTTGGAGATATATCACTTTTTTTTTGGAAAGAGGGTGGTATCTGGGTCACACACTCTTCTTTCAAGTTCTCCCCTGGGGTTTCTCTGCTGATTGCAGTTGTGTAACGGGACTGAGATTGTTTTTTTCTCCAACTGTGAGTGGCACTGGGAGTCTTTCTTGTGTTGAAAACAGAGAAAACAACCTCTCATACCAATGCTTTTGTCATAATTCACTACGAATAGATGTTTAATGCTGTAACTTTTGTTCTTTTAAAAGCAGAAAGTTTAATTATTGTTGTATAATAGTATAATTTTAATTTCCCAGAGGGACCCTTGCCAAAAGGATCAATAAAGTTCTATCTAATCTAATCTATAATAAACCTTATCTAAACTTTCTTCTATATAACAGACAGGTTAAGCAAAAATAGTTTCTAAAAACAACATAGTGCCATTCAATTTTCAGCATGGTTGCATTTTTCATTAAAACCTGCACTCCTATGTTGTCATATTAATTTAGATTTAACAGAGTGTATAGCATGAGGTGAGTAGGGACCCAGGCATTGAAACAAGCATTTGCTGTCTTGTGGAATAGCTTAATGCTTGGTTTCTAGTCTTGCTTACAGATGCACTAATTGAGCAGCAGTTTTAATTGTGTTCCTTCGTAGACTTCACTGCTGACATTCCTCAGCTTACACCAGAGACTGCATCCGGCGAGTGTAAATGGCAGCTTTGCGTTTGTTGTTGTTGTTACTCTGCGCTCTGTTCAGGTGGGGATAAGCAGGGAAAAACTGCCTCCAAACAGCCAGCCGACTCCCAGCCCAACCAGAGTGCTGTCGCAGGAACAAGCGATAGCGCGGCGCAGAGGAAGGAGGCTGTCAGATGCTTAGCTGCCAAGGTAGCTCAAAACACTCACAACACACTTACGCTTGTGTTTCTATTCTGATGAGGACTCTTAATTTCTTTCCCCCAACATTTTGGAAACTGTTTTCTTAGGATTAGTTTGATCAGAAGATCTATGTCACGGTCTTGTCAAAAGAACAGTTAGCTGTGTTAGTATGAAGTCCAGAAAGCCAACCCTCTGCATACCGACACTTCTACAGCTCAAGTACTAACGCTGTAGCTTTTTGCTTTACCCCACATAAAAATGACATCTCTTTATTTAAAAGGAAGTTACAGTATGTTCTGACCCATTTCTCATTAAGGAGCAGTTGCCAGGCAATGAGCACAAACTCAAGGGAATTTTCATAGGACTGACCTCAGGACATAAGTAATTGTACAGTTTGATTCATGTGAGTATTCAGCTTGAGAGAAGCTTGTAGGATTAGTTTTTTATCATTGTTATTATTTAATCTTTAAACACTTTTCTGGTGTTTGAAAGCTGGTTGTAAATGTAGCTCCAGATTCCATTAACAGATATGAGGTTTGTATGATCCTCATACTGAAACTCTCCACAACAGTGTAGATAAAGAAAATAAATATTGACCAACTTCTCTGAGGGACTATAAATAAAAGGGAATTCACATAGTTGAATTACTCCTCACAAAAATACAGGAGTAAACACACATTTCCACACAACACATTTGTGTAGTCATCTTGTTGCTGAGCAGACTGCTGACTCACCTGCAGTGACTACAGACAAAAAGGAAAAATATGCTTTCACCAGAGGAGCGCCCTGAGATTTCACTTCTTTTTATGGCTCCTTTTGGTAGCCCCACAGAGTTTTACTGCACTCCACTAACCAGATATGTAAATAAGGCAACACGGTGCGCTAAAACCTCACTGCAGGGTACAATGACTATAACAAATCTCCAGCAAAGACAGGAGAGGGATCAATTCAAAGAGATAAAGACCCATCAGTGTTGTTGCTGCTCTTTGAAGAGCTCAGGGGCTACACATTAGTGACACTCACAGATTTTTAATATCACAGTGCTCTGTCTCTTTCGGGGCACATGTAGAACATGCTGGCGATTGCATCACATAGATGACATGCGAGCTTCTAAATTTACTAACTTGGCCTCAATAAGAGTTTCCATGGGAACTAGTCAGACTACTTGTGATGGTGCGGATGTGTTAAAAAGTAAGATCATTCACAGACCCCTTATGCAGAACACTTATGGTCAAGACTGAGACCCACTGTGTATGTGCCCTAAACAAAGAGAACACTATTAAAGATGTGTGTAGTAAATCTCTGCAGAAACACAACTACAATTACAAGATGTCTAATATAGATCACCGAGGAAACAGTTACCATTTATCTTAATGTGAACAGCAAAAATCTCAGTCATGCACGCAGTGATATTTTATCTCTCAGACCTTTTTTCACTGTTTGTCTTGCTGCCTGAGTGATCAAAGCTGTATTTATTTCAAGTGTTTTGGAGGCATCCTGAAGTAATATGTCAAATGAAGCTTCATTGTTCGCTTTCTAGAGTGGAAACTGTGTGATGACTCATCTTCCTCGATGGTTTCTGCAGATTTTGACTTCATATCTTAAATTTTTATGAAAACTGTGACTGTTTTTACATTAATGATCTATTAGAGAGACTTATTTTTAAAGTTGTTTTATGGGATATGCATGGATAGGTTTTAAAAGATGTCTAAATTCATGCAGTTAATACAATACTCAGAAACTTTTGACAGGTTTACCTTAAATTAATTAAAAGAAATTGTTGAAGCCTGCATGTGATGTGCGTGACCTGACAGCAGATAGAAACCCACAAGTCTTAAGAGTGTGTGCAAAATTGCAAAGAGAGATTTTCCTCAATACCTTACTTATTATTTTCAGTCACTGAAGACCAACTTAACATTCATGTTTCCAACTCCAGCTTACTTAAGAGAAATCTGGGCTGAGTGCAATCCTTCCTCATAATTTCAATAATTTCTATCACTCATTTTTACCCACAATACCAGATAATTTCATGAAACAAACAGAAAAATTCAACTTTTTGACATCTTCTTCAGATATTTTCTGTTTTCTTTCTCCTGTCAGGTGGTTGCCTACCATTTCTGCCAGGCTGACAACACCTACACCTGCCTGGTGCCGGAGTTTGTCCACAGTATCGCTGCCCTGTTGGCCAGAGCGCCACAGCTCGCTTCCTACAGAGAGCTGCTGGTACAAGAGCCTCACCTACAAAACACACTCAGCCTTCGATCCTGCGTCCAAGACCCCATCGCTGCCTTTCGAAAGGGTGTCCTCGAGCCCATGGCCAGCCTGCGAAAAGGTAATGAGTTCTCCCTTTGCACCTACACATTGAGACAAATGGGATATTTAACTTTAAAGACCTTTAAAATTTTAAAATAGTATCAGTTTCAAGGTGGAAATCTGTCGGCTCCCTTTGCCTTGCAATTAGGGAGCCGTCCACCATCTCCTGTGTGAAATAGCCCCTTAATGACTCCATGATGGTCCCATAGATTATTTTCCCCAGTTAAGGTCAGTGATTTGAAACAGTTCAGAGTGTGAAGCAGATGTTAGGTCATTTACGTAGGGAAATGATGGGTGTTATTTTTGCCCTGGTGAATCATCATCAGCAGCCCACAGGATTTCAAGGTCACAAAATACTCCAGAGAGGTTGTGAATGTTAGGGTCGTATTAGTCAGCTCAGTTTCTCGTGATACAGTCAGTCGACTAGATTGATGTGTTATTATGTCCAGGCACTCTACTGTCTGAGCAGAGGAGTGTTTTGTCTACTCCATCACTATTAAGCAGGTTAGAAAAAATGGAGAGCCCTTGTGCCTGAGTGTATGAGTCCTCGTGGGCAGGCAGGGCCGCACTGACAGCTTAGATGATTTGAAACATGATGGATATGTCCTGTTACGAGCTAATAAACAACAGTGGCCTCTGGCTTCTTTCAGCGCTGTGTAATCAATATGAGTGGTTAGTGCATTTCTCAGCGTGCGTGTGCTGTTAAACAATGATGAACCCGTTTGAAGCCAAATTCAACGTCATATAAATCCATCATCGTTATCCTTCTTTTATGATGTGCCAATAACAAGACTAATTAGATGTAAATGTTCTTCTATATGCTTCGTCCTTCTCTTCTGTACTACTTCTCTACTGTTTTTTTCATGTGTGTTCAGAGCGAAGGCTACCAGAAGAAGATTTTATCATATTAGTCGACAGCCTTAATGAGGCCGAATTCCACAAACCGGACTATGGAGACACCATCGCCACTTTCATTACCAAAATCATCTCCAAGTTTCCAGTCTGGCTCAAGCTGGTGGTGACAGTCAGGACGGGCCTGGTGGTGAGTGTGATTTCTCTCATTTCAGCGTTATTGTTGTCTCAAGGATGGACCATTAGGCATCACAAGTTTTTGATGATGCAGTCTCGCCTCCTACCTTACAAAGACGAGGTGAATGGATTTTTTCCCCTTGCTTAAATGACTTACCTTCAGATGCTCGCATTTTCAGTTCTCTGAATGTGACTGTTTGAATGAACGGTTGCCTATCTGTGATTGATAGCCTTTGGATAGATGGATGGTCAAACAAAACTCAGACTATGCTCACAGACAGATCATAAAAGACAAGGTTCAAGGTAGTAGGGGTGGGAGAAATAATCGATACAGCACAGTATCGCGATATTTTGTCTGGTGATTGTATCGTCTCATTTACCAAGTATCGATTTTTCAAATAAATTGCTGATGTGAAGTCAAATCTATGATAATGGAAAAATAAAATCAACTGTTTGTCCAGTGAGGTTGGCAAGAATTACATCATAGAGCAGGGGAAAGTTAGTGCAAAATATATATATATAAGGTTTGCGAGATGTGCTACATGAGAATAATATAACGTAAATATGACAAACATAAAGGAAAAGCCAAATGCTGAATAAGCTAAACAGTTGAAAAAACCACCATATAAATCACAATATATGGTATCGCAATACTTACTGTATTGCAAAATGTTAATAATCGCAATAATATCGAATCATGGCCCAAGTATCGTGATAATATCGTATCGTGGGCCACTTGTGATTCCCACCCCTATGAGGTAGTACTCCAAAATGTTTTCATCTTATTTTATGTTAATATTCTAGATTATGTGTCTCTCTTCTTTAAAAGTGTTGTGTCTTATCATAAGTCTTAGATAAAGATAATCTTTCATGGTGTTTAATTGTCCAAGCATGAGTCTTGAACCCAGAAACTGAACCTCTTTGGATGCAGACTGTAGTATTCACAAGTTCTTCCTCTTTTTCAAACACCAAAAAAAGCCTTCATCCCAGCTGGGCAGTGGACTCTTTATGGGGTGACGGCTGAACATTTGAAAGAAGTGAAAAGAAAATCTGTATTGGACCTACCCTGTAAGATTTAACTTGCTTTAATCAGTACCTGCTTTCTTGGCTCAGCCCTCTGCAAACACACTGTAGGTTAATGCCATGCTTTTACAGCCATACTATAGACACTGTGGCATTTGGCAGCTTCACTCTCACTGGCCTAATGTATTTTCTCAATCTGGTTGGTAATCCCAACAAACAGTGGATGCATCTGTCCAATGCTGAAGCCAAGCCTCCAAATGCTGCATGGATTACGCCCTGAATGGATGGTAATACTACTGGGACTCTGCTGGGAGTCTGGAGTTTGACAGCCAGCCAGCCGCTTACATAATTTGATTGGTGTTTGGGAATACACAAACCACATTTAGGGTCATTTTCCTGGTGATGAATTAGAAGTCAGCAAGCATTAAATACCGATATGTAAAGATGAAGAGCACAGCTATAATTGAACTCTCTGATTACCCCAGCTTCCTGATTGGATCATCAGTCAGTTTTTCCCTTTAAAGCGGCCATTTCACTAGAAGTTTTTCCTTTTGTATGCCAACAAGGATATTCCAATAACTGGTTAGAGGAGTTAAATCTGAGACTAAATGTCAGTTGCATGTTGTTGAACCGAAATGTCAGTCTTGGTTAATGAGGAACTGGGCGGCATTAACATGGATTATTTTTTTCATCAGTCATAGCTGGTTTTGGCCGGTGTTGAGCAGTTGAGGATGGCGAGAGTGTAGATGAAATGTGACTCTGAGAGATGCCTGTGAGCAATGTTGAAGCTTGAGTCATTGTCACACTATTTACTGTACTGTATCCCATGGCTCTGCGTGAGTCAGAGGCAGCAGCATCTGAGGAATGGGTCCTGATTTGGTTGCTTTTAATTTGTCCTCAGCTCATGCACCCAAGACACCCCCTGCTCTATAAATACTAAACGTTTGGTTCCAGTTTTTTGTACCTGTGTGTACCGATAAGCTCCGAAAATCTATCTTTATTTCTCCTCCTTCAGGAAATCACAACCCTCCTTCCTTTCTCCGGCATCTCCCTGGACATCCTCCCAGACAGCAGCGATCTGGGAGCTGACCTGAGTGACTACATCCATCACCGGGTCAGCAGCAGCTCCCAGGTCGCGGTCAACGTCACAACACCGACAGGCTCAGCTCCCGATCAGCTGCTCCTCAGCAAGTTCAGTAGCCATCTGACTACACGCAGTCACGGGTCCATCCTCTACCTGCAGCTCACCCTGGATCTGTTCCACAAGGGTCACCTGTCTCTAAAAGGGGGGAACTACCTGGTGGTGCCTGTTTCCCTGTCAGAGGTCAGACATGTAGAGCACTGTCACATTTGTTACACTGGGGGTTCAGTAGCACTAAGCAGCAAGTGGAGATGTTAAAACTATGATAAAATGATGTCTCTACCGTTAAAAAAAAATGTCCAAATTCAATAAAAAGGCAGTTTATTAAGAAAGCGAAAGAAACTTCTTGCAGGTCAAACCTTTTGACGGAAGTTGACGTACCTGCATGAATCTCACAATGCATTTGTGTCCAACTTATGAAACATAACTTTGGATAAAAAAGATTTATTATATGTCTTGTGCAAAAGTGGTGAAAAATTATCAGTTTAAAAATAAATCAACAGTTTGAAAATTTAGAAGAAAGCAATGTGGTCAACATAGGACAACAGTGAGTGTTGGTGTGCACACAAAGACAGTGAGGATTTAATGGGTATGGATGGAAAAGCATGAACACAGGTGAGTTATAGACGTGTAGGCTGAGGTAGGTTACAGTTAAAATTACACAGGTAGGATGTGGAGACCAAGTCGAAACCAGCGTGGGTGGTTAAAATGATCCAGATTGCTAAATGTAATGTTAAAACAGTCAATTTAAGAAAAGAAAGGAAAATCAACCACCAAAACCGTTTTTGAAAGAGAAGAGTAAGAAGTAGTGAGTTTAAGGAGACGCCCAGTTGGTTGACAGGACCGGCTAAAACTGAGAAACAGTTCACAGTTGATGCAGAGTTAGCTGACCATAGTGGATAAATACTGGAGCAAATAGTTAAACAGCAGAACTTTAAATTGTGGGCAAACACTTGGAAAAGTAAGCTAAAAGAAGTAATGGATGCCCAACGGCTGTAGCTAGCTTAAATGATGGATTAATAGTTGGTGGGGTGACCATAAGTCCTCTTTTACCCGGACATGTCCTCTTTTTTGGGGGCTGTTCGACTTTGTCTGGGGAAGTTTATAAAATCCTTAAAATGTCAGCAGTTTTGTACGTAAGTTTCGATTTTGTGTCACGTGGACTTACTGAGTTAGAAGCACATCAAAGACACTCGATTCCGACCCGAAAAACTCTCAAAATTAACTTCGTGCGACTCTGTGACTCCGCCCCTGTGTAGTCATGTCCTCTTTTTGGGAAGTTAAAATATGGTCACCCTAAATTAGCTTTAAAGTGATGCATCAGTGGCTGAAATAGTTCAATTGATTAATTGATTGATTGATTGATGGTTGAAAGAGAAAGCTTAATAGCCTTGTTCTCGGGGCGCTGCTTGGCCTAGCCACAGTCACTGTTTGACTCCCTGCTTCAACTCTGTGCTTCATGCCATCCCCCACTCACCCCACTTTTCGTATCTCTTTTTAGCTGTACTGTCAAGTGAAGGTAAAAGTTCCCCCAAAATAACTAAGATGAATAATGCATTCTTTTCTAAAGTAGCTAGATTAATTGACGGATGAATGGTTGAGAGAGAAAGCTGAAATTAATGGAGAATTACTGAAAGAGTAAAATCAGCTAAACATGGTATCAATAAATTGTTAATGTATCCAAAAATCATTGTTAAATATTTATAGCCCAACGTTTGGCTCTCATAACTTGTAGTGCTGAAGCTGGTTTCCTTAAAAACTTTTCATAAAACACAAATTAAGAGTTTGGAGTTTACCTGCTACGAAGCAGCACTGTTTCTAAAACATGAGAGCTAAAACAACACCGTTTACCTCGTGTGTATTTTTGGACCCACCCTCTTCTACCTCATCTGGTCATATTCACAGTCTAACACTTAACACTTGTCACTCATCCCGGTGAGCTGTCTTCCGTGAAATGACATCTCGCCTGAGGAAGAAGCAATCAATGTCCACAAAATCCCCACACAAGGTACATGGGCGACAACCATTGTTCGGGGATGTTTTTCTTCCCAAAAAGAGAACGAGTCTCCTCACTCGCTTTTCAGAGCAATAAAAGATTTTTTTTTAAAGATGACAGGATCAAAGACTTGATTCAAAGTGACAAAAATAGTCTGCAGCGAGTAAAGTCAAACGACAGATGCATCTTAATGTTTCATACTCATCAGTATAAAATAGGACAACAGTGAGTGTTGGTGTGCACACAAAGACAGTGAGGATTTAATGATTATGGATGGAAAAGCATGAACACAGGTGAGTTATAGACGTGTAGGCTAAGGTAGGTTACAGTGGGTGGTTAAAATGATCCAGATTGCTTAATATTTTAAAGTTAGAAACATAATAACCCACAGAGAAACACTTGAAATACCAACAGAACTTTATCGTGTTTATAAGAAATCTGATGATCCAGGAAAGCTGATATGCTGACTGATATTACATATTTCAATTTCCATGTCTACAATAAAAATGTCTTGTCGAATCACTGACAGATTTCCTGTATAACTTGCAAAGAAAAATATAAACCCATGTGTGTCCAGTAATGTCAATAACATCATGTGCTGACTGACTTCGTGGATTTCTGTCAGGTGTACCTGCTGATGTGTCGTGTGAGCTTTCCGGAGAAAGACGTCTTTGAACGAGTACTTCCAGTGCTAAATGTGGCACTGGCGTCTCTGCACCCACTGACTGATGAACAAATGTTCAGGGCGCTGAATGCAGGCAGTGTGAGGGGGGAGCTGGAGTGGAAGGACTTCCAGCAGAGATTAGACAGCCTGGCTGGATTCATGGTAAGACTCTTGATATGACTGCAAGGATTGAACATAATGATACCAGCTTGTGTTTTAGAAGTTTTGCTGTTTTTTTCCACCGACAATTAGTGATGTAAATATTGTTTCTGTAAGGAATGACAGGTTCTGGAATGACAGCGTCTGTTTTTACAATGTCCAGTAATTGCAGCTTTGTGAAAACATGTCATATTATTTGTGTTTTTAGGTAAAACGCAGGGATGGCACACGGATGCTGTGTCACCCCTCTTTTAGGGAGTGGCTGGTTTGGAGAGCAGATGGAGAGAGCAATGACTTTCTGTGCGACCCAAGGTGAGAAAAAGAGTTTCTTTAAGATACAGAATTTATCCATTTAGGAAGAAGAGTAAACGGGACCATTTCTTATAAATAACCACTTTATGCATGTCCAACAGGAGTGGCCACGCCCTCCTCGCCTTCATGTTCTCCAGACAGGAGGGCAAACTGAACCGGCAGCAGACTATGGAACTGGGACATCACATCCTTAAGGCTCACATATTCAAGGTAGAGGAGCTGAGTATAAATAAAAAGTTGGCTTTTAACTGGAAGTGACCATTTGTTAACTCTTCTGAATCTCCCTTACTCCCAAAAGGCTCCATGATCTTTTACATTAATCTATAAACACTTAAAGATGCGCACATTTGAGCGTGAACTACTGTCCCTACCACCACCCACACGCATTAGCACAACTCCTATATGTGAACATCCACCGCACAATGAATATTGTACTGTTTGCATGCACAGTTGCACTCTGTGTATAGTGCTGTACTCCTGGGACACAATTCAAATTCTGCACCACAGATCTCATCTAAGCAAGTTTAATCTTTCTTTCTCTCTCTCTCTCTCTGAATCCATCTGTGTTTCTCTCACGCACTCACAGGGCTTGAGTAAGAAGACAGGTGTGTCCTCCAGCGTTCTTCAGGCCATGTGGGTGAACTGCAGCACAGACAGTCTGTCCGCTGCACTGGCCTCCCTGAGGAATTTATACACACCTAACATCAAGGTTACATACATGAACTCACTAAAAATAGCACCTAAATATATGATGCTATAAAATTAAGTAAAGCCATACAAGCAAAGACGTTGTTCTGGATTTCAGCACAGAGGTGGTTCAGTCAGAAGCAGGAGGCTGAGATAACCATGGCTGTGCTGAAGTCCAGAGAGAAGGGTTGTACTTTTATGAAAGCCGCACTTTTTAGTTAATAGATCGACAACTGACCGTTAATTCTTTGGCTAATTTCTTATTTTGTTTGGCTTTACAATGACGAGTTTTAGGACTTACAAGATGTTGGAAATATGCACATAGTCTCGTTGGAATCACCCATGAATTTTTAAAGAGAGGTTGTGAAGCCAAAAGATGGAAGGTCCCACATTGGAAATGCTCCAATGAACTGTTGGCTCATCTAGAGACAGGCTGAGAGGTGGAGCTCAGCCGGGTCTTAAGCCAACTGGCAAGCAGCAAAAGTGTGCCCACCTATCAGTTAAACCAGCCACACCCCTGATTACTCCTAAATTTGCACAACTTTCATCTAATCAGACATAGTGACAAAATTCTGTTGTTTGAGGTCCGCTGATCAGCTCCAACTCGTCCCTAAAACTTGTTTGAAAACCTGTGGTGACCGAGCTTTCTCTGCTGTGGCTCCCGATTTGTGGAACGAATTGCCACTTGAGATCGAAACATCCCCCACGCTTTCTACTTTTAGCGCAGCAGAGAGTTGTGTGATCTCTGTCCTTTTATGTCTGTTTATGGTCCTTTTTTCACTTTCATTTCTTTTATGCTTTTGTGTTTTTGTTTCATTTCATTTTAAATGTTTTTTTTTGCCTGATTTATTAATTTCCTTGTGACGTTTTTTGTAGCGTTTGTTCTTATAAATTTTCCCGTGCAGCTCTTTGGCAAACTTGAATGTTTTTTAAAATGTGCTATACAAATAAAGTGGATTGTTGTTATAACCAGAGAGATAGCAATGAAAAGCACTTCTGTAGTGTGCTGTAACCAGTAAATGTTTGATTCTGCTATGATAACATGATATTATAACATACAGTCGACTCTACTGGTGTTTCTGTGGCTCTTAGAGCCAGCTTCAAGTGGACATTTGAGGAACTGCAGATATGCATGTATGCACATTTTAGCAGACCTTTCACATTGCATCATGCACATTTCGTCTGTTACTGTATTGTTTAAACACAAACATAGACTTTCCCCCTCTTTTACCCTGCAGGTAAGCCGTCTGTTGATGCTAGGTGGCGCTAACGTGACCTGGTGTACTGAAGTAATAGGACACGCCCCCATTCTGGCTGTTCACGCGCACCTGGGGCATGTAGAGATGGTTGCTTTGCTGCTTGAAATGAACGCTGCTGTGGATGGGACCACCGACAGCGGCATGACACCCTTATGTTTGGCTGCAGCTGCAGGACACACAGACATCGTCACCCTGCTCTGCAAGAAAGGGGCCAAGGTAAGTGTCCCATCTGAGGAAGATGTTGGTTTTAAAGGCGTGAACAGTAACGTTATCACTGATTAACCAGATTTAGATGTGTGACAGCGCACTATCTTTTAATACCTTTACATCAGTGATATCCTGAACAGCTCTGGCTTTACGTCACCAGAGTTTCAGGATCTATTTTGGGAGACCGATGACATAAACAGGTCCAATCTAGGCCAGGGTATTACAGACAGCAGCCAGGATCAGGGTTATAAGTCCGTCTGTGTCCCCCCTCTGTGCCAGGTGGGCCATGCTGATAAGAGTGGCCAGTGTGCTCTTGTCCACACTGGGCTCAAGGGCCATACAGACATCATCAACATCTTGCTGGGCCAGGATTGGGGAGCAGAGATCCCCACCGACCCACCGCAGCAGCAGCAGCACCACAGCAACGAGACAGTGACTGGGAAAGCACAGGCAGCACAGCAGGCGGTAACAGCTGCAGCCAGTGTGGGACACATACAAGTGCGTATCAGCTCCTAATGACAAAACACATTTCTCATCTTCATTCACTTCTTTAAATGTGAGCTTCCTGTCCTGCTCGATTAAGATGACTGATGAGACGTTTTTTTTTTTCTGTTGTCTGTGGTCAAGGTCTGTGGGGGCTTTGTAGGGTTGTTTTTTTGTGCACAGTGAGCCAGCAATACAGAGGAATTATGAGATTGTTTTGTTTGTGTGTGTTTTTTTTCTGCAGGTGGTGAAGAGCCTGCTGGACTTGAAAGATGAACAGCTGGCAGTGCAGATGGATGCCCACGACTCTCTCTGGGGAGAAACGGGTACTTCTCCTCTATCAGTTGGATAAATTTAGCTTTCTCACCTCTTTCTGTCCGTCTTTGTGGTTCCAGAGTCACGCTCAGAGGTTTTAGAGTTGCATTTAAGGGGAAATTCTTGCTCTGTGCATCGGGTTGGTATTAATCAAAAGACATATTCAGACTCTTACACGTGACAGGAGCTGCGGGACCTCTGGATACCAAAAAAACAATTTTAGTATTATGATTTTATGATGCTCTGGTTGATATCAAACAGTTGATTCAATTGAAAATAGTTTTTTTTGTTTTTGGCAGAAATGCAGCATCATTTATCACACAGAACATCTCGCTCAGCCGTATTTGTAGCTTCTAAAAAACCAGCTGTTATTCAATTGTGATACTTTTACCTCTAACACAGATAGGACAGTGCAGCCTGCAGGATTCTGTTAGGATCATTTCCTGGAAGCATGCAGGATGAAGCCTGTATCCCTGCCTTCAGCGCCATTAGAGGCTAATTCTATTACACAGTCCCCTCCAGTGCTGAGAGAGAAAAAAACGAGAGCATGAAATAGCCTCTGAAACATTCACCTTTGCATTTACAGCACAAGGGCTTTGTGTGGGGTTTATGTTTGCGACCACCACCTGCACTCTAGAAGGTTTGTATGGGTATGTATAGGGTGCATGTGTATAGGAGTGTATATAGACATAGACAAAATAGGCATGATGGTAGATGCAGGCAGATATAACACTCTCCTACTACATTATACTCATCTCTCCTGTACTTTTTCCTGCATTTTTAAAATTATTCCACTGTGGGCTGGAGAGAAACGTCTTTTTTCAATTCCTGTCTGTGTAGGGGAGACCGGGGCTTGTTGTCACATGGGTAAGTTGTCACATTGCAAGTATCTTTGCCACCAGAGGGCGCAATTAAAAAGTGGAATACTAGTTTTCTTCCTTTACATGGTCAGGGGTCGTGTCCTGTATGAGAAGAGAAGAGCACAATGTGAGCTGAGATGAGCGCCAATTAACCATTTTGCACAATCCAAAGTAAAACATTTTAACTTTATATATTTTAAAATAATCTTATCCTAGCAGTGATACATGTGGACTTGTTAGAGGAGAGATTAAGACATCCTGTCATACCTCAGTCATTGTTCTGTTTTAAGCTAACTTTAAGCTAGAGCTTTAATCAGCAGACATGGCAGTTTGGGGCAACTTTGGGGTTAGTTATCACATGTTTAAAGGGATTAAAATAAATATAGAGAGTGTGCTTATCAGAAGTTGTCATCTTGAAATTTTGACTTTATTTTATAGAGAAAAGAGTGGTTTAAAGGAGAGGATGAAGTGAGAAGACATGGTCAGGAATTACAAAACAAAAACAGTACATGGCAGTGCAGTACCTGACATGATGCTGAGGACAGTCAGACAGGTGACCCTCGCTAATAAATCAATCTGGAGTACAATAAAGGACTTTCATGTCAACTACCATACCTTGGCTCGGTACTGCAAAACATTCACCCCAGCCGAAATACAGAGTCAGACAGCTCTCCAAACTCCAGAGCATGTTGCATCATATTTTATGTTAACGTTTGTTTAATGGCTAAAATCGACGACTTTCTCTAGCTCAATGATAAATATTTTCTATGCCTGACTTTAATAACAACAATAATTTTATTCTTGTTTTATTAGCTGCAAAATCCACTGTGACATTTTACCCCATATGGTGAGACAACTTACCCGATGGTGGGGCAACATGGCACATGTTTACTTGAGAATTTGATCTTTCATCTGGAAATCATTCTGTTTATACATGATGTATTGATTCCAAGAAATATATAAGAGTGTAAAAGGTGTGACAACAAGCCCCGGTCTCCCCTACCCCCTGGTTAACAGTCCTAGAATTCAAAGTAAAGGATAATTTTTAGGTCTGACAAATTGGCCAGAGAGTTGTACTATTTTGGGGTACTGATGTTAGCCAAGACAGCAGTGCAGTAGTATGTGTGTGTGTGTGTGTGTGTGTGTGTGTGTGTGTGTGTGTGTGTGTGTGCGTGTGCGTGCGTGCGTAGCTGCTCAAAGTCACTTTAACCAATGACTACCAGGCAGTTTGCCAATAAAATCCACTGCCTATCAAAGACAGTAACTTCTCTGTAAAAGCCTGACTGACTTGTTCACTGAAGCATGCCATCACATGAAACATAAGGGTAGGTAAAGGTGAGAGGATTGCACTGATACCTCTTCTCTAGCCAAGGGAGGTGCATACTGAAAAGGTTTTGGTATATCTTACTGAATGTGTGTCAGAACAATTAGAAATAACCATCTGTCGGTGTCCTAGAGTTCTTGAAGAGAAAGGATAAGAAGGAAGAAGTGAAGCCGACTTTGATCATTTTGCAGGATCCGTCAGATGTTCGAATCAAATAGCTGAAAGAACAACCAGCCTTGTTTTTCTCTCTGTTTCTCACTCCTGCCTCTACTTCTCTCCTAAATGTGTCAATTACATATTCTCCTCCGCCTCGTCATCTCATCTCTATGCTGCCTCTCTGTCAGCTCTGAGCGCGGCAGCAGGGAGAGGGAGGATGGAGATGTGTTTGTTCCTCCTGGAGCGGGGGCCTGGGCTAGAGATACCTAACCGCAGGGGGATGGTCCCGCTGCTCAGCGCCACCAAACATGGACACACACAGGTCAGGAGAGGTCACTGCATGTTCTTTCGCTTACTAGCTTTGTTTTTGGGGTGAAGAGATGATAATATTCTCGCCTTTCTCAGGTTGCGGAGCTGCTCCTGAAGCACGGTGCAGACATCAATGTCAGCGACAAGCAGGGTCGCACTCCCTTGGTACTAGCAGCGGCTGAGGGTCACACAAGCACAGCTGAACTCTTGCAGCTCAAGGGTGAGAGACCCAACCCCCTACAGTTACACCATATACTGAATTGATGAATTGTTGAATACTATTAGTTCTGTTTTTGCTCCCAGGTGCCTCTCTGTCTTCGACCGATCAGGAAGGGCTGACTGCTTTGAGCTGGGCCTGTATGAAGGGGCAGAAGGGTACGGTGCAGCTTCTCGTGGAACTGGGCGCCGATGTTAACCATCCGGACAGACAGGGACGGACACCTCTGGACATAGCTGCTCTCAACGGGGATGCAGATACAGTAGGTTTCATGATGTTCAAAACACAATTATGCAACAATGATTGGAAGAGTCGACTACATACATGTTTCACATTCGCACAAACGTTTGAAGCTTTTTTGAACTAATTAAATAAATTGTAATTACTAGAATAATGATAATTATTTGTAATTGTAACACAGGTCATTAATTTGCAATTGTAGTTAACTGTGCTGTAAAAACCCTCAGTGTGAGCACCTTGACTACAGCTCTTGTAATTTCATTGATCAGCATGATAGTAATCAGCACATTCCCCTGAGGTATTGATTGGCAGACGTCTTGATTTCTGCAGCATGCAATCAAAATAATAATGTTAATACCTCACAGCCTGCTCTTTTCTCTTTAGTTTGGAGTATAAAATACAGTTTTACCTCCGTGTCTGTTAAGGTGCATTGCTTGGTTGAACATGGAGCTGTGCTGGAGAGAGCAGAGAACAGCAGAGGCTCAGACCGAGCCACTGGATGCCAGAACCCGGCTCTGGTGGCTTCGCTTCTTAAGAAAGGATCCAAAACAGGTACAAATGACATGTTTTTATGATGGACCTGCGATAAATCCAGCCTCTATGGATTTTATACTCAATAGAAGGAGTATCAATAATACTGAAGGTGACACAACACAGTTAAAAAGCTCCACAATCAGCAGGACAGCTTCTAATATGAGCATAAAGTTAAATCCCGGCTGTGTATTTATATTTCCATCAGTCTCAACCGATTAATGAAGACTCAGCTCCCTCCGTTTTATGTGCCATACTTTGGCACCTGCAAGCTCTGCATATCTATGACTTTATAATCGCCTGTTTTACTGACATTAATTATTTTCCTTCTGGCCTCACTCCACTTCTCTAACTCCCTCTTTTTCTGTTGCCCAAAAGGCTACAGAACGGCTCCACACGACCGATCAGGTACATGATTTATATGAGACACACAGAAAGAAAAAAAAGAAAGATATTGTGTTGAAAGATAAATAGTTGTACTTTTTTTTCCAGGCCATGCTACATGGGCTTTGGCTTCCTCCAAGCCTGACATTCTCCTCATCCTGTTGCAGAAGCTCATGGAGGAAGGGAACCTGCTTTACAAGGTGTGCGATGGTGTGAGGTTTTTGCAGCTTGAAATGGACTTCAAAGGTGTTTTTTGTGGATTCACTGATCGAAAACGTGTCTTCCCTTTCCCCCCCCCTCTGTCTCTTATTTTCTCCCCCACCTCCCTGTGTGGTGCTCAGAAGGGACGTATGAAGGAGGCAGGCCAACGTTATCAGTATGCCCTGAGGAAGCTCCCTCGTGAGGGGCAAGGAGAGGAGCTGAAAGGGCTCAAAGACCTGCGGGTGTCTCTCTATCTCAACCTCTCTCGCTGCCGCAGGAAAACCAATGTAAGGCCCACAGCTCTATCAAACTGCTCATGCACTATTTAGCACCGGCAGGTTTATTAGATGCTGAGGGAATGGCAGGAGGGCTGGAGAGGCAAGGTGGATGTTTCCCTTAGATATATATAATTTATCTGTATCAACATAAAAAGATAATGTCAGAAGCAGTGTGGCTCGCTGTAAAAATATCTCAGCTTTTCAGGTTTAATTTCATATCTCCCCCGGTAAACAGAACGTACGTGTAAGACCTGGAAGCAGGTGGTGACATAATGAATAACCGTGTGCTGTTAGCGCCGAGATGGATGTGTGTGGCCCGCAGCCAGCTCTGGAACCCACCCTGCTGATGACAGACGTCCTAACAGACTGTGTAAAAATGCCATCCTTAGGGTCACTGTGGCCGATGAATAATGGAGCAGATAATGTGATGTGATAAGGTCACTCTCTCTGGCAGACCAAGCGAGCGCACGCTCTCTTTCTCTGCGTCTCTACAGGGGGTTATTTACAGTGGGCGTGCGAGTGGGCTGTCTAAACCCACATATTATATCAGAAAGTGGGCAGTAAAGGCCAGCAGAGAGACTACATGATACCGTCATTAAACATTCAACACACAACGTTCACAATCTCACATCCGAGGCTGCCATTTTGACCTCCCTCTCAAGGACAGAATCACAATGTGTTGGTGTCATTAGATATTCACCTGAGAGTGATGATGAGCGCTGAGGAACACGCCGCTCTCTGTCTGTCTTTTCCTCTCGCTCTCTTTATTGTTCTTGGTCAATAAAAATTATCACAGACTGAGCTTGGTTTCATTACACAGGCTTCGATTTTTTCGGATCCATATAACGAGGATGCAAACATATTTTTTTTATATGAATCATCTTGGTTTGTTTCTGCAAAGCAAACATTTTCCAGACGAGTCACTTAAACACACAGCTGATCACACAGTAGGTTTATTTGTTTCTATATCTAAATTCAAATGCACTTTCTTCTCTGAACGCACAGGATTTTGGCATCGCTGAGGAGTTTGCAACAAAAGCCCTGGAACTCAAACCCAGGTCTTATGAAGCATTTTATGCCAGGGCACGTGCCAAGAGGAGCAGCAGGTAAAAACAATTAAATGGAGTTCATTATTTCGGAGCAAACTTAATAGAAAGTTGTTCTTGTGAGAATCAGCAATTCGCTGAAACGCCACGTCTCAGTGGTGCTGTAAATTCAGTGTTTTGAAAGTTCCTTTGTTCCCTTTCTCTGTCCTCCCCAGGCAGTTTGCTGCAGCGCTGGCAGACCTCCACGAAGCAGCACGACTCTGCCCGTCCAACCGGGAGATCCGTCGCTTGCTGGTTCGGGTAGAGGAAGAATGCAAACATCATCAGAAGGCGTGCAGCAACAACGCCGCACCGGGCTACACCAGGGACCCTCACGCCCACCACCATCCAGCAACCGAGGAGGAGACAGACGCTTTTTCGCAGGGTAGTCTGGAGAGGCAGAACCCCGCAGAGCAGACTGACACCGACAAGGATGAAGAGAGGGAGGAAGATGAAGAGGTGAGCCTGCAGTGTGGGAAAAGTCCAGAGTTTTGGCCTCTGAATCCGTACGCTCCGAACCGGACTCTCCCTGGAGGCGTGGCCTTTGGTTTACCGGATCAGTCACCATGTTTCCCTCAAGAGGAATTTGTTCAGAACCCACTGTTTGTGGACTTAACCGAGACGGTTCCTGCCATGAACAGGCAGAGCCAGAGCAGCAGGACTCATCACCACTGCCACTCTCTCCAGGCCGGGGGCAGAGTCGGGGGCAGGCCTCTTTCTTTGTGTGGCCCCTCCAGTCCTCTGCCAGGCCGACACATCTCCACTTCTCTGAGGCCTGCTGGGGTGCTTGGAATTGACATTGGTCCTGGATCCATCAGTGAACATTCAGGACATAGCCCCACTGAGCACTATCACCCCATGTCCCCCAGCAGCTCCTCCCCGCCCGGACCACTCCAGATGTACCAGCCCCGCTCCTCCAGCTTTTCCAGGGGCTCTGATAGATTCTCCACTCACTCTGTGGCCCTGGATGGCCTGGCTCTCGCTCTTGGGTCAGGTATGGAAGTGAGGAGGGAGGGTGGAGGAGGTGGAGGAACAGCGGGCTCAAGGGGCTCTAGCTCCAGTCAGGCTTCCAGTGGGAATCTATCAGATGGTGGCAGGCAGCAGGTTCCTGAAGCTCCGTGCCCGATCAAGAGCAGCGGCAGCTTCAAGACCAAACCTGAGCTGAAGCCTCGACCGTTCATGGGGGTTATGGACAAATCAGTGCGAGTCCAGGGCCAGCAGACCTCCGGCATGAGCCGAGGAGGGGAAAGCTTCAGCATGTCGGTGATGGAGTTTCAAGGATTCAACAATGAGTTCAAACGCGCTTCATTCCAGGAGCAGCTCTCTGGAAGTCAGGCCAACAGCCAGCAGCAAAGCAGGGACTTTGGAGAGCGGCTCCACCAGCGAGAGGCCAGAGGAACGACCTCCTCCCAGCTACGCTTTCCTGAGGGAGGGAGGCACAGACAGGCAAGCCTAACAAGGGACAACCCGGCTCTGCACATGGCGCCCATCAAGCCCAAACGCTCATTTATAGAGTCCAACGTCTGAGCGAAGTTCACAGAAGCACAGACCCGGGCGTTCTCCAAACTCTGTCCCACTTAAGGTAGCGAGGGAGCCTGGTCTGGGAGCAGCTCCCTTACCTGAGCCTGTTTTGTAGATTAATGCTGCTGCACTGCATTTACAACCTAGAACCAGTGTTCTACTCAGGCTATGCTGCTTTTGCTTACATGTCTACAGCTACACTAGTGTATTCAAGGAAATCAGACAAACCTTAGTAAGGATTTAAAAAGCGAGTAGTATATTGTCGAAACTTTAATTTATTATATTAAATATAGCAGTCAGAGAAAGCTTTGTGCACGAATATAAAAACCTCATGCTATTAGTTGCAAGATAAGACCATTTCTATTGTCATGTGTCTTTTAAAAAACATTTATATTTGTACGGTGTACACTATATTTGCAGATTATATATTTCCCTGTTAGTGAATATCTGTCAGCATTACAAGCTGTGTACTTGAGATTCTTTTTCTTGGTACATTTGATAAAAAGGCACTGTACATGACATTGTTGGAAACTTATCATCATAAGCTAATACTGAATCAATGGCTTCAATATTCACAGTATATGTTATTTATTTTTGCATAGCAGAGAACATATAAAGTGTTAAGAGGTTTATTTGGACAGAGAGCATACAACAGGCAACAAAAGGAGGATAACGAACCTTAATAGACTTCTTACATTGCTCTACGTCCACATTGGTCATAATATCCCTTCAGAGTCATACTATGATTACAGAATGTTACCACGTTGTTTCTGTGGTATAATAAAATATAAATGGAGGATTACATTTCTCTACATCTAATTCTTTTACTATGTTATACAGAATTTCATAATATACAGTATATAAAGTGTTGCCTTAGCTTCAGAGTGTGTATGGGTGGAAAAAAAAGTGTCTTTTCCTTTCACAGTACAACTAAACTTTTAATCAATAAAAATATGCCATCAAAATAAAAAAAAGTGCAAAAATATGAGCAATGCTATCTGGTTTTCAGAGATCCGTCTTTATTTATCATGTCCAACATAATCTCTGAATATTTACATAAAACTACTTTGGATTCAGTTAAGCTTTAACAGCCTGTTAATTTTTGGTTATTCAGCAGATAAAGAGTTAAAGAAATAGGCGGGTACTGTGATACGCTAGACCGCAACACACCAAGCTTCCCACATGAGTGAGGTGCAAATTTAGCTTTGTTAGAGCCTGATATGTAACAATGACCCGAAATTAAAAAAAAATAAAAGTAATAAAGCCCGAAATTAAAAAAAATAATAAAAAAACGAAATGTAAAAAAAAATAAATAAATAAAATTTTTTTAATAAAGCCTGAAATTTAATAGTTCGTCAATAATGTAACTTAAGGGTTGAGCCCAAAATGTCATTAAAATAGTGTAAAAAATATATATATAATGTAATAATTGACCCAATACGTAACAAGTTGCTACATTTTGGGCAAAAAGTTACGACGTTTTGGGCTAAGCATCTTGTTACACTATTGACCATTTGTTACATTTTGGGTATCATTACATTTTTTTGTTTAATAACATTTCGAGTCATTGTTACAAATCAGGCTCTAACAAGCCTGTTTTTGTTTGTTTCTGGTTTTTGAAAGTCAAGAACTATGAGTTATGATTATGAGATGTAAAAAACAGCAATTATTAACTTATTGAGAGAAAATGAAATAAATGATGTACGATTGTATGTCTGCTTAGGCTTCTATATGCAACACAACAGGGCCTCTCAAAGTATTTATTTCACCAGTAAGCACTTTGTTTATCTTCACTGAGCAGAATTAAAGGAAAGACCAGTTTTTAAAATAGTTTAAAAAGGCTTCGTATGGACAGAAGAAGTGGCTGTGACCATAAATGTCAGATCTGAATAAAAACTATATTAATGATTTAACATTATAGAAGCCTACAGTTTCAAAGTTAATGTTATCGTGATGGATTGCTTGTTTAGCAATTTGTGAAGCAGGTTCTTCTATCAAGATTGACTCCCTGTTTGTGCAAATGACCTTAAGCTTAAGCAAGGTGGCTTTTTTATTTTAGGAAAGGCAAGCAGACGAAGGCATCATTTTGAGTAAGAAGACAAAAGGAGATTTACTCATGAAGATATAAGATTCACCCTGCATTTCAGGCAGCATAGTCTTGGCACATGATTGCATATTAGCGTATCAGCCAATAGTTTCTTATTATCACATCCAGCAGTTGTAGACAAACATAATCAAACATGCAAAGCTGTTTAAAGTAACCTTGTGAATCAAAGATCGATATTCTTTCGCCTCTGTCACTGTGTTCATCATCTGGCTTTTAACCTTGACTTCTGTGTGTTGCAAAGAAAGTAGTGTTCAGGGTTTTAGAGCGTCACAAAGAGCTTCAGTCCTCACTGATACAACAACACGAAGCTCACTATAGAGATTAGTACTAATACAAAGATCAGTTGAAGTTGCTTTAAACTTGCATTCTTAATGACGACAAATGAGCGCTCCTCTGGGATCTGTATGATATGCAAATAAGGAACTAATTAAGTGCATGAGCTGAAGTGTATTAAGACCCGCTAGTGTCACCAAGTCTTCACGATCCTCACCCATCAGAAACTGCAGCTTTATCTTTGTACCTGAAATGTTCAGGCATGTCCCTGTGAAGACTGGGCTCAAGCATCTGTCTGCTCATATGTTGGGGGTGCTATGGGTCAGAGGCCTCTTGGATGCTAGTGGCTGGTCTTCCAGCGGCCGATAGCCATCTTCAGGGTGTGGTTGGGGGTGAGCAGAGTGGTTAGTAAAGGGAGGTTTGTCATGGGGCTGGAGCGGTTCTTGGTGTTGATCCAGCTCTCGATGGCTTCCCTTTCATATGAGAATCCATCTGTTTGGAAGCCACACAAACAAATACATGCAAATCTGTTCACACTGGCTTCTCCTTACTTAGAAAATGCATCATTAAACGTTTCTAAATGGTTTGATCTTTGATTACCGGCAGCAATGACTGGTTCCCTCATCAACTCCCTGGTGATTGGACATAGGAACTCATCAGGAATGCCTGAGCAAACTGAATCACTCTTCAGCTCCTCCACCTTTCTGAGGACTTTATTACGCAGGCCCACAGAGTCTGCACACACAAACATACACACAGATTCACAAACAAGACAAAGAAAAAAAAGAGTGTTATTTTAAGAGCCAGAGGAGGAAACATGCCTGTTCTATTTAAACTATAAAAAAAACCCCACTAAAACATGAAGTGAAACAAGCTGAAAAGAAGAAAAGCATTTGATAGAATAATATGGATTAAAACGATATAAAATGGAATAGAGTAAAAAAGAATAAAATAAAATGGGATGGAATAAAACAGCATAAATAGAATAGAGTAATATAGAATAAAAGGAATAATATGAAATAATATAGAATAGAACAGAGTAATATAGAATAAAATAAGATAATATGGAATAAAATAGAATAGAATACAGTAATATAGAATAAGACAGAATAATATAGAATAAAAAAACAGAATAGAATACAGTTATACAGAATAATATAGAATAGAATAAAATAGAGTAATAAAGAATAAAGTTGAATAAAATGGAAAAAAACAGCATAGAATTGAATTCAGTAATATAGAATAAGATAGAATAATGTGGAATGAAACAGCATTAAATAGACTACAATAATATAGAATAAAATAGAATAATATGGAATAAAATAGAATAGAATAGAGTAATATAGAATAAAGTAGAATAATATGGAATAAAACAGAATAGAGTAATATGGACTAAAAAAGGATAACATAGAATAGAATAGAATAGACTAGGGCTGAATAGATAAAAAAGAATGGAGTAGACAGAACAGAACAGAATAAATTAGAATAGAGAATATTTTCCATTTGCATAGGATTATATCTATAGGAATTTTTGAGTTGCTCACATAGTTAGCTCTTTAAAACAAAGATATTTCCACTTTCATATACAATTTTTGTACATATGCACATATATTTACCAGTTACCAATATAATGCAAGAAATTCACACTTTTCAGTTAAATATATAAAGAAGGCACTGTATGAAATAAAAATAACTCCTGAACTAACAACATCCAGACAAAGAGTATAACTCTTTTTCTGAATGCTGCACTTTTCACCTCTACATAATCCTTAACATGTTGAAGCGAAATTCTTCCTCTTACTGCCTGTACAACTCAACGATTAACTTCAAGCCTCCCTTGAGTGCATTTCAGCTTGATTAGTGTCTGATTGAATCTATCCACTTTGAAATAAGGATGAGTTAACTACAGCCGAGCACAAACACACTTAGTAGATGCTGCTTAGTTTTCTGGCACATTGTGTTTCCTTTAGTTGTGCTGCCTCTTTAAGAGGAACAGAAACTTGATTGATTTGCCTCCCACCTTTGAAAAGTATGCCTGTCTCTCCATTTATTTATTTACTTATTTATTTATTTAACCTTTATTTAACCAGGAAATATTCCATTGAGATTAAGAAGCTCTTTTTCAAGAGAGTACTGGCCGAGAGCAGGACTCTTGCAGCACATAAAACATGTTTGCAAGTCAGAACTGTTCCTGAAGTTAGCTCTGCTAAAAAGGTGGCACTCATGCTATGTTGCTAAAAACAGAACAATGTGAGCACAAGCTGTCACGGCGCTGAAGCTGTGTAAACTGAGGAGTGATTGAAAGTGGCTGTGGGATGGAAATGACGGCATGGAGGAAAAAAAACAAACATTTGCTGACAACTACATGACGAATACCGACCCCGCTGGTAGACTGACAACACCACCACAACACTCTGACTTTAGATGTGTGGTTATACAGCTGAATTACAAAATAACAAAAACACCTGATGGGTGGATGGATGGATAAGAAAGAAGGTAGATGGATAGGTAGGAAGGTAGGAAGCTGTACTCAGCTGCCCCCCACTGAGAAAAGTAAGGTGTAGCAGCAGGTTATCAGAGCAAATACAGCACCGGTGAGATAAACAAAAATCAAATAAAGCCCTCAAGTTAATCCAGTTTATACAAGTCATAAATGTGCAAATACTGTGTGGAGGTGATAACGTTCATCTACACTGATAGAGTTTTTTCAAATGTGCAAAGATGGATCAAGTGTAAACTGTAACTGGAGTTAAAGTTAAAGTTCGATTGAAGTTTAAATGGTACAGAAACAATCAGAGAAACAATAAAGCCCTAAATCAGTCTTTCTAAAAAGCCTGTCCACACGGACTTAAGTAAAACTCTAAGACTAATGATATTAGGTGTAAATCAATTTTTACCTCTTGGGAAATACTGTTTGGGTGACTGGGTTATGTAACTATGAGAGAGAGACAGAGAGAGAGAGAGAGAGAGAGTGCTCCAGATTAAAGTCAGAAGTGCTGAGCACAAAAGCTGAGTAATTTTTCAGTCTAGCCGTATATTACGTAATCCTATTTAGTGAAAACCCATCAAATTCATTCATTACTTCACCCTTTGTTGAATTTTATTGTGTTTCCTCTTATCCGTGTAGAACAGGTAGAAAAATCCTACATATCCACATATGCTCATGCTCATTAAACACCAGACATGTCACACCCATAAAACTGGTTTTATAGTCTGTCTATAGGGTCATAACAAAGCTAAGGGCAGAGAAGACATTGCACTCAGAGCAGCGTGTGAAGTCTGTCCTCCTCACCTATGTGCAGCTCTGACACCAGCGTTTCCTTGGTGAGGCTCAGCAGCTCCGTCCCATCTATGTTGTTGGCTCTGAATTTCTCCACCAATCCCCCGAGGCCTTCCTCTACCAGCCACACCGACACGTCCTCCTCCGACCAATCTCCGACCAGCAGCTTCGACCGGCCTGCTGACGTTGTCCCTGGGAGAGAAAGCAAGGCGGTAGGTCATCGACAGCTGCAGCACCTTTTTGAAAAATGGCCACTTAATCTCTGTTTTGGCATCATGCTGACTTACTATTGATCAGGGGGCTGGGGCTGGCATAGCTTGTGCACTAACATAAATAAATGTCTGCAGGGTTCATTGATGTTTTCATTGGTACCAGATGGAAGTAAAAGGTGAAAAGGAGCTTCTACATTGCAGAGGGACATGCTGGACTAAACATGGGCTTGGAAACTGATGCGCCACACATGAAGATTTTCGTCATTTGTGCACAGAAATCATGTTTGGTGTTGCCTCACTTACTTATTTTAACTGATACACAAATGTATGGGGAGGTATATTTTCTTTCTACCTTCACTTGATGTCAAAGCAGACTGCTCTGAAACACACACAAAAAAATACAAGACAAAGAAAAACGGTAAACATGAGAGAAGCAACTCAATTTTCTGAAATAACACTTGAGACTGAAGGGTGATAAAAGAGAAGAGAGCGCTGTCATTCACAACACCTGTGTCCTTCACCACAAGATGACACTAGCTCTACACGTGACACTGCAACAGATGATGGAATAAGAGCTTCAAGAATCAGGGTGCAACTTTTCCAATCTCACAGCAAAGGGTTCGACTGGCTAGAGTTGACTTGAATCTCTATCTCCCTACTGAAATCATACGCAAAAGAAGAGGTATAAAGCATCTTAGAGGTTTTCTGGGCTGGTAGATGGATTACCATCTAGGGAACAATAACTGGGGCAATAAAACTGTCATTTTTATGCTTTTTGATGTTCTGCTATGTAAATAAGCAGCTCTCTCTGTATTTCAAGAGTGGAGTTTAAAAGAAATATGTATGTTATTCAATATAAAAAAGAACTAACCGGGCACTGATTTCCCATCTTTTCAGTATGGCAAGGAGTGCAGGAGAGGAGGGAGACACAAAAATGGATTACAACACACAAAAATAGTGTGACCTGTTATAAAAACATGGATCTTATTTAACTAAAGGGATGTATGTATTTCCCACCACGGCCTCTGCATCCGTCCTCCAGCCTCCAGATGTTTACAGTCTTATCCATGGAGCCCGTAGCGATGATCGGTGCGGTCGGAGAGAAACAACACGCCGTCACGTACCTGCAGAGGACGTAACTCACATGACTAATAGTTCTGCTGTTCACAAAGAGGTGCATCATACTCTGAATAACAACAGGAAAGACTAAAATAGAAATGTTTTCAAATATCTAACATCCAAGTTGTATCAAAGAAAGGGAAAAATCTACCAAATCTGTATCTGTTGTTTAGATAAATTCAGAGCTCACTGTGTTTCTGTCCAATAAAAACTTTCAGAAACTGAGTTACAAAGCTCCAGGTTTTTGCATTTAACTGTGTAGTGACAATAAGTCGCCCTGCTTAAGGATCGGTTTGGTTCTTAAAGGGTTAAAAAAAAGTGGGCCCAGCTGCTCAGTATCAGGCCTCACTATGCAGCGGTGATGAAAATGTTCACTGTATAAGACTTAAAATCCAATTTCCAATCCATTCAAAAAGAATCAAGGAAACCTTAATTAAGACAGTCATCCTAAAACTTAATCTGCACTGCTCAGAAATGGTGATCTTCAAAAGCCAGTTTGTTAAAATAGCATCCCCTAAAATTCACTACAGGAATTCATTGAAAAGAAGTCACTCTGACACTGAGATATGAGCAAAGGAGGTTCCTGGAAGTATTTTGTCAAGTGTTGTGATTTCCCTTTTTGCTGTTTTTCCTCCCTCTCTCTCTCTTCCTCTCTCTCTCTCTCTCTCTCCCAACTTGCCTCATCTTCTTCCACTCCAGTCAGTGATTTTTTTTTAAAACGTCTTTCATTTGCCCCGCTGAAAGGAAGCAAGCTTTCTGGCTTTCAATCACAGGTGGCTTGATGGACTAAAAAGAGCTTCTGAGTGGAGTGTGATCATTCAGCTGTGGTTCGTATGTGCATGTCTGCGTGGAAATGAAGAAACATGATGATAGAAGTCCTACCTTTTTTCTACAGATTCTTTAAGGTATGATTTTTGTCAAAATCTAAATACGAAACTTCAAATGCTGCCCATGTTTGGTATAAAAGAACAATCTGTCATATCATAGTTAAGCTGGTTCTGAAAAATCTCACATTATATTTGTCCGTGTATCATACTGATGAAGCATTTTGTAGGAAAACATCAGGCACACAAAGACACTAATATTCACCCCACAATTTAGAATGAGTGTTTACCTCTCGTGCTGATTCAGTGTGTATAGTAGGAGTGCATTGTTCTGAAAAATAAAACATAAACATTATATTTTGAATGAAGCTTTACATGAAAAACAAACAATGGATATGTCATTATTTTAGGTAACTCAGGTGATAAGCGGGTACTTACAGCATCATAGACTGTGACTGTTTTGTCCACAGAGCTGAAAGTGAATAAATAGTTAAAATTATAACTGCACAAGAAAAAGTTTAAAATCAGGTTATTCAATGCAGCGTGTACGGATCATACGTCACACATTTGAGAAATAAAGCAATTCATGTCTCCACCTAGTGGATCCACTCAAGTACTGCTCCTTCCAGTGAAATAGCAGAGCAATTTATAATCAACATCAGTCTCTTACCCCATAAAAATGAAAATATGGTCACTGATTTTTTAACAGGCAGTAAAATATTCATCTAGACGCATTACTTACTACTTTGGTGATGCCAAAGACGATATTAGGACGGTTAGACATTTTTAATGTGTCTTTTACAGGCAGTTCTTCACGTTTTTAAATACAGTTCAGTATACTATAATACCAAAGCATTGAATATATTTTTCCCCTTTATTCCAGCCCACTTTTTATTAAACGTATTTCGAATTTCTTTTACTTGACCAAAGACTGCAAAACATGAGAGCAAAGCAAACTTCAACATTACTAACTTTGATGAAGAATGTATTTTAAGCAAGCTTCACTCATACATATAAACTACTACCGACATAGTTTCTATGGCCATGTTTGAAATCTTTCTGAAATATATACAAATAAGCCTTTTTACACTTGTATATTCGAGATTTGAAGAATCTAAATTGTAATCATTTTCTCTCAATTTTCTGTAAAATCCTACCCAGAAACTAGCAGCTGTCCATCTGAGGAGTAAGCACAGGAGAGGACCGGAGCCGACTGGCCAGTTAGTGTGTGCAGGAGGTGCATCTTGTAGCCTAAAATAAAGAGAGAGAGAAAACTATAATCATCCAAACAAGTAAATGACTCATTCAGACTGATGTCAAACTCATCAAAGAGCCATGGTAGAGCCACAACATTTTAATCAAGACCTTAGTATGAAAAAAGGGACTATCTAGTAGATTGGTAGAGGAAAAAGAAAGGGAATCATTGGATACAGAGATGTCATACTGTTATTAGCAAAATCTGTGCAAAAATCAGTGTAAAAAAATCAGACACTAGCATCAAAAGCAAACAAACATCTACCCCGAGTTAGTGCATCTAACAGCTATAAACAGACTAAAATTAGTTGCCAGTTTGCAAAGAAGAAGGAAAAAAAGATCTTACCTCCAAAGTTAAACTTGTTAATGGCCCAGATCTTTAGCTGACTGTCTTGACCGCATGATGCCAGACGAAACTGCACGACTTGACCACCTAAAGATAATAAAAAAAACACGAACGACAGCGTGACATGTCAAACAAAAAGCAGCTTTGATTCAAAGTCACAAGCCCATGAAATCATCCTGCCTCTGTGAACTAATTGATTTGAACTGAGTGTGAATGTCAGTATTACAGTGAAGTTGAACCATTTTCAACAGCTTTATTCTAGATGGCAGTTTCAGATGAGACTGAAGTTTTAGAAATGTCTTGTTACTAGGAGAAGCATTCCTTCAGCAATAACCAAGCTGACACAGAGTTGGACTTATTGATTTTTTAAAGGTCACAGTTACAGTTGTTCTCTTTTTTTCATAGCTTATGTTCAATCTTTGTAGAAGTAATAAAATAAAAACGGTCAAAAGATAGTAATTACTATACAATATTTTTAAGTTTCCTAAGTATACAATTTTTTATGTACTACTGACTGCTACCAGAAACACTGGAATACATCCTGGGCCACATATCGACGATTCTCACCACTAAGGATGCTGGGAGCAAAGGTACAGCAGGTGACTCCCAGGTCGTGGGCATTTTTCTCTGCATGGAGCTGCCTCATCTCCAAGTCCCACAGGCGCAGGTCACCGTAGGTGGAGCCGGTCACAAACACCTGACTGCAGGGGCTGAAGGAGCAGGCTACCAAAGTGGCCTCATTCACTGTTCCAGTCCTTTACCAACACCACAAAACACAGCTGCATCAACAGGTGCATCTGCTTTTGTTTTTTTTTTTCTTTGTACTTTAAATCCCTTTTGTTCGTTTATACAGGCACTGAACAAAACAGTGCAAATATTATGTTAGGTGATTCAAACATTAGTGTGAGGAGAGGTGTTTGCAGAGGTTTACAAGTATGAGAATTGCACTTTGCTGAACACCTGTTCAAGAAGTGGGTCAGCAATTACTAAATCGTCTTCACAAACACTAAATCCTTTGACTATTCTGTCTTGAAATAATTAGTCGTCGTAGAAAATGCTTTGCAAATGAAACAACAGTTACTGACGCAACAAACTTCACCTGCATAGCTGCTTGGAGGGGAAATCCCACAGAGCCAGTGTGCCATCAGATGCACCAGAGACCAGATGTACAGAGTCGGGAGAGAGAGCACAGATTCTCACAGGACTGCGACCAGGATGCTCCAGGACAGCCTCAATCTCACCAGAGACCATGGACCAAATCACTACGGTGGCATCAGTGGAGCAGGATGCGAGGAACTGTCCGCAGGCGCTAAAGCAGCAGCAGTGGACGCTGTAACCATGTCCTGACAGCGGCGAGAAGGCCAACTCTGAGAAGTCACTGGTGCTGTAAACCCTGAGTGTTTTGTCCCCTGAACATGTTGCTAGCAGGTTGCCAGAGAAGGCACACCAGTTGACATCATCCCGATGATCTTGCAAAGTGCAAATCAGAGTCGTCATCTAGGCGGCTGGTCCTACAGTTTACACAGAGGGATTAGTGAAAAAATTAAAAAACTTGACAGTGATCCAGCTACATTTGAACACAAGGTTTGCACAGACACAGCAAACCAAGACTCACATTTGGAAAATATATAATAGCATCAATTTACTCATACAGCATATAACTTATTAACTGACTGTGACTGGTGCCTCAACCTAGGGCTGTGCGATATGGGAAAAAGTTTAGTCAATATTGATATATATCACAATATAGATAAATGAAATTTAAACAATGCTGCAAATCAATTTCCGAAATATATCGTTGTGGTTTTTTCACCCAGCCCTATCTCAACCTGAGCTGACTTTGGCAGCAGGTCAATTCTCAGGGTTTAATGTGAAGTCCAGGTCCAGCCAGAGGTGTGTTAATGAGCTGTTATTAATATATTTATTGACAGAAATAAAGAGGAAATCAGTATCTCAGCTGACCAAATAAACACCTTGTGATGTTGGATTTTCTTGGCAGATCTGTTACCAACCTACAGAGTAAATGTTCTCTTAACTAAAAAAAAGCTTTGTGTGGCTACAGATATGAACATCATTTGATCTTTTTCTTATATCAAATAGTGCTTAACCCTAGAGCATTATCGCCTGGTGATTTTCACCCGACCAAACATATTTACGTGATTTTCATTATGTTGCATTTGTCTGAGTATCGTGGGTCCCGGGGTAGCTTCAGCATTTCCTTTGACATCTTTGAAGGCATATTTGTTTCCCTGATCCAAAACCTGCTTTTTCCTACGGGCACATGTTTGGGTGATTTTTCACCCGGCAATAGTGATAGAAGGTAAGTAGGTTTGGGGGGATTTGATAGCTGCATGTAGGGAATAAGGTCAGTAAGAGTGGTCCTGGAATTTGCATGCTATCTTTATTTAGCGCAGTGGTCATGAATAGCTGCCACAAAGTAGTGATTTTCAAGAGAATTCATACGGTGTTAAGAATTATTGTAGTCAGCTGGTCATTTTTACTCACTCAAAATATGACATATTTTGGTTCTCTCTCCTGCAGCTGTTATTGTGCCAAGGACCCTGAGTCTTAACCAAGGAAGACTAACACGCCCAAGGAAAAAAAGAAACTAAGTTGCCAGTTTCTATATGTTTTTTTTAGGAATTTTTTGTTCATGAATGCCTAATTTCAATTATTTTGTTACACCATGGCACTTTTTCCCCTCCCTTTGGACATTGCACAGTTAGAAAACTACTTTAATCTGTCATGATCTGTCTTGGTTATATTTTTTTGAGTAAAGATCACCCGGTGATAGTGAAGGTGTTACTTATTTTAGCGATAGTGTTCTAGGGTTAAAGAGTTAACGACTTATAGACATAATTTGACTAAACTTTGAGGATAAACACCTTCAGGAGGTCTTTCTGCAAACACACCAACAGCATTAATTAAGACCCGAGTTTTAGTTCGTTAAACAGGAAGACAAACAGGTCTAAACCAACAGGGACACAGACACAGACGGTGTCTGTAGAAACTGTTGCTGAGGTTCGAGCTAACGGAGCAGAGGAGCTGCGATCTAACACTAACACTAAAATATCATCTTATTATTATTCACCCGCGGAGGGAAAAATGCCACAACACAGCCTAAATAAGCAAACCTACACCGTTAACAAATAAAATCACATTTCTGACCACATGTAGCCTAACAAAAAAGTGTACTGTAGTCTACCTTTCTTCCTCCGTTCCGTTGTCCGTCTCGCTTAATGTTGTTTACTTCCGCATCGACCACCTGACGCCTGACGTACAGCGGATTACGTCAATGTCCCGAGGACCTGAATAGTCCTGCTGTGTTAAAGCAGAGACTGTAAAACAGATGATCACATTTATCCTGCTGTATTTTGTCTAATACAGTGTCATAAGATTTCCTGTGAAAGCGGGTGTTTTTCTGTGCTGTGGTTGCTTCCAGTTGTGAATATTAGGTGATTATATGCAGGAATAGGTCTGATGAGGAACAACTATAAAAATCTCTAATTAAATCTAAATGAATCCCATAAATGCAAGTTTTGACCTTTCATCAATGAAAAGTATCTCTAAGTAGATCTTGTTAATTGTCCCCACTCCCCCCGACCCCCACTGACTCTGCCTGCCCACAAACACACCAATCTCAGGACTGCACATTTTCACTTTATCCCTCATCATTGCACCATTATTACTACTCTATTACATTGTGCTTTTACTCTGTCGCAACTGTCATTGTTTGTACTATTGAGTCCACTTCAGGACTGCCATACTGTTTACATTCACTTTCTTCCATTCACCTTCTTCCTTATATTTATACTGTTACACTGTTTATACTGTTATGCTGTTTATATTGTTATCTTTATTTTGTAAATTGACAGTATTTAAGGTAGTCTTTTGTTGTTCTTATATTTATACTTTATATAGTTTTATTCTTATAGTTTATTCTTACGCACTGTGGGTCTGAGAGGACTGAACTTTCATCTGTGCTGTTTATTTAACATAGCATATTTGACAAAGTTGACTTTGACTGAATAGATTTACTGAGTCAGGAGTCACCTTGACACCATAAGTGGATCTCTGCACATGTAAAAGAATATTTTACTCAAGTGTTACCCAGACATTTGTGTCTCATTTTAACTCCACTTCAGATATATAGGCTTTAATGCATGTTAAGACAAGGAAAAATAAACTGCTGAAAGAGTGTTGTGATCAGAAAGTATACTGTCATTCTAAATTCTTCTTACACAACTTTCAGCTATTTTGAACTCTTTATTGGTTATTCATTGTGGTTCAATCTTGTGCTCACAAATAAGTAGTGTGATATAACAGCCACCAGAAGTAGGCTACATTCCCTGTAATGCCAAGGCTAATTTTCTTATGTGATTGCGTATTTTCTTTGAATGCCAGTGTTACACTAATTTAGGAATACTAGTTTTTCATTTGCTGTTTCTTCTTAATGGAGCTCTATCTTTCTGTTAAAAAAATACATTTCTATAATAGTAAGTTTATGTTTCAGCAAGCTCAAATGAATCCATCTTCCAATCTAAGCAGTAATATTTTTTGCCATCAATTTTTACTACTATTTTTTAAATTTGGTTGATTTTCACACAATTTCAAGCACCCGAAACTGCTTTTTATTTTGTTGGCATCAGTATTGTGCTGCTTTTAAGGTTGTTTAAAGTTTAAACTATGAAACTTAAAAAAAAAGAAATGCCCTAATGACATGATTTTCACTCTAAAATCAGACCCAGAATAAAAAACGTGTAAACTTGATTGTACATTCATCAGATGTCAGTGCTTCTATCCCGAGTTCATCATAACGGGCTGAATGGGACATGTAGTTTGCTTGACAACAGTTGGCATGCATGTCTGCTGTTAGTCAAAGGGGCTTGATTAAGCAAAGCAAGGTAACAGAGGGAGACAAGCTTTTTTTTTCCACTGAGATGTTGATACTGCTCAATGCTACTTAAAATAAATATGTTTACAGTTGATGTGCAAAGTTTTTTCTGACACAAATCTCTATTTCCATCTGAAAAACACAGGAGATGACTGAAGACCTTTTCAGTTCTAAAGAAGGAAAACAGGAACTCTTTGGGGTCTTATTTAGCCGAGCTTGTGGTAGTGATGCACCAAGACTAAATTAAGTAATACGACATCTGAATATGTAGAAATTTTCTACAACAATTCTCCTGTGCCATGTGATTGGCTCCCATTCATTTTGCTGCTTAATGATAAGGTTAGAAGGCATTCTTCCACTCTCCTGTCACATTCGAAGTCAAACTGAAATAAATAAAGTTTAAGACATTTACGTTGAAAAACATCCTTTTAATAGGTCCGTGCCACACACTAGTGAAAAATAAAGCTCCTACAAAAGAATGATACTTTTATTCCACAATATCTTAAATAAAGTAACTTCAAGTACTCTTGACTTGGGTACAAAAAAATCTAGCTGCCTCCATCAGGCCACAACACACAGCAAGGTTCAACACAGTGGTTACAAATGGCCTTAGGTCCTCTGTATTGTGGCAGATTACAAGGAAATGCATCATGGAAGCATAACCAAATGCTTGTTCCTTTTTTTCTTCTTCTTCTTTTTCTTCTATGGTGAGGAATGATTTCTGTGTCACTGTCCAACTTTGGAGGCCTTGTTGGATTGAAATCATATAAAAAAATATCGTCATAAGAATGAAAACTAAAAACAATAACATCCCCTACATGCCCCTGTTGGAAGGGTAGGCACTACCAAGATTAAGGATACCACAGTGTTTGCAGAGGATATGTATATACTGTACAAACAATATTTATGATAATGTTTTCATCACGTTCACTAAAATAGAATGCTACAATCATTCTAAGGCATAAACAATATCTTAATATTCTTAAACAATTTTTACACATCGTTCCAAACAAGACATAATATTGACATTAATAAACAGTATATACACATGAATCACAATTGTCTGACTGTTCCTCTGCTGTTCCTGTAAATAAATGCAGTTTTACAGTTTGAATAAATGAATACAGTCCTCTGATGCCTCAAAGCACTGAACAGTGTAAACAGTTTTTTTTTTCTTGGCTTTGTTTGATATTTGGGAGAAAATTATAACACAAAGACACATTCCTTTTTTTAATTCAAAGCAGTTCAGCTGATTCTTCCTTTTCATAGAAAATGAAGTGGACCTTGATTCATAAATAATTATTACAAAATTAAATACATTCACTATAATACGATTAAATAACAAAAGACTATTTACAGGTAGTGGAAAGTATTCTAGCGCAGACACATCAGTGATAGTTGAGGATTAATTCAGTGCAGTGTTCTGAGACAGGGAATGGTATTGCACTACGACACCCCATTTCTCTGGGACTCTTTGGGGCTTTTATCCCTGTTGTAATAAAATCCAGCGCGCCTCATGTAACGACTTGTTTGTTTTTTTTCAAGGTGACATCTCTCCGAAGCACATAATGGGTTCCTTATTTAAGATTTGTCTTCTTCTTCTTCTTCCATCACTCACGGCCGAATTCTCCATCAGGAAATAAAAACAAAAATAAAAACCTGCTCCTCCGATATCCGACGCTGGATGGGTTTTATGGGGAAAATCTGAACAGACTTTTAGTTTGTTTGTTTCAGAAGCTCAGTCCAGCGCTTCTCAAAGAACTTCCTCATGTTATGACCAGCTCGACCAATGTCTGAATTGTCTTCATTGAATTTTTCACAGTTATCAAAGACCAAGTTGACATCAATGATGAAAGTCTCCAGGTTTTGATACCTGTAATTACAAAAAACACAGTCTTAAGGTGTTGGAGTGGAACTTACATACAGCTGAAACATTTCATTCTGCTGTAAACCTAAACTTTTTTTATCTTCAAGAAAAAAAACACCTCTCTGACTCTATGTTCTGAACGAAGGGTCCTAAAGGATTTCCGTAGAAAAAGAAGGAAGAGAATTGAAAGGGAACTCACTGGCTGCTCACAAGCTTCTCACGTATGGTGGAGAAGTCCATCGGTTTCTTGATGACCTTCTTGTAACCAGGGACCGATTTCAGGTTGACGGGTGTGAGGAAAGGCCATGCATCCTGATGCCGCTCCAGCTCAGCAAGGAGAACCCTGTTGACACAGAGAAGGAAATCTGATGGTCATGGAAAAAGCCTCGGATGTCACTTTGAGTTTCAAGTTTTTCTCAGTGTATCATTCCTTCCACCTGAAGTTGAATTAAAAATCAAATACATTGTACAAGAAACAAAAAGAAATGTATCAACCAACTCTGCAGTGCTTTTCCTCTCTACGCTCATGATTTTAGTTTTATCATCATTGATTAGTGGGCTGCAGTGTGGAACTGTTTTGTCATGCTCAAGTTTGTGGAGGTTTTAATCGACCCCTCTGCAGGTGGCAGACACCATAAACAGATGTACAGACATGAAGTATTTCTGATAAACACACACAGTACATGTGGTGGACACAAACACAACTTAACAGAAATCATATGGTTGCTATTTGCTAAGATTGTACCACTGACTCACAGAAATACTGAATATATAAAACCCTAATTCTATCCCTTACTTCGATAAATGTTTGTTATCATCATACCACATTATAACACAAAATTATAATTTAGCTCATAAACAGTACATTAAAAGGACCACTGATGGAAATCATGTCCTTAAATTCACTGTTTTGTAAGAGTGAGTGTTTACGTTCTAGGAAAAAGACTCAAAGTCGGTGACGCATTTCATTCACAAAGAGCACAAACGACTACTTCAGTTCACTTCTGCATGAGGCGACGGTAATTCTTCTTCTTCTGATAAGGTTGTGTGAAAAGTATTTTAACAACAGAGGTACAAAAACACACTTAGAGTAATGGGTGCTGCCAAACATGACAAAACTGAGTTTCTTAACCTCAAATGAAACAAAAAGCTTTCTTTTAGTGCCTCCAAGAAGCCCAAAACAATGCCTCAAGTTTGTACTAAGTTTGTGTTAAAATTAACGAACAATCAAGTACTAATAAATGGGTCCATGGTTAACATGATCATAACAGATTGTTTAGAGGAGGAAAAGGGCAGAATTCTTATCTTATTTTTGACAAAGTAAAGATCTCTCTCAATAGAGCTCAGCTTCTGTACATCCGTCTAGGAGAATGCTGTTTTCAATAAAGCCTTTAACAGAGCGACGAGTATGAGCAAGCCGAGACACATACCTGCATAATCCCAGGTCCCTGTTGTTGTCTCGAGCAGTCTTGGCTCGCTTCACGCACACAGGGCTCTCCTGATTGGCTGCTGGCTGAGCAGGTGAACTCTCCTCTGTTTTCCTCTTCCTGCTTGTGTCTTTCGCTCCTTTCTTGGGCGTGCTGCTGGCGCTGGCCGGGTCGTCCTCAGACACTTCTCCGTTACCTGCCTGCTTCCCATTCTTCTTTGCCTCTCCACCTTTCTTACCTCCTCCTCCTCCTCCTGCTCCTCCTCCTCCTCCACCGCCTCCTGCACCACCTCCTCCTCCTCCACCTCCACTGGATGCTACTTGTTTGCTTGGAGGTTTTTTGCTTTTGGGGGATGGACCACTTGCCTGCAAAGAGTAATCAATAGGATCTCATGGGTGTACTCAAAACTCCAAGTATTGTGGCAAAATAATGTTTGCGATTTATTTTCACCTCCAGTACATAGTCTCTAAAAAATCTGAAAGCATTGGGGAAACCATGAAATAGATCTATTGTTTATAGTTTAATGGCATCTCCTAATGGGAGAAAGGGCAAATTTATGCAGCAGACATTAAATGTTGCAGAGCAAGTGATAAAAGTTATGGTTGAATGTATAATCTTTACAGTTGTTGAAAACACAGTATCAGGTATTCTCGTAAATACTTATTTCAGACAGATAGCAAATACTGTGACGGTAAAGTGTCTGCTTTTAAAATGGAGACTTTTTTTTATTTCAAAAACTATTTTTGCAGACCACTCTGTGAATGTCAATTCCTTGTATTACACGCACAAATTCATGGTCGGGTTAACAGCGGCACCTAAAATGCCCCTCATACCTTGGATATGCAGGCCGGGCAGTACCAGTCTCCCTCAGGGATACTGGTGATCTTGGGTTTATGACAGTAAGTGTGGCAGCCTTTGTCACAGCCATCACACAGCAGGAGGAGATCCTCGTTGTCCCCCTTCCTGCACATCTGACAGTACTACAAAAAGAAAATTCATTGATATAAAACCAAAAAATCCCTTTCTAAATTTTTAATCCAACAGTATGGAAACAGGCTGTGATTTGTTTTTATCTGCTGCTCACCACTTTCATGATGGACCTCTCCCAGGCAATGGACTTTTGCAGTTGCTGAATACACATGGCTAACTGGGCTGCACTGCGCACTTCACTCAGGGCCTTCCTCCACACCTTCATACCATGGGCCACCTCCTCCTCCCCACTAAAAGAAAATGAAGAAGAATGATGAGAAACAAAATTGCACACATATGCTTGAATAATTGGGCCCATTTACTATTAGACAAAGCAGTAAACTGTATCAGTTGAACCAGCCGCCAAGAGGACAGCAGACCATAGAGCTCCAGCTGAGCAGAGAGAGGCATAAGGACTTTTCGGGGAGTGGGGCACTGGGGAGAGGTACACACTGATTTTGTTATGTTGAGGGGACGATCATGCAGAGAGAGTGAAGGAGTAAACCTGTGTAAGTGTATGCTGTATAGAGGGAGCCAAAAGTATGCCAAAAACCAAGGTGACAGAGATGCACACCATGCAGATGACTGCAGAACAAAAACAGTAAACGATGAAGCTGAGTGGAGTCACCCCCCACCCCACCCAAAAACTGCACAAGACCAAAGAAATGAACAAAAATGCAACACAAGTCTGCTATGAAAGCAGCAAAGTGGATCCCACCTCACTTTTTGAGTCATATGGGAAACATGAAGCACACAGAGAGAGAGGAAAGGCTCTTAGTGGGAGAGGGGGGGGAGCTTTGGTTGGAGAAATGACCTACCCTTCCCTGTCAGCACTAGTGGATGGGGCGGGGGCAGGGACAGTGACCGTACCCACATTATCCAGTCTGATCTGAATGGTGGTACCTAAGGGACTCCTCAGGTACCTTCTCTCGATGTTGCGCTCCAGATCAGTCAGACGTGTCACTGCTATGTCCAGCGGGTTGTCCGGGTGACGCATCACCCCGCCCTTCTCCCCCCGCTCTTCTGAGTGCTCCTTGGAATCCTTGGAGTCCTTGTCACCCCCGCTTGCTGAGGATGGCGTCGATTTGGTGGGGGGCTTGTGCTCGAAGTACACCAGGTCCTCTCGCTCGGACTGAGGGTCCGGGAATGTCCAGCCCTGCTGGGGGCAATCAGCTGATCAGTATTCTGACATATGTCCACTAGCTTCAAATTCCCATGAAAACATAGTTTCTAAAGTGTTTAAGTGCTGTTCAAAGTGGCTCTGGGTACTTTCATTTCTCCTTTCACGGCAGGAAGCCAGGGAGGGACTTGTGGCTTTTATTTCATGGAACATACAGCAGCCAGATAACCAAAGCAGCCAACAGCTCTACATTTGTGAATGATCAAAAACAACCAGAATCATAACCAAATAACTAATCTAACTTCATATCAGGCTTTAAGTGTCATATGTAAAAGAAATAAGATTTAAAATAGTCTTGTATTGGATGCAACTGAGTGTCTGCTACAGAATATGAAACAAACACCTTTGAATTTAATTAATATCTATAAAATAACTTTACGTATTGGGCCCTTGTTGGTGTGTGGGTTTGTATTTGCTAATTATGTATCTAAAATGAAGTTCTCAAAAATGTATTTTGATCTCATAAGAACTTTGAAAATATCTGTACTCTCCTACTGAACTGCGTTTGTTTCTGTTTTAGTGTTTTACCTTGACTTGCAGGCTGGCTGCAGTGACCTTCCTCTCCAGTTCCTCAACCTGCTGCAGCATGGCGATGTCCATCTCCATCGCCTGCTCCTCCACACACCAGCCCCGCACAGATTCCACACTGACCTGGCTCTCCTCCAGCTCATGCAGCTCGATCATAGCCACTGGATGGACAACAAAACAGACACACGTTGGCAATTAATGTACACTTACACACTGACTGATGCTGGTGAACACAAGAGCACTGCAGTCAAACATAGAAAATAATAATAAAAAAAACATTTGGTTGTGTTTGTTAAGTCAAAAATCCTTTCTTCTTGCAATAAACAATCCAGCCACCGAATAGCACCCTCTATAACAGTTCCCTGATTATTCTAATATCTAACAGGGTTCAATCTGGCAACCAAATCCAAGCTTTAGAGAGAGATTATTTCCTCAGAAGAAGTGATGAGACACTTACCGTCTCTGTGTTTAGTGCAGACCTGGGGGATGATCTCCATGTATTTCTGAATCTGCCTCTGGAGACCCTTCTCTCTGATGCCTCTGCTGTGGAGAGCGTTCACCAGAGCCCTCAGCTCCTCGATGTCAGACACCCGCCACCACCCTGTCAGCATCTCTGAGACAATGAACGCAAACAGGTGTATGAGCTAGGGAACAGTGAAAATGTATCACTGTAAGAAAAAAGACAATTCATTCAGCTGTGTTACAAACAAATGAAATTGCGTCGAGCAGAACGGAACATTCCCTAATCCAATTATATTGGATTATTCAGGCAAATGAAATCTTTTCAGTCAGGTGAATTCCTCTCACATGGAAAAGGTGTTGATTATGACCTCTTTATGCACACTCAAATGTTTATTTATTCCCTTCTCTCTCTCTGTGACTCACCCTCTGGGATAGGTCGAGGTGTTGGGTGGTCCAGGGATTTGGGCATCTCCAGGGCAGGAGAGTGCATGGCTGAGGTTTTCTCAATACGAGGTAAAGGTGATTCACTCTTACTGGAAACGCTTGCTGCTGTGTTGCTCTCCAGGGAGTGACCTGGCATGGGACTGGGGCTGCTGCACATGGGTAAGCTGGGACTTAACATGCCGCTGGGCCAGCTTCCAAAAGAAACTCCTAACAAAGAACCACCTGACTTCACCTTCGTAGAACAAAAGGGAGAACAAACGAATGAGGGCGGTGCAGGTAAATACTGACATAGCAAAAATAACTGTTGAGACAAAAAGCCAACTGTCTTTGGATCCTGTCTCACCTGTAAGGCTGATAGCGGGTAGTTAAGGAGGCCGGCTGGGTGGTGTGGGCTGGCAGAGGCTGAGGCAGCAGAAGGAGTGAGTGGCAGAGCAGGGGATGGAGGCGGGGATCTGGGCCTTGCTGGCGTGGAGGACGCCTGGGGAGACACGCGGGCCGCTCCTGGAGGAGTCGTGGCAAGGGAGGCGAGGTCGCATGGATTACGAGGGAGCAGGCTAAACCAGTGCCCGCTCTTCTCTGTCAGCACTCGGAGCAGCTGGTCGTTTGCCTGGAATGCGAGGTGTGGAGATGGAGCAGGGGAAGAGGTTGGAGGAGTGTTACCTGGGCTTTCACGTGGAGCGGGGAGACAAGGGACAGAGAGTGAAGTTGAGGCTGGGGGAGGGACGTTTGTAAAGTCATTACTGATCACCGAGGAGGGGGTTGCTGCTACTGCTGGCTCACAGGTATTGTGGTTGGGGGAGGATGATGCTTTTGTGGTCTTGGAAACAGGAGTCCCTACAGGGCTGCTGTTTTGCCTCACACGAGGACTCTCTTTGTCCTCTGCTTTCACCGTTTCTTTGTCAATGTCCTCACTCATGTCCCGGAAAGTGCACAGCTTGGAAACACCGCCTGGCTGCTGGTAGAAAAGAGTCGGGGAGTTTTTCTTCTCGTGCTCCTTGTCCTCCTCTCTCGGTTGCTCCAAGCCTTCTGTTCGAGTGCTCTGCCCATCCAGGTTGGTGGATTTGTCCTTCTGCACCTCAATCTCCTGAGGTTCCTCTTTCACCTTGACCTCCTCTGCAGCCCTTCTCCTCCTCTGTCGCTCCTCCTCCAGTTCCTCTGGAGCTGCAGGGAAATGAGATGGTTAGCATGGATGACACTCCACTGCTGTGCATAAGATTTAACTGTGAACTGAGATAAGTATGCTTGCGTGAGACTGTATTATCACTCAAAGATGCAATATTAAATTAGTCTTACAAATTAAGATAAATCAGAACAACATTAGCATTTCTAAAAAGAGCTGAACATGCTGCGTAACAACAATATTCACCATTTCTAAGTATGATTTGTTTCTTCTAGATATTTAGCAAGTTGGAGCACCCAGGAATACAAACTGACAAAATTCTTCAAAGTCTTTGAGTGTGTGCTGAGCTGCAAATACCTTCTCCACTCTCCATTGCTTCAATGAAGACTCCACCACAGTGCGGAAGTACCCAATACCGGCGGCGGTAGCGGTCCTGACCATACATCATGGACCGCAGAGAATGGGAAATCTCAAACAGCTTTCTCCTTGTTTGATGATGTTGCTGCAATGGTGCAAAACACACTCGGTGATTTTAATGCATCACTTTTATCTACAGACCTTCAGGAAAACAAACGACACCGTTGCAATGTACGGTCCTTTTGTAATCACAGTGATATATTAAGCATTACATACTATGCTAATGAGGTAATTAATTAAGCTAATTAATGCCTTCATTAGCAAATAGCCCCTTGTCAGCACACATGCTCGTAAAACGTGCAAAACATATGATTGTTTTTAATGAACAGTGTACAGTAAAAGAGTTAGAGGCTGTAGCTGTTTTATGAAAATCAGTTTTTCATATTAGAGCAGTTTACAAGAGTGCATATGACGTGTGGCTTACACACTGCATGTAAGTAATAAAAGAAAAACATCATTAGAATATGGGCAAGTTCTGCACAGCCTGACGACACTCCATCTCTCTGTGGTTTCCCTCTTGATAACTGCAGCCCTAAAAGATGTTTTCCGTCTTTGTGTCTGTCTCATTTTTTGTCACACTTCATCAGTGTCATTCATTTTCCAAAGCTGTGTAAATTATCAAAATTACACACCTTGGCTAGTTTCTCAATCTGCTTCTCTAGTTCCTCCAGACTGGTGGCTTGGTCAACTTCATCCTGTAAAAACAAATCAAAGACAGTCAGCGTCTGTGAGCTGAAGTCTCAGAGGTGATTTTGATCTTTTGATTTTTTTCGTACCTCATCATAGGTCTCCACTTTTTTGACCTTCTTTATTTCTTCCTCCTCCTCATCCTCATCATCCTCAGCCTGGTCATCGCTGTCATCATCGTCGTCGTCATCGTCATCACTGTCTCCACCAAGTTTCCTCTTGCGTTTGGTGGCAGAGGACGGAGTGCAAACGGACTGGTTCTCCTCCACTCCCATACTCGCCTCCCTCTTCCCAGTACGTTTGGCGTAAATGGTCCTCAGCCTGCAGAAACACACGCACAAGTTTAGCAGGATACCGTTACGGAGAACGAAAACATCACCTTTTAGGCCTGAAGAGGACTTACTTCTTCAGTTTTCCCTCCATGATGATCTTGTCCTTCCTCATGTTTGCCATCTGATCCAGGCTCTTGTCAATCTCACTGCAACAGGGAGTTCAATCCTGTTAGTTCAAGTTATGCCAACGTACAAACATCCATGTTTTTTCTATTCAAACAGTAATGGCATATAAATAGTAAAGGATTTAATCTCAGTAAGGCAGGAATCTACACATGGTCAAAGAGAAACTTTTAAATAGACTGGTATTCTGAAGCACAGATTTATACTTGGATAACTATTCTAACGACAATAACACACTGCAGCAAATTACTGCCCCCCACTGCAGCTTCAATAAGTGGTTTTAGTAGCATCAATAAAACCCGCAATTAAAATGACTATCTGGAGTTTTGCAGTAAATAAATACGTTCTCTCTCAGCTGCTATGCTGGATTTATTTCATTCAATGTTTTTCAGTTTAGAGGTGGATGAAGTATAGCAAACTTTCCAAACAAATGCCACTGCCCTGAAGTATATGAGGTGGTGGCTCATCTTACCTTATGACACTTTTGCTGCAGGCCAGCTCGTTGGCTAGAAAGCCCAAGATGGAGGCCTTCTGGGCAGGCGTGTGAGCCTGGAAGGCCTTGGTCTTCAGACTGAGGGCCAGAGGGGCCAGCTCTGTATTGGCACAATGGGCTCCCATGTACATCTGTAGCACCTCAGATACATTATCCCTGTTGATGCCAACATTGGTCAAGTGGTCTCCCAACATGGTTTTGGTCTGATGAGGAGAAAGACAGGATGAAGAGGACAGATGTTAACAAGTAATCATTTTAAAGATAAACCCCTTGTGAAGTAAGAATATGACTCCAAAACAGATTTTTAAAATGCTTTATAGACCTATCCATAGTTGCAAAGTTGATAGTCTGGTTTCAAACTATTCCAAGTACATTCTTTGAAACTGCACTTTCAAAAACTCACCTTTTGTCCAGGTGGCAGACCAGGGTCACACACAGCTAGTGACAGTAGTTTGACCAGGAGGTCTTGGACTTGGCCCATGCTGTCGCCCACATTAAGCAACCCCTCCTGCAGCATGCCCAGGGTGGGCACATCTGAATTCAGATCAAGCCCCAAAACCTTCCCGAAGCCTCGCAAAAACTGCATCAGCATCAGGCAGTCTGACACGGCACGGCCTGGGAGGATGAGTCCAGGAATCCGGGAGAAGTCGGGGAGAGACTTGAAAAGGGAAAGTGTTGAGTTAGCACTGTTAGCTGCTGCTGTTGTTAGAGTAAGAATTACTGTGTGAGAATAATTCAGTTTAATTTGGGATACAGAAAATTATGAGTTAAGTGATGATAAAGCTTTCATTATATTACACATCTGTTGCCTGTTATCAAGATGGTGTTTTCCAATTAATAGTAATAGACACTTATTTTCCACACAATGCAGTACTGTTTTGAACCACTTGGGGGCTCACTTCTCTGCATTTAAAAATCCTCTCCACCACGAGGTCTTGTAAAGATTATTGACCCTCGAGAGATATCAAACTATCTAATGATAACTCTTATCATTTTAAGGGCTCAAGTTTTCACTCAGTCATCATGTTCCTCTTAACCCACGAACAAAATTCAACCGGAAAGAAATTGAGAGTCTTCATTCACCTCATTGACCAAATGAACAATTATCTTAACTACCTTGTGATCAGACAGACACATGTCTTCGTTTGGCTTCTTCAGCTCCCTCGCTATCTCCAGCTCCAGCCTGCGTTGCTCCAGTTTACGCTCTTTGTTCAGGCGCTTCTCATCTCTTTTCTCCTGCCGCAAGCGCTCACGCTCCTGGAGAGTTCCAAAATTCAAGGGAGCATTAGTGAAGCAAAGTGTGTGAGTGCGTGTGTGTGTGTGTATGTGTATGTTTGTGTGAAAACAGACAAGAAGGTTTACTTGACTTTGTTGAGCAGTATTAGAATTCAGCCTAATGCTGCTGTGCATTCAAAGAAAAAGTGCTTGAGGGCCAGAATCTTTTGACTTGGTAAGTGTGTAGAAAAAAATAATAAATGGAGGGAAAGAGCGCACAAAAAGAAGAGAAAGCAGGAATCCATCCAGGGAATAATGACTTTTCATGAAGTGGACTGTGTGTGTACTTCTGCATTCATTTGTGTGCATATGGACTACCTCAGCCTTCTTGCGAGCCTCAACAGCCTTCATCAGCATTACATGTTGTCTCCTCCTCTCCCTCTCCTAGAGAGGCAAAAACAGAGGCACATTAACAAGCACATGACGCATATACAGCAGTCAAGGTCGACTAAATTTAGAAAAATGCATTAATGTAGAATTTTGATGTATTCAATTCAATAGAGGTACCATACTTAAACAAACACAAAGAGATGCTTCACATGTTTACACTTTCACATGTATGGTTGAAGCATAAGTGAAGAGTACAGTAGTACGATGACAACCAAAAAGCGACACATAGATGCGATACAAAGTAGATGTGATGACAGGCTCAAAAAAGAGAAGCAGCTGGAATCGGTGACGGCGCCTCTAAACTAAAGCTGACACAACAAAAGCAACAAAATGCTGGTTGCCAGAAGTCCTCTGATATGCCACATTGTTGTACAATAAAATTATAAATTCTGCTATTACATGAGTCAATTCTTATGTTTATTTGTCACATCACTCTCATAATATTTGGTGTGGGGACGACAAATACAAACGGATGGTTAAGGATAGTTACAAACAGAGCAGATCCACTTCAGTGGCTTTGGCAGCTTAGGTATTAGCACAGTATGTGACTGCTGAGGGATGAGACATCTATGTTGTTCTTTGGTGCATGATACACAGTCTACTGCAAAAGGGCACAGGAATCACTGCTGACTGACTATCATTTCATTTGATCTCTTTAGGTTTCCTGCTCCACTGTATCAGCCTGTCATTCCCTCTGTGATCCAACAGAAACACACAATTGCCACTATTAGGGCTTGCCAAGGACATTCCCAACAAAAAAAAAAAAATTCTGTTTGTGAGGATTGTTCTGTCAGTGTGATAAACAAAACAGGCTACATGCCAAGCTCTCTGCTACAATATTTCTACGTCCTCATTGGTTTGGTTTATCTACAAATGAAAAACTTCAAAAGGAACAAGCTCAAAGGGACATAAAACCTGTGGCATTCAATTTTTTTTCTCGATTCCCAATTCACTGGACATGTTGAGGGGGATTGTGATAAAAAAAATCGCAGTAAATCAAACCTAATAAAACTGCACATGACAAGCACAGATACCAGAATTAATTCATGTATCTCTCTGTCCCCATTTTAAGGGAAGGACAAGTGGAAGAGGAAACAATCAGCTCACTGTGAGTCTGAAACAGATAGGCAGACTTGTAGATTCAGCTGCGACTGTGTTTGAGTGAGAAGGGCTTCAAGCAAGACAGCCAGGCCAAAAAAAATGCTACAAAGAACCATATTTGTCCCCAAGGTGGAATTAATAGTGTTGTTTTCATACTGTTTTTAATCGTTTTGATTTTTTATATCTTTTTTTTTTTTTTGTAAAGCACAGGCTACCCCTTTTTAAACCGTTCATATCTGGAAATATCTCCACCATAGAGACAAAAAGATTCTCAGTAGCTGTTTTCATTCTTTGTGCAGAGTGCAGGAACAGTGAATGACAGAGAGGCTGGGATGGGGCAGGTTAAAGTCCAGCACTCTGCGGACTGCAGAGCAGATGCACGGACGAACGGACACAAGCGCAATGTCTGGGCCAAAAAAATCGTCAAGCACTCATGGGTAACACAGGCTACTCCAATACAACAGTTAGACAACGTATGTGATGGATGGAAACTCCTCGAGTGCACTTTCAGACAGTGAGTGTGGATTGGCTAGCAGTCTTTGCAATGCATTCTGAGTAGAAGAGAGGGGGAGGGATTGGGGGTAGGGGGGGGGGACAGAAGCTGCCTGGCCACCGTGACAGGGTCAGTTGTCCCTCAGGACGAGCAGATGGAGGCAGCATACTGACTCTTTTTTTTTTTTTTCTCTTTTGTTGGTTTTGCTGGAAAGCCATGCAGAAGAATGTAGTATGACAGCAGCCAGTGCTACACTTAATGCATTGCTATGACAACCATAACACAACCAGTTACACGATGCAGGTGTTAGATGTACAAAAATAAACATACCCATACCATATCTAGTCTATGCCTCTCCAACTCCTGGCAGAGAGAGTTGGCAAAATATTATGGAACAGAAGTCATAACCAATACCAATAAGCATGGCGTTTAATTAAGAGAAACACTGAAGACTATCAATAAAAAGATGGCTGGTAATTAACCACATTCATTCACTCTCACACATGCCTAAAGATCCAGAAATACACTTTCACTCGCTCATACACACTTTGAAATTCCTATTAAAGTCAAGTTAGATGTAAATGGTTTATTGTAACAGGTAGCAGCGAATCCTTACCTGGTGTTTGAGTATTTCTGCCTGCTGTCTCCTCAACTCTTTCTCCTTAAAGTAAAAGAAAGGAAGACAGAGGGAAAAATCAATACACTTCCATTGTCCCGATATCATTAAAAGAAATCACTGCAGAAGGATGAAATTTCAACTCCTTTGAGAAGACTGCTCTAATTTTACTGCAAACTACCTTTTGAGCATGAACTTATCTGATTCATGTGACAGTTGATCTAAAAAGGAACCTTTCCACGTGTGTTCAAAGGTGACGCTAACTGGAGTTTTAAATCTTTTCCGAGGGTTTTTATTCAAAAGATACAAACATACCTTCAACCGTTTTTCAGCCTCCAGTATTTTGGCATTGGCTGCCTCTTGCTTCTTTTTGCGTTTGGCCTATGAATAAAGATGAAGGTCAAGAATCACCGAGACAGACACACATCAATCAGTCTTGGATGAGGGCTTTGCTGCACTTTAACTGATTGTTTGCAGTTTTCTGGTTTGAGCAAAGATTTTATGCTTCTGAATGCCGGTGAAATTTGTAAAACACAGTGAATGAATAATGTATCTCTTTAACACCTAATTGTGAATATGTTGAAGCCTCCCGTTAAGAGTGGCTTGTCAACCGTGTCAACTCAAAATTGATTTAGTCCTGCTAAAACACTTTGAAGCTCCTGCAGCATAATTGTGTGTGCCTGAAACGTGTGTGTATGTGTGTGTATGTGTTCCTGCATCTTTGCATGTGTGTTTGTGTGTGCAGAAAACAGCACCTTTTTTTTCCTCGACCCACTTATGCTAAACTGTTACTGTTGTCTGATGAAAAAAAAAGACTTTTCTGTCCAATTTAAATAAGGTCTGAAGAGGCAGCAACAGCCATTTTAATATTCAACAGCCGTCAACCAAGACCAATTTAGCATTAGTTCCATGTGGAATTATGCCTAAGAAGACGCAACTCCCTCCAATGCATGCTGCTGTTCAGTAATGAGCTTTAGGAAGATTAAAACACTATAGACTGAGGGGCTGAAGCTATCCAGGAATGTTCTGCTTAATCAGAGGTGCTGTTGGATCAGATTCTGTACCTCCAAAATTTGCTGCGCCCTGAGTTCCTTCTCCATCCGAATCTGCTGAATGCGCTTGATCTTTTCCTGTAAAAAAAAAAACATAATCTCTTAATATTTGAGACAGTGGAAAACATCCTCCGATAAAATCACTTTCCGAGCACTCTATTCCACTTGGGGTGGGCGTAGAGACACAGCAATAAGTTGAGTACTAGACATAATGATGATAATTGAAAAAGCAAACTTTAAAGCATCACAAAATAACTATTCAGCATTTCTTAAAGTGACTATGTGTGTAAGGACACTTAGATAAGGAGGAAGGGAGGGAGAAAAGATTTGTAGGCACACATGTAAGGCAGACCCACCTGCTGCTTGAGAATCTTGATCTGCTCTTTCTGTTTCCTCCTCTCCTCCGCTGCCATGATAGCTAAGAGACAAATCAGTGTTATATCGCTGTAAACAGACCGACAAAAGCTGGGCAGAGATTTTTTTTTAGGCTGCATTCATTAAAGGGGTCAAACTGCAGCAGTATGAGAGCCAAACAATGACAGTCTGTTGCACAAATCTGGAATAAAACACATAAACACGGTCTCTTCAGTGAAGACAAACCATACTGAAAATAAAAGTGTGAAAAATGTTGATGTCCCTGCGAGGTATGAGTGACTAAAACAGAAACAAAGCAAACACAGATTATGATCTGGAGTTTTTGCTATGTTTTTTTTTGTTTTGGAATATAAAATACAGCATATACAAGCATTATGTTTGCTACCAGCAGCACGCCAGTAATTAAGATTAGAGCAGAAAGAAGATTAAAGCCGAGAGTGATGGAAATAAATATGAGCCTCCGCACAAACAAAAGCTGTAAAACAAGCAGGAGTTTCTACAGAGGGTGCTGGTCCTGCTGGTTTTTTATACTATCAAGGTGGTTTGAAGTGACCGTCAGACCAGCCACACACACAAAAAAAATCAACAAACACCCTTATAGCCCCGTGCTCTTGTTAACAACACACACAGAGAGGAAAAATTGAGTTTACCTTGCTGTTTTCTAGCTTCTTTAGCTGCACGCGCCAGTGCCTGCTTTTCCAGTTTTCTCATCAGTTTCATCTGGGCAGCCTGTCGGGCTATCTCTGCAGGATGAAAGGTACTGTCAGAGAGGAATTTAAAGAGTACCTAAACGCTACTGTGGTATGACTTAGCACATCTGACTGAAGAAAACCTTTCTTAATTAAACAAATCACACAAATATAGATGGACAGCAAGAATCGGTGCATTTTTCTTATACTAAAGGAATTAAATATGTTTAGTGAGTTTATCAACAAAGACGAGTGTCCACAATCAATTTTATGTGGTCCAAATAAAGACAAAAATGTGCTTTTTGTTTGTTTTTGTCAAAGCATCTGAAATTTGTTTTTTTGCCACAGGCGTACACAAAAAAATCCTAAAAAGATGTGATAACAGTTCTAATTAAAAAAGTATGCATGTTGCTTCACGTAGAGTTGATGGATCAAGCAAACAAGCATAACAAAAAAAGGAAAAAAATGTAACTCCTTGCTTGGCCTCTGCTGCCTGTATAATGGCTGGTTGATTAATGGCACATACACCCCTGACAAACATATTTCAGGGCTCATTTCCTCTCCTCACCTTGAGCCTCTAGTTTGCGCAGAAGTTTGACCTCACTGGGACTGGGGCCCTCAGGAACCAGCGGATCACCCACATTAGGAGGGCGTCCCTTCCTCCGCCGGTTACCTTTGACACTGTCGCCTGCTAACTGACGCTCTGAATTGGGGGGACGACCTCTCCGTCCCTCCATAGCGAGAATACGAGGAATAACCTCCTCTTCCTTCAATAGGCTCCACTGTAACCCCTGAGGAGAGGAAGACGTTGGAGAGACGGGCAGATTGGGAGGTGGGAAGGGAGTGAGAGATGAAACAGTGATTGACATGTTGACATCTGTCACTTAAGTAACTAAGGAACAACATTACTAATTGGCTAGCTAGACTAATTTGGGTGTACAGGTGTGAAGTAAAAGGCTCTTTGAAACCACATAGCATTACATTTTTTCATACAAAACATCTAACTAAGCTATGCATGATCAAATTTACTCACTGACTGTTAAACATTTGTCACCTAGTTGTTCTCTGACCCTCACACTTCAAGGATTTATGCTTAGATGTTTCCTGTATTCTACTCCAGGTTATGTATAGTTCAAGCTTCTATTCAACTCTTAGTATCACAGTCACATTACATGGCATATATCACTGGTCACCTGTGGAAGTAATGTCTGATTATTACATTTATCCATGCACAGTGAGAGGTCTATGAACTAGAACTACTGAGGGTTTTGGTTGATTCCTATCCATGCCCTGACAGTGACTGCTGCATGAAGCTTTGCCTACCACTAGATGAAAAGATGAACAGGGATCAGGGACAGAGAGAGAGAGAGATGAAAGGCAGTCACCTGGGGTCCTTCTCTGGCTTCATAGAAGTCACCAACCCTTATCTTTGCACTGAAGCTAAAATTATCACGCGTGATGCCACTTATTCCATTTCTGGATAGATACTACAGAAGAGAAAATAATAATGGCGTTGGTTTAGGCAGAAAAAAATTAGCGAAATTAGCGACATTGAAAAGCAACTGGGAGGCTCTAGATTGGAGGGAGTTAGGTTACAGTGTGCTTCTGTGCAGTGCTACTAATCATTATAAAAGCCAGGGGACAAAAAAAAAAAGAGCAAAAGCTCTCAGGAGAGAAAAACGGTTCTGACCTTGGGTTGCACAATTCAGTCCCTTTCTTATTTATCTGTGGCCATGCTAGGCTTTTTACTGCCTGCTGAATGTCTAGCAGTGAGTGAATGAGTACACATTTTTCTCTTTGCACTACAACACTCAAAGGCAGCTCTAACGATTAGCGTAGCTGAGCTTTGGATGGAGCAAACAAGGAAGATTACAGCCTATATTATAACGTATAAAAAGGGGTGAGAGCTGTGCATCCCAAAACTAACCATTAATCATTTTCAAAGGAGGGGGGGAGGAGGGTGAAAAAGTGACACAAGGAGTGGATCTAAGAATATCATCTCTTACTATTAGGGTCACAGGAAGCTGGGTGGGGGTGGGGGTGGGGGTGGGGGTTAAGTGCAACTGGAGCAACAACATAGATTATAATCCTGATACACAAGCATTTTTTTTGAGTAATGTGGATGAGTAGTGCTGCAATTGTGAGCAAAAATATCCATAAATCAACTGGATGATGAATTATCAATCCATACCACTCACAACGAATCCCAATGTAATTCTTAAAGTATGTTATTCTCATCTGTATGTCTCAAAACATCTGCTTGTGTGTCTTAATGTAAACTAAAGTGCAGCTCAGTGCGGCTGAGGTACCTTCATCACATCTGGGTACTGCCTTAGTTTCTTGCCACACGGGGCATAGTAGGCCACCTCGCCCTGAGGCCGCCCCGCCACTGATTTGATTCTTGTTTCTCTCCGCCACCTGCGATTTTGAGAATGACAAAAGTGCCCAGTTGTGGATAAAAAGCTTGTATTGTGCATTTTTCCACCATGTGCGAGTGTGATCTCCAGTGAATCTCTTTATAAGAGCTTTCTTTTTCTCAGCCCCTTGTACATACCCCAACTCCAGAGGTGTCATCAACTCCTTCTCATCCATCACCCTCTTCCTCTTCCCTAAGCCTGTGAAGAGACAGAGTTCAGCCATCAATTTGACAGCACAACCTGTGTAACAGGAAACCTCACACATACAGAAGCAGCCTCCAAATCCCCTGAACTCCTCTATGAACAGTTCAGACTGACAGACTTGGAATTTTGATATCAAAACTGATAACAATTTAACGGGTGAACAATGCGCAGATTACTAAACTAGCACACACACAAAAAAATCAGTTCTTGAGCTACAATAAGAATTGCCCTTTTTATTTTGGTTAAACATTGAAAGTTAAACCTAATTGCTTCATCTTAGAAATTGATTTTTTTTTGTTTTACATGCTCTAGCAAAAAGAGCATTAGCATAAACAAAAATAGAGACAGTGAAAACACACATTAACTGTATGTGATGAACTCATATCTACCCAGGATTGATTCATATTTCAACAAGTCTGGTATTTAGTTATCAAACATATTAAATATGATAACAGTTTTCCAGGTTACTGCAGTTATAGTTGACAATTAAATCTTCCAGTCCTGATTAGTATGAACATGACAGTGAACAGATTTCACATGTTTTTGCTTGTTGATCAGTTTCCATTTTAAAGAAGCATAAAGAAAACAAGATTTCAAGCAGTAGGGCAAAGGACAAGAATGTCTGCTTGGTACATTCCTGGCAGGCTACACATATGTCCTATTCCTCTGATCTGGGTAATCTCTTCACATCGAAAGAAGGCGGAAATTAACCTTGTTGCTGTGCCAAACAAGTTGTCAGGGCTCTTAGACATGTACCTACAAGACCTCAGAGCTCCAGTTTGGCCATGACAACCAACCGCCTCCTTCCTGTCTCCCTAGCAGTAGCATTGCCTCATAACAGTCATCTGAGCGTGTTGAATTTTTTTTCTGGTAAACGAAAGCATAGTATTTTCCAGCACAATGCTAAAGCTGTGTGCTGTTGCTATATTATACTGCAGTATTTTTCTATCATGAATAATTCAACTCTTTACTCTTTACTCAGCTGAAGATGTTTCACCATTAAACATATCTTTGTTTGACATTATTTACCTGAAATGATCATAATCTTAATGTGATGTCTTTCTGTACCTGATGCACATCTAAATCAAAACTCTGAGCCATTGTAGAAAAATCAATTTCAAAGATCACCTAATGGAGAGGCCAGGCTGTAGGAGGATGAGCCTGGAGAGCTGTGATAGGCCAAGGCACTGGAGCTGGTGACAATGGTTGGAGTCTTGATGACCTGTAAGTTGAGGGGGGAACAGCTGGTGGCGGTGTGATTGGTTGAGGTGTTCAGTAGTTCTGGGCCTTTGGTTAGCCTGTGGGGAGTCATCTCTTTTTTGGATGATCCAGACGGCAGCAGCTTTAACTCCTTCACTTTCTTCCCAGAGATGTCGCTGTCTGAGTTGCTATCAGACTCTGAAATGGAAGTCGAGGATACACATTGGCAAGAAGTAGATAACTGGATATAATTGGACCTTCCAATTCTTTCATTCAAACAGAAGCAATCAAATTAATTATTTCTTAGCATCTGACCACATTTAATTTTTAAAAATATAATGGATAACTGAGCTCTGACAGATCCCTGCATTGACTGAATTGAAAGGATTTGTTTATTCAATGACTGACAGCCAAATTAAAGGTATGGTACAGTAATTGTAAAATAGCAGAGATTAACACGTAATCAAAGCCTGTTTGTTTTTAGCCTTGATTTTAAAGTCTCAGCTTCCTCAGGGGTTGTGAAAGTTACATCTGTGAACAGAAGATACCAACCTGACAGGCTATCATCTGAGTCCTCTTCATCTTCCTCCTCCTCAAGATCGTCATCCTCATCATCATCGTCGTCTCCAGAGTCATCGGATTCCTTGTTAGCCGGGAGACCTGCTGTGGGATTACATGTCCCAGGTATCCCCACTCCAGGAATCCCAACTCCAGGGATGCTAACACCGGGAATCCCGATCCCAGACTCCCCCCCACGAAACAAATCTACCAGTGACTGAACCAGGTGGTTCTGAGAGAAGCCCTTCCAGGCAGCTAAAGGGTCTGCTTGTCCCTGTCCTTGTCCCTGTCCCTGTCCCAGCCCTGATGTCTGTCCTTTACCCTTGGGGGTCTTGTTCTTTCTGGATCCATGTCCTGTTGCATGGGGTGAGGTAGTGGAGGGCTGAGCCCCGGCGTGGGCAGTTGTTTGGGTTCTGCTCGCCCCTGTGCTCAGATTGACTGGCATTGACCCAGCATCGGAATCGCACTGAGGGGACTTGCTTTTAGAGGTCAAGTCTTTGCGAGGTTTGGTGATGAGAGCCAGAGGTGCGTCCTGAGTGGTGCTTTGGATGACTCCATTGGGGTGGTGGGGTTCAGGGAGCCCCAGCAGGGCACTGGAGAGGAAGAGGTTGGAGTGATTGTTCTGGGGAGGAGGAGTGGGATGCAATGGCGATGAAGACAGAGACGTCCTCTTAGGAGACTTGTTTGGCCCCTGCTGCTGCTTCTTTAGCTCAGCTGGGAACGTCTGCCCTTGGGACATGAGAGTCTAGGAATAGAGGAGAGAGGGAGAGGACAAGGAGAAGCAGGGAGTCAGGGGGAGGGTGAGTGAGAGGGAGAGGGACAAAGAAAGGTTTGGGAAAAAAAAATCAGAAAAGAGATGGGACAAAGTGGAGTTGCTCTAGCTGTCAGTTCCCATCACTGCTGATTGTTTGAGCAGGTGACAAAACTACAATGCTGAACACTGGTACAGTTAACTGTGTCTAAGCCCCTTTCTGAGAAACAAAAAGAACATAAATACGATAACCAAAGGCATTGTGTTCGGCCAAGTTCACTAAAATAGACACTGAGTATCTCTCTCAAATTCTCATTACTCGTCTGCACATTTGAAAAGCTCCATCATCATTATCATCCTGCAGCTGGCCATGTTTGCCTTTTTTACACTGATGACAAGTTTGGCTCAATCTGTGTTTAAGCAAAGGCAGGTTCGACTTCAGCCTTGCACTTTCAACTAGATGTGATATGAAGTGAAACAAATCAATTTCACAGACCATGAAATACAGTAACAGTGCTGAAACCACAGGGGGAATTTTGCTCGTTGTAAACTTCTCTATACTGGTAAAACAGGAAAGAGGAAATGATTTTCACAGAATAAGCAGATCTCAAAAGATTAAGCTTATTGATCATTGCGCCGTCATTCATATTTCAAGGAAAGGGAATTACGTAGTTAAAGCACAAAAAGGTGACAATTTTTAATCCATTTCATCTAAAGCTGTTGAGACATATAAAGAATAGCAGAACTACTGTGATCAGTGTTAAATGGTTAAAACCTTTAAATACCGAAGAGTCATTACAAATCATGAGACAGTGAACTTGATAGGCTATTAATAAAAGGAGGTTTGAACTCAGTGCCGAACATTTGGTACATGTAGGCGGTTAAGTCAAACAACATTTTAGGATATATGATCGGTACAGAAGTTCTCAGAATGTTTAACAGAGCAAGCTTTAGAAAATGAAACTGACCAATATCTTACTTTGATCACCTACAATGTCATTAAATAAACCAGTTTAAAACCAATATAAAAAAGTGATCATATGTACAGTAAGTGCAAGGTTTAAAACTGAGGCTCTAAGCACTTACTGCAATCCTGATAGACATCAGTGACGGATGATTGCAGCATGTATCCTTTGGACTTTCCTGTTGTTCATTAAACTTCAACAATTAAACTGTTGGACAGTTGCATTTACAGCAATAAGTTTAGCTAAACTGAAGTAACAACTATTATTATAATCTGTAAAAATCAATGGGAAATTTCCTAATTTGTGGACATAATTAAAATGCTGTTTATCAGACAGATTCTGAGCAACACTTGTTTGATTAAATGCTCGTATAAAAGACTGAGCATACATCCTATTTAGGAGAAATTTTAATGCAACAGCATTAAGAAGTGTAACTTCAACAAATATCTCTACATGTGCTGAAAATTTAAGTGTTGTTTTTCTTTTGCACATTTAAGCCATCTGCCAATCAAAACGGTGCATATGACTCTGCTGACAACATCAAGGCAGATGGTATGTTGTTGAACAAACTGCAATGCTTTTCAGAGTTGGAAAAACACACATTTTACCTCCCAATGAAAATTAAAAAGGCTCTAACACTACTGCTCTCTGTATGCCTTGTTTGTGATAAAAGAATTCACTGCCTTATTTGTAACAAGTTACATTACTCTGACAAAATAATTGCATGAAATTAATATGTAATAGAGAATTACAGTACCTATGACATTTTCAGCGGGGTAGCCGGTAATTTGTGATCTGTTACATCCCAAAATCAACCTCCCCAGCTCTGCAATTACTGCTCTGTTTAAACACAGCCATGCACTACACATTTCAGTGACTAACAATGCTCTTCAAAACTTCTTCTCTTTCAGGTTTGCACAGGAACTCACGACTGTCACACCATATAGTAAAAAAGAGAAACATCCCTTGATGATAAATATTAACACAACTAAATGTCTTAGATATCTAGTTGCTTTCTGCGTCCAATCCCACTGCCTTACCAGTTGACTCAAGTAAGCACAGCCTCCTTAATGAACCACACAAAACAAAGCATCTCTCTGATGTCCAACTACAGAGTGGTAAGAGCTTGCTTACAGCCATGTTATCATTTTAAAGAGGCTCTGTGGAAAAATGTTTCTCCACAACACAACATCCAAGCCTCTTGCGAATGAGGAGCTGCAATAGTCAGTGCTCTGATTTCATTTTAAATTAAGTGTGCAGATTCACTCTAACAGTTCCTTAGCCGCCTGTTTGAATCTGCTGTTGAATAAATGTGCTAAATGGCCACTGGATTAAAAAGAGGGCCTGGCTGTGGTGGAGTAATGATGAAGCAAAAGAGAGGAGAGAAACTCTGAATTAAACTGCACACTCAGCTCGAGTTGAAAAATACATTACTGTCAATTTGTTGGAAATAACTTTGAACTGGGAAGCTGACGGTGCAGTTTTAAGTATCGTGTCCACCTCTCAGCTTACACGGTTAATGCAAAATATTATGTGCCATGTAAACTTACCTGTTTGAGCCTGAACTCATTGATCTGTGCAAGTGAAGCCTCCAGCAGTTTCTTTTTGTTGGATTTGGCAGATCCAGAACCAGCACGCTGAGGCGGCTTCAGCGAGGACTTCCGGGAGCTTGTCACAGATGAGGTCAAACCACGAGATTTCGGGGAGGTAGATGGCGGGAGAGTGGAGCGAGGTGGAGAGGGGACAGAGAGGGGTTTGGGGGAAGAGCAGAGAGAGAGGGGCAGGTGCTGAGGGGAGGAGGAGGGCAGCAGTTTGGGAGGTTTGGGGGAGGCGGTGCCAGAGAGAGCCTTTGGGGATGTGGTGAGCGCTATGGGGGAGGGAGATGGCGAAGACTCCCTGCGGGGCTGAGTTAGGAGTGCCAGGGGCTTTGAATTGGCTGCCAGGCCGGTGGACTGGATCACGCTAAAGTGTTGCTGCGGTGCATCTGTCCGAGACCTGGAGCTGTGCAGGGCCAGTGGTGAGGTTTGGGACAAGGCAGGAGGGGAAGAGGAGCAGGGTAAGGGCACAAGGGTGGGGGGGTTGGAGGGGGCCTTCTTGTCCTGGAGCTCCCCAGAGAGTGGTCTGTCAGTCTTTGCAGATCCAGTGCTGGTTATCAAGGGCTGGGAAAGAGATGAAATAAGCAAATGTTGGAACAAAGAATATTTGTTTTCACTACATCAATTTCATACTTTGGGCAATGTCTACATGAAAGTAGAGCCCAGAGTGAGAGAGAGGATGCAGTGTTACAGGTTATTCTGAGTCAGACCAAACAGATATGAGGGCTATTCTTTTGAAGGGACTGTTAAACACTGTCAGAAAAAAACAGCAGAAACAGTTCACAAGACGATCAAAGTAGTTGCAACATAACTGCAAAACTGTTCCTCTTTCTTGAATTGCACTTCTTGACAATAAAACTCTATAAATGGAAAGGTATATTTTAGCAAATTCTTTTGGTTCTCACATCATTTTTCTCTAAAATTCTTCACTTTTTCATACTTGGAGTGTTTGAGGCTTGATATATAGGGTCTTTCGGGGATTTTTTTCTGTTTTTATTCTGGACACTATTCTCTTTCATCTTCATACAAGTCATTATGTATCTGTATTTTGCCCATACAAATGTTTCTTATTTTTTGTTTTATTGTTTTTATGAACCAAATAAATTAAATCATTAAAACTTAAACAATGCATGATGGTAATGTACAGAAAACAAAGGCTGTCCACTTCTACTTTTCAAAATGAATTGCACTACAAAATAAGAAATCACAACACAGTCTTCATAGTGAGTGATTTTGGAAGCATCATGTGGTTTTGTTTGATATAAAATCTGCTACACATCAATCCTTTCTATCCATCTTCACCTTTGATTTCTTCTTTGTCCGCTTCTCAGAGTCAGACAATTTGTCCTCCTCTTCGTCATCCTCGTCATCGTCATCATCATCCTCATCATCCTCTGCCAGGTCTTCCAGATCACTGCTGAGGGAGCCGTCACTTGTGCTGTCTGAGGATGTGCCTGATTCACTGTTGCTACCCCCACAAGTGTCTGCTTGCTTCTTTCTTGGTTTCTGAGTTGAGCGAGAAAAAAAAAGAGCAAGAATCAGCTTCACTGTATAATGCATGATTTGAGCATTTCACATGTCACTTCTTCTCAGAACAAGGAGTGCAATATAACTCAGCTCTGACCTTCTCTTTTGTTTTCTGGACTGGCTTTTCCACCACCTCTGCTGGGTTGTTCTGCGGGCTGCTACGGTGACTGTTGGAGTGGTCTGAGTTTTTGGTTGACTTGGTTGATGTCTGAACAGGAACCGGACTAGAGGAGAAGCTCCCTGATTGTGTGGTAGAGGGACAGACTCCGCTGCCATTCACTGCCCCATTCACCCCTAGACACACAAACCAGATCCTTTGTATGAGTAATCAGCTCCATCTTTGAAAACTTTGCTACACGGGATAATAAAATATCTGGAACGAACTGCAGAATGAAATAAGGCTAATAAAAATATTGATTTATACGTGTATCTCATCAAACATGCTGGCAGCGCAAGGCACAAGCCCAACATGAGTGGTTTACATAATAAAAGATAAATTAAAAGATACTGTGAAATTAAGAGAGTGCAAGAAACAGAGATTACGAGAGGGAACAGGAGGAAAGGAGGGGGGTTGACAGAATCACTAAGTGAGGGCTGAAAGTCATTAAATCTGTCGTGAAAAAGAGAAATCTCATCACAGGACAAAGTGGATTTAGGCTGTTGGACAGGAGGACACAGATGGAGATAGTGGGAGAGAAGAAATGGGGATTTGGATGTTTATCATTAATGCAGAGTGGCATCACATGTTAGAACTGTGGTTAATTAATTCACAAACACATGCACTTACATAAAAAGAAACAGATATGCTGGTTTTTAATTGGAAACAGATCTAACTGTTCTTTTTTTCACCTGCTTCACGTGCTATAATTCTATCACAATACGTGTAAGTAATGTAGCTGTGCGGATCAATGAATGGCTCTTCTGGGATGTGCTGTACCTTTAGGTGGAGCATGGCTATTCTTGCCGGGCATCCTGATCTGAACAGGACTGGCGCTGTGGTTGGGCTGAATATGAGGGGTGAAGAAAGGAGGGAAGCCGATGAAAGAGGGGAGAAAGGCAGCAGCTCCCCGTCCATGGGCTTCAGCAGCTCGCCACCACTCTGTTGGAGAGCAGAAAAGAGAAGAGGATTAGAGATGCATTCACATTAAGCCAATTTACTGCCAGAAATTCAAATGTTCCCAATCTTACCAGAGAGGGCTCCTAGCTGGGGGTGGGCAGCCAGAGCAGCTGACATGCCCAGGGAACCCAGGCCTCCAAACTCAGGCCTGCCTGCTCCGGCAGTGTAGAGGGCTCCGAAGGCTGGGTGGTTAACCAGAGGGAAGGCACTTGACAATGTGGAGCCAATGAAGGGCTGCTCTCCTGCTGCTCCAAACAGACGGCCTGAGAGAGATCCAAACCAAGAGGGACGTGTTCAAATGTTTTTTTTTAATAAAATCCATAACAGATAGTTTTGTACAACAAAAGACAGTAATGATATGAGGCTACAAGTTGAGAGATGTCCTTAACTTTAGGCTGAGTTAGTTTCCGTTAATATGCAAATATGCTGGGGAAAATGTCCTTTGAAAGCAGACCTTTTGAGTTTCTTTTTCTCTTTTGACAATCAACACTTTGGGAGAACTCTGATTTTAGATTTGTTTTAAAGAACTGTTTATTTCTTGTAAAGTTTTCTTTGTATTTTTGGTGTTTTATTGTGTCAAGCTTTATTTTCAGTCAACATACAAACTTTAGTCTACGCAGTCAGTATCATACCATGAGAAATAAGGATGAATACGATGCAAAACGTGATTTTTTTTTTAAACACACACTTTTTTATTCAGCTGTGATATTCGCTCAGATTTCAGAAGAACTTTACTTTTGACTTGAATAAACAGCCAGTGTGACAGTTGTTTATTACACCTTTAGCACCACTCACTGCCCTACTGTTAGTCCCTTATATGTTTATTTGTGTCGACCGAACACATTGTTCTCAAACTACCTCACTGAGTTCCTTTCATGTTCGGAGCGACAGGATGTACAAACTAGATTTAAACAGCTTTTGAAGGTGCTGCCTCTTATTCACCTGAGTATAGAAGAATTAAACACAAAACCTCCTGACATCCATTTGTGAAAGAATTAACAAGACTTAGCTTTCGCTCGGTAACTAATTTTAAAAGACAGCTATACTGTCTGTGAGCCTGACAGACTGACGAGAGCTCCGACAGGGTTCCTGTGTCTCTACAGAAAAGAAACATTCACATTTCAATCACAGGACATTTTGTCATAATCCAATCTCGGCGTACAACTACTTGTGTGCTGATGTTTCTTCAGTTTCAGAATATGCTGCACTGTGAGAAAAACTGGATATTGTCGGCAAGCAAAAGAAGTGTGTGTATAAGGCGTGAAAAGCTAACCTCCTTCTATCCTTTTGGCATTCAATTTCAGCACAGAAGAATACTTCATCAACATCATCATCGTCTAGCGTTTTCCCGAGCACAATCATTTCTGGCAGGGGCGACTGCCACGTATTACCTCCTCCCAGAGTCAGATGCAATTTGGTGTGAGCATATTTCATGCAAATTCAATTTCTATTCTAGAGAGCGCAAGCCTGCTTGATGCCTCTGCATAAGCCAGGTAATACACATGCAAAAAAGTGATGACTGAAGAAAAGGAAAGTGTTGTACACAGTGCAGATGAAAATGTCAAACTACTATACACTTGCAGACACCACGGAAATGTAAAACAGAGTGACAGTGGAGGCAGTGTTTTCTGAACTAATGCAGTCTGGGATCTAATTATCCAGAGGGAGACACAGAGGGGCCGGCTATGTGTGTGTGCTATACCAAAACACTAAAGGGAGACTTTAAATGAACATGTTGCTACAGAGGGATCTCGCAGACTGTTCTTAAGTGAGAATCAAACTGTTTGTGGTTCTGTGGTAAGAAACAAAGCTCTACCATTGTGCCAGCGTAGTGCGAGTGTAGCCCTTTGTATTGGTTTCAAGGCCCCTCTCTGCCACAAGACAGCAAAAAAATCTGCCTTTTGAATGTCATTAGAATATGCTGAATATGTAGAGCCTGCCTTGCCAGCGTCAGCTAACGGATACAAAGATAAACGACTGCAATGCTACCCCCAGAAAGGCCAGCCACAGCATTCACTTATGCCTGGGGTACCCACCTCTCCCCCACACACCCCTTTTCCCTTTCTAGGCATCTGCAAATGCCTTTTCAATATTAATGTAGGCTTCCAGAAGGCGAATAATTAAATCTCAAAATTTGAAGCGAGACAGAGGCACGGGAAAGACATACCTAGGATTACCTACTCTCTCTCTCTCTCTCTCTTTCGCACTCAGTCTGTGTGCCTGTCTCTTCCTCTCTCTCTCTCTCTCTCCCGCTCCCTCGTCCTCTTTCTCATTCTGTTTCAATCCTTCCTCCACTCTGACAAACTGCACCGCCTGCTTTTTTCATGTTTGGATGCTGCCGAAGGGGGATTAATTTGTTGTTTGTTGCAGTCAATCAAATTTCCACAGACAGATTTAAGTTAATTGCATCCGTGAGTTGATCCCCGAAGAAGAGAGCGCTACGAGCGCCGATCAGCTTTTATTCTCCAAGTGATATCCTCATCAATGACACATGCGCGCACACACATGCACCCACACACACACCCCAGCCACCCACACATAAACATATAAACACACTCATTTTTATGTTCATGTGTTTTTTTCTCTTTTTTAAGTGTTATTGGCACATTGGTAAAGGACCTTGAATCGGGGCCTGCAGAGACTATGATGGCAGTATCTTTGCAATATGTACCTGCTCACAGAATACATACTCAAGATGTTGTGGTTGGAGATGTCTTTTCTTTACTTTTGATACTTGGATCAAGAAGCAACGGAGATGACGTCAGCTCCTTTGGCCTATTTTTGTGACCATATATGTTTGAGTTGCAGTCCCTAAAGTGAACAAGGCATTGTATGAAATGAATAAAGGAATTGGCTTGCTTGATTCCCACGTAGCGCAGCAGAAGTTCAGAGCTAACAGCCTGCCTCTCAGCATTTCATTTGATGCTCAGTCCAAAATCGCTTATCTAGAAAATCTGAGCACACGTAATGGCACAGAGGGATAAGAGGGATGTATAATGCATAAGGAGGAGATGCTTCTAATGGCTTCTTCTTTGGGGAAACACTGGAGGAGGTGGAGGACAAAACAAGGGGCTTTATTTTGCGTCTTCCTCTTCTCGTAACAGAGAGAAAACACAACAATCATGGAGAAGGCTGGATATGCTATTCCCTGATCTGTGCAATCTCGCTTTAAGAGTGTGAGTGAAAGTGTGCGCATGTGTGTGTATGTGTGGTAGGCCTCTGAGAAAAAAAAACAGAAACACATTAAGAAATGAGGAGAAAGAGAGCATGAGCAAATGATTCACTCAGTCTCACAAGGAATATTTTGAAAAAAAAAAAAAAAAAAACACAGAGAGATACAAACAGATGCGCACACACACTCACAGCAAACATACACACTCCTCTTTGCCTAATGGCTTTGACCAATACATAGAAAGGAGGCTGGATGCCGGACAGGGCTGACTAGACACTGAGTGGCTGACAAATGTTAAATCATGCAGGCAGAGGCTCTCTCTCTCTCTCTCTCTCTCTCTCTCTCTCTCTCTCACACACAAACACACACACACGCACACACGCACATAAACACACGCATGCAGGGGTGTCGTGCTGAGCCTGACTCTGAGGCAGCTGGAGCCAGAGAGCTGAAGGTTGTCAGGAGACATGGCGAAGCATGTGTGTGTTTCTCACACAAAAGAGCCCCCTAATTGTTTGGGATTCATTAATGCAGCAGCTTTTCAATTGCAACCCAAGCTGTCAGGGAAAAAAATCTTTGTAGCTGGGAGAGAGGTGTATTCACACAGGCTGCAAAATAACTGTATAATTAATACTGGAGGAAACTCATTTTTCATGGTGAAGAAATGAGGAGGATTCTGAATGCTATCAAGACTTGAAGGAGGACACATTTGGCGTGTTTTTAAAGCGACATGGGAAGGGGGTTTTCAGCGTGTGCTGGTATTTTTCCTCTGTACACAAGGCCTTTTTGGAGAGACAGAAGATCGACGGAAGAAGTAAAAGTGTTGCTTACCAGAGGTGCTGAGGGTGGATCCCAGTGCCGAGGGGCTTGGGGCCAGGCTGCTCTTAGAGTGGGGAGCCGGGGATGATGAAGAAGATGAAGAGGAGGAGGAGGAGGAGGAGGAGGAAGAGGCCGCAGGGGAGGAGGTGCGAGCAGCAGACAGGGTGGGCGCAGGGGAGGCCAGCCGCTCTCCAGACTCCATATCTGTCAAACACAATCCAATCAGCAGGGTTACAATAGCAAAGCACACCCACCCGTACACTCACAAACACACAGGCTCCGACACATACACACCAATGCATAGTGTCACACCTACACAGCATGTTCTAGCCAGCGCACACACGCACACACATCTCCTGACACTTTTCCTTTCACATCTCACTTCCCCTGAACAATATTTCTATTTAGCCATGCTCACTGGCTCCCAGCCTCTATTGATTCTATATGGGCTAGGAAGGAGGACAATGTCTTTAAGGACTCTGATACCGCACAAAAAAGGCAAGAAAACACCACAGCTGAGAGAAAGTGTTCTTTAACAGGACCATCACTGGTACCTGAGGACTTACTCTGCTGTGAGTAAAGTGGGATGTTTGGAATGACAGAGGTTAGCAAGAAACTTCAAAACAAAATAGACAAATAACACATTTTCACTTTTCTTTGTCATTCCCTCTTCCTCAAACACTCAGGCGGACACAAAAAACACCCTCGTACACACCTGTGTCTGACAACCAGGATCCCCTCACACCCCCTTGACAAAAAAGACATTCAAATTTAAGAGCTTTTTGAGGCCTGCGAAGACAGCACTGCTCACTGAGTCCTTTCAGTTGCAACAGCAACCGAATGGAGAGGCTTTCAGATAATGGGTGCATTAACCAACAATGTAACTTCCCATTATCAGTCTTTTCGGAGTCATCATGTGAGCTATTATCATCAAACCAACAAACATGAACTCTCACAGAAAAAATGTTTGGCCATTTCAAAGCTAATTCTTAACTTTACTCTCTTTTTGCGACTAAATGAGAACAGAGTGAGTCTGTGCCCACACAACTGCTAACTTATGCAGCTAAATAAATAACAGACAGTTTCAAAACACATGAATTTACACACACACGAGCACACACTTTCACAATTCGACACCCACTGCACACAGAAAATCACCTCCCCTGTCTATCACATCAACCTGAGTCTTTTTCTCTCTTCTCCTTTTCCGTATCCCTCTGCCTGACACTAATCCAGGGCTGAAAATCCCCTTCAAAAGCACAGTTTGCAGATTGTGTTTTACAGGCAGGCTTTGTTATTGTGTCATTACACATAAACAGTCTCTGCCTCCATCTCTCTTTCCTTCTCCTCTCTCCTGCCATCCCTCCGCCACCCTCCCTCCCTCTCTCTCCTCTGCAGTGGGAGCAGAGCCACTGATTAAATCTCTGAGACAAAAGCTGCTATCCTCTGAATATCAAGTATCAGCCTTTCGCCAGGAGCAACACTGACAAGAGAGAGAGAGAGAGAGAGAGAGGGAGAGGGGAGAGCGAAAGAGGGAGAGCAAGAGGCGAGGATGACAAGAAAACCTGCTGCAGTCCACGGGGAGGAGGCTGGTGTGCCATCGGACTTGGGCAGCCGTGACTGCCATTGCTGCAGTGGAAAAGACAGTGGTTGTGTAATTATGAGCAAGGTCAGAGGTCATTAGAAAGGCCTCTCACGCAGGGTGACAGTAGGGGGGTTAAAGAGACAAATTATCAACCCAAATGGCAAAAAATTAACGTTACACGAAAAGTAACAAGAATAAATTTTCAGCTGAGTGAAGGTGAAGTGTTTGGCTGTAATCTTAAGCCAAAAAACCGTTACCTCTCTGCCACATTTTGTTGCTTGAATGCCTGTCACACTGTGTGCACCCTCACACTGCCTGTCACCCTTTAAATGTCAGGTTAGGGTGAAAAAGACAACATGAAAAAAGATTCTTGAGCAACATTATAAAAAAAAAAGACTGATTTTTTCCTTCCATGGTTGCCCCTGATACAAAATGTAAAGTATCATTAGTAGGGTGATGAAAATGGAGAGGAGCTGTGGCCCTTTATAATTATCATAATGCACAGGAAAACAAAAGGCTCCCGTCTCAGAGGACGAGCGGGCTTATGTGGTGTCAGCTGGTAAGTGAAGCGGATCATTCTCTACCTTTTCTGAAGGAGGGGAGAAAACAGAAAAGAGATAGGAAAGACTGAGAGGGGGGAAAGGATAAGCAAGACAATGCACTCTGATTTTGTTGCGGGAAAAAAAAAAAACACAAGAAGAAAGAGAAAGAGAGCAGAAGATGAAGGACAGGCTGTAAACCATTCCTGTCGTTTCTCAATATCTGCACTTAATGTCTCGCCTTGTCAAAACGTGATGATGTGAACAGAATTGATTTCCCCCCTAACAAACAACAAAAAAGCAATCCCTCCTTTTGCAGAGGTGTAAAGCACAGTTACCCTCCCCCTCATCTCCTCTCATCTCACACAATCTCTCAAAGGGCCTCGTTCTGGGATGAGAGATGGAGAGAGGAAGGACAGAAGGAGGGAGGAAAAAAAAAACAAGTGCGTGGCAAGTCCATCTTCCTCCGACAACTACAAACTGATCACTTAGAGCCATTAAATCTAATAACAATAATAAGATTGAGCTCAGCAATGCACCACCAAATGCACAGCCACAACAATGATTGCAACAATAATAGAGCGCCAAGGTATTTAAGGATCCAATCCTGACTTAATTATGAGAAATTAAAATGGATTTAGCATCAGAATTAGCTTGATTTTATAGGTAATTAACGGCACACCACAGTGGCAGTATAAGGCGAGCGTTATAATCTCTGTGAACGGCTAAATCAATTTGACTCGAACAACAGCAACCAATCAACATGGAGCGGTGCAACCAGAAACAGCAGGTCTCGCAGATGCAAGGAGAGGGAGAATTTATGCTAATGGCTGAACTATGATTTATAAGATGTGTTCCAGCTCTGGATTCAGAGTCACGTCCACAAATACACCACAGCACCCAGCTGTCAACGCATGCAGCTAATAGCGACTGGATACAACGGCCCTTCAGGAGATAGTGTAGCTATAAACAGCGCTGCGGTTTTTATGAGTGTATGTGGCCTTCATATAGGAGCCTTCACATGTCAGGATCATCTGAAAGGAGAGCAGGAGAGAATAAAGGAGAGACAGAGAGTGCGCATTTGATGCTGGTGTAATGGCCTGTGCAGCCTGGTATGTGGCCTTACATCATGCGTGTGTTTTGCGGTGTTGTATGTCTGCGTTGCGTGTGTGTAACGGTGCAGGGTTACACGTGCAGCGGTTTAACACAAGACTGCCAATACATGTGCTTTTAGAAGTGTACCCTTGTGTGCGTCTGGGTCTGTGTTTGTGTGTATGTGTGTGTGACAGCATCAAACTATTCAACCCCCTGTGTGTCTCACTCCTGCCCCTTTCCTCCTCGCCCCTCTCAACACACACACACACAGACACACGCACACAAACACACACACACATACACACAGTAACAGATGGCTGATACTAACTGAGATAATCCGCCAACAGAGTCATCAGCATGGATCAGTGGTAATCAGAGTGTGGACACAATGTCTCTTCTCCAGCCGTAATGGAAGGAGCGCCTGGCGCAAGAGAAGGGGAATGCATTATTCCCCATGATGCCCTGACCCCATTCAAAGACACACGGTGGCTCCCAGCTCTCTCTTTCTTTTTTCTCCTCTTCCCGCAGCCGACAAAGACTGTATCATCGCTGCTTCCGCAACATTCACTCTCTCCTCTGGATCTCTCACTCCCCGCCTTTTGTTGTGATCTGCAACTGTGTCAAACACTGACCTCTATTTAGCTAGCTGTGTCCTGCTCCGAGCAGCTAACAAGACAAATGCCAACATAGCAAGTGTGTCATGATGAAGGTTGCTGGAAAAGACAGGAAGGGAATAAAAACCTACCATTAGCACTTCTTGTTAATCAGGGTATGGGAGTCTTTGCTTGCTCTCCACTTAGTTTATTCCAGTAAAGCGCAAAACAAATAAATTAACTTGTTTTTGTATCGCCATTTCCGCTTTATAATGGCGTTGTTTCAGAGAACTAACGCTCGTCTTTCATCCATCAGCTTCTCTTCTTACAAGGTGATAAACTGTCACTTTTCACGCATCACTCATTACTGAAAGAACCTTTTTAACACACACACATACTCACACACACACACGCAGAGAGAGAGAGAGTCACGCTTGTGTTTGTGAAAGTGAGCTCATTGACACTGACTCTGAATCAGCAGAACCATCTTTTATTTCTGACCTTGTAAAGCAGATAAGCGGGCACACTTCCCATCTCTCTCTTCTGTATATATGTGTTTGTATATATGTTCGTGTGGGTGTGTTGTCTTGCAGGCACGACATGTGCATATGTATGTGGATGTTTGCGCTTTGCATGCTTGTTGGCAATGCACACTAACTGAGAAAGATCATCTTGCTTATAGCAGAGCGCACGCATGAGCTTGCTTGACCCCTTTTCTCCTCCCTTCATCCCTCCCCTCCCTGCACGCACACCGGCAGCCAGGAAATGACATAACCAGGCGCCTTGGCAAAAATTAAGTGACAACCTTTGTCCAGAGTCAAACATCAACTCAGAGAACATTTAAAGAGACAGCACGTACTGTGTCATATCATGCTACACCACAGGCTGCAAAAACTGAAAGGTCATAATGGCAATAGATTCACTGCTGTGATGTTGATTCATCGTTTAGTCTGTTAGATGCCCAAACTATGAGCAAAATGTCCTTCGTAATTTGTTAAAGCCACATTTAATGTCATAAATTTCATTTTCATGTTCAGCTAATAGTGTGAAACCCAAAGATGCTCGCTCTGATTTTCAAACAAGTCAAAGATAAACGGTAAATCCTCCCAGTTGAAAAGCTGCAGACAGAAAATATATGTTTTAATTCAAAGTAATGCGTAATAAAACTTCCAGCTCTATTTGGATGGTGGCACAGTGATCTAAGCTGTTTGTGCGCTATCACTGTGGCTTTTATTAAAACTTTTGAAAAGACTTGAAATAAAGTACAAAATCTAAACTGAATCCAGATATTTAAATGTATATTTGCATTTTTTATTGGTGCTTTGCCAACTGACATGGATTAAGCCAAGGCCTGAGAGGAGTACAAAGGGACAGCATGCCCCAGTGTGGCCTGTCTAGGTGACAACAACCAGAGTGACTCAGACCCCTCCCTCGGCTCTGCTCCTGCCCAGTGACAGATGGCAGAGCAGGGCATGTAGGGGATGGGCACCATCTCTCACCCCGCCTCGGCTAGCCTTGGCAGTGGTGCTGGCCACAGGTCTTATTACAGCCACACCACTGCCTGCCCGCCTGCCTGCCTGCCTGTTTCCATGTAACACTGGAGCTTACCACGCTAGAGCTGCTTACTGCCTGCCAGGGCAAAAAGGTAATGATATGGTCCCGAGTGTTGCAAATAGTAGAGCATGGTGTTAGCATTCAGGAGTTTCCAGATTCAGCAGTCACTGGGCCCTGTCGTAAAAAATAAAAACACATGTGTATCCATGTCGCTGTAAGCGGCTTTAGATAAAATATAAAACCAAATGGCATGCCACACGCATTCTGTGTATTTTTGAAATGACAAGAAATCAACTCTTGCCAAATGGCTTTATTTGCCTTTTCAAGCATACTGTAGATGCCAAAGGCTGGAATCAACACCCCTACTCACCATCCGTCTCTGCTGGCTTCCCAGTGACAATAATGTGATTTTGGGACATGGTGATGACTCGGTGAGGAGGGATAGGATAGGCTTGTCACTTGTGTTTGATGTCAAACCTATGTGTGACAGAATAGTGTTACTCAGCTCAACCAGACATCGCACTACTCCCATTTCCCGGCCATAAATAGAAGAGAATGAGCCGGTAGTGAGTGTGTGTCTGTGTGCATGTGTTCGAGGAACAGTCTTCATTTGTGTGTGTATCTGTGCACACAAGCACGCCCATATGCATCATTTTGAGTATCATAAAGTAAGCTCAATAAGAAAATTCCCATCTCTTCCGCTCATTCGCATCTGCATCCAGCCAAAGCTAATTATTCTCCCCATGGTAACCTAGCAGGGTCTTCACATCAAAAAACCAGAAGTGTGCATCAGGCAATCATCCCTGATGAATCTGCCCTTCTCCCTCTGCTAGCCACTCACACTCATCTGCCAGTCTCATTGCTCATTACAGTTTTTCTACAGACTGAACCGGATCTGCTCACCACCGGCTGCATGTGTCTACAAGAGTCCATAATGACTTTGGAGCAGTTGGGAAGCACGGAATAACACCATCTCCATGCTTCGGAGAATAACACATTAATTCATGAGCACTCACACACTAACACACAAACACCACAAGCATTGGAGGCAGGCTGGGTGGTAAACCAAGGCCTGTTAAGGTTAATTTGATTACAGACTCCAGTATTTTACATTTGCCGTAGTCCAATTTTCACAACACTGCTTCATTGTACTTAACTTCATACAAAGAGCCAAACTGATGATTTGCAGAAAAATTACCCTGAGGCCTTAAATATGGAGCATAGATATTAGGCGCACAACTCCCTCCCAAATACAACCAACTTATTAAATACTGGAGCTAAAATCCCCCAGTATTTATCAAGACTTTTGCAGACGTTTGCAAAATGTTGCAGGAGTAAAGTCAACTGAAAATGCATTTTTAATCATGTCCCATTACTTTCACTGACACTGCCTTAGTTAGAAGCACTTCAGTACAGTAAAAACTATAAGCCTTTCTCCAATATTTAGTACTTTTATGTCTCACATCTAAAAAAAAAGACATTTATACAGAGGCAATCCATAGCTAACCTCTTTTGCTTTTGCTTTTTGGAGTTTCTCTTATGTTAAACAAGAACCGTACAACTACAATTTATATAATATTGAAGCATATGAGAAGGAATGTATATAACTCTCTATAAAAATTCACTTTACCGAGATAATAATGATTTGCTTAATATATGACAACAAAATTGCAAGCTCACGTCTATTCATCTGGGAGGCTTAATTTGATTTTTTTTCTTGCGCCTATTGCGCATAACATATTTTTTAACAATGATCAGTTTTACATCTAAAATGAGCTTTAGGTTTCCATCAGGTTTGACTGAGAGGATAAAATTTTTAGTATAAACAAAACAACCAAGTATTATAGTTGAGTGTGATTTCCTGTTTAAATCTTAATAAGACATCCTGCATTCTGCAAACGCAACGTATTCAAATAAACGCAGGAAATACAAAAATGCATGAAACCCAAAAAACAGGAAATAGCATCAGTTATCAGGGAATATCAAGGAAAGAAGGAGGGGGAAGGAAAAAAGGCATTTTGTGTTGGTGTGTGTGTGTGTGTGTTTGAGTGTTTGTGTGTAGAGGGGGGGTGTTACAGAATAAGCACAGTACTCCAGATATGCATAATGCAAATGACATGCATGTCAAATGGCAAAACAAACTGACAGTGACAGAACAATGGGATAGCCGGAGAGCGGCAAGCCCTGTTTGAGCAATCGTATGAGCTGTGTCTGTTTACGTCCAGGAGAAGAAACAAGAAGAGAAAGTTCTTCTCCTCTGAAACTTTACCAGGAGGAGATATCTGACTTATATCTACGCAAGTTAAAAAAATTTAGAGCAATGGTTTGACGGCTGGATCAATTTACTTGTGACAACCAATTTCATGGATTGATTTGGTCTTCAGTGTCGTTTGGCACTTAGTGGCATGATTTTACGTATGCTCCTATTTCCCAACATATGATTGTCCTGCATTACTAAAGGTTATTGATAGTTAACTCTGACATATAACTCTGTACATAATTAAGGTGACATCATTTTAGCTTTTTCTAATACAAATTGCTAGACATGCTCTTCCGTAAATTACAGCAAGGTTTTGTTTTAGTTTCTCGGACTAGCAAAAGAAGAAGCACATTAAGCTATTAATGTCTCTAAATGAAAAGGCGGCTCACATCTCCGTCTTGGTTCCATCTTATTATCTCCTCTGCACTTTCACACCTTTTACCTGACCAGTCTCTTTTCTCTCGCTCTGCTTTTGACCCTTTCTACTCTTTTATGTTTTTTGTTGAGATTATCATTAATAACACCTGCGCAATATAATAGCTTCATTAAAGTACCCCGGCTTTCTGTTTAACACAAACCGACATAATGCTAAATGGCAAATGAAGGTAAACAATGCGCTCAACATCAGGCGGTAAACAAGAAAACATGTTGGGTGTTTACAGCGGCACGCAGTCCGCCGTGTTGTGCTCTGCATACTGAAATCCAATGACAGTCTTAAAAGCTATTGAATAGTTTTCAGAACAACAATCTGGCAACATAAGCTCTGATGAGAGGAAAAAATCCAGCAGCATTAAACTCAATATGTCAATCACTCGTATTGCTCTGTTCAAACGGCTGCTTCACTTAATGTTAAACATGTGAAAATGACTGGCTGGGAGAGAGAATAGTGTTGTATTGACAGAGAGGGAGGCGAAGCAGCGGGCAGTCAGCCACTCTGTTCTGCTTCACTGCAACATGGGAGGGAGGCCAGCGCGGACACACACACACACACACACACACACACACACACACACACACACACACACACAGATGTAAACACACATACAGGCATGTACACACAGGCAAGCACACACTTGCACAAATGCACACGCACTGATACTCTCTCTTCCTCTTGCCTTCCCTCTCTCACTATCTCTCTCTCTCTCTCTTCCAGACACACACACACACACACACACACACACACACACACACACACTCACTCACACACACACACACACAGTGCAGCAGGTGAGGTGCCAGCACATCACAGCGCTGCCATTTTTCAGTGTCTTGCTCAGGGAGAAGCGCTCTGACATTTTATGAAGCACTCTGCAGAAATCAGCAGCTTGTAATGGCGGCTGGACTGTCACTCCTTTCCACTCTTCACACTCCCTCTATCTGCCTTCCTCACACACTGCTTTTAAGATATTATCTCCCTTGATTAGCATAATCTAATCAATTTTACAAAATTGGCTTTTAATTACAAAGAACAATCTCTTCCTCGTACTATCTGTTTAAGCTTCAAATGTCGTTGGGATTAAAATAAAGGCAAACTGAGGCAAGAAGTAAAACCAGTGAAAGGTTAGAAAATGACTCCTATTTCACTCGCGCAAGAGGAGTGACTCATATTTATGGTTAAAGGGTGTAAAAGGCAGGGGAGTCTGATGAAAATAAGACAGGGATTCATCTTTAAATTGCAGGCTTTTCTGATAGACTGTCCTTTTGACATTATGAATAAGCAGCCTTATAAAGGCCCCATTCTCATGTTTGAGATGGGACTGCAATGCATCTTAAGTGTTCTAAATTTAACAACAGTTGTTTTCGTGACTCTTTGTTTGACCCTTGGAATCACTGCTGTTGATATTACCGCGTATACGTGCTTACCGGAAAGGCCTAATGATTAGAAACCCAGCTGTTAAATATGTCCTTCGCATAAAAAACAGAGATCTATAACCGTGATTAACTCTCAGGCATGTTGTTGTGCCTGACAAGCTCTCTGTTGAGCAATGATTAACAGCTAGTGACTCTACAAACCGCTGCTAGCACATTAACACAATGTTTAGATTAGCCCGGCCCTCATTGAGGCCATTACTGCTGTAGCTAACCTAACAGTCACACTCGGAAGCAGGGCAGCCGGCAGCTTGTTGTCGGACAATTTACAACGATGACAGAGCTTGGCAACCATGTTCTTAAGTTTTACCCCCAAAGATTCACTCAGGGCCAGCACATTTTAGAGTATCTCAGAATAGCATGCCCACAGGAGAAAATGTGATTCAACTTGAAATATGTGGGAAGTGTCAAGGCCAAATCTCTGAGTGTAGGCTACGCTATAAACCTTAAACTAAGCCGATTTCATTAATGTGACATTAGCATTTGTAATGAGAAAAGGGGGAAAAAACCCTTGGGACATCTTTGTACTGTTAGAAAAACAGACACACATACACATGCATGCCCACGCACACAAACAGACAACATTCACAAATACACAAGTAGACACAGACACACAGAAGTTGCAATATCAGACACTTATTTACATCAATGTTACACAAGAAACTTAAAATGAAGCCAAATCACAGAGGGGAGGAAAAAGTAATATTTGCGTAGGTTTAATAATGAAATATCTGGGCTTAGACTCTGTAAACTAACTGTGACAGTTTGTAAATCTGTTGAACCTTTACTGATGAACTGAGCCGATAATTCCAGACAAATAAAGCCCCGCATTTACTCCCACTCTACCATTCCAGACAGAAAGTAAGGGAGGAAGACAGAGTCAAGAGCAAACCTTCCTCAGACTCGTCACTTTATTTAGACTTGCCGTTACGTGCCTGTGGAATACTCCTCAGCTCTGAGCTCATGTTATATGTGACAACACTCTTTGTAAAAACAACCGCACACGTTTAGCTGACTCGTTCCGTCCTTTTCAGACTCCACAGCAGCCCTGGCAAGCATCTACATGTTGATTTGTTGGGTAAGTGACTGTAAGGTTTTCAATGAGTCAATATTGAGCTGCACATTTACAAGTTGACCAAAGTAGCTCCAGGGCCAGAGCAATGATCCTGTGTGATTAGTTTAACTGTTGTTTGTCAGAGTCTGTTAGGTTAGATTGAAGTTTACAGATAACTAGTAATGACAGTTTGGGAATAATGTGCCACTTTTAGATCATTCTGATGAAGAATCTAGGATGAAACAGAATAAAAGTACAATTTTATGGGTGAGTTCATCATAAAAACAACAGATAACAAACAAAAAAAGTCTGAAAGATAAAAAAAGATCACAACCACATGCATCATATGAGATACAAGATCAGGTGACTTTTATGATTACTACATTAACAGTCATCCATAGCCGTTTAAATAATGATCAGCTGCTTGCTCTGCCTGTTTATTATTAACCAGCCTCTTTATGAATGGACCAAGTCTGTATGTGATCCAATCCAGGCCTCTCTAGTTAAAAAAAAAACAAGAGTGATATGTATGCTCTTGATTTTTGGTTTTTATCTGGACTGTTTTTCAACTGGCGTTACGAAACAATTACATTTATGAAGAAGAGATGTCTTTTCAGAGGATGACACAGATTCCCTGTCAGAGTTAAACATGATCGATGCAAGCACTTGGTGTTTCTCTTGGACCACAAGGGCATCAAGAATCCCAAATACAGCCAAAAGAGTCCCTGAAAGTCTGTTATGTATTTTGTCAGAATAAAAATGCTGCTGAAAGATCAGTTTCCTCTTTTTAAAAGAAGTTGGAAGAAATTTGTAGCAACCGTTGTGTAACTTGCCAAAATGCTCACGGCTGGCAAGCGAGTAAAAGAGCCAAGTTTACTTGTTTCCAAATGTTTAGATAATAAATTGGAACAAAATGTCAATTCAGCTTACTTCAGGACTGATAAGTAGGCCACTATTAATCACTTTAAGCTCCAATGATCCATGCACTTGTTAAAAAATATATTCAAGTACTTTTTTCACTTCAACGGTGCTAAAGAGACGTGCCACACACACACGCAGAGAGACTCATACACAGTTGTGAAGGCAGGTAAGTGGAGAAATTAAAGATATACATTTTAAATAAACCTGGACAAAACACCTCTCCTGTGTTGTGGTGTCAGCCATGCAGTTAAGTGACTAGAAATCTTTGACATCTTATTGTAAGGTTTGAGGAAGTAGTAAGTCTAAAAAAAAGATAGCAAAAACTCTACTGAAACAACACAACCCTTTAATGCGAGGTGTTTGGCTTTACGTGAGACTCAAATCAAAGAGATTTGGTTGACTGAGACCAGAGCTGCTCAACACTGTGGTCACCAGCGATTGCCTTGGGCCGTGCATAATGTTACTTTCACACGGTTTGTTCTTTCCTTCTTTCTTTCAGCTCTGTTCTGGTGACATCCGATTCAAAGGGGTCCTGGAAAAAAAGCTTTCCCAGCTGATTTAGTGCATGATATTTGCAAAGTGAAACAAGAATTATGCTTGTGTTGTTATTTTTGTGCCCCCTTCGACATCACAGAGAAAAGGAAAGACTATTTGGCTTCATATAGAGCTGTATCGTTGTTTTCAGTCCATGAACATTTAAATTTCGACTAAATCCTATGAAGAGATGAGAAGAGGTTTTGTTCTCTGCAGCTCAGTGTCTAATAAAATATGACACTTCTGCCCTTACATACAGAATAAAAAAGATCATAAATGAGGGCTATAACGGGAAACGGCTTCACTCAACCATTTTGCCAGTATCACCTTTCTGCTTCTCTACCCTGGACACTTATTCTCCCCCCTGGGGGCAAATGTAGAAGACCCTTTTAAAAGTCCAGCTGTGCCTTTAAAAGAGTTTGTCACACCAGCGATGGGGTGCTTTGAAATGCTGAGCGGAAAAGCCACAGAAATAGAGCTCCTTTTTTTTTTCTTCTGACATGGCCCCATTTCCTGTGTCACCACACTAACCCTGTGTGATTTCCCAAAGAAAGTCAAAATATTTGAGTCTCCATTGTTGACTGTGTAAAACCGAGCTTCAACATTACGGCGCTGCACTCACACACCCAGAGGTGGACACACACACACACACGCCTAGATACACAAAGAGTTACCTCTGTTAGACTGAGCGTCACCAATGTGTTAAACTATCTGCTCTTTTGAAACTGAATCCACTGTTTCCAAACACTTCCTTATAAATGAACCAATCACAAAGCCTGCCACCTCTCTCCTGTTACCTGATATTATTTTGGGAGGAGCCAAGAAAGGGAAACAATCAAAACTCGGGATGTACGCTTTGTGTGTTTCATGTGTGTGTCTCTATGCCTGTGTCACGACGAGTTGATTCCCAGTGTGGCGAGGCTGAAACTGAAGCTGCCCGGGCCTGTTGTTGATAGCCGTGTCTCACCCACTCACTGCCCCAGAGGGAGTGAGGACCAAGACCACTGCTCAGGGTCTGTCTGTTCACACACATGAAACACAGGCTTGGATTACACAGGGCTCAAATATGACTCATCCTAAGGAGGGGGTGGAGGAAGGCCCCTCTCAGTTGTTTTGAACAAATGCACACATACACACACGTACGTACACACGCTGCCCGCAATGATAGCTACATCACAGGCTCAGAGAGAGGACCTTGTGGTTCCACACACCTGCCAAAGACAGATGTTAAGAATAAATCAGAGACTGGAGAGAAGCTCCACACTGCTGTAACTCCACTAACTCACTACACACTACACTAACTGGAGAGCAAACAGCTGCACATGACAACACACACCAGTGATGAAAGTAACAATAGCATGCAGGCACCTGACATGCATACAGAGAGAGGCTACATTGCGGTGGGAGAAGGAGCATTTCCAAGTTTCTACCACACAGCTCTCCACTTTTTTATTTTTTAATGTTTTTAAGCTCCATTCTGTTGCTGTGAAACCAGCTCCCGTCCTCTGGAGCTGAGGGCTTTTTAAGAGCAATTGTTCTGGAAGAAGCCGAAATCCTCCAACGACAGACAAACAAGTCGCAACAAGGCTGGAAGCAGTGTGGGCGGTTTGGAGAGGAAGCTCTTTTTCCGCTGCTGACTAGGTGAATTTCATGATTTCTTCATTTAAATATAGCCGCGCGGCGTTATGAAGAATCAACGACTCTCAAAAAGCCTGCCCTTTAAGCTGATGTGTTGCACAATAAGATGCACAAAGAAGCTATTTCAGGGCATTGTGACCTCTAAAGCTTAATTCAAGCACCAACACAACATCATCCTACATCCTGTCAGTCAGTGTGGCACACTTCCTGGTTTCCAGAAACCATGTGTCATAAAAAAGAAAACTCTGATGCAGCCACACAAGAGTGTAGCTTTTGTCTACACTGGCAGCCATGTCTATGGGCATCTTTTGTCACTTGTAGTTTTTTTTAGCCTTTGTCGTCTAACAGGCTGGAAAAGGCAAAGTGGTGTGTGTGTGTGTGTGTGTGTATGGTTTTGCATGTGTGGCGTGAGTGTGTGTGTGTGTGTCATAAACAGACACCCTTCACGCTTTGCAGCCTAGAAACAGGATAAAACTGTGAGTTAACCAGCAGTGCACTGACATTATCTCTTCTTTGCTGTCCTGGAATGCCAGCCTGCTGTGAAACTACGAAAAATATGACGTCCTGTCACACCACATAATGTGTGTTTGTGTGTGTGTGTATGTCTGTGTTTGTGTGTATGTGTATGAGCATGTGCCAGCTCAGGAAAGAAGGAGTGAATGTGGGTGTTTTGCTTTGTCTTCCTGATTTAAAGGCACAAGGCTAAGTGTGAATGTTTTGGTCTTAAATCTTTAAATACTTAAGACCATGAGGCTCAAAAGGACCATAAAATAATGTTCGTTCCAAAGAGGCATTTGAAAGAAAAGCAGAAAACACATTTTGCTGAAATTAAAATCCGCCAGTGAAACATTGCAAACATGTCGATGGGCGCCACTGGATTTACTTATTCTTCATCTTTGATCCATGAAAGATTCTCTTGTCCTCTTGCTTTCTATAAGTGGGCAAAACGCAGCCCAACTCTGGCTCTTGTGATGCCGATGTGTCTAACATCCATGACTCAAGAGGTCAGGCAGCCTGTCCGGACTGAGCATTAGGGGTTAAGGGGATGAAACCAAGTGTGAAATGTGAGAAGACAAGCCAACATGGTTTCTCAGGCAACAAATAGAAAGGCGACAAACATATCTCTGCGACTGTGAGGAACGAGAGGTATGTTCGGAAGAAAGACTGTCACGTCACCCATGATTCATACGAGAGCGAGATGGAAAAGGAATTAGAGTGGCTTTTTGAACCGGCTGAGTTTAGACATGTTAATCAGTAATAGCCTGTTGTACTTCAGACGGGAGGAGCGTGAGCGCTTTTGGTTTGTGTGCGTGCGTGTATGTGTGTGTGTGTGTGTGTGTGTGTGTCTGGCAAGTACAACGCCACTTGGACTTGAGCTGGTTGAGGCAAGAGAAAGCTCCAGACCAAGAGATAATCCATCTGGACTGTTTCCTTACAAAACATATGGAAAAATGCAGAAGCTTTTTTCTTCTCTTTTTTTCCTTTTCCACCCACAATAGCTATTAATATCTCACACAGAACATTTGCTCATGTCCTGCTAAGGACTGGAATTCCTGCTGAAACACAGTCATCTTGGAGGATTAGACAGAGGCGGTCAGGCATTTTCACACACTCACCCTATATTCTCTCTGTGCAAGGAGGAGTACATAGTCAAATAAACACACAAAGTGAATAATAGCTATGCTCTCAATATATTCTTCCGTCCCTCTCTTTCTCTCTCTTTCTCTCTCTCTCACACAGACACACACAGGAATTAGGTAAACTAAAGTGACGTAATCTGGTCCCTCAGACTCGACATGACTTATTCCGCTCAAGTTGTTTAAACAAAGATAGCCCTTTCTTTTTCCGCTTTGGAAATAATTCACTCTAAAATTGAGAAGGACCACTAAATAATCACAGCGACTACCTGACAGGAATTGTTCACAGCAGCGCCAAAAACCTGTGTTAAAATGACAGCGCTGTAAATTGTTTTAATTATAGCCGACACAGATAACAGCCTGTGGAAACATCAACCTTTTCTTCAAGCCCCCTGCAAGATCCAAACATACAGTATTCCCTGGAAAATGTGGTTTGTTTTGTGTGTGTAAGTGCGCGCGTGCGTGTGTGTGTGTGTGTGTGCACGCGCGTGTGAATACAATATTCATTTTGCTGCAGGAGGACAATCTATGCATAACAATGAGAGGCGCTAATGAAATCAGCCATCAACCTGCGATACATACATATTAAAGCAGGACCTCAGAGTGTCATTCGCTTAGTGCATCATTTGTTCCCACTCGTTTTTTTCTCTCTGCCACCTGACCTTTAGAGTATGTACCCCCTCCCTCACTTCGCCACGCTAAAAATAGGAAGTGTACCTGCAGTCCTGTGGCATTATGCATGCATGCGCGTGTGTTTATGCAGCAATGCACGGACATGACAATCCGTTTCAGGAATTAAAGTCGGGGATGATTTGTACACTTGGAGCAGGAAAGAAACACTCTTTCTCAGATTCGATTATAGACAACTCATGTTTGATCGTCCAAAGTTTGGTGATCTCAAACTGTCTTTTAAAAGATGACGTTCAGCATTACAAATGGAAACCACTGTCAGAGCTGCACCTTCACTATAATGTCATATCATCCCAGCTGCCAGGGAACGACGCTCCTCCCTTCCCTCTAAGCATGCTTCACAGCTCTGGTCTCTCTTTTCTCTCCCTCTCTCTCTCTCTCCCTCCCTCTAACCCCCACCCCCTTGCTGGCAGGGAAATGGATCCCTCCACCTGACAGTGGCCATTTTGAGCCTTCTCTCTCCTCTCCTCTCTCTACTCCTGCTTCCTGGTAAACAATGGGAGAGGGATAATTGATCAAACAGCCAGGGAACCCTCAGAGCAGGGGAAGGTCACCGCCCGCCAGCCCAGCTCACTAAGGAGGGGAGGAGAAGGAGGAGGAGGAGAAGGAGGGGAGGAGGAGATGTATGTGTGTCCATATGTGTTTGTGCATTTGTCTTTGGATTTATGTGTGTGTGTGTGTGTGTGTATGTGTTGCATCTCTTCATGTGTGTGACCACTTGTGAAAGGAAAAAAAAGTCAGAGGTAGAGTAAGACAGAAAGTGGTGTGTGTGGTGTGTGTGTGTGTGTATAAGTGTGTGTTATGTGTGTGAGTGAGGTGGTGGTTGGGGGGGGGGGTCTCTCTGACGCTCTTGAGCTGCCATTTTTCTTCCCTGACAAAGACTCCATCTGCCACAGAGCCATTTGCTGCCTCCCGAGTCGGCAGAGCATTCCGCACGCCGTGTTCACCTTGATGTCACCTCTACACAGCTCACGCCTTGCTGACGCTATGCAGGCACACTCACATACACACACACACACACACACACACCCATACACACTTAAACACACATCAACACATTCCTTGTCCTCTGGCATAAGCGCAGAAGTATATGCTCATTGTCTCCCACCAACAAACACACACTTTCAGTTTGTGTCATACTGTTTCTGTACACTCTCTAACAAACACACACAAACACCTACACACATACTGAGTGTGTATGTGTCTAGGCAGCGGCCCTCCCTCTCCTCTTCATGGCTGATATCACTGTGCAACCATCAGCGCTGTGCATTGTGGGAGTGTCTGTTGGGGCAGAGAGACGCGACAGGGGCTGAGGGATTCACACGCCTCTGAAAGACAGCCAGAGGGGGAGAGAGGGAGAGTGAGTGAGAGAGAGAGAGAGAGAGAGAGAGAGAGAGAGAGGGAGAGGGAGAGGGAGAGGGAGAGAGGCGAGAGGGGAGGGAGGTAAGAAAGAGAGAGAGATACGAAGGGGGCCGGTAACTGGAAATGAGAGATGGCATTTTAAAGAGGAAGCTGAATTTCACCTGCAATTACCGTAGCTCCGGGGCACATGGCTCGGTTAAGAGACATTTCATTCCAAAGCCACCGCGTCTAGCTGCCGCACTGAGCCCTGAGAGGCGCATAAAGAAGGAGGGAGAGAGAAAATAGAGCGCTGGAAAACTCTCCTCTGCCCAAGATGGCCCTCAGCAGATGCGGCGATGAAAGAGAGGAGGCAGCCAGGGATGTAACTGGTAAATGAAACCCAGCAGAAAAAGCTTGAGAGAGGGGATGACGGAAGGAGAGGAGAAGAAGAAAGGCAAGGAAAGGAAAGAAGGACAGATAAAGAGACAGAGGAAAGAAAAAGGGTATCTCATTCAGCAGGCCCCAACTTGGCCATCTGCACACCAGACCAGACAGCTGAACAGGGCCTCAGAGAGCACACAAACACACACACAAATGCACACACATGCATGCACATGGTCACGCACTGAGCAGAGAGCAAATAAAATCCAATAAACACAGATCCTCACTCTCTCACACAGTTAAGTACAGGGAAAGCTGAATGTGTTTAATGATTAATATCATTCTTAGTATTCGTTCTCCTCTTTCGATGAAACCTTGCACTCTCTCCCTCTCTCTCAGAACTCTAAATGGAGCTGTAATGGTTTCCCCGAGGCTCAATGTCCTGGCTAGTTTCACCAGGCACACCGCTGTGTTTCATAGGAGAAGTGCGACTGCACAAATACAGTAATGAGCCCTCGCTGGGAGCTGGGGGCCTCCTGGCACTGCTAATGGCTCCTCTGGACTGCAGCTGTATCCAGGTTACAACCTGGCCTGGCTGACAGGCCCAGTAGGGACAAAACGATTCTCAGCAACAGGCAAGCATTGTAGTCTGACAACCAGGTCCATCGCACACTATGTGTTTCTTGGATGGGGTTTGAAGCGGGAGAGGGGGAGAGAAGATCTGGGGGACGGGGGGAGTATGGGGGTTGAGGATGTCATGAGACAAGAGGCCATGGATAGAGACAGAGATGAGGGATACAGAGAGTTGAGGAGATGTGGTTTGGCCATAAATGTAGCAGATAGACCCAATAAACCAGAAGGCTCTCAGAGGGCAACAGCTGGTTATGGGTGAGAGAGGTGAGTGAGTGTACATGTGAGTGTGTGGTCAGCTTAATTATCTCCATAAAAGGAACCCTGCAACACTTAACATGCATGCAAAAAAAAGAAGAGCTAAGAAACAATAAAAGCTTTCTGCTGTTCTTTTGAATGATTATTAAACGATTATAAAAATAGTAATAGTCATATTAACAAATATTTTTAATAGGGGTTTAAAGAAAATGAACGTTTGCGTTGGATTTACACAGCAGTAAAAACAGCAATAAGAGCAAACATAAAAGACAAAATGTGATTGCAGATGAGCAGTTTTTAACCCTTAAGCTCGATAAGCCCTGTGACACATCGGGTATTATGAACTTATGTCACCTAATTTAGGGTTTATCGATGCAATACAACTTCATTTCAGTGAAATCAAAAGGATTCAACAGCAAAAATGTCCTTGAGGATTGCAGATTATCTTAAATTCTCTACCAACAGCATACCTAAGATGCAATATCTTACACAGAGTGAGCACTGAGTGATCTGCAGGTAGTTAAGTGAGGGCAAGTGATGTCGAAAGGCTTGATCATCTCTTGTTTTCAAACCTAACATCCAAATAGGCATTAGGGCTGACTCCAAGGAGCTCAGATTGCAATCCTGTTTGTGTGCAGCTAAAAGGTTTGTGATGTATGGGGTTTAAAGGTCCACTCCTAATGTTTCATAGATTACTGGCATGCAATTATGTTACATTATGACACCCAAAACTCGGCATTGTGTCCAGCATCTCCTTTCTACAACAAACATATGTCCACGCACACACACAGAGACACACACACACATGCACACACACACACACACACACACAGACCTCTTTCTTTGTTGCCCTGTATGAGAAAGCTCACAGCTTGGGTTCTTTAGCTTCTGTTTTGTCTGGCCCTCCTTTCAAAATGGCCCCCTCATGACCATGCACATTATCGTGCAGGCAGGCAGCCCCCAAGTGGACTGAGGCTCCCTGGGTGCGAGCAGTGATTCATGGCACAAGGGTCTGTAAAAGAGCAGCTTCACCCCCACGCTGAAGCCCTTCATTGGGACAAGGAGGCTGTTTTGCAGTGGGGGTAATTCAAAAGTCTAGCTAGAGGACTGAACCATGTTGAGACCACGAGGGCCTGGGGAGTCAGGAGGGGAACGGTCAGTGTTTTTTCTTCTGTGTGCGCAGAGTAAAAGAGACAAGGATGGGTAAGCCCAAACTAATGCTGGAGTGTGTCTGTTGAATCCACACAGCTCCCTATCCCGAGGACAATCTCCCGGCAGCTTTTTTTAACAATCTTAGCTCCGAGGCAAGTACAAAGTACTAAATGTTTAGGCGTTATCTCTACCACTTCCCCAATCTTAGAGAGCACCGGTTTAAAGGGCACTGGGAGAGAGAAAAAAAGAGAGACACAGTGAGAAACAAAAGAGGGCTCATGAATAAGAACTGAAAAATGATAGTAGTTGCTAGGATTGATGAAACCCTATTCAAGGTTTTGTGACAGGCTGTGAGACACACAAATTCCTTCCCCTCAGGCTAGAAGGTGTAATTTCCCCTTACACTGTCACAAGAGCCATGTAAAGAATTATCCGTAGGCCAACGACTGACTGCTTCAAAGTAATCTGTTATGTACGTCTATCTATCTATCTATCCATATGCCTATCTATCTATCTATCTATCTATCTATCTATATTGCAGAATGAGACACTCAGAATAGAAACACTGGCATGCTGCTCCGTTGTAACACACAGTGGGATGCGGATGGAAATGCTGGCCCCACAGGACACACACGTACACACACACACACACACACACTTACACACACTTACACTTACACACACATAAAGAGCGGACTGCTGTGGGGCTGACGCAAGACTATCTCTGTCTCACGTGTCTCTCCCCTACGGCCGCCCGCTGCTCCTGACCTTCGAGATGTTTTTCTCTCTCCTTCTCCCTCTCCCTTTATTCCTCTCTATTTCACACTCACACAACACACACACACACACTTACACACACACAGACTCTTTTCTGAACACCTCCCAGCCACTCAGTATTTTGTCATTAAAAGGCATTGCATTTCAAGCTCGGATCAAGCAGATGGGGCTGCGTAAGAGTTGCTGCTCTTTCACGCAGCACCTTGGCTTAAGCACAGAGAGTCGGCATGCATTTCCACGGTCTCTCCCCTTAAATGCATGCGCACAAAATACACTTGTGAACACAGACACACACACATGCTCACAACCTTCCTGGAACTAGAGAATCAGCTCTGTTGTGGATAGCTGATTCATGGGGGTAGTGAGCAGTTGAATACTTTCGGACATGCTCAGCAGAGCAACAGTGCTAAACAACAGAGTGAGGAATCATCCGGTTATCCTCATACATTTATTAGTCCTTTCTACGGACCAGACTTGAGAGGCAAAACACTGACAAAGACTCTCACACAAAGTTCAACGGGTTCATAATACACACTATCACACTCTCTCTCTGTCTCTCTCTCTTGCATACACACACATGCGAAACATAAGTGAATGTAATATAATTATATCTTCGTGCCATTAGACACATTTCTCTGTCTTTCTTTCATTTTCTCAACATTTGCATATTCCTTTGGGTGTTTGAGTTGAGCAGCTCTTTCCTTTTTCCTTCTCTTGTCTTCCAAGCAACAAATGTCAGCTAATTACACCATGGCTGTTTGGATGAGATCCATCTTTCCCTGTGCTCTGCTGTGCGTGCTCTCTATGGGGCTGCAGGAAAAGTCAGGCAGCCAACACACCAGTTAGAAACAGCCAACCATGGATGGGGGGGGGGGGGTGATCTACAAGGCGACACCCCCTAGAAATTGATTCCCCAAGAGAGGACTCATCAATACTTATCACAAATGATACAAGCAGCTCGCTCAAACCTGCGGGGGATGTAATGTATCATTCACAGCCGGAGATGAAGCGGTAACGGTTCGACCAGATAGAATCAGGTCTGCTGACACACAAGGCTAAAGAGACGGTCACACAGACAGAACAGGTATTTCAGTTAAAACCTTTTTTATAAAAGATCCCATTTGATCTGATGACACACACGCACGCACACACGGACGCACTCACAGGTACAAGGCCATCAAGTCAGGCAAGAGGGAAAAGTGCAAGTCATTGTCTGTGTGTGCAACAACAAACTGCCACCTTGGTGTGTGTGAAGTGAAGCCTTGAGGACGCAGCCGCGCCCCTGAGCATAGAGAGCTCTCACACAGAGACGGAGTGAGAAAACAGAGAAAAGGAAAGAGAGACAGAAGGAAGGGGATGGAGAGGAGCAGACTCAGGCTGCATATACACATAAACAACTGAACACACTGCACTGTAGGGCACAGTTAACAACCATTTACATTCAGCGTTGGCTCAGAACAGATAGCAAACTCAACGGATGTTTATTAGGCACCACGTTTCAGACAAATATTCTGATTAAAATGGGAGAAATCTAATTAATTGCTTGATTCACTGAATGAACCCCGAATTTGTAATGTAATCATAACAACTGCTTTTCAAGGGGCTCTTGTTAAATTTAATTGGGGGAGAAAAAAACATCCTCTTTCACTGAATGAATGAAAATCAAATTAGGCCTGAAACTGGAGGAGTCTGCAAGTTTGTTCTGGCGTGCCATAGGAGGGGGAAAAAAAAGATGTAATAGCAGAAGTGTGTGACAATATGTATTTTAAAAAGTCCTGCATCAACTCTTTTGTAGCATGGGAACACAGACCAGGGGCAAAGAGTAAAAAGGAGGAGGAGTGAAGCTCTGTAGCATACTCACTGTTAGAGATGTCTTCAGCTCTTTGACATAACTGCTGCAACACCTGGAGAAAAAGCAGAAACAAAAGATGTGGTTCAGGTTATAAATATCATCTAAGTCAGAAGAATAAGGTGTTTTTTTTCATACTGTGCTTTGATTTATATGATAATGAAACTGTTCGTTTATATGTAGTATTGCGATAATGCTGGAAGTTTTCCTTTTGAGAGGGGGATGAAAAAGCCGAAACCACATGAATATCTAAGTTACATTTACCAAACCTAGTTTTTTGGGATTTTCAAACACATCAAACAAAAAAAAAGAACACAGTGATGTCTGAAAGGCAGCTGTGGCTTCGCAAACTCACACACACACCAACAAAAAGATATTCATACACACAAAAAGTCTCTTTCTCCCTGAGCTCTTTCTTGCAAAACCTGTTTGTTAGAAATGGATCTAGACACTGGAGCGTTGAGTGTGAGGATATTTTCCCCAAACACAAGACAGTTCTTGCAGAGAACCAAGCCTTACCAGCGTTCTCACGCCCATCTCACATGCATTGTCTCTGAGGCCCTCCTGCGCTCTTACAGCCTGAGCCTAATCTAAACGGCTCACTATAACAGACGCCACCCTGTAACATACTACAAAAAACAAACAGATTTTACAGCTTTTATTCGTGTTAATATACACTTATACCGCAACACAAATAATGTCTGACTCATGCAAAACTCTGAGGAAGAGTTCTCAGCGACAACTTTCAGTTATAACTTGTGTCAGCATGATTAGATGGTATCAAAAAAACAGTACTTTCAGGCCTCTTCACAAACATGCGCAGAGGCACAGAGAAGCAGCCTCTTATAGACATTTCCAGACACACAAACAGTGTTATTGCATGTGTGGGTAGCTATCTAACAAGGTCTTATTGACAGTAAACACATCCATCTGGTCAACAGCAATGTTAGAAACAAGTTTTTCAGACTCGTTATCATCATGAGTGTGATTAAATATTATTTCTACATTTGAGTCAAGCTCATAGATCCTGTTTTCTCTGCTGTTTTTAAGTAATTCATGTTGTAAATGTCACTTGAAGGAATGACTCACAGTATAACGAGAACATACATGGGTATATTTGCAGCTTATGAGCCTAAGTGATTTTGTCTTTCTAGATGCCCCGCAGTCATGTCAAAGTCTATGACACATAATGCAACGCACATCTGTCATTACAGCTCAATTTTATCACAGGACAGAAATCACCTCGACTGGCGGTGTTGATAATACCCACACTCATTGAACTGCAATGGTTCCCCTCATTATCTACACTCTCACACAGACAGACAAACACACACACGTACAGACTGCAGACACACACAAATACTTTGATAACTCATCGCAGTGATAATGATAACAGAGAGCCAGGTAGGCTGAATTCATCTTCAGCTTTTTCATAAAGGCCTATTAGTGGATGATTAAAGGATCTCTGCTCATAGGGCTTCAGCACAGAAAATGATTTGCCAGCCATGAGGCAGGTGAATTACACTGGATAAGAAAGCCAGTGCTGTCTGCCATCATTTGCCTGACTGGGAATCAGGCTGTTAGTCTATTAACCTCATTTTGCTGTAAGATCTACTTAGTTTAACATCAATGGCAGATGGATAAAATATCATAAAAACATTACATTTTTCCACATACTTAATGCCAGTAACCTCCTTTATCAATGCAAACTCCCAATTAGCCATGTAAGTATGACAGGTATGGGAGAAATTTCAACTATTCATTATTAACATATTTTTACATATCATTTTCTCATCTGTTGGTCATCTGTTGCTAAAAAAAAAGTCACAAAAACGTTTAAGTCATTACATCAGCCTAAGATCATGTCATCGAATACCCTTTTTTAAGGCTAAACCAAGAAAATAATCATACTCACTAATAGATTAAACCAGTTATCACAAAAAGGGATTCAAACCTTGATTGATTAATCAAGTGATCAACTAAAACGATCTTTTTCAGCTCCACGTATAAAAGAATTTGAAAGGACAGCTATCATCAAACTGAGCAGGGCCCGGTGCCAACTCTCAAATTTGTTGCCAGGCTTTGAACAAGGTAACAGCTTTTGGTTGCCAAACCTGGAAATACAGTTGTCTTTGTAGCTCACCTTATATTTTGATTAACTAGGATGGTACACTTGAATGTAATGTCTTCAGTAATGTCTGATCTAACTTTATTTTACAGGAAAGAGTCAGATTTCAATGGGGAATTTGAATCTTTAGAGTTGCCTTTTTGAAAGTCCCAATCCGATCGTTTTTGTTTTGTTTTTTCCTTTTTTTTTTACCAATAAAAGTGTTCTCAGTGGTCTTTAAATTGTGATTAAGTTTTTACCAAAAATCGCGTTACCTGTGTCATTTTCGAGGGCTTATCTTCTGCAGAGCTCCAGTAAATCAATAGCAGTTCGCCTCTGAGTCGTGGGCGGACACAGCGCTAATCTGCACAATCTTTTACACGTTAGCTTGCAGCCTAACATTGTCGGTGTAGTAGAAGTGGCAGGTAACATGGGAGATATTCAGCTCTCGGACACTAACATCTTTAGGGACATGATGAAAGTTAATATCATTGTTAGCTTTCCTACGAGCATTGCAATCCGCTAACGTACACGGTTGTTCCGCGATCGTCCTCTGTATTTCTCCTCTATATGTAGAGTGTGATCCCACTGGATCCGGAACGGCTCCGACCCACTCCGGACAGGTGTTATGCCGAAGAATGCACCCCTGCTGTAGAAAGCACCCCTTGACGGAAGCGCGGTTGGAAGAACACAACAAAGCGAAATAATCCTAGTTTTCCTTACTATTGGATAGATTCAAAAGCAAATGCCTGTAATGATTCGCCGAAAACAATAGCCCTCTGACTGAGAATGTTTGCGGTCCCGAATATATAATGTTCTCTACCGTGACAGCTTACTGTACACCTCTATGTATGCATTTTTGAGACATAAACACAGAACGAAAGTTTGCTGCTCCATTTGACGTGTTGTCATGATCCAATATTTGTGTTTTTTTATATATATTATATAATAATAATAATATTCCTCCACTTTAAGAAGCTAATGAGTGGATTGGCGGCAGGGGGTGCATTCTACGGCATAACACCGGCAGGCGGTTCATATCCGCAAGCATACAGCGTCCGGATCCGAACCGCCGCCGTCGGAGAAGCGCTCGCGAGAATACGGTATTTCTCGCGAGACTGCACGAGATCTCACGAGTTCTCGCGTGTTTCTCCGGGAGTCATAAAATGAGATCCACCGATTGGTGCATATGAACGGCGGTGTATTTAGACCCATATTTCTGACCTCCCTATCATCAAGTTAAAAACAGTTCAATGGAATGACTTTATTTTATTTTCAAAATTAACTGTATATTTTACTCTGTAACTGCATACAACTTCGCTGCTGCCGTGCTGTGCTACACTGAATTGATGCACCTCAGTATATCTGATCTGGCCACCACCAGGTTCTGTGGAATCACTCACAATGATTATAGTGCTTGCATATTTGATCCGCCTGCCGTGCCGAAGGGGAGCAGAGCCGTTCCGGAGCCTGTGGGTTTTGCCCGTAAGTATCCTAGCTTGCTCACTTCCTTTTGTGTCACTTATGACTTTTGCCCTTTTTAATTTAAGACAAATATTGCATTTATGTCCCCACTAAATGTTTTTGAATATCTCTTGTTATTTGTTACTTTTGCTCTGAGGCAGCAAATGATTTTTTTTTTGTTACGCCTGATCTTGAGACAAACTTTGTGTTGTACTGAGTGTGGTTTGGCTAAGTGCCGATACCATAGCTGTCCAATACAATCTCCATGGTTGAACGCAGAACAAACACATGGCAAACTTTACTTAGATTAGGCCGTGATTGTAATGATGGCTACAGCAGAGAGGGATGGCAATTCTCCACTAAACACCCATGGCCATATCTTAAGCCCATGTATGAGTTCTTTTAAATGATAAACATTAGCATCAATTTCAATATTAACTCTGTTTATCACACACCAACTTCCCCACAGCCTACAAAGACTCATCCAGACAGAGAAAGGATGCCAAGTTATATAGATAAATGTTTGTTTTAATTCAGAAGGAACATTTCAAACAAAGTTATCTTTGATTGTACTTGCTTAGTTGCAGCTTTTGTTCAATGGTTGGTTTTTGTCATTGTTCTTATTTTGGAGCTAAAAATCAGGAGATCGGCTGTATGCCAGTTCAAAAAGATTAACCAGTATTTTCTACATATATGTAATGTAGCAGAATGTACAGTCATGTATTCTTGACTGCAGTTGCATTTTATGAAAATTCAACATTTTTTTAATCCTTAAATGTTCCCAAAGAAAATACTCCAGTACTTTATTAATGTCATTTGTCATGTTTTGATTGCCACCTACTGAAATCCATGAGTCAGTTGCCAATTTCTCAAAGTGCACCGCAATGGCAACCTTGAAACTGATCATTTTTAGGACATTAGAGGAATAAAACAGAACGAATAATGTCACTCTATCATTAAAATTTCAGTAGGACTTTTACCTGAGAAACAATGGGTGATAATGTTTGTGGGAGTTACACAAAGCTCTCTGAAGTGGTACAACAAATTCCTGTCCTGAGTTATGTTAGTGAACTTATTAATTTTGTGTAACAATCAAATGTCTTTTTTTTATAACAGCCATCATAACTGGTAATACCCTAAAAGGCAAAAACACACACACAGGCAAACTGAAAAAAGGAAAAACAGGAACTATTTGCAAAGTTATAATTACCCGCTTTTACACTCCAGGCAAGTTTACACACGGGCAGAGTACAACCTAACTGTTATGATGTCTCACTGAATTGTCTTGTTTGGTTTCCTTAATCTACCCCCCTTTCCTCAGCTACACAGATGTTGACTTAACTTCAGGAATCAAACAGCAGCTCTGAGGCATCTAAACAGGGTTAAAAACAGGGGTCAGACTTTTGTACCAGCGACAGCGAGAGAGACAAGAGAGAAAGATAGAGAAAGAAAGAAGAAGAAAGGTCACACCATGTTTCATGCGAACCCTCTGCGCAAAAGAAAATCCAAAAGAAAAAAAAACTGTTGGTATTTGAGCAAAGAAAACAAGTGTACTCTGAAAGTACACATATTGAGATTGGCCTAAAATCCCTGGCTTTTGAATATTTGATGCCTTGTTAGAAGAGCGACACTGGTGAGGTGTTTGTCTCTGTTGTCTCAGTTGATCTCTTGCACACGGGGCCCTGTGGGAGTGAGCGAGCGAGACTTGGCCACAGACATTTTCCTGAAGCCCCCAGAACAAAACAGGCAAGTCTTGACAGTCTGTCCGCCACCGAGTCGTCACACAATCAGTTGCAGGAAACCAATCCCTAAATAGCAGTGATTCATCTCTTCATCACACACAATGCCAGTACACAGTGCACAAAGAAGCTCTCTCTTCCTCTCTCTCTCTCTCCCCCTCTCTCTCTCTCTCTCTCTGTCTTACCCTATCTGTCTCAACCCCTTCCCCCCAGTGTGGTCTCTCATGCTGCTTAAAAATAAGTGCTTCTCCCAGCTTTCTTTGCCCTGTGATTTACTGGCAGTGTTTAACTGCAGGGCAGCATCTTTTATTGTTACATGATCTGGGGCTGAAAGCTGACAAAATGGAATCTCTGTGCGAGTACCTTTGTATGTGAGTAAGTGTATGTTCAGGGCGAAGTAAGGAGCGGGTGGAGGAATAAAGAACTTTGTGTGAGAAACGTTAGTGCAATTCAAATCCCTCCCAGCCTCCTGGTGCTGTGTTGTGTGTGTGTGTTTGTCATTCCACTAAATGGTTTCTTCCTTGACTTGATGGAGCAAGTGGCATCTCAAGGGAACGGGTTACACCGCACACACACAAAGTAAAGCGCTTTGAGACTGGCGAAAAGCTCAGAACATTAGTGCAATCCATTTGTGAGAGGTGCAATATATATAAATATATATATGAAATACCAGGCAGGATTGTGTGCATCTGTCTTTTTGTCCGTGTATGTACTCATGTTTTTGTGTTGCCATGATAACTCTTCTCTTAATGGCAGAGAGCCCGTTGCCGCATTAGCCAATACACTTCCTTTTTCTTTTGAGAGATATATCCCCATTCAGAGATGCAGTCAATCTGGCCTTGTTGTATGGGGACTGTCCACTGTTGCATCTGATAAAAAACTGTGCCAACACCAATAGAAGAACTGAAAATGTCACTGGTAAAACTCAGTTTTTATGATTGGTAGCTGCAAGTAAATCAGTCTAAGCCACAATCTGGAACAGTCATTTTTTGGCTCTGTAAAGAAATGACCTTAACAAGAGCAGCTTTTATAAGAAGGATCTTTAGCAACTTAAGTGATGAACACATAACAAAATGAATGCACTGCAAGCAAACATTTACACCTGAGAGACAGTTCAAGGAGAAAACAGTGTTCCCATGATGCTTTGGTGAACACAGCATAACCAAATAAGCTGCAAGCTAATAAGCCACCAGTACTCGCTTAGCTTAAGTCTTGCTAGGTTATGAAACCTTCAGTGTTGACTATGTAAGAGGTTTAAATAAAAGCCAATGTTACTACACAAATAAGTGTTTAAAATGCAATTCAATTCCCTTTTTGGTCATCTAGAAACTTACAACGGTGTGACCTAAACCAGCAGCTTTCCTTACCCTACCACATGCATTTAAAAAGAATATGGTATGTTACCAAGAAATTAAACTTTGTGGAGTACTGGTTTGATGGAAAACATTCCTAAACTTTGGACAACAGGTGACTAGGGGAGATGAGTCTTGAACTGAAGGCAGTGGGCCTGTACCTCACAACTCTCAGCATTAATGTAGACTGAGCTGAACTACTGTAATAGTTGCTAGCAGGATTGCAAACAGATTTTGCAAGAAAAGGCTACTCGACTTCTCAGAAACGGCATGCTCTGGGTTTGCTGACCCAAGGAAATAATTGTGCAGGAAGAAAGTTTTACAATTTTTCTCTTTTGGAGGCCCAAAACAGACTGCATCAAGGCGCAATTCATACCCTAGATTTTACAGTTAAGTAGGTAAAAAAGCATCAATACAGTGGCTTCATATTAAATGTTACAGTCCTCACACAATCAACAGCACACATAGGACAAGGAAAACTTTCAAGAGGTCCACTCTAAACTACATTGTCACTTATTCCTAGCCTATGCATACTATACAATGCAATGAGATTTTGTCGTGATTTAGCACTGAAAGAATAAGTTGATTGAATTTAAAGTAAATTATCTCAAGTATTTCGAATAAAGAAGTTTTATCACACTCATTCTTTGTATTTGTTCAACACATACCCAACCAAAGTCTGGCCAACAAAAAAAAAAAATTATCAATCACATCTATAAAAGTCAGTTATTGTATGTTCCTCTGTTAAATTTGTTTAGATTATGGTACAGTATGGTACAGTACAAATTCAAGCAGGAAAAAAAAAATCAGAACAACTACAACTGAAGCGATAGTAAGAGTCCAGTATGCAACCAGATCATCACCGGTGGATAATCAGAGTTTTCACAGGCCCGTACAACAGGTTCAGAGTATCGTTACTGCCCTGATGATCCATCAAGATGATGTGTGAAGGTCAGAGTAGCCGTGACCAACACAGCTGTCACATCTCCTCCCAGCACCCTCTTGGCTAACTGGCCTTCCAAAACACTCAGCACAAAACACGGCCAACTGGGGGAAGAACCGGGGCCAAGGCCAACAGAACAAGCCTGTAACCCCGACCAGGCTTGTATCATGATTACATTAACATTATTGACCCTCCTTACAATCACACAAGATGTGTTTAAAACCCAAAGCAGGGCAGTACGTTGAAACTCTGACAAGAAAACTGCTGGCATACTCTACAAGATGACTTCTATTAGGGTTGGCTTTCGAATTTTAATTCAACACCCACTGTAGACACAGTTTTAAATGACTACCAGCTCTGGTGTGTGAGCGGAAAATGCTACAGTGGAGCTGTGTGGAGAGCAGATGTGAATCCACTTTGATTTCAATGCCTGCCTGTGTGTGTGCAGCTTCTATTAAATGGATCTGCTGTCTCCCTGATCAAGGGAGTCAATAAAGGGCCAGTCCTGTCAAACCCTCGGGGGTGAGTGTGTACGCACATATGTGCCCGTGAGTGTGTGGCCATGTGTCTATGTGTGTGTGTGTGTGCGCGCGTGTGTGTTATGGACAGAATCTGAAGTACTCTGACAGGTGAGTGATTGAGTGCTTTCATTTCCCTGCAGCGACAGCTAGACGTGCACACACAGACACATATAGTTCAACCGCACGCTTTCACACACATGTACACTCGCTGGAGGAGGGATTGAGGGAGAGGAAGAGAGAGAGAGAGAGTGAGAGCTGTTGTTTCCTAAAGGATGCTGCTCCTGCCTGCATGCTTAAATTAGCTCTAAATGTTTGGATTACACACGGGAGCTCTCACAGAGGATTTAGCAGCCATAGCCTGGAGTCCGCGGGGTGTGCGAATGTTTCCATCTACTTCCAAACACACAAGCGCACACAAACACACAAGAAGAGGCCTTCTGCGGGATCACTAACACATGTCACCCCTGTTCTGTAAGCCCTCTGAAGAAATAACATAAGTTGCATCCATGTTAGTCAGCCAAAAGATGTGGAGATGTTAGCAATTTAAAAGCAACATGCACCTCTTTCATTCATCAGGTTCCTGCTCTGTGGAAGACAGCATTTCAGCATTACACTTGTTTAATAGTGCTGTCTTGGCTTTGGCTGGTGGGGGAGGAAAGGATATGCTCGCAGACGTAGAGACAGGCAAGAGAAAGGAAAAAGAAAAGGAGAAGGAGAATGAAGGGAGGTCAGCGCCCCCAGTCTCAGATAAAGGCCCGCTCCCTCCCTTCTGCCTCGGCTTTTCGAAGCCCCTGCCAGGATCGAGAGGCGTCTCACGTTACAGCTGTCTCTCAGTGTCATCGTTCAGTAAGAGAGAGCACAGGCAAGAGAGATAGAGAGAGAGAGAGACAGACTGTGTTAGAGAGAGACAGACAGAGACAAGCAGGGAAAGCGGGACAATGCCACAGACTGAGCGAGGTTTAGCTTTAGTAACTGGACAAGTGAAGAAGAACAGCAGCAGGTTGAGCTGGATGAGGAAACTCCAGGGGTTATAAGTAATCGTCACCAAACATACATTTTCACCACAGTATGAAAGGGTTTCCAAATCACTTGAATGTGCTTTGACCTTTTCAAGACAAATGATTTGAAAACGTAGTGTGAACAGAGCTAGTCAGATCATTTCCTTTACACCACCTGGGACTAAGTGAACACATTTCCGAAGAAGAAAAGGAGGAATTAATTTTTTACTACCTTATTTTGCGTCTGGTGAGAAAAGAGAAAGAGAAACACTGGCAGGGAGATAGATGGTAATGACTACGTGTTATAGGGCTTCTGTGGATTAGGCATCATTCTCTACACATGACTTTCCATTTTTAAACTTAAAAAGCTAAAAACAGCAGCATGTCCCAGGTCCAGTAGTGACTAATCCAATGACTGCCAGTACTGCAGCCTGTCCTGGGATACAAGGTAAGGCCAGGCAGGTTAGTACTGGGCAAAGTTAAGACTCCAGGTTCACGCTCCTTTTTTTTAGATAGAGACTATATGGAGAAATTGCTGCTGTATAAGCAGTTTTTTTACTCCAATCTGTAGCTCTTACACAGCCGACACAGTAAGAGCTGATTGTACCAGCATGATTTATATGAAACATGGCTCGGTACAAATATGCAAAAAGCTACTGCACTGTGCAAAACTGCTTTCCTATTTGTTTTCCTCTATCCTTGTCATTTCTCATGGCATTCTGTAGGAGTTAAATATTTAAAATTCTGGCTTAGCTTGGAGCCGTCTTTGCCAGCACAGCTAAAATAAAAAGCCTTTGTGGCAGCAGTGACCAGATTTTAAATGCTGAAGAAGATCAATAAATGGGGGCTGTCGAGGCGCAATCTCATGCATTTGTGTGTGTCTGTGTGTGTGTATATATGTGTGTGTGTTTGAGAGCCCTGTCCCTATGCGTAAATGCCTGTGTTCTGTCAGAAAGGCTGTGTAGATGTGCGAGTATGTGTGTGTGTCTACGTGCATCCACACACCCACCTAGGCTTACAGCTCCCCTGCCTGCTACAAGCTATTCTATAGTATCATCAAGAACCCCACTGACCCAGAAGGCACGCCAATAGAGAAACCAATATCATTCCCATTCCCACATCCCAAACCTTCTTCCTATTTCTTTTCCATTCCAGTATCCTTTTCTCATCTGAGCACATGCAGCCAGCGTGAGTGTATCTAGAGAAAAGTGTAAATGCAGGCCCCCCCGCTACAGATTGAGAATGTCAAGGTTTGGTAAATATCAAGCTAAATAGCAGGTTTTCCAGACCTGGATGTCATTTTCATAAACTTGTTTCTGCAGAAATAAAATGATGGACAACTATACAAAACTAAAAAGGAAAGGAGAAAAACTATACTGCACATTTTGTCTTTATTTTCAACATTGTAATATTTCCTCTAAACCACTCAAGATAGTCTGAATGTCTCTCATTCACGGAGCAACATAGCACTAATGAGGATTCCTTTTAAGACATTCAAGACAAAATTTTGTTGCAAGGTCTCTGGTCTTCTGTTTTCATAAAGAACATGTTGAATGGATGCTTTCAGCTCGCATAGACTGATCACCTTCTTTGCCACATGAATATGTGATGGAGACAAACAGTGAATTGTGAGGACTTGTATGCAGGCTGCTCTATGGCGCTCACAAAACATGAAAGTACATCTGTATTTCCACCTTCTCACTAATGTACAAAACAAAACAAAAACAGCCCTGAAGTGGAAAAATCATCAGGACCTTTTGAGACTTCATTAAAAGAAACTAGCCTGGACTTTCCGAACAAGGCATCTCTCTTTGGAGGGAGAAAATCAACCTTTTCACCTTGCTGGTGGAAAAACAGGCATCCCAACGAGACAGAGCATGCACAAACAACCTTGACTTTCATCAAGGAAATTCTCACATTGAATGATAAATAGAGGCCCAGGGGACGAGCAGCAAAGAAGCAGCTTATCGCCTTTCCCTCCCAAATTTGGCCGCTCTGTCTTCCGTCTCCTGAAAGTCGACACGGGGTGACCTGCATGCACTTTACACTGATTATTGTTTAGTAATTAATCTACCATATGAAATCCATGCAGAAATGCAGAGAAATAAATGGAGTGTTGGGCTGTAAATCTTCATTAACAGTTGAAGATGGTTAATTTGTTCTTACAGCAGGGAGCATATGTTGCCCTTTCTCATTAGCTTCTCTTTGAAAATAAAGCTGTATTTCTCATTGTGCAGACACAGGCAGATTTATGCTCAAAGATAAGCAGGTTGTGTGACACGGTTACTTTAAAAGTCACTGTCTGAGCATGCACTTTAGACAATCATTGTGTACCCTGATGCTTATCAGAACATCCAGTGAACAGGCAGTGACACTAAAATAGTAAGGTAACATAAGGTTAGGTAGATCATCTGAGAGCTAACCAACTTTCCAGCTGAGAGGACATTAACCTGCAAGGCCCTGTAAACACGTATCAATACGTGAGCTGCCTGCATGGGCCTGTAAACACACCACATAAAACTGAGGGCCCAAACAGATACACAGAAGCACTGATTTCATCTGCAACAATAAGAGGCATTATCAATCTAATGCCCAGAAGCTTTCAGCAATTTTGCTAAAACACCACTTCTTCTCAAAAGGCCATTAGTGGTGATAGGATTAATGTCTGTATCAAAAGAATCTGATCCAAGTCCTCGGATTCTTGCTATGTTCTGTCCTTTGTCGTTATTGTTTTCTGCATGTGCGCATGAACAGTTATGCAAATGGCTGACCGTTGAAGAAAGGCTTGGGGAGAACGGGTGATCCGGTCTCTGTCTAATGTTCAGTTCTTGAACTGTTTCATTATCACAGAGCAGACTTTTACTTCCTCTTTGTATTTCATGGCTCTTTGACAGGGTTCCCAGGTGGCTATTTTTATCAATCAATTGTAGGTCTAATCAGAGAAATCGGTCTAAATATAAGCTACTTACGTCAGTTGTTGTGTACTATTTGAGTTAAAAGTTATGCACTGACTGAGTCATTCGCACTTCATTTAGCCCACAATTAGCTCAAGTTCAAATAAATTGTCGATATCAGTTAAATCACTCTCTGGCCATGCCTAAAGCATATATCTTTAAATGTATGATGTCACAAAAATACTGTAGCCACGGCAAAAGGTTGTAGAGTCAGTGATAAGCCTTATCTGCAACAAACTCAGTTATTAATGCTCAATGTTGAAATATTTATTAGGATTTCTGAACAGAGATCCTTTTTAAGACACTTCTTTAAAAATGAGACGTTGCAGTATTATACTCTGTTGTTTATCTGTTTAACTGTTGTCATGACTCAATCATTCAGGGTGTGAGCACACCTTTTGTCTACGCTTATGTCTCATTTTCTCGGTCCCTGCATTTCCTACGAGAGCAGGTGAACTCTCTTTTATACCAAATCTTGGTACTATACTCCAAAAGTTTCTAAACAAACAAGTAAACCTTCAGAGCTTTGCCCAAGTGTTTGTCACATTAAACAGAATAATGTGTTGTGGCATAAAATAAATTAAGGTGCAGACTTCATATTCACTTGTAATTAACAGATGAATCATTCACATGCCCGGTACATCTGACATCATTTAGATGATATCACTCACAGAACAAAGTGATAGTGTAACATATTCTTCTGAAAGGATCTGCTCTTACTGATGACTTGATCAATATATCATGCACCCCTCATAAATCTCACTTCACTTCCTTTTTTTAAGAGAACTATGGCTTTTCTCTCACATAAAAAGATAGACCCATATTCAATAGTAAAGGATTATAGAGAATACAGCCATGTGTGCTCATGGGATTGTCTTCTCAAAAGCTGTCCAAGTTCTGTCAGATTCAGCACCCCCAGACACAGAGCTCGTGAACCTAATTTCACCTAATCAGCTTAGTCAATAGCAACCGTTTGCTGTGACTTTGGTAGACATGCAAATAGGGCTTAACTATGTCTATCCTTAATTCCTGAATGTTCAAGTCAAGCGGAAGTCCTCCTTTATCTCTTCAAAAACAACAGTTCCAATTTGAGCAAGAGGAAGAGAAGCAGAGAGAGAGGAGGAGGAGAGAGAGAATGAAACTCCAGCCGAGAGTTGATTTCTTTTTTTACTTGGCCTGGCAAGGAGAGACATCTCTGATTTGAGTGTGCTTGAGGTAGCACAGTGTGCTTTCATTTCAAAGCAACATGGCAAACAAACTCTGACAGATTTGTTCCCTTTTTTTCCACTTTTACTCTTGCTCATTCTCTCCCAAATTATGGTAAAACACACTGCACAAATATATTAGTACTTCTTGTTGGTTTGTATGTTCAGCTGCAGCGCATACACACACACATGAACACACACATATTCAAGTGAATCTGCACAAAATGATGCTGAGAATAGACAGTTGTAATAGCGGTGGAAAACTGAGAGACACTGTTCCGTTTCAATTCACTGATACCACTAATGGCTTCTTAGCAGCTCCATGAAATCAAGCAGCTGTCATGTCGATGCATCAGCAGTGAGAGGAGGGGAGAGCCATCCCCATAAGGACAGAGGCACCGCGCCTTCATGTTTGGCTAAACATCTGCTCCTCTGCACTCCAGCTTTGCAGCAATAAACGGGCAAACAAAAGAGGTGGGAGGTGAAATGATCAGATTTTCCATTTCAAAGCATTTGTTTGGTTTGTTTTCTTTCCCCTCCCTTTCTTTTTTGAAGCTGCTTACAGGACATGTGGGGAAGAAAGTGAGATCAAGTTTTACTCTGATGCAGAGAACAGCTAAAATAACACCTTTTTGTAAGATGGATGACATTTTCAAGCCACATGGTGATTCTGCGAAGAGTGCAGTGTCTTAACTGTTGCAAACTACTATTATAACTCAGTAAGGGGTGATTCAGACTGTGTGTGTGCATTAGGGACTATGAGGAATTCGTGTGAGTGTGCATGTTTTTCAGACATCAATTGATCAAGTATTCATCAGTTCAACTTTGTGTTGAAAACAGCATACTTATTTACCACGAAAGGATTGAGTCCAATTCATTCTTTTTAATCAAATAATTATAAACTACTTCATAATTCAAAGGATGTCTAATCACTGTAATTTACCGTTATTTAGAGGTGATATCCAGTTTAATTTCATTTTGACTGTTCCTCCCTTGATAGGGTTCTTGGTAATTAATATGCCTCCTTTCATTCTCCCTTCCTTCCCTCCTTCTTTCCTTCCTTCCCCCCTTCATTCATTCATGCAAGCTCACTTAAAACACAAAGCAACACTAAGCAAACTTATATTTCCCATTTGCCAATATATTAGCTTTAGATTACATAAATGCGGTTAATGGTGGCAGTAACTTGCTATCCTGTCTCTTTTACACTGACAAACCTGACTTTTAACGCTACGTCACTTTTTATTTGCTCTTCAACGCCACAAACATAAAATGCCCCCTCACTTAATCACAAAACTGCATTCAAATCTTCCTTGACGATCTATAACCACCTGCGTTTCCATCGAAAACAGCACACGGTACGCCTTCCTAGTTGTCGTTTTTTCCCAAGTAGTCTAAAAGTTTTGTAAAACTTGCGAAAAAAACGTGGATCCATTTCCTTTTAAAGTAGCATGTGTGTTTGTCTGTATGAGAGAGAGAGGAAAGGTAGGGGCTCTTGATGTGGTAATGGGGAGGGGGGGCGAATTTAAAATAACCAAGATGGCGAAAGGCTTGTTGTTTTGGAAGGGGCAGAAAAAATGGAGGATATTGTAATATACACAAAGGGATAAATTTCAACAACTCGACCAAGCGGCTGCTAGCTTGCCTGCGTGCCTCTCGGTTTGAGGAAGCGACCGCGATAGCAACAGCAGCAGCTCCCCGGCAGGCTGGCCAGCGAAGTAACAAGCAACACGACAAAACTCTTACCCGTTGTGGGCAAAGAAAAGAATATTGTACGTCAAAGTTAATCCGAACCGAAAGGAGATATTTCTGTATTTGTCACTAATTGTTTTATTTTCGCGTCGAGGGACTATTAAAACTGGATGGATTTTAACGGACGGGCAGCGAGGACCAACGGCTGCCCAGTGCCTCGCACTTACCCCCTTTACGTTGACGGCTACAACAACAACGACGTCCAAATACGTTCTCAAAACCGACAACTGCACATTAACTAACCGTAAACAACACAGAAAACACACAGAAACCCTTAAAAGTTTCATTTCTCAACCATTTGACAAGTTATCAAATACAACAAGCCTGAGCGAACGGTGCGAGGGAGAAAACGAGAGAGGGACACAAAGACGATTCCCCTATCAGGTCACCACTCTGAAGAGGAAAAAACACTTCGTTGTAAAATTAAAGAGAAAAAAACTTTACGGATTCACACAAATGTACCGCTACGGAATACACACACTGAATGAAATACAGCATAAGAGAAACAACGAAACTATCTATAAAACAAACACAAGCTGGGGTAAAAAGCGAAGAAACTAGAAGCGAAGCCAGCACTACGTAGCTCATCGCTTGTTCTGTGATGGGGGGGAAAACAGCGTCAGTGAAATAAAAACACTTACCTTTTTCTAGTTTCGACACTTTACTTATTTCCAACGTGGGTTTTTAGTTCAACTAACACCTCGGCTTGGTCTTCTTCTCGCCTCTTTTTTTCCTTGGTCGCTTTTGGTTATGAAAGAGGTCGTGGACGAATGATAAAGAAGGGAATTGGGCAGTAATTGAGTCTCGGTGTGTGAGTGTGTGTGTTAGTTACTAACAGCAGATTGAAGGAGACTCTTCTCAAGGTTTATTCAGCTCCACTTCAAGGAACCGACCTGACGTCAGCTCACTACTGCCACACAAAGAAAACTTATTATTTGTGCAGCGGCCGTAGTAAAGGAAGGATACTGTTATTGACCGATGTTAGTCGGAATGCGACATTTGTCAGTGGCTTCACAGCTCTGGCGGGGATGTAGCGGTAACTTTATTTATGATGTTGTTAGGAGGCTTAACCACACGGACCTGCATGGCGATTATCTACCACTGGTGTAAACAAATAACAACTATTAGGAGAGGCAACAGTTACAAAAAAAACAATAATTTACGTTTTGATTTTTTTTGAGCAACAGCTTGAACTTTAATCAGTTTGATAGTTTTAAGCATTTTATCGTTTATAAGAGTTTGAATTTCTTGCTTTAAAGACAGACCTTAACCAAAACACTCAAAATGTACAGGTGCATGCAAAGATTCTGCAGCAATTAAAACATAAAGACACCTGATTGAAAATGTTTTTCATTTATTCTGAAAGGTGCTCCTCTCTGAACACTTTTGCTTATATAAAAGGCATAACATAACTGAAAGTAGCCTAAATTTGTTTTTTATGTTCATGACATGATTGAATTAAACTCAAAACAGTCACTGATGAGGTTTCCACACTTAAATTATTTGACTTGTCATCTTACCATTAATCGAATGAGACTTTGGCAAGCTGAAGTCGAGCTGAAGGTGACAAGGTGGGATGGTCTATGATTAAATCATTTCTTAGAACAAAATGTGTTTGCATGTAATGATCCAACCAGAGGAAAAGCATAGAAGTGTCTATCTATCTATCTGTCTGTCTGTCTGTCTGTCTGTCAAAATATGAAGTGAAATAGGCCAACTGTATTTTATCATAAGTATTCACTATAATTTCTTGTTTCCTTGTGCGTCTCGCCATTAACTGACCAAACAATGATCCCTCTGAAGATGATACATGATCAAACAAAAACAAATGCATTTCACACGGGCGCTAAATTAGAGGCCATTTGCACTGACAAAAACAGAAATGGGACAGATCTTCCTCAGGATGGGATCAATACATTGCCTGGCAAAGACAGCCATCTGTGCCTAATTGTATGCTTTACCTCCTCTTCTGAACACACAATAAGCAACAGGCTGAACGCAGGCCCTCTGACCCAGACTGGGTTTCCAGACGGGGGAAGATTATTTCATTCAACTGGAAAACAACAAGGGGGTGGGTGGGGGGGTGGTGGGGAGATTTTTTTTTTTTTTTTTTTTGCAGATGGAGTGGGCAACTGTTCTTATGCCCCACCCTGATGAGGATGGGTCACAGAGCCAGAGCCCACTGGTGTGTGTCTCCTCTCTCTCTCTCTTTCTCTCTCTCTCTCTCTCTCTCTCTCTCTCTCTCTATCTCTCTCTATGTCACATCACCACTTTAACAGGTATTATACTGGATTAACAAACTGTTCACTGTTTGGTTTATAGACACCTCATAAATCACACACAAACAATGAACTCATTGTTAGCAGCTTGATGGAGTGTTAGTTTACAGGCACATTCATATTAATGCTTCATAAACATTATAAATGACCATAAATGCATCCTATTACCCTCCTCTCCCCTTTCTTTCTCTGTTGTTATGTCAAAAAGTGTCACTCTGATGTTTTAGATGTGATTGCAAGAATTGCAAAGATGTTGCTCAGAAATCACTCCTTTTCATGTGTGAGAAAAAAGGAAAAAGAACAGAAAAGGTGGTGGTGGTGGTGATGGGGTAGGGGTCTGATAAAACATTCATGATCACCCGAGTTTGGAGGGTGGACACAGAACCCCTTATTCAGCTTGTGGCGTGCAGTTAAAGCCATTTTATACGCTTGCTCTCCATGTTCTTTGGTCATTGATTTTCTTCTCTGCCCCTTTCCATTACCTGTTGAGATGGGGGGTTTTGCTCTTCTTCAAACACACACACACATACAGATACACACACGCATACACAATCCTCTCTATCTGTCTCTCTAGCCACTGGCACCCTGGTGTATTTCTCCATCTCCTCCGCCTCTTGTAGCAGGAATGACAGGCCGTGAGGAATGACGGTGGCTGTGTTTGTCATACAGTAGCAGCGAGAAGCAAGGATTTTTAATTGCATTGGAGAATCTTCATTAAAGAGAGCACATGGGGGCGGGAATGGAGGGAGAGGGCTGCATGGGGGCGGCGTCGGGGGCACTCGGAGCATCGTCATTAGGAGAAGGCACTAGCAGCATAGAAGGGTGGGCCTTCTTTGCATGCACACTGAGAATGCCTGCCGTACCTCGGTCATTTGTAACATAATAAGTGCCAGCACAATGACTGCAATGCGAGAAAGCACACCACAGGGAAGAGAAGGGGGAAGGGAGACAGCATGTCTGTCTAAAAGAGGGACTTTTTTTGTCTTGATTAGAAAGTATAATGAGCCACTAAAGAAACAGGAAAAAAAGAGGATCTCTCCTGAGACTGATGGAAAACAAATTAATCTGGTGATTTGGATTTAATTATTATTTTTCTATTAGTCCAGCATGCAAAGACAGGGACAGCCGTCAGAAGCAAGGAGCTGTGCTTGCATTTATTGATTTTTTCACACAGACACATTCAGGGAATACAGATTCATCTGCTCTCTTCCCTACACAATCCGCTGTGTGGTTTTCCATTAACACAAGCAGCTTCCAGCAACTCTGAGATGTTTAATTTGAACACCATAAATAGAGCTTAAAACAGTGTTCAAACACAAGAAAAGTGGCCTAAGGATGTCTCTTTACGCAATTGAATTAGGACCTCACTTATTGTTGTGTCCTACATAACAACTATTAAATAAACACCCAATAAATTAAATTACGACCGTGTTCTGCTGTATAGAAGTAGAGTCAAAAGCTATTGTTCCTCTCTGCCTCCAACATCTTATGCTGATACAACAGTTGAGTTTAATTTAATCTTTTGTTTTGGATTAATGTAAGAACCCCGCAACTGGACTGTAATTATTCTCCCTCATCCATGTTGTAACTCGTCTTTGTAGCATCCTTTCAATACATCAGTAGTCTTGAACACAATGCCTTGCGAGATGTAATGATTTGCAAAGTCAATGATTTGAACTGCCTGTGTGATTAAAGCACAAGGGACCAATTTGCAGCTGCTATACGTAGAACATTGGTGCGCCTCAAGTAGCACTCATATTGTCCCTCGCTGACGTGAAATTCTGCAATTATGCCAGATGAACGCTGGTATTGATTGGTATCCTGCTATCCCTTACTGAAAATGGTTTGCAGTAAATGTAATGTCTGCAATGTGTGAGTAGACCCAATCACAGATATACTGAGAGCCATGCCTAATGGTATACGGGAATCCATTTGACAGTGAAATATGCATTCATCCTTCACCTTTGACCCCTGAGATGTCTACAGGAAGCAGATTAAGAGTGTCAGTGATGTTTTCGGTCGTCCTTATCTTTGTCACTTTAGAAAAACACTGTACTTTTTGGCAAAGGCTGACAAAATTAACAAGATAGAAAGCGATTTGGAAGATCAACAATGTAATGTTTTCCATAAGAGTGAGACGAATAAACCCCTGCATGGTTTAAATGAGCACACTCCCGCAGTGTTTATTGTGGTGAATGTATCCGAGCAGAACCCTCTGCTCCATGATGTAATACACAGAAGGGAAAAATCATCATAATAGCAGAGTAGTAGAGTGACTCATTCGTTGATGAGGTACATTCACACTGTCATTCAATGTGGAGATGCAGTCAGTGTGCACATGTTGTCAGTGTGATAGAGAGACAGAGAGAGACCACGAGAGAGTGAGGGAGAGAGCATTAGTATGTTCCTTTTCTGGGAATGAGGAGTCATTTGTGCCAGGAAAGTGCAGAAACAAGTCCCAGCCCTGCGCCGATGCATCTCTCCATGAAGAATTAGATCACAAGCAAATGTCACCCCAACCTGAGCAAAGCCAAATGACCTTGAATCAAATAAAAACACATCTTTTACCCGCGTCAGTGTGTGTACACACACCCCACAAAATGTCAGCAGATTTTCCATTTGCTAAATCTGTGTCTAAGTGCAGGGGTTTAGCTCAGGTAATCAACCTAGTATTTTCCTCCTAGTCTCTGTGAATATCACCCTGGAGGAACCCTGCTGTTAAACACAGTTTACTACAGTTACTTACTTATAATTTAATCAATTTAAAGTAAAGTGGCATGAAATTTCCCTTACTCATAAGGCCAATACTCACCCCAAAACAGAAAAACACCTGCACACGCACAAAAACTGTGATTACTCTCTCTTCTGAGACGATTTCTCTTATTTTGCTTTTTGAGACAGCGGTAGCAGAGGGGATTTTTCAAGGGAAATTACTTTCACAGTTTATTTCAAGCTTCAGTGCATTACTCTATCATAGTTTACATAAAACAAGCTTTGATTTCTGTCCACTGTAGCCTGCATATATCTTGACAGTGGTGCATCCTTTGATAGATAAGTTGTACTTTCTTATTACCATTACTGAGCTTTTGCTGTTTTCTTCTCCTCTCTGACCCTCATAAAAAGCATGATATTAGTTATTCACACTGTGCAGGTGCAACACGGGGCAGTTTTTTTATTCCTCGTGTTCTTAAGACTAAGTTGTCATGCTCTATTATACATGAATACACTCAAATAACTTGACTAATGCATGGTCATTACCTGGAAAATAAAAAACATTATTGTAATTCCAAGGAGAGCGGACCCACTCCTAAGTCTCCCACTGGTGATTTGTAATGCAAAGGTAAGCTACCTTTTATGGGATTCCACTCAAATGCTAATCCACAGGAGGCACTCAGCTCATATTGACAGACATCATTGTTGGTGAAATCCGCCGTCAGTGATGTTGAGTTTCTGCAGGCACAGAGCTTTGTTATGCTTTCTGAGACGTGACTTTTACAAGTTTGATTTGGCACAGAGTTCCCTGAAATTTGGATCAAAGCTAAGAAAAGTAGCACTGTTAATAAGAATTGCAGTACTCTGAAAATGAAGCTCATAACTAATCTCAAATTAGCTCTGTGTTATACAAGCAGCATTTAGTGTGAACT